TCTCAGATTGCCGAATTGGAACAACAACGCTCCGACTCGAAGGACGACGCGATCATCCTCAAGTTAAAAGCGGGAATCCGACCCGGAAGCTTCATGCGAGAATTTGAACAACTCAGCTTCGTCGGCAAAGTTAGATCGAAACCGGAGGTTAAAGAATTCCTCGAATATCTAGACCGATGGATGACTAGAATGAGCGAAGTGGACAGAGGAGTATGCGCTCTACCAGAGAACGTAAGTTTGGCAAAAACGGACTTAATTTTACCTTGCAATTATAGCGAGTGCATTTGCCTGTTTCGCCTCCATTCGCTGCTCTCCTGAACTGGGCGCAGAAGGAGTTGTTCGCCTTGACGCTGAAGGGGCCGCCGGAAATGCAGGGATTTGTCCTCCACGTACGATTCGTCTACGCAGTCGGCTTCACCGGAGAGACGGGCACAAGAGTCGTATTCCAAGATATGGACTCTCTCGCGGCAGTCGAAAAGCTTATCAAGGAAAAAGCTCGGAAGTGACCTGTTCGCAAATCGCACAGTTTGCAGTGGACGCTTATGACAATTTTCTCGCGGAGATGTCCTTAAATGGGAAGGTAAAACGAACCAAGTTGGTCACAGCTGATTTACCTTGTGTTTCAGGTCGATAACTATCCAACCGAGGGCGGAACAGCTGAAGTATTGGAATGGGCGGAAGCCACCCGTGACGCGATTAACGAGAACGCGGAGAAAATGAAGAACTATCGCGACGCCCTACTCACAGTAGACCGATGGAGGCTTAATAGCCTTTACGATTTTCTCACGAGAGAATCGGATTTGAAGCGAATCTCGCGCATAGCCACCTTCGACAACTATCAACGAACCAACCTCGTCACCGTCGGGGACAATGGCCGGTTGCGTGCCTTCACCATGGATAACGGGGAAGTCCGTCGCAGCAACCGACTTCCAAACTTCATGCGAGACTGGTCAGTAATGACCGGAGGACGCTCTAACATCGAGTATCGGCAGAACGGGTTCTCGACCACGCCTGACCACCCAGGGTACAAAAGACAAGCCCAAGACCGAAGAGGGGACGAACCACGAGCAAAGAAACGATGGGGCCACAGAGGCGGCCATCGACGATAATGGCATTTCAGGTAAAGAAGGGGGACGTTAAGGGTGATACCCAGTCTCGGAGACAGCTGCCAAGGACAGCGGTCCCTTGACGAGTAATAGGGGAGTCGGCGACTCGCCCTTAGGAAAGGCCACTATCGCGCTGACCAGGTGCAGTTTGGATTCGCCAGACTCGCACCGAGATCCGGCGAGGTAGGAGCTCAGGAATCCTGAGGCTAGGCCCGACCTTGATTAAAGAGAACTGTCCCGACCAGTACTAACGGAACTTTAGGTTCAGTACCGCCCGTTAGCCAATCCATCCGCAGAAGACCGCTTGGACCGCTCGACTGTACCCTTGGAAACTGTGCACGCATAATAAACGGGGAAACCCGGACCGAATCTCGAGTTTCTGTATCTATAGCAGGGAAAGTTCAACGGAACCAAAAACAATGGCTCCGTTTATAACACCACCGCCATCTTTAGAAACAGCGATCCAACACGTCTTTCCAGCGCACGATTCAAGTTCCTTGGGGCTACCAAGAAATTTAGTCAACTCGGCCGAACAATTCGTGGTTATCTCTATCATTATTTTTTCTCCCGAAAAAGACAATATTTATTTTAGTTCTGTTTGACGAATTGCCTTACGGGAAAAAAGTCGTTAAGGAACCAACCAGGTCTAGCGATTCAGATGATCTAAAAACAGAAATAATATCAAATATAAGAAAATAAGGGGGGCTTATTTTTAGGCGGAAATACTTCTTAGAGGTCTCTATTTCAACGGTCATGATATTTGGCGAAAGAGTCCCTGTTTCATGGTCTACCACTGGTGTTTTGCTCGAGACAGGGTTAAGCTCAGTCAAAAATTGAAAAAGAAAACGTCCATGTGAAACAACTCGTGCTAGTTTAACATAAGTTGATGAGGATAATCTGCCTGTCTGAATTTACAAAACCGTGTCTGGCTCTGGAAACATCACCACAACCAATGTACATGCAAGCATGTTTCGCCGTCAACACGTTGGTTGAATAGAAGTCCCGTTTTCTGCCTGTAAGAACCTGTTTATCGACGTTTTTAGACTTCCAGAAAATGCTGATTGTGGCTTACAGAAGGAAAATAAATGGCTAATATCATTAGCAGTCTTTTGATAGTTCCTGGCTTTTCTGACACAAGGCTATTTATTATTCAGTAAAAGGGCGACTAGATGAGCAAACCCTCCTTTTTTATTCAAACTTTTTTTTCTTTCTTGACGATTCACCATTTTTATTTGTAAAAGAAGAAATGTTAGAGGGGTCGAGTATTGGCAGCTTTTCAAAAAAGAGCTTCATCGCAGGAGTTTGGATCGCTGTATGAATTAATTCTTTATTGAACGATTTTGGAATGCCTTTAAATTTTTAGGGTTTCATCGTCACATTTTATTCTGGATGGAGCGATTATGTTAAGGATATAGCCTATGAAATTGAACTTTCATAGCGCCTAAATGCGACGTCGGATGATTTTATTTCAAACGCAATCCTATCTAAAAATGTACGCAGAACTCGATTCTGGTATTTAAAAAAAAAATCATTTTAGTTTTTCTCTGTAGAGCGTTTTGAAATCTTACGATCGCGATTTCTCGAAATATTTACATTAAATCGCTAAAACTAAACCAATGACTGCATTAGCATGATGCTAAACTAGAATATTGTGGCTGAAAAATTATCAAACTCGGCCAAATTTTCATTCTAGTGTTTTCCTCTTTCTTGCTACTGTTTTTCTTCCATGCGCGCTTTTTTGGGTCCAACCAATCAGAGCGCTCTTTCAAACGCGCGCACTCTCTCGGGAAAGAGGAGTCGAAAGATTGAGCACCCAGCGCAGCGCTTTTTACACTATTCACGCGCCGAGGAAGCCTCACGGAAATAGCTCTAAAATCGGTTTTTGACGGGATAAGAGAAAACCGAACCCACAATATTGTAGATAAGGGTCTAGATTACTTTTCTATCAAAAAAACTCGACCGATTTAATGTAAAAATTTCGAGGAATCGCGATCGTAAGATTTCAAAACGCTCTACAGAGAAAAATTCAAATGAAAATTTTTAAAAAAGTACCAGAATCAAGTTCTGCGTACATGTTTAGATAGGATTGCGCTTGAAACAAAATGATCCGACGTCGCATTTAGGCGCTATGAAAGTTCAATTTCATAGGCTATATCCTTAAGTATACAAATTATCCTTCGACAAGGGTTTAAAATGCTGTTCCCTGGAAAGAATAAGCAAATAAGAGGAGGCACGAATCGTCAAAAAATGCGACAATTTCATCCGAAATTTTGGTAAAACTTTGGAAATGTCCGCATTCGGTCGGTAGGCCAATCAGATTTTTGAAAAATTTTTTTTGCAGAATTCGAATTATTTGTCGCAATTATTTTGTCGATTCGAGCCACTTCCCCATAAAACGCTTTGAAAATTAAGAATCTTACTTGATCACGAAAAAACCTTTGAAAAGATCGTTCAAGAGCAGAAAACTAAAACCGGAAGTCGTCGCTTTCCCAATATCTACGTTTGCAGTCAATCTCAGCACTCACTTTCTAATTACGGGTCTTTCAATTTGTCAAACCAACTTTGAACTTGCCAAAAATGACCCGCAAATAGATTGCAGAAAAACTTTCCGGCGATTTCTCCTGCTTGGATCAGAATATTTTACGGCGGTTTTCAAAAAGTCGACGGGAGATCCAAGTATACGTACATTTGCATGTCTCTATTTATGCCCCTTATTTAAGCAAACAGGAGCAAAAAGAAGATGTTGAAAAATCCCTACGTTTGAATGAGACTGAAGTGTGGTAAGCGTGTTATAAGAGAGTTGGAATTCCACTCACTTTTCTTGTAAAAATTATCTTTCGGGGTAAAAGTCAATATTTTCTCCCTGGGAATTATACCTACCATATTTGGTATATTTGGGAAGAGGCAGAAATCGACAAATTTGCGACAATAACGACCTAAATTTTGGTCTAATTTTCCACCAATCAGATGTCCGCATTCGGCCAATCAGATTTCAGAAAAAAAATATACCAAAAATTTTAATTATTTGTCGATTTTTTTGTCGATTCGAGCTATTACCGCTTAATTATTTCATTTCACAGAATAAGGAGTCCTATTTTCTGTAATAGCAACCGTTCAAAAATTGATTTTTAAATGAAGTATAGCATGAAACTGGGTATGAGTGAGGCTTCTAACTATACGCAGCTACTTTTTATATTGACGCGTTATTTAATTTTGTTTTGTCTTCTCGTAAATAATTTCGTTTGTAATTAACCTAAACGACGAAAAGAAAGGATGATTTGAGGAGCGACATGAACGCGCGGTAAAAACGAAAGCTACTAGTTAATCCAATCGAGCTAAATTCTATTAAGGCAAGCAATCTGATTTCTTAAATTATGTTTGAAATATATTGCCAATTAACCTGGATTCGTTTAGGACTGAACTCGCAAGTTTGAGATTGTCCGACTTTTTCCGAAAAACGAGGCCGCGGTACAGCATTCTCGGATGCGATTTTAATTATGCTGACTGCAAATTTACATGGAAATTCGTGGTACGTTCCGATAACCGGTACATAATGCTATATTCAAATCTTTTCAAGTCAACTCTTTATGGCTACTGTCTGATGTACAACAGTTCGGAGCAAATTAACAGCCAGGGACGAGCTCGTCTCAGCATAACATTTGGTAAATCTACTGTTGTCTCTACATCACTCAACGATTCTAGCGCAAAATGAGTCGGACGCCACTTTTGGATGGAACGGCGTTATGCAAGGCTTCAACGTTCACTACCAGCACCCAGAGACGGAAATGTTCATTCCCGGCCACTCAGTCTACCTCAGCTCCAGATTGACGCCAATTATTTCAGTTCAAAATGTTCAACAGACATTTCTCGGAGATCCGGTGAGTTTATTCATACTCAGATGTTGAAAAAGAAGTATGCAGGGTTGTCTAGCTCGGTTCCTTTTCTATCGACAAAATCCTTAAAATGAAGCAACGAGTGCAGTTTGGTCGGCATTTCCCCGAACTCAAAAGGGTGCCTGTCGTCGAAGAGGTTATTCTTGTCCCAGTAGTCGACAATGTCTTCAGGAGGAGTACTAGAACACAGAATGTAGAGATTCTCAAAATATCGTTACCTCATAATGAATCCGTTAGCAAAACTGGCAGAAAAAATATTCAAAGTAAAAACTTTCATTTTTTTCATAGAAAAAAAGTTCTTTCTTCTTTTATCTGCTCTGTTATCTATCCCAAGGGATTGTTGACCATTTCCAACGCACACTTTTCGAGGCCACCATTAAAGTGATGAATTATCTGTCTAAAAATTCATTTATCAAAATAGCAATAATGATAATTTAAGCACACAAAATGCATTCCGAACACTCCTCAAAATCCTTACAGTATGGTCAAATGCCAGTATGCCTCTCTGGTTAAAACTCTCTGCCGCGAATGCGAATGCTATCCAGGAAAATGTCCTCTTAAAAATTTTCATTGTAAATTGAATTTTTTATTCAATCCTATCGGGGGAGAAAAGGGATAAATTAAAAGAAGGTAAATTCAATTTTCACTGCTCGCGTAATTTTCGAAGAATTTCAGTTTATTTTTGAGCGAGAAAACAAAGAAAGCCTTGATTAAATAACAAAATTGCATTAAAAGAACTGAGCTGGTTTATTCACCAGCTGCTGTTCAAAGTTCACAGAAGACATTTCACAACCGAAATGAGATTACATCGGCGGGCTTATTTCAGTCACGAGACTCCTTTCAAATTACACTAAATGGCAAGGATTCCACCCAGAGCCCTGTTAATTGTATTTTCTAAATTAACAACGCTCATTGACGTAAAATCCTTGCGAAAGCAAGCCGTGCAATTTCCTAGCTCATGCGACTTGCGCGGCGAAGCACATTGACGTCTGGCGGGAAGTGCCTCGAATGGGATCAGGAATGGTTCAATTAACAAAACAATCTTCTTCCCAATAGCTTAAAAAACTACAATAAAGAGTGCTTACCGCAATGCTTGCAGAATCAGTTTCATCAGAAATCAATCCAGGAAAGAGTTCGTCGAGAACACAAAGACTTCTACTAACCCATTCAGAACTCGAAAACTTAGTACGCTGACATTCACGCCGGCGAGCAAAAAACAATCACCGAGCACGCCACAATGATCATTCAACTAGCCGAGCAAGACATGATTCTCGTTGAAAAAGCAACATATACTGTCGTCGATTTCCTCTCGGATTTAGGCGGCACTGTGGGATTATTTCTCGGGTTGAATCTGTTCGCGCTTGTAAAACTTTCATGTGATGTTTTCCAGCGATGCAGGTGGAAGACTTCCGGGAGAGTGAAGCATGTTCAAAGCGCACTAGCGATTAGTTCAGCCAAAAAGGTACCTGATAATTTTGACATTAACCTCTTTACCGAAATACAACTCTAGTACAAGCCTCTTCCAGCCTCCTCCAAGTCCAACAGAAAATCAAAGCTCGAAACTTCCGACTCAAAAGCAAAGTTCATTTTATGAGAAAAAAAAATTGAGAAAAAAGACACATTTTTTGATCTTTTCATTCAAGCTGTTAATCTTTCTGAAAAGGCGCCAAAGTTTGAATAAAATAAATAAAGCACTCGAAAAATAAACTCGCGAAAAAAATAGTACCTGGCTGTTTTTTATTGCTGCATTGAAGAAAGAAAAAATGGTTTTCAGAGAAGCGAATTTCTTTATTGGCATTATACTTGGTTATGCGCTAGGAGAGGTGAAAAGCTAGAATTAAGCCTTATCAGTACTTTTGCAAGGCATTTTTAAAACTGCGTAGCCACGTTTTCTTCACCTAAGAAAGGCAATTTGTTATTTTTCCAAAGTGCCTGCGTCGAAAATTATTTAAAGCAAAATCAACCAAAGCCAAATATTTCCGGTGAAAAACTCTATCCTGGCAATGTCTCGCAAATCAGCAAAAGACCAGATGAAACGAAGAAAAAACGTGCAGTTATTGGAATTATGACGACGCCAGAATTCTTGCGTACGCGAGTGAAGGCCTTTAGCGACACTTGGCTTAGGGATTTAGGTAAGGAGATTGTCGACTGATAAGCATCGTCTGGGTTGTTTTAAACTGCTTTGGTGGGCCGTTTTCTAAGATTTTAACGCATATATTTTAAGATAGAAATGACGTGGATGTACTTTTCTTTTCCAAACCGGAACCCGGCTTCAATACAATTTCGATGGCAGATGTGGATGACCACGTCTATCCGCCTCAGAAAAAATCATTCAAAATGTTAGGATCGGATAATTATCAATTATTGATTGACTGAAAAGCGGGAGGATGAAAAAAAGGATGGAAAAAGTTTAAGATCCGCTTTGAAAGCTTTTTTCCACGACAAACTCATCGATCAATATGAGTGGTTTCTCCGCCTTGACGATGACACTGTAATTCAGTGGGAGAACCTCAACTTGTTTCTGGTAGGAAAAAATCAAAGACTCGAGCACGTGATTAATTTGTCTTTTCGAAGGCGCGTCTCAACTCAACCAAGCCCTTGATGATCGGCAACCCAGGCAATCAGTCTTGAACTTAGTAGTACGATCAATCTTCAAAAAAATATTCTTTGCCACGGTAAATTCCGAATTTTCGCGTGTGATGAGCGAAAACAACGACATTGGTTCCACTTGAACATTTACGTCATTCGACGTGTCTTTTTGAAAATTCTGATAAGCGACCAATTAATACTAGATTGATAAGATAAAGAAAAACGGCTCATCCTGGCCCAAGAATTAAGATTAATCCAGCGATAAGAGATAATTTGAACATTTTACATGATTAAAAATATTTTGAAGAAAAACTCATTTAGTACAGTGGTCTATTCTAATCTTAACTATTTCTTATTCAGCTGATTCTTATAATTATATCTTTATCCTTCTAAAAACCTTTTCTTTATCAATTTTCCAGCCGGAGCATATTTTTTCGATAAGCTCGCCTTATCAGTCTCCCAGGGCGCGTTTTATCCGCAGGTACCGTTCTGGACTTGAGGGCAGGATTTGGACGAAACGCGCTTGATTATGTCGCTGATTCGATGGTTTACTGCATGGGAGGGCCCGGTGTTCTGTTTTCAAATGAGCTGATAAGGAAAGTCCGACCTTTTCTGACGACGTGTGTGAAGGAGCTACTGACGGAGCATGAAGATGTGGAGATCGGAAGATGCGTTTGGAAGCACTTGGGAATAAGTTGCACGGTTGGTTCAAATTTGATTAACAACTAATGAAGACGCTAGAATTCGAAAGACCTGCAGGTGTATTTCTTCCAAAACTGGTCTAAGCAGCGACGAAACGTTGAAAGCGGATCCGAGGAACGTCTCAAAATTGTTGAATCAGTTTTTTCAAAAAAAAATATTGCTTTTCAATTTTTCCAAATTGGGTTCCCATTCATGTCCATGCTAACTGTTTCAATAAAAAAATTATTGACAGTACCATGTTAGGAGACCCGAAAGCCAATTACTGATCCTGAGAACGAGCTAAACAATATCATCGTTTCGAAGTCGCTCACAATGCACTCTGTCAAGGTAAAGTTCACCGAAAATAAGTATGACTATCTTTATCTTATCAATGTTTAAGGTTCCCGATATCCAGTACAAAATCCGGCTAAAAGCGCAGAAAGCCAAAATCCTGGCGCTCAAGAAGAAAATCGACCTGTTAAAATCTTCGTTTTGGGTCTCTAAAATTGCTTATCATTACTTTAATTTACCTCAAAAACGCGCAATTCGATCCAAAAGAAAGCTGAAAGAAAACGTGTTTACTATTTCTACGAAAGACACGATCGCGAAAATGAACAATTGCAAGTGGGAAACGATCTTGTCTGTAAGCAAATATACATGGCAGGAGGGCAAACCTAGAACGGCGTTGAGTTCTGCTGAAAAAGAAGAAATTCTTGCTTTCCGAAAAGCACTTGGTCGTTATCGAGCGAAATCTGGAGAGCGTTCAATCGCCGTTTGCACATCAAGGTAGCGAAAAATTGGGTAGGCTTCATTTGCCCAAGAGCTTCATCTCCCCAGAGCTTCATCTCCCCAAGAGCTTCATCTCCCCAGCCTGGGCAAATGAAGCTCTTGGGGAGATGAAGCTCTTGGGCAAATGAAGCTCTATTTCGACTTTTTTAATATTTTAGAAAAAAATTTGAAATAATATTTTGAGAACTATTCATCCTTTTCATGTTTCATCAAATTCATCAAAAATAGATTTTTAGTAATTTTCTGAAAATTTAAGAAAGTTTATTATAAAATCTCTAAAAAAGTACAAGAAGTCGATTTTTTCTTTGAAAATTCTTTATCTTTGAAGAAGGCCGTAAGCGAATAATTGAATTCCATTTTTGCGTAATCCGTGAAATCTGGTCTGATGTCATCAGCTCAGAGCAGGTCTTGTGATCAAATTCATGAGTTCTAAAGCTCATGGTGTTGTAAATTGAACTCTCTCAAAATCACAGCGTTCATTTTCTAGCGCTGGAAAAATGCTCATGCAAGCAACTTCAAGGGGAAGCCACCTCATTCTGAAAATGAAGGCAGCAGATCTGATTGCACGTCACGTGACGGTTGATTACCAAAAGAAGCTGACGTTCATTACGCCAGTCAGCGGAAGAGCGGAAAATTTAAACAGGTTTCTGGAGAACTGGAGCGAGCTGGTGAAAGATGAGAAGAATCTTAATCTGATCATAGCAGTGGGGGGAAATCAGAGCGAAGTAATGGGATAAATGTCAGACGTGTCTCTTTTTCTGAGGAGGCACTTTAGAACGAACTTTTTTATTAATAGAAAGCTAGTTATAGTAAATTACGATGCTGCTTTTTATCCAAGACACAGTGGCAAAAATACGACAAAATCTTGGCTTTTTCGGCCTGGATACTCTTGGCCCAAGGAAACGCTCTAGACAAAAACAAGATCAGTATTGTAAAATCATGCTTGAGAGCTGTTTGAAAGACGAATTTCCGTAATTGAATGTGGTGAGCCATTCGCACGTGGCCGCTGCCTCAATCATGGAATCAATCTCCTCAAGGAAGAGGATGTTTTCTTCATCTGCGATGTTGATCTCGTCGTAAACAGAGAATCTATAAGAAGGATTAGATTCCTTGCAAAAGGTTATTTTTGATGAAAGAATTAATTCGATTCGAATCAATTTTAGACAATGCATATTTTCCAATTTTCTTCTCTCAATATGAAAATGGTAATTCAACGGCGCAGATGGAAGAGAATGGATTTTGGAGATCATTTTCGTTCGGCATGGCAGCGATGAGCAAAAGAACCTTCTCGAAGACGGTCGGTTTCGACAAGTTTTTGAAAGGATGGGGAGGAGAAGACATCGCTTTCTTCGAGAATCTAGTCAAGAAAGGGGCTTCCGTTGCCCGAGCGATTGATCCGGGGCTGTTCCATCCTTGGCATCCGAAATCGTGCCCTTCTAATCTTTCGACGAAGCAGCATTCGGATTGCGTGTCAACCCGCGCTGCGCACAAGTCCTCGAAGACAATGCTGAGTCGGATGTTTTTATCTGTTGATAAGTTAAATAAAATATAAAACCGGAAAGATAACATGCAGTGAAAACAGCGCTTAAGAATTATCTCAAATGATAGATACCCCGGATGTACAAGTATTGTTCTTTATGTTCACGGGGTTTATTCAAAGTCAAGTTTTTCGGCGGGAAAATCAATCACTCTTCTCATTCCTCGCGATTTTACGGGATGAAAGAGCTGCTGTGAACTTAGTGTCTATATGAAAGGGAATACTTGAGAAATCCCCTTTGAGATTGTTTTGCTCTTGACTTGTCCTTTACCAGGTAGCTTGTATTTCGAAGCTTATAATATTGGGAGAAACTCACCTAAATAAGTGTTGGTTGGTATTGACTAAAGGCTGGCTATTTCAGAATGATTTTTGATGAGAAAAAATTAAATTAATGTCCGAAAAATCATGTCCTTTATTGCTTTTTTATCAATAAGCAACGTAACATATCTTAAATTTTCTTATAGAAGGTATGGTAGTTAAACTTTTGACGATGTCGTCATTTCCTCGAAGGCACTCAGCTCCAAGAATTTGGAATTCAGGTTATGCCAGACGCTTTGAAAAGGGTTTCTTGAGCGCTCGGGTGGCGCGAGAGCGCCCTCAAAATTCATGCTCAAGGAATAAAAAGGGTTCACCAAGATGGTAGTCATTTTATTATGAAATATTTCACCGATATTAAAGGGCTCATTATTGCTCAAGGTAATTTTACAAAGTCCAAAGAGCGTCAAAGATAGAGATTTTACGAAGAAAATTTGAGAAGAGAAAAAACTAACAATAATTTTTAGCGTTTTTTGAGTGCGCTGAAGGAGGAATCGTCGAAGAGAAGTCAATCAGCGTCAAACTTGAGGTAAACTAATTTAATGAATACGGAAGTTATGTTTTGGATTAGGAATGTCAGCTTCCTGAACCATTATTGTGCGAAAATGGAGAGAACTGTCCAACGTGGGAGTGCTCTGAAAAGGGAGATGAGCTTCTCTGTGAAGCACGATGTTTCGAAAGCCACGCTCTTGCTCGCAAACAGAAGTGTTCATGCTACACTAGAATGGGTCCGTTGAAATTCTTCACTGGCTGCAAGTGGGAAATTGACGAGAATCAAAAATCTTGCGCTGCTGATACACAAGCAACAGACCCAACAACATCGACAAGAGCGATGAAATCTGCTTCGACGACTACAACGAAGCCACAACCAAAGAAAGATGAAACCTTCAGCAATTGTCAATCCCTCGCCGATTCGAAACGCTGGAAGTGTGATCTCGTCCGAAAGCACCGGGCAAAATGTAGACTTCCTTGCAGAGGGGAAAAGACGATTTCGAACAGATGTTTTTGTATTCAGGTAAAGCGAGAACGGCAATAACAAAGAGAAACGTCATTACAGTCAAGATGTTGTTGATATTGTTGTATAGACACATTTTGTCTGATGATGAGTTACGAGTGATAATTGACGCCTATTTAGGGTGTATGCAAATGGACTCATCCGGTAGAAACTACATGTAAAGCAACGCGTCCAAATGTAGAAGAAACAACTTCGCTGGCGACAATGCTACTTGATGCTCAGAAAATAGAAGAGCCAGAAGAGTCCGAAGAACCCGAAGAAAAAGAAGAGGAGCCGAAAGAGAACAGGTTCAGAAGCCAGAGCCGGATTCAAATCATCTCGACCGAAGCCCCTCAAGTTTACCGAGGAATGCGGTATATAATTAAAGATGGAAAACGACTGTTCAATCAAAACGACCTTATAAGCCAATTCCTTAATTGGTTCAGAAGAAATTAACCTCTTTAGCCTCTCTTACCCTCTTGCTCATATTATGCCCATTATTTGTGAATAAAAAGACTCAAATACAATAACATGTTACATGTATGTTCATTGATATTCAATTATATACAGAAATTTACACAACTTTAAAATTGAAGGTATTTATCTAACGAGTCAAGAAGATCACATCGGCTCTTCAATTGTGAATTTGATCCTGGCAGGTTCCAGTCGGTCTTAATTTTCAGTGTAAATTATTTTTAAAAAAGAGCCTATTTACCTGTTTTATTCCTTGTTTTCCAATATAGAACCAGCTCTTTGAGCGCTGCCAATCTAACATTGCCTCGTGATCAAGCTGCTCGTTAAGATTCTCAATGTAGGAATTTGGATTTCCTGTGTGTATGAAATTTGCATACAAATTCTGATACGATTTTTGAATCTTGATCTGCTCTTGCGTCAGATCACACGACTCGTCTATGTTTTTTGAAAACAGCCACCAGTTTCCGCTGCAATGGCAAGTTTCTTTTTCGCAGAAAGAATCGGTCGAGGAAGATGACGCTCCGGCTGGAAGAGGCTGGTCGAAAAAGACACTGTACGTCAACTCTAGTGGAGGGCTTTGAGAGTTTCTTTTTTAGCTCTGCCTTACTTGGATTGTTACGCGAAGCCAATTGGTTCATAAAAGACCTTTGGTTGCAAGTGAACAAATAGTCCGTGTAAAATTGTTTTGCCTGATCCATTAACGAACACGCACTTTTCTCCGAGACAGAACCGTAACCACAGTGTTTGCTGTAAAAATAAAACTGTTTAACAGTCCAGTAAACTTTTCCTATTGCTACTTTACCTATAGATATCAGCAACAGCCGCCCAATTGTCGTCGAAATAACTTCTAAGAATTCGCTCGGGCCATAGTTCCGCCAAAAGTGTCAAATTGTCAGATGGGAAAATTTCATGCACGAATTTGTTGAGGAAGGGTTGAGATTCTTCCGCTGTTACTTCGAAGATAACGCTCTTCTTTGATGGAAATTCTTCGTTTTTGAGAAGTGTGTATGAATTATCCCTGATCGTCTCACTGTGCAAAACCGGAAGAAACGGCTCAAAGATTGATTGACGCAGTGAATGAAGAAGTCCTCCTAGAATCGTGGAAGCAGTGAACGATGCGTCTCGAAGTACGTATGGACTTTTCCGCCGGAGACACGTCATATTCTGACCACTTGTATCCGTCGGAAAATTTAAACATCGATCGTACTCTGATGTGATATTCAGCTCCGAACTTAGCGTTCTCCCATTATTGCAGCAGGACACGTTAGCGGCAATAACGGAGTACTGAAGAAAAAAAATCGTTACAAAAATTTTTAGGGCTAATATTAACATAGCGGGGTCTTGTTTGATTTTATTGCACCTATTACTTGTCTTTTTTTCCAAGTTGCGATAAAATTTGACGCGAAGACGTTCAACCCTATTTATTTTTGCTAACCTGCGAATTCGCTTGCGCTTTCTTGAGATAGGGAATTCCAGAAGGCGCGGAAAGAACGATTGCTTGTGAAAAGGCTTTTGAAGATCGCTCGTTATATAAATGATCCAGCACAGATTGGCCACCGGAAGAGCATCCGAGGAGAGTTATTCTTTCACGATCTCCACCAAATGCATCAATTTGTTGATGTACCTAGTATTGAGTGCTATCTTGTTATGGGTCAAAAAGCTCAAACACTTTTGATTAATTAAAAAGGGGAATGATGTTTTTCGAAAACAGCCACCAGTTTCCGCTGCAATGGCAAGTTTCTTTTTCGCAGAAAGAATCGGTCGAGGAAGATGACGCTCCGGCTGGAAGAGGCTGGTCAAAAAAGACACTGTACTCTCTCCACCAAAAGCGTCTATTTGTTGATGTACCTAATATTGAGTGCTATCTTGTTATGGGTCAAAAAAGCTCAAACGCTTTTGATTAATTAAAAAGGGGAATAATCACTTTGTAAAGTTTACAATTAAAACCCTTGATTTCGGTGAAACTTTGTTTGACAAGGGTTCACGCAAATTATTGAATAGCCAAGACAGTATCTTACCCACTCAATAGCCAATTGTTGATCCAGAAATCCCGCATTTGCTGCGTCCGGCTCATTATCAGAGTACCAATAGCCGAATTCTGCCAAGCGATAGTTTGCGTGAACCACTACCATTTGATGTTTGTTAGCCAGATGAGCCCCATTGTTGTTCATGCTTGAGCCGGACATGAATCCCCCGCCGTGGAGGTCGATAAGAACTGGATATTTTCTTTTGGCAGTGCTTTCGTTTGAAGTTCCATCGCTCAGCATTGCTACAAAAATATGAATATTCATGAAATTTAATTTATCTAGTTAACGTGACGTAATAATCGTGCTCGAGTTCAGCTATTTTCTTATCACCTAAGCTCAATGCCAAGTGTAATCGGATTAATTCCCCTTCATCATACCCGGTGTAAAGATATTGACGAATAGACAGCTCTCACTTTCCAAGTAGTCAAGAGCGTCCTCAGACATTTTCGGCTGGAAGCAAGTATGGATGAATTGTGTAGCGTTCCAAACAATGTGAAGATCGAACCACTGGACGTAAGGAATTTGAGAAGGGGGTTTGAAGCGACCATCCCCAGTTGGAGGCATCGCGTAAGGCACACTAGAGATTGTATTGTTAGAATTTCAAGGGTCACCCTGTACAAAGCCGCACTCAATTGCTCTCTAAATATTCACGCCATCAAAGTTTCCATAGACTTCCGTTAGAAAACCCACATTTTACGCTCGTCTGCTCATGTTATGAAATCATTTCGTAACAGTTTCACGAGTTACCTGTAAAAAGCAAAAACATTTTCGTATTTTTCGTGCTGCTTGCCGATCAGCTGGAGACCATTTCGAAGCTGGATGATAGGATTGCTCATCGAAGTGATTTCCAAACATCCTTGACGACCGAGTAAAACCCCGGAAACGATCGAAGCTAAGACGACGATAATTCCGAAAATACTGATTCCGATGAATCGTAAATTTCGCCTCCGCTTCTCCTTTGCCGATATTATTTCTTCTAGCGACTTCTTTTGCTCAATTTTTATTTCATCCTTGACTTCTTCGCTTTCATCAAAAACATCATCGTGCGCATCTGCCAGCTCGCTCAAGCTGCCAAGAGGAGCTTCGTGGCCAGGATTATTTGTTTCCACGGGCGCATCTTCCACCACTTCAATGTGAATGCTGTCAGGGTCCTGCGAATACCCCTCTGGATTATCCTTCAGTGCTTCTTCTAGCTCTGTCTGGACGTCAGGAGGCAGATATGTGTCGTACTGAATACTTGGGTATTCGCCCGTTTCACTGCTCATGGTTCATTATTGATCAGAAAAAAATTATTTCCAAAAATATCAAATTTTCTAAACCAGACCTAGTAACTGTCGGTGTTTTCAAAATTGATCTTCTTTCTGCATCTGAGCTCTTTATCTCTGACGACGAAGAAGGTAATCTTTGCTTCCCATCCTCCTGAACATCCAGAGTGTCGGACAGAGTCATCGACTTTGTTGAAAATTTTTGTTTTACAACTTTATTTCTTTCTCTTTGAATTGATGAATAAGAATCTGGAAAACATGCTCGTTCACATTTTCTTGCTTTACCGAGCTGACATTTGCGCACGCTGCCTTATCTGCGAGTATTTAGAGAAGCTACAAAAATAAAATTCTAAAACGACATGCAAACAAAAATTTATTGCACTCTGATAAAAACCTACCCGTTTTAGGATAAAACTGCTTTTATTTTATTGAGGAAATTGAATTTGATGATTCGTTTTAATAATTTTTCCATCAAGGAATCAAAAAAACGGAGCACCATTGACATGAACCAGGAGCCAACTAGTATTTCCACAATTTTTAAGCCAGTGCTTAAAGATCCCAAACGATCATCATTTCACCGTAAATTACATTTCACAGGATTCATTTTTCTGAGGCCGAAACTCTTGAGCGCCACAAATAAGCAGCATAAAAGAATGTTTTACTCACATTTTTCATCAAAATATGAAATTCATAATTTTAATTAGCCTTTTTTTCTCTCTTGTAGAAGCAAGAAGGAGCGGTTTTTACTTGAAAAGGCGATCTTATTCTTCAGCTAAATTCACTGCAGCTCACAAACGCTTCATCGCTAGAAGACGAGAAGCTCAAAAACTGTGTGGCTTCTGCATGAGCAACAATAGAACGATGATGCCGAGTATTCTAAAACGAAGTTGTGCAAGAGTATTTGACGATGGAAGATGCATGCAGAATTCAAGATTGAAATTGAGACTGTCTCGCTACTGAAAATCGGTCGGCTGCTCCAAAATATTTCTGGGAACATGGTCACTTCATCTTATTTTTAATGCATCGAGTTTATCTTTTTCGATGCTGACGATACAAGATCATCTTGTCTTTAACAATGTCTATTCCCTTTAGCGCCTCGAAAAACCCAAATATAATGTGCTTCTCGTCCCTTTTTTCGTCAATAAAATTTAAAATGAATCTCTTCGCACTTTTTCTACTCCCTGTTTTCTGCGACTCGCTGTCGTTCAACCGTCATAGATTCTTCAAAGGACACAGAGGCTTGATTCAAAAAGTGGAGGAAAACAAGAAAATGTGCGCATTTTGCATGGACTTGTCTACCAAGCTCGGTACGCTCCCGTCGACGATTCAAATCGGCTGCTCGTCGCTCGTTATCGACGGCAAATGCAAAGTCATGAGAATTTGATGTTTGACCTGTACAGTTTTGTGTATTGAAAATGCTGTTGAAATATACAACCAACAAATAATACTGTAGTATGCGTAGTTTGTGGTAATGTTTAAGCAGTAGCAGTAGCAGCAGCGAGTGCATCGACTTGTTGAATGGAGACCCATTGCTGAAAATATATTTTTTCAGATCATTACTCGTCAACTGTTTACCAATGTATTTGGATCTCGGAACCACTTGTCTTTCGTGTTGGGTCTTTCGGTAATTGTTGGTCTGGGTCGGAAAATACCCAAGATTTTTGAGAATCCATCGTTGACATCTTCTTTCATTTCCATCTTTTTCTAATTAAAATATACATAAAAATATGAAGGCCAATTTTAATAAGGAGTAGAAATTTCAAATCCTAAGCCCCCCTTTTTATTGTCTGATTGGAATCCCCATAAAAAGTTACACTAGAAAACATTAGGTAAAGTGACTTAGTCATAGATTATGACGTCATTATCGATGACTAAAGTCCCAGATTTTCTAAACTTTCGGACGCTCTTATTCCTAAAATATTTTTCGGAAAAAAACATTAGATACAGGGTTTTGACCGTCTTAGGCCACTCTACGCAGGCAACCAAAAATGAAAAAAATTTGAGTCGAAAAAATTTTTACATCTCTAGAAAAAATAGTTTTACATTATTGATAAGATTTATTTTTGCAGGCCTGCATAAAGGAGCGTAAGACGATCATTTTTCATCTTCGAGCTCTAATTTTCCTTCAGTAGAATAAAAATGAGAGCGTCCGAAAGTTTTGGGACTTTTGGAACTTCAATCAATGTCTGTGACGTCATCGGACATGACTCAGCATACAAAACTATTTTTTCTGGAATAACTTTTCATGCTCTTTCCAATGAGCTAAAAAAAGGGGGGTTTTTGGTTTTAAGTTTTCAACTTCTTATTGAAATTGGCCGAACAAGAATACTGATACTTTGAGTTTATCGAAAGCAGACAATCCAACTGTAGATTTTGAACGACCCGCTTGTTGGCGTCGCATCAGTTCTTCCACGTCAACTTCTAAAAAACATGTTTCTTGTTAGAAACTATTTGGTAGAATATTGCTTCAATCATTAATTCAAATCAAGCATTAGTGAGAAAGAAAGCATATTATTATTTGAATATTTGATTGTTTTTCCCTCGAATATTCATTTAACTTTTCAAGAAACAAGTTTGTTCCATGATCTCTTCCATGATTTCAAAAACGCGTGCATGTTTAAATCATGGCTGACTAATTGATTATATTTTTATTCTTCAAAATTTGCATGATCAGAGCTTTTTTCGAACCGCTCTGTTGTCCCCGGTAACATCAAAGTTACACATTACTAATATTGATTTTTATCTTTTGAGGGCTTCTTACCAAGACTTCACGGTTACGCCAAGTCTTGATAAGGTTTCTTCTTACGCTGCGATGGCGTATTTCTACATTCTAGACCACGCTAGAATGGAAATAAAGCAGCGATGAAGACTCGAAGGCAGCATTTAGAATTCATCAAATCCTTTTTTTGCGACTTACCAAAGTCGTCGATTTTCACTGATTGAACAGTGCTTTCGGGTGGAGGAGTAATTTCCACGGTTTTAACAGTTTCAACAACAATTTCAGGCTCATGCACGATAACGTCAAGTTCCGAGTCGGACTCGGACGCGGATTCTTGAGAGTTTTCAAGTTTGGATACTTCCTGGCACCTACGTAAAAAGTTTTCTTGCATCGCTGCAAGTTTAGCCTGGCCTTCTTCACTTTCATACACACTAGCGAATGTCCGAACAGGGTTGTTTAAATAAACTTTACATCAAGACTGTTTAATAATCGCTAACCCTGGTCAAAGGTTGACCATCAGCGCCCAAAATCGGCTTTCCATCAGCACCAAGAAGCTCTCCATTAGGTCCTAGAATCGGGAATCCATTTGCATCGAGGAGCTCTCCATTAGGGCCGAGCATAGGTTTTCCATCTGCTCCCATTTTCGCCAGAGCAAGAATGCTGGATAGTTCAACTTCAGGGGGGAATCCAGAGACTGTACTGCATCTTCGTGCTTGAGAGGAAGAATTGGATTCATTTGAGACAGCAGAGACCATTGAACCAGACACTAGCTTGCCATTAACGAATTGAAGGGGTCCTCCGTCTGGTCCTAACAGGGGATTTCCGCTCGAGTCAAGGATCTTTCCATCCACCAAGCGGCATTGTTTGCCATCTGGACCAAGGATTGGATTGCCTTCGTTATCATAAAGCATTCCATTTTCGTCAACATACATTCCGTTCATGAATCTCAGTCGTTTTCCATCACAAGAAAGCATTGGTTTCCCACTAGCATCATAAACAAATCCGTCAGAATCAACTATAATGCCGTCCAGGAGTTTGAGTTCTTTTCCATCGGGAGAAAGCAGAGGCTTACCAAATGCGTCATAGAGATTTCCTTCTGAATCAACGACTATGCCGTCCACTACCTATGACGGGATAATTAGCTTCATATATATTTATAGATTCTACAGCGATCGAGGCATAAAAATTGGCTCTAGTTTCTACTTTCATCTTGATATCCCTATTCTTGAGTGGATGCCCATCTTTTCCTAGAATAACTCTTCCGTCCAATCCTATCAGTTCTCCTTTGTCATTTGAGCAGGGTTTGACAATATATTCCGCCTTTAGTGGTTGCCCATCTTCGCCAAGTTTAACTGATCCATCAGCATTGACAACAGTGCCATCGGACCGAACAAATTGTCCATTTATATATCGAATAGGATTTCCGAATTCATCAAGCATTGGTTTTCCATCAGCGCCAAGGACTACTCCATCTGCGCGGATCGCAAGTCCATCGACAATTTCCAACGCCTCGCCATTTGGCCCCAGCTTCGGCTGTCCATCTGGACCCATAAGTCGCCCCGATGAATCCACAAGAACCCCAGGCTTCACGAATCGAAGCGGTTTTCCATCAGCTCCAAGCACTGGCTTAATAATCTCATAAAATATATTTTCAAAGATATCTTTTTACGTTTCCATTCTCATCAACAATGATACCATCAACAACGCGAATTGGTTTTCCATCCGGACCGAGCATAGGTTTTCCATCAGGGCCGAAAACTTCTCCATTTTCTCCCAGCGAATTTTGTTCGAGCTTCACGAGTCGAGAAAGCTCAGATCTTGCCTTGGCAGCTTTTTTCTCCAGTTCACCTTCTGGATCATCGCACATGATGCTCCCCAATTCCAAGCACTTCGACGGTATCACATAATTTTAAAAAAGATCTTGGCTAGACAGTTCTAAAAGGACCTACCGCAAGAATCGTGCTAATAGCCTGATGCAATAAAAATAACTTAACTTAACTTATAACTTATCTAAGAAATAGAGGTGTTTATGTCCCTAAAAAGCTTAAGAGATGACCGCTTCCTTTGCTATTTTTTCTTTCTGTTCTTCGCTTATATCGGGATCATCTTCGAGGAATTCTTGAATGCCCTTCAAAAAGCAGCGTGCTTCTTGGTAGCTCAGCTCTCCACTTTCATCGACATCATAGATGTCAAAGATTTTGTCGACTTTGTCGCCTAGTTTCTCGAAGCTCTCGCCATAAAAATTCTTTGCCAATCCTAAGGATAAAATTTATCACAAGGATCATTATAGTGAATTTTATCAACGACAAACTTAGGAAGCATATACTGTAATAAACTGTATATTTTACCTCGGACTTCTTCTCTATCAAGTAATCCAGAACCATCAGCATCGATTTCTGCAAAATATGAGAAGATTCCGAGTTTATTATCGCTCATTTTATTCAGTATTCACTTCTCTCTTTTGATTAAAAAAATGCTGGCCCCTCAGAGTCAAAAGTGCGGATCCTCGAATGATCAGGAGAACACTTGCAAAGATAAGGCACCAACTAATAGCTCAATGTCACCACAGTGATAGATTATAGCTAACACCTTCATTAATGGCTAGCCCAGCCCAGCGAACGGCTCAAAAAGCTGACCTCGCGAAAACTGACGAAAGCAAAGTTAAAGGGGATCATAGGTGAACTTCAGAAGTGGAATCTACACATTTCATCAGGGCTTAAATCTAACTATGATTTGCCTATGCTTAGGACTACCTACTAGGGAGTCTTCCTTGATTCCGACAAATTAAAAAATAATAAAATTTTCGGCAAAGATTCGTAGAGCGCATATTTTCGCAAAAATCACAATGCACCCCTTAAAACATCGACATTTCAATAAAAGTTCACCTCGGTCGTGAGTAGACCTGGCGAACACCAGACTCATCCAGGCAGAACAAGTGAGAAAGAGATTCATGCCGCGCGAAGACATGAAATACGTTCATCAAATCATCTCCATCAAAAACTCCGCTCGCACTACCAATTTTCTCGCAATATACGAGCTGTGGAAACGACTACTGTGACTCTGTTTCTTCTGCGAGTATTCTGTAGTCGAGCAAAATATGATGTAGACGCACAGCCGGAAGGAAAACAGAAAGGATCAAGCGAGATCGTAAACCTTTTCTTTATTGTCAACACTGGGGGTGATGGATCTAAAGTGTGAGGATACAGTTCTAAGAGTCAATAGTATTAATCGTTGATTTTCTCTTTTCTCTGACGTTTGCCCATAACAAAAACGTGTTCCTCTCCGATAGCATAGTTTCGGGCAAGCTCATCGCACTCTTCGATTATCTGGTTGTATGTGGACGGGATTATTTTATTCTCGTGGAATTCTAGCGCCTCTGAAAATTGATTCGAAATCAAGGAAGAGAAGATAGCAATCTACCGTCTTCACATTCTTTGAATTTTGTGAAAAACTTATCAAGTACTCCCACATGGTCAGATTGTCCTAAGTCGTGCATGTTTCCAATGGTAAGCTCAAAAAGAAAGCTGCCGATCAAAAATTTTATAACCGTACTTTTGAACGAGCACATTTCAAATCCGGGCTTGAAAGAGAACCATAGTGCACAGCTGCTTTATAGTCTTATAAATGATGCTTGCATATTCAATGAAAGTCCATTAGTTAGATGTCCCTGTCAGGGAATTAGACAGCTTTGGTGAGGATAGAACTTTTATCTGACGAAGAAGTTCAGGATACTCTTGGGCCAGAACTTCTGACGGCAAGATTTTATGAAAATAACAGCTTGAAGGCGAAACACTACTGTCTCTCAGACTGAGACTCTCAGTACACATTAGACCACGAAGATAGACCCTCGATCAATTACCAAATGAGGGTTGAGAACCTGCGGCATGAACTTGTGATGCTAAAATCGGTTGATCGATGGTGAGGAAGTATCACCTTAGGTTGAGTTTATTTTTAGATCTCTCTTTAGAAATACTGCTGAAATATTACTTTTATTTTGATTGATGGAGGTACAAGAGTCTTTCGTAGGAATACGTCAGATTTAGGATCTGAAGATGATAAATAAATATTCTTATGATCAGGGCATTTTGAAAGCTTGTAAAATGTCTCGCCAAAAATAATTCATCGGCTATTCAGTTGAAAGGCGTTATATCGTAAGAAGTTTTTACGAATGCAGCCCAACCCTTTTTTCGGAGCGCTGGCCTTCTCAAACACCAATCAGAACAAATTTCCAGCGCCGCATGACGAAATATTTCACAGATTCTCCGTCGTTTTACGCGCATTTAACTCGTCGTTTCATTGTTTCTATGGAACTCTCGACGGATTCTTCACTTTTGTGCGGCGAATTCTAGTTTGAACCGTGCCCTTGAATTGAATTTACGTCTAACGGACAAAGTTCATCGTGCCCCTCAGATTTTTTGTTTATTTTTCTTTTCTCTTTCTCCGAGGGCGCCGGTATAATAGACGGGGCAGGCAGGAAGCTCTCCTCAAAACTGATCCCGAAGGAATAGAAATTTTGAAATTTAATTTTCCTCTTGGTTACAGTTTTTCTCTAGGCTATTTTAAATACAACAATTATGATTTTTTATAAACTTTGCGTTTTGCTGTTTTCTGTTGAGGCGAGCAGAAGCAGAAGCAAACGAAGAAGCTCCAGAAGAATCCGAAGTACGAGTTTCGATCCAGAGCTGCAGCTCAGTAGAGAATTGAAGAACAGTTTGACAATTTTCCTCGACAGAGAATATGAATTAGGGTAAGCGATGAACAATTTTATCAAAATATTATTCTACCATAAGAACAATTAAAACGAAACCATCATCAGATGAATTCGACTGGCGCTCTATCAACTCGTTGAAAGAATTTCTTTCTGAGAAGGGACGACTTCCAGTCAACGATCTTTTCAACTCGCTGATGATTGGAACTCTTCAAAACTTCATGTACGACCTCAGAATCTACCCCGACGCGAAGCCATGCGGTATCTTTGGCACCAACACAAGGGAGTCGCTACAAAGGTTCTTGATGATGCAAGATTCCGCGAGGAAATCTAAGCACCGCGTTACGCCAGGCTCGAGGTAAAATAAAGCAAAGTTTTAAATCGTCAATTTGCTTTAGATTCGGCTACAATTCGATAGGACTCTTGCAAGACTTCTTGAAGGACGAAGGTTATCTATCACCAAGTTCAGTTTCAGGCGGATGGTCCTCAGCCGTCATCAAAGGTGAGAAAGTACATCAAAGCTTTTCTTACATCAAATTAATGTCTACCTAGACGGCCTTGTTAATTATTCAATTTGACATTGTATCTTTAGCTTTCCGACAGTTCCTCCACGACCAAGACGCGCGGGTTGCGTTCACTCGTGACTTCAACGACAAATATAACTCCAAGCCAGGTAGCTATCCAATGCATTTCGTGTCTCTAAACTTCAATCAAGGTCGATGGGGATACAAGACCACAATCGTTCTGCAACAACTTTTAATCGACAACGGCTACCGCGTCAAACACCTCGACGGCAGAATGAACAAGAGCATAATTCGCTCATTGGAGCAATTTTTAGAACAGAAGAACAAAGTCAAGCAGCATTAGAAATCGACCCATCCCTCTTTACCTGTACTTCACCATTTTTATATTTTGTTTCAAATGTTTTGTCCGTACATGAAAGAATAAATCCTTACTCGTTCCAAAGACAAAATATTTTATTCTTAATTTCATTCGATTTAGCACTTTCTATGCCAAAATGGATATTTTCCAGATCCCCAGTGAGCTAAAACGGTTCGAATATTACTTCTATATCAGCATTAAAAATTACCATAGAGAGGATCTCCTGGACACACAGTTGCATTCTTGTCTCGGTGACCGGCGAACTCGTAGCAGTTCTTGTTCACATAATTCTTTCGCTCTAGCCAGGCAATGAGCTCATCCACAGCATCAAGAGCGTTTTGGTTCGGAAGACGGTTGCTGAAGTTGCCCATGACCGAGAAGCCAATTGTGTTCGAGTTCCAGTTGCTACAGTGAGCTCCTTGTCGCCATTGACCTCGCCCCTGTCTCATAGAATGATCGAAAATGATAGAAAATTTACCTCATAGATGCGACCGTCTTCTCCAATGAGGAACTGGTATCCAATATCGGACCATCCTAAAGAGTCCATGTGATAGTTTTGAGTGCCCTTCATATTGCTGATACAGGAAGCCTTGTCGCTACAGTGAGAACCAGCAGTGTGATGACCAATCAGTCCATGCCGTGCTGGAAGTTGGAAGTTAGTTACACCAGTTGGGCTTCTGGCTTCCCATTCTACTCGAGGGACGAATCTTGCCGACCACTTTTATGAGATGAACGCTGCTTTGAATCTATTTTAGAGCAATTTCAAAACAGTAATGACGCGTTCCTTCTCGCCTTTTTCGTAAGTGGTCTGTCCACTTGCCGAACTGAATGTATAGCTCGTTGACAAATAATAGTGTCCTGCGTAGTCATTCACAACTCCAGAACAGCTGGAGCCAAGGGTCGAGCATCTATTCTTCGCTGAGCTCAATGACGAAAAATCTTCACCACTGATTTTTCCACCCAGCTTGTAACCGTAGTAACGATTGAAATAATCACCTCCAACGTCAACTGGTGGATCTGGATCCTCCTGGAAGAGTAACAACTGCAAAATGAGATCTTCTCTTACCTTTCCGGTGCAGCACTGTCTAGAAGCACCGCCACCGCAAAGACCAGATTGGTAGGTTCCGTTGCAGTAGTTCGTATTGTGCTTACACTCGCCACCAGCTGCTGTGCACCTTATTCAATTTTGAAGGTTGTAAGAAGAAGGGTGAGTCCTCGTTGATTTCAGTTCTCAAAAATTTTAGTCTTACCTCGAATCGCCGGCTGAGTCAAGTTCCTCTTTAGCTTCACAAGTTGGCGAGCAGTAAAGACAGCACTGACGGTTGCTGTCACCATTACAAATATATCTCTCGTAACCAGCGTAACATGTCGTGTATCGATAGTCAGTGCAAGTTCCTCCTTTCGAGGTACACTGCGTATCCGCAAATACAGCACTTGCAAGAGCAATAGAAAGCTTCATTTCAGCTTCAGCTTTCAGAATTCTGTTTCTTTCGTCATAAAAATTGGTTGCAGATTTGACAGAAGGTATCTTCTCAGTGAATATATTAACTTCATCATTTCAGAAATTCAGAACTTTCAAAAAAGAACGACTTAATATTGCTTCTCACCAGTCTTGACAGAACAATAGCCATAATTTACAACGAGGATCATAATTCTACACGCGATTCTTGAATATCGCTCGCAACTATCTTGACATTTCCTAATTTTCATTTTACGAGGTGCCTCTTCTTCTCAAAATCAATATCGCATAGATCTTGGGATAAAATAGACCCCTTTGAAACTGGAATTCATGAATGGATTTACGGGTGAACAACTACTGTTTGACGTCTAGAATTGCTCTGTTAACAAACAGTAAGTCAAAGCTAACGGAAAGATGAGATTTCCGACCTTTTATTTGGACAATAGAAAAGTTACTCTCTGTCTTGGAATTTTTATGAATAAGAACCTTTGTGTGTTTTCATGAGAATCTGTGAACAACCAGATAAGCGATAAGATAAGAGTATTTACCCAACGGGTGATTTCTACTTTTACTGTATTGTTGGTTCAGAACCCAGCAGGGAATTTAAAAAGGTAGGTTAGTAGGATGCATGTCCCGCATTATCTATTTGCATATTTCAAAACGCAGCATCAATTTCACCCAAATTTGGGTTATCAGTGATCTTGGCAGGATACCGCGGGTTGTTTTGTTGCGGTAAAAGGTGGCGACACCTGGCGGGCGGATCGGCTGCGCGCTGAGCTCGGACGCACGATGCGCGTGGCGCCCACGACGCGCGCCGCCCTCCCTATTATCCCGCTACTCGAAGCAGTAACACGTTCGAACGCTGAGGAACCGAATTGAAAATTTTCTCAAATTCGCCCAAAAATTTTGGCCTTCACCCAAGACAATTAACTGAAAACGGAGTCAGATACGCCGCCAAACGAGAGAGTTAATTAAACAGAAGACTTTCCAGAAGAGGATAAACGACAAGATAAAACTAAAAAAGAGAGTTGATGAAAATAAATTTACGAAAATGATGGAAGAAAGAGTCCTCAACGATATATTCACTTCTGTGCGACATGAGATGAAGGTAAATGAGCAAAAAGGATCGCAATTTATCGCATCGTAAAATTCCATTCAATTTCCGACCCGAATCCAATAAAGTTGACAGCCGCGGATAATAATTTACCCGATGTTTTTACAGCCAATCAATGTGATTATTGATAATGTACTAAACTTTCAAATTAGTATCTTTTGAAACCGTTCCAAAAATTTCTATCGTTATTGATCGACGATTCCCGTGAAATTTCGCAGCTAGAATTTTCAGGGGTGAAAGGGATCTCAAACGGTGATCGGTTTTTCCGCTCCGGCCGCGGAAAATGAGAAATTGATGCGAGAAGCACTTGCAAAAGACTTAAAGTGGTTATCGATTTTTAAGGGTTTTGGCCTTGAGCTTTTGTAAACAAGGTTTCGCGCTCTTTATAATTTCCGCGCAAGAGTCAGGAGGACTTATCAACTCCTAAATCCCGTAACTAATAAACACAAAAACTACTTTTCTGTAAATCCGCTCTTTGTTCACTCAAACTTTTTAAAAAGTCGCCGCCTCTGAAAAGCGCCCTTATTTGGCCTCGTCCCATTTTTTATTTTCCCATATCGGAAATCGTCCTCAAAAGCTCGAGCTCATCGCTTCCTACTCAGCCGACTTGAGCAAAGTCTGCGGTTTGTTTGAGCTGATTAAAATCGTCAAACTAAAAATAAGTCCCCTTCTCTTCGCTTCCCACGCTTCAAAATTTTACTTGTGATTTATTTTTAAACCCCACTTGTCGCCCATGAGAGCAACAATCCCGGCTTCATTGTCTAAATCGCCTCTTTTTCGCGAACTTTTAAAAAGTGTAAAATCAACATAAAACTTGAGCAAGTCAAATTTGCCGAAAAGAATCAACAAGTTTATGATTCCACGATTTTTATCTAAATCAAGTCAATAATTGAAAAGCGATTTTCAATCTCTCCTCAGAAAGACTTTGCACTTTTTGATCGAGTTTTCAAAGTGGCCAATTTCTTCGACAAAGGGTTGAAAAAAGAGCTTGCAGGTGCTCTCGCACGGGGATTAGGGCCCATAGCAATAATTGCGCAACATTATGGAAAATTCGCCGATTTCGCGGCAAATTAGGCCTTATCGTCATTTCCAATAGTGAGTCTTTTTTGGTAAGGGGCAACAATTGACAGCTCATTTTGAAAGTTTCCAGCTAAGTATGTGATGAATGCTCAGCGGGAGGCATTTTCGATTTCACCCGACCTTGTCCCGCAGGCCGCCTCAAAAAAGGTCACCTGGCTCCTACCAGGAAAAATTTCCAAAGCGGTGGGTGAAATTCAATTTTGAGGAGCATCTTTGATCCCCGGCAAATTGACTTAGATTTTTCAGATTTTAAAAATTGTTAGACCCTTAGCGAAAGGGGATGTTTATCAACAGAGTAACACCGAGATTCCGGACTAGCTCGGTTTTAATTTTTGAAAAATTCGACAAAGAAGCGAACACGTGACATGTCCACTTGAGTATTCAAGACAATACTTGTCGGGATGGAATTTAGCGGGGCCCATTTCGCGCGTGGACAACATACCATGGAATCGCTTTGTGTCGCTCAAGTTGGACTCGCAAGCACTGGACCTCAAACCATTTATTTGGTAAACTTATTAGTTCCACGGACGGAATTTAGGAAGTTGTTTTGTGTCAACCTCTTTTGATTCTCAAAAAATGTGAACGCTAAGGAAGGTCCTTTCCGCTGACTAGTTATTGACTTTGCCGGATGACTTTCTGAGTCAGATGGTAATTAGCTTCTAAATTGCCTGAGAGATTACATGGCTTTTCCGCTCTGAAAGCATTTGTTTTCATAAAAGAGAGTGAACTATTTATATAATTGCCGGCGGAATTTTAATTTGCAATAGGTCAGTGAATTGTAAAGGGCGGGCGGGAGGGTTTGTTTGGACTTCCTGTGCGACATTTTTAGGACTTTGATTCAAATTTGCGAGGCAGATTGAGAAGTTTATCGAGGGATGAAAGGCATTAGACAATACGGGAAGTGGTGTTCAAAGGGCGCGTATGGGTATTGTCCACTTGAGACCCTTATGTCGACACAAAGAAAGCGAAACCGCCTTATATTCGATAAGGAATAATGCAAAACTCAACCTTTTGATGAGAAATCGATAAGTCTAGACGCGGCTTAAAAATAAAGCAGATGCAGTTTCGGGAGGAACCCAATGATAAGGAGCTGCAGGGCGATTTAGGCGCAAAGAAACAAACTCGTGACACCTCAAACTTGGGTGGATGTTTTGTTGAGGCAGCATGTTCCAATCCATACACCGTGTCTTCTGCGTGGATGCAGCAACCGACCAGCAGACTCTTGTGCATGCATATTTTTCGGGAATTTCTACAACTACCTCTCGATGAATATTTAAGGGTAATCCTATACATCGGCGCGGCGCTGCTCGCTCGATCCGCGCTCCGCCAGAACCTATTTTCACTCGGCCTAAAATCCGAACGGAGTGAGATTTTCAAAATTCAAAAGATTCGTAATCCATAAACCCTTTTCTATTGCTCTAGCAAAAATGAAAAAATCGGCAACGAGGAACCATCTGAAAACCGCCGGTTTCCTTCAAAAGACATTTCCCGCCACATTTCTCATTCAAATTTCACGTAAATCAGATGGTCTTGTAGAGAATCGTCTGCTCTACAATTCCTGTTTCTTAGATTTTGATTCTGTGCTCTCAATAATTTTATATGGTCATTTGAAAAGAGCGCTATTCTTTGTCGCGCCTCTTTGCTTCCTATTTCTCACGGCGCGCTCGCGCAGAAAAGAATGGCACTCTCTTCAAACTATCGTAGAGAATTATTGAGAGCACAAAAAGAAAATCTAAATCAGAGGAATTGTAGAACAGACGATTCTCTACAAGACCATCTAATTTTCGTGAAATTTGAATGAGAAATGTGGCGGGAAATGTCTTTTGAAGGAACCGGCGGTTTTCAGATAGTTCCTCGTTGCCGATTTTTTTCATTTTTGCTAGAGCAATAGAAGAGGGTATATAGATTACGAATCTTTTTAAATTTTGAAAAAATCTCACTCCGTTCGGATTTTAGGGCCGAGTGAAAAATAGGTTCTGGCGGAGCGCGGATCGAGCGAGCAGCGCCGCGCCGATGTATAGGATTACCCTTAAGTTCTCACGGTCGTAACAGGATACTTATTCAATTCCTGTTTAATGATTTGAAGTATGCAAATAGCATTCAGAAAGCTGGCCAAGAGTTTTTGAATTGTTAAGATGGTTTTATGTGCCTTAGGAAGCAATAAACGTTCAAAAAGGTCGAATTTAAGGAACTGCCATTATATTTAAGGTGCACAGACTTGCTTACGCAAACAGGAAACAGCTGCGCCTCATGAATTTTCGTTTATGATTTGGCAAATTTGCTCGAGCTGTGGATGTTTGGTGCGAAACCAAATTTCCGCCAGCAGCGATGTTTAGCTACAAACGCATCCGACGAAATTTATACGCTCGGGCGCGCGCTTCCTCGAGAGGACTCGAAAGGATCAGCCCTACAAAATGGTACTTGTTTGGGGGATATCATTGCTGTCGTCGGCGCATTGTGGCGTCACGTCAAAATCGGATCCGCTCCCGTTTTGCCTCGCTGAACATTTAAATATCTTATTATCACGGCTTTAGCCAGGCACTTTAGATACAACGAATGTTCAAAACAATCATAAAAAGACCACAACCATAAAGATCCAATAAATATTTCATGAAAGTCAGCATTAAATTTTACGAAGCCACTTTTTTCTTTATAAATGCCGTATAAGTAGCTTTCAAGGACCATTACTACCTCTGTCGTCATCTAAAAGAGTCTGCTGAGTTTGACCAATTCTTAGTGACGTGTTAATCGTGGTGTCCGGTCTGTGACCAGAGTCATTGTGCCTTCTGTGTGTATCCTGGAAGCGGAAGGCGATTAATCCCGTCTCGCGTGTCGGTCGACGATGTTGAATTGGAGCAGCTGTGGTCAGTTCAAAATTGATTTGATCTTTTTGAATAAGCGGATTATCCCCTGCTGTCTGTTAATCCGAAACTTCTTGGCCCTGATAACTGGTCTGCCCCCGGGCGAGTGATTTATGGGTTAATTCTTTTAAATCAATGCACTGTGTCCAGAACAGAATTCAGCTGCCCAAAACACAGTCGATGGGCTAATTAGTAGATTGAAGAGAGACTGTAGGTCAATGTCGAGCGTAATCAACCCTCGTGCATCCGTATAATCGATACACAACACACTTCAAATTGAAAAAAGCTAATTGAGCAAAAGAATGGCCAAAAGAAATGTTTCTCTTTCCTCTCTTTTTATGGTAAGCCAGTTCATTAATATTCTAATAACACTGGTCGCTGCTGATTGAAATCGGCCTTTGGAATCAAAATAGAAGGGGCGCCTAAGTCAGTCAATTGCAATTTGGCAAGCGGCCAGAAAGTGCCCTCTGAAGCTACTTTGTGAGCATATTTGTTGAAAATTGCGCCGCACCGAGCGGGTCAGTATTAAGTGCTTCCGCAACAGTCTGCTTCAAAAGCCTTCATTACTCTTCTTTTGGACAGCCTGAAGATTAGATGAAGCGAATGTCCGAGGAAGTACTCTCCGGCCAGATGGCATGATCGATTATTTTTTTTTCAAATTGAACATGACGCGGAGAGTTTTTCAAAATCCTATTTCTCGTTTATAAAGCCTTTAATTTATTGAATTTTACGATTGTCAATTCTAAGACGCAATACACTTCTTTATCTAAAACACAATTTCAGTCCGGGAACGTCATCTGGGAAGAGCTCATCTCATCTGGACTGCGCTACGTCTCAGCCGTCAGGTAAAGCCGCTTAGTAGAATTTAACCTGCCCTTTTAATCATCCCCATATTTTTATCCCGCTCCTTTTGTTAATCAATCAGGCGTTAATTTTCCACAGGCCGATTGCTGTTATTGTGTCCCGTTTTATATCTATCAGAGTCTGTTTTGAGCAATTACGAGATTTCTTAAAATCTGGCCAAAGATGAAACGCGTCTAATTGTTGATCCATTGATTTTTCTTCTGAATAAGAAGCGTTCCGGTTCACGCGTTTCGTGCCGCACTACTTCTTTATTCTTTCATTTTGACAAACCACCCGTGGTAACTGTATATGCGCTTTCACACTTGCCTCATCTTTATGAGCCCCTACAAATACGTAGTCGTTTTTGGTCAAAACAAGTTCAAAATGCGATTATTTTCTACAAGAATCAAACGCGGAAGAAAGTTGTCTTCATTGTTATTACTTCCTTTAACAAAATTACATGCTCAAATCAACATTTTATAGGACGGCAATTGCAGCCCACTCTCAGTTCCTCGAAGTGCTCAACAAAGTCGGAAACTTCTCATCACGCTCTTCGGCTGGAAGGGATGAAGTCGGAGCTTTGTTGTGCCAACTGGTTGACGAACAACGCTGCGCAGATGAGCTCCGAGAAGCCTCAGTCAAGTAAGTCCCGTCTCGTATTTACGATAATAGAACAGATGGTATTTCATCTAAAACGTATTCGCCTCGATAAGTGCTAGATTGAAGCCCTTCCGGGGAGGGCGATTATGGGGCTCAGCGTCTTATCCCCTTAGCTCTCAAGAGTTTTCGAGTTTTAAATCGATATTCATCTATGACTTGTTCTGTATTTATCGATAAATTTCAGACAGCTTGCTGATAGCGTCCTCTCGCCACTTCGTGAACGAGTACAAGAGTGGAACAAGAGCCTCGACTCAAGCTCCTCCTCGAAGCTGAATGGCTCCACAAAATCGCTGTCGAAGGGATCTTCAGAAAACATATTCAATCGGGCAGCAATGACCTTGTCCCGTCGCTCTCGACGTGGATCATCCTCCAAACCCCAAGGACAAAAGGTGAGCATCGTGTACACGTCGATTTGGCATCGACTCTGATTATTATTTCGCACCTGCCAAGTATTCCATCGATGATAGTTTTATGTTGGCAGTGATGTGTGTTTTTGAATACAGTTTGTGCTCCCTGCCCTTGTTTTTGCATTATTTAGTGTGTGGCTGGTGACAGAAAACACGCCTCCATGTAAAACTGTCTTATTCTATTAGCGCAAATATGGATAAATGAAATCCTTTCAGCCATGAAATTGTAGACGATAGAAGTATTGATCAGATATATACAGTTCGTCTGAGCCAGCCAATTAGTTATGAAAACATTCACGCCACGAAGAATTAAGTGTTCAAAAAGCCAATCGCCTTAAAAATTAATTTCAGGATCAGCAGTCCGAATCGCCAATACTCCGCCACGTGAACAAAGATACTGTAGCCAACGCACTGGTGGAACATCGCGCGCGAATGTCTACCTTCGTTCGTTCACTTTCTCCTTATGTTGCCTCGCAAGTTACCTTTGGAGCTCAACTCGCTAAAATGCAGCGATCTGGTGGCAGCCTTGGAACTGTGACGACTGTCAAGTCTTACCAAATTCATAGCTGGCTGGATGAACAAATCGCGATGGCAAATGGAAGTCTAAGAAACGGAAGCCACGCTAGGAAGTCCTCGGTCAGGTTTGTAAAGCACCATAATCATAAAGCCATAAATTGCTCAGTGTTATAAAAGAATCAGAATTGAAAGATCTTTTCAGCTCGATGAATTCAATTAGCAGTTCGAAATCAGACTCAAATTCGTCGGGTAGAACCGAACCGCCTTCTGACTTGCGACAGACACTTTTACGCCAAACTTCTGAGTACCGACTTTCCTCGACATCACACGATTCTGGTTTCACTTCCCAAGCGCTCGACAACGACCTCCCCGAGATGCTCCCGATTGACACCAGCTGCCCAACCAACACGTCGAATTCGCCAACCGCTACATTCGCCGCAAACAGGACAAATTCATGGCGCAACTGGCCTAAACCCGGGCCCTACGATGAGAACAAAAACACATCTCGCAACGCTTCTTGCCCCGGATCACCCACCAAGACAAACTCAACAAATGTTCAAGATCAGTTCAACAACACGCTCCCAGATGGATTTGTCTTGCCGCCGCCACCACCAGAACGTGAGAATAAAAACACTAACCTTAAAAACAAATTACCGTAAAAATGATGGCCTAAGCATGTCTGGCTGGCAGTCTACGTCAAATAAATATTTTACTTTAACGAATATCGTACTCGTAATTTCGATAATCCATCGTCAGATGAGAAATTTTATTAATCCTTCTGTCTGATTTGTTCAGAGACCACCAAGTCTTTCGCAGTGACAACTCTGAATGAACTTGACTTAACTTGTTGTTTCAGTGCTCAGCAGCCAATTCAATGAGCTCCAAGTGAATACAACCGACAACAGCGCGAATAGTGAGCAGGCTCGCAGCATAAGCTCAATGAGCTCCGCACCACTCTCCCCATTCATGGCAAATCCTAGTGGTTTCACAGACGATTATCAACCACCACGTAGAGGTATCACTCATGTTCACATAAATTTACATGCTCCCACCTATTCTGAAAAGCCGATGAATGTAACAAACCGTTTTTAGAAATCACGAATGGCCTGGCAACTATTCGCCGGACTCCATCATCCTCTGCTTCCAGTCCACTACGCCGCGGACTGGTTCCTACTCCTGTCCCAGTTCCGCCCGTTCCTTCCGCCTCGCCACAAGCTTCTCCCAGTATAACTTCCACGCCCAAAAAGGTGCCTCCACCGCCGCCTCCCGCAAGTGCGAAACCAAAGCAACTCGCGCCTCCCCCTTTGACAACTCGTCCTCCTCTTCCAATGCAGAAGCCCAAGCGCAACGGCTCCGTTCTATCATTCAACGGTTTCGGCTAAACGAACCTTTACAACTTATTTTCTGATGACTGTATCTATTTGATTATTATACTGTTTTGAATGCGGTATTAAAAGCCTAAACATAGAATCATTGTATTTTATTTGCATCATATCAGCGAGAACAAAGATGTTATAGCGTCTTTTGGAACCTTTACGTTTCCAATTTGCCTCAGCTTTTCAAGACGATCTTTCTCCGCTTTAATTTTCTTTTGTCTTCTTTGCAGGTCAATCTTTTTGTTAGCTTTTGATCTTGTGGTATCTTCGCGTCTATAATTCGTATGTCGGGTTCCAAACGAGCTTCCCCAAAAACCACGCTGCTGATCAGGGTCTGCGGTTATGTGCGCTGAGACGGAGGCTTTATGATCTTGCATCGGTAGTAACTCGACAAATTCTTTCGTCAATTTTCTTCCGAGAGCTTCAGCTGAGTGCTTGTGCGTTATCATTTGCAGTTCTGGAACTACCTTCGAGTTGATTGAAATTGAAAGAACCACGAGCTCAGCGGGGCGCCAGTCGAGCTCTTCAAGCTCAAACGAGCCGAATCCGCTAGTCGCGCCTTTAAGAACCCCGTGAAAATTTCTGATCGTTTCAGAATGTGGAATTTCGTATTTGAATACAGTATGTTTCCAAATTTCCGGACTAATTTTGTCCCCAGATTTCCGAAAAATGTCCGGAAATTTGGCCTTCCTATGAAAAAATAATGTCCCACCAAGCATCCTTAAAATTTTTCGAAACATGGTCACTTACCCGTGTAGAAGTCGTCTAAGCGCAAAAAAGACGACGACAAAGTGGGTTTGATAGGAGAACTCAAGGATAAACACAAGAAAGTCGATGTATTAAACCTCTTGTACCTTATTTCGAAGAAAAAATATGAGCTACCGTCAATTTTTTTTCTTAATTTGAAAAAAAATTCCGGAAATTTGGGTCATCGTCAATTTGTTAGTGTCCCACTAAAACCCCTTAAAATCTGAAAAGTGTCCGGAAATTTGGACTCCGGAAATTTGGCAACAAACTGTATCAGCCTTCCGTCCCCTATCTCTTCAGAACTCACATAAGACCCTCTTCTTTCTTCAACCGCACTCAAAATTGCTGGAGAGTATTCGACGGGGCTGATAACTGTCAGTAACGAGTAGAGTTCTTGATATTCAGTCACAAATTTTCTCGGAATAAATTCTTCGGCAACTTCGAATTCAAAGATATAGGGATCTTCTGGATCAACCTTTAATTTAATTAGTTATTGCCAATAATTTATTTATGAGAGCGCGAGTAACTTACGAGTGTTCTATTTTGTCGAATCGCGTTGTAATTTTTATCTTTTAAACTTTCGTCGACTCGCGCTCTGAAGGCTGTTGATGGAGAAGTAACGATAACATCCGTTTCAAAATCATCCCTCAGTCGCTGAGAGAAAACTTCCAAATGAAGCTGTCCGAGGAATCCCAAACGCAGCCCTGATCCAAAAGCAGGCGAGGCAGTCCTTGTTGATGTCACCGCAGGGTCGTTGAGGATCAACGAGTCGACTGACTTTTCGAATTCTTTGATTCTGCCTTTGTTGTCAGTATGAGGGAAGAATGAAGCAAATACTGAAGGAGTCGAGTTTTTCAATTGGTTGAATGGTAGGCTCGGGTCTTCCGTTAATTTTGTTCCGGCCCTCTCATCTGTCACAAGAACTTTTCCGGTGACACGAGACTTGGCTTTTAATGTTGAGAAGTAGCCAATTTGTCCAGGAAGTAATCCCTCAGGATCTGGCTGTAAATCCGGAAAGCAGCGTCCGACATCTTTGATACTCATCAAATCAGATTTATCACTGCAGGGGAAGAAACGATCGCCAGGGAGGATAGGAACGCGTCCAATATTTTTACATAGTTGATTCTCCCTTTTCAATATTAAACAAACAAGCAGACATACGATTGATACATGCATTTGGTATAAATTTTTAATTCTGATCCTGAGTGACCGCCGATTGATGCATCAAAACACCAGAGAGCACCCCCACTTACGTCAATTGGCAGTGGAGGAGGTATTCTATTGACAATCTCGTCCAGCACTTCTGTAACACCCATGCCACTTTTTGCAGATATTGAGAGGCATTCTTCAAATTCAATGTCGAACATCTGATTCAACTCCATCATCGTTTTGTCAACATCTGCATGCGGGAGATCCACTTTATTTAACACTGGAATAACGGATAGGCCAAGATCGAACGCGACATAGAAATTTGCCATTGTCTGAGCTCATTTTGGTTTTTAGAAAATAAAACCTCGCAAAGAACTCTATAATCTCACGAACCATTCCTTGGACTCCCTGAGACGCATCCACCACAAGAAGAACGCCTTCACAAGCTGTCAATGATCTCTGCACCTCCCAACTGAAATCAACATGGCCAGGAGTATCAATTAGATTGAGCAAATAGTCTTCTCCGTTCACCGTATGTTTGACCGATGCAACAACTGACTTTACTGTTATGCCTCGCTCGCGCTCAACATCAAGCGTGTCCAGGGTCTGCTTTCGATCAACTTGGTGGCCGCATATCTGCAAGATTCTGTCTGCTAATGTGCTCTTGCCATGGTCTACAAACAATACCCATATAAAAGTACTAGCGTTATTCATACCAACATGAGCGATGATAGAAAAATTGCGGATTTTATCTTTCGGATACTTCCAACTCGATTTACGCAGGACTCTTCCCAAGATATGAGAACATTTGAGCATTCTTATTCAAAATAATCTTTTAGTTTTGCCCTGCAAAATAAAACAAAGAAGACTTGCTATAATTGATTGCATATAGCAAGGTGAAAATTTTTGATAAATAATCTTGTTCAGAGAAGTCAAGAAAGAGCAGTAAAATAGTCAAAGCTTCATGAAATGTGGAGTTATGTGGAGCAAGCCAGGTCAGGAGAGGTATTTTCTAGGCTGTTTTTCAATATTTTGACCTGAATGTTTTTGTGCTAATTTAGAGACAGTATTAAATGCACTGTTGTACTAAAGTGGATTTTTGGAAAAAATGGTCGATAAATTGTTGGCAGTGGAACGGGCAGTAAGGCACTGTTATTTCTGTTTTAGTTTTTTACAGTGAGATGCAAATCTTTCTCCTTTGACTTGAGCAGCCGTCTTTTTCCGAGAACTTTTCTTCTTCACCTAAAAATTTGTGTTTCGAAAGTGCAGAATAAAGTAAAAGATACCTTGGTGTGTTTCTCCGGAGCGTGTTTTTTCGGCGGTGGCGAGGGTTCTTTCTTGAAGTCGTCGTCCTCCGCTGGAATCTCGTCATCTGAGAACTCTTCTTCCGGAAGATACCGCTCGTCGTTTTTCTCTGAAATCAATGGAAATAAAAAGATAAGCATTGTTCGTACCTTGCTTTACGTGGCCATTTTCTTTTTCCATCTTGACCAGAGCTTGCATTCTACGGCTTTTGTCCCCTCTACTCCTCTTGTTCGCCGTCTTTTTCTCAAACTTTTCGCCGTTTTCAAGTCGCTCAGTTCCAATCTCCGCTAAATCTAATTTAATACCCGGTTAGGGTCCGTTAAAAATCCGACACCGTCGCACCAAGAATCCCACCGAAAAAGTTAATTTACCGAATTCAGGCTCTTTGAATGGAGTCAAATCAGGTGGCTCATCTTTTGCAATCTTCTTTTGCATCTTCAAGCTGAATTTTGTTATGAGTTTCAGATAGATTCAAAGTGCGTACCGATTCTTAAACTTCTTGAGAAAGTCGTCTGGAGCGATGTCGCTGGGTATCGTATCCAATGCTTTCTTGCCTTTCGAAAGAACAGCATAGATATGATTAGCTTCCAGTATCTTCTTTTCTGAGAATATCTTTCTTGAATTGTTTGCTTCCTGAAGCTCTCTCGAAACTTGTTTTCCGGCGTACCACATTAGCTAAGAAAAAAGTAGAGTTCAAATACTCGAAGAAAATGATAAAAGTGGTAACCTTCGCACTCACATTTTTGAAGAAGAAATTAGTATATGTATTCTTCTCTGGAATGTCAGCTTCTGATTCCATTTGTACACATTTTGACTGCATTCTTGCACCCATCGTGTGCAAGATATTTCCGCCAAAAACGAGTGAGTCCTTTGTTGTAACAACACAATGAATCCATCCGCCTAAAAAAAGGTTTAGAGAAAGAATTGATGTTAATTTTTAACCTGGAACAAGCATCGTATCGCCTGGATGAAGCTCCATTCTACAAATATCTTCCGAAGGAATCGGATTCTTTTCTTTTTCACACCATTCCAGAAAAGACGTTCTTCGTCTTATCTTGGCATCGTGCGATTCCCAGTCGCGATACTTGTCGAGATTTTCTTCCGTTGGAGCGACAAGGATGAAGAGTTTGCCACCGGAAACAATGTGGTACCAAACAGAAGACCCCGCCATATCAATATGCCAGTCGGTGTACGATCCTTCCGGTCCTTAACAAGAAAATTTAGCTTTCCTTCTTTGATAGTCAAAGTTACCGATCAGGACATATTTTCCCATTTTAGGGGGCGTTTCATATTTTTTAATGGGATCTTTCGGAACCAGACTCTGCCAGGATATTCTCCTGTAAAGCATAGGAATGTCCACATAGTCAGCTAATTTTTCATCGGAAAATTCTATGCTGATAACATTGTAGCGCTTGTTTATCAACTTGTTTTGAAGAAAACGGGCATGAGTTCCATCTTCTCGGACTTCTTTATCTTCAAAGTAATTGTAGTATCTCAGAAGCGTCGTGCGGAATTCCTTCTGTGTTTGGCAGTCGAAATATGATATGGGGTAGTCGTCTCCTAACATTTCTCGAACGTAGTTAATCGTCATTCTTTCTGAGTTTCTGATCTCTGAAAATAAATAGAGTTTCTCTTCCTTGATTTCAGTGATGATTACCCAGTCCGTTTGGCGTGTTCCCGCTCGGATAAAAGATCGGTTCGTCGAATCCATTGTCGTCTAGCCATTCTTTGTTGATGAATCTATCCCCAACACTGAATTTTTCTCTCCCATCCTCGTAGCTTTGGGCTTTCTCTTTTAATTTTTGGACAAACATCTCAGTCCCGCTCTCGATTACTTCAGTTTTGCCGTGGAAGACTTTTCCGTCGTCGCCAACTTTCAAACCGCCATGATAAAAAGGATCTTGAAGTGATGGATAAAGTGGCTTCCTGTAAGTTATTTCCTAATTATAAGGTAGAGATTGAATTCATAAAAAGTAGCTCACCCTAGCAGTGCCATCCATGTCCTCTTCATCTAGGCAGTTGCTGCAAAAGAAAGCATCAAAGTGACTTGTCTCTGCGTCAAAAAAATTTTCGCAGACAGGATGGCACCAGATATTACATCCATCGCACTGAACTGATGGATAACGCTCTCCATCCTCTGGATCATAGTTTGGATCATCTTTGTGGAAGCAGCAGTCTTCTTCCTCGCATTTAAGAGGCTCATCTTCCGATTCCGTCATCTCTGAAAGTCGCTAAAGTTAGATTTTTTAATTTGGGCGGAATGGCAGTAAGAATATTGTTTGAAAAAGAAAGAAGATCACATGATTTCCTGAGATTTCTTCAGCGCTTGTTTCAGGATCCTAATCTGCTCCCGCTTCTTTTCAATATCAGCCTCTGTTTCTGCCATCATCTTATCAATGCTATTTTGCGCAGCGCCGATTTTTTCGAGTGCTTCTCTTTCTCGCTCTGCGAAATCGTGGTTATGCGCGTTGTGAAATTTCTAAAAATTTGATTTGCGCCACGCCGCGTGAAAAAGGGATCATAATTTCAAAATATTGATTTGTCAATAAAAATCACGAACCTGTTTGAATTTTCTCGGGTTATTGAGACAACCTGCGAGTACTGGGCTCGGATTGACGAACACAAGCTCATCGTACCACTCAGAAGCTTGTTGGAAATTTAGCGGATGGAAAAGCTGGATTTGGCGTTCGACGTTGTCGGCAAAGAAGATTTTGATTTCGACGTCGAACTCGCCCCAGCCTGTTTCGCGTACTTCGTAGGGGGGTTTGGTAATTGTTCTGATTGGAACTGCGTAGGAACTAAATTTTCGATGTGAATGCACTCTCCGAGAAGCGTCTTTACTTGTGGAGCTTGAACTGGACTTTCTTAATAAAGACCGACATGTCCTCATTGTCATACGACTTCAAATAGACCGTCCATGCATGAGTATGCCCATCTTCCTCTCTTGCTTTGGGAAACGCCTGGAAATGACTCGTTTTGAACCCTTTTTAAAATCAGTCTGCACCTGAGAAGTGTTGCCGAAAATGATCGGCTTCACTATCACTGTTTTATTTGCCTGCGCGCTCATTTTCTATCTGAATGCATATTGAATGCAAACGAGAAGATGAAAGTATCAAATCTTATTTTTATGAGAGGTATTCAGCTTGAACTGTAGCGGGTACATTACCAGATACAAAATCTGAGTTAATTTGTGTAATACTGAAGGCAGCCAGCGAAAAGTGACGAAACTAATCGGATATTAATTTGATAAACGAGTAGTTTCGCCAATTGACGAAAGGCGAAATACTGCTGGATAGAAGAGAAAATGTACAGGAAAGTTTGAGAGGAAGAATAAGGAAAATAATAATTTGAAGAAATAGATCAATTAAGGAATTTATCTTTGAATACGTAGAATGCATTAGAGGTGAACTTCTTTTTCTACGTTGACTTGATTTAACCAAGAGTCGAATGGGTCGCATTTTTGAAGGTAAAAGGATTTTAAAATTGGCGTAGAAACGTTGTAAATCAGCTGAACCAGCTTCGCTTGATTCCGAATATCGAGGTCGAGTTTTCAGCTAAATAATTTAAGGGGGTCGACGAGAATCGGGAATTCCGTGACCAAAAATGCGGGAAAACCGGATTAGATGGGGAAAATCTGAGTATACTGGTGGATAGAAAAGGGTTGAAAAATCAGGCGGCGAAAACTAGAAAAAATTTTCGCCAGAAAAAATCGGTCAAAAATCCCCTCAAAGTAGGGGCATTTTCGCGAAAATGCACCAAAAATGGCCATTCTTTTTACATTTTTCATAATTTCACCCCCTAAATCTCATTTTTATCAAATGTTTTTAGGCTTAACGGATTCGGGAGGATCTGACAATTCCAAAAATATAAGTTTCATAGTCAGACTATGTGTACAAGAGAAATTACGATCACCCCTGAAAAAATTCTCGTCGACCCCCCCCCTTAAGAACTCGTTTTTTCTTCTCAAAAATACCTTGCTTGAGCTTTTCTTGTTCCATTAGGTTCTTCTGCATCTGAACCGCATGTCGCTCTCGCTGATCATCGATCTCTTGTTCTAGTTCGCCCATTTCTTCTTCAATGATGGCCTTGTCCTGAACTAGCTGCACGCATTTCTGAATAAGCGTCTCCTCCGAGTTACGGTCTTCTTCTGTCTTTTCGTACTCGTGCTTGAGACTGAGGACTCGACATTGCCGCTGGACATCAAGATATTCGAGTTCTAGCTTTGCTCTCTTTCTTTGAAGGCCGATAAGTGATCCGCTCTTCAGCAGATCGTCTCGTTTTTGAACAAGAGCAAGCCATTCACCTTAGTTTTGTTAGAAAAAGTAAAGTTTTCTTATAATTTACCTGTTAGCTCGGCCTCTTTCCGCTGATCTTGTTTCATCGCGAGACGAAGATCTGTTTCTACTACTTTCGCTCGATCATCAACTGGAAATCGCCAGTTATAAAACTTACAGATGTACAAAGTTACCTTCATCTTGCTCGTCTAAAATTTGAGCCTCTCTTTCCGTGAGCTGTTGTAGAATCATCATAAATTTCTAAATATAATTTTAATAAAAGCAAATTCCCCTTCGTCTTACCTCTTCGTTTTGTTTATGGATGAGATCTTCTTGTTTCATCATCTCCGCCCTTTTTGCTTCTCATTTTCGTCAACCATTTCTATCGACGATTCACCGTCACTTTCATCCATCACATTTCCGGATTCATCAATCTTGACTGCTATTCGCTCAAGATCGCCGTCGGAAGAATCAGCATCGTTGGCCGATGAGCTCGGACGAACATCAATTGCTTGGTCGGAGCTTGTATTGGAGAAATTTTCGGACTTGATTGATGATACATCTACTTCCGTAGCATCTTTCAATCGCGATAGAAGATCTTCAGCTTGAGAGGCTGGAGCGAGGGCTCGGATTGGACGGGGTGGAGACGAATTCTCTTCCTTGATTTCATTATGGACTGGTTCATCGTCGAAAGGATTTTTACCGCTTTCTTCATCTCTTTGGTCTTCATCGAAGGGATTGGAGGACGAAAATTTTTCTTCCACTTCAAAAGGATTTGAAGGCTCGCCTTCTTCTTTCTCGAAAGGATTGGTGCTTTCTGTAATATTTTGACTTTTTGAAGAATGAATTTTGCTGGAGGTATCTTCTGTTTTTTCCTGGTCGATAAATTTGTTCACTTCTGGCGCGTCATGGATGCTTCTTCTACGTTCGGAAGAGCTTATAAATGCTTCGATAGATTCTTCAATGCTTTCTACTTGGGTAGGTTCGAGTATTAGTTTCGCAGGGGTGATAACTGGAACGGTTTTCTCGTCAAAATAAGTATCAATGGAGTCTTCGATAGACGGTTCTCCGACAGGTTCTGGGACAAAGGGTGGAGAAACATTGTCAATAGCAGCTTCGATAGAGTCCTCTATGGTTTCCTCCTCATTTAACTCTGGAATAAACGGCGGAACATCAGGAGCAATCTTTTCAATCGGAGAGGGGTTAGCCGAGTTTGCCATGGTTTCTTCCTCAATTTCATCAGGGATCGGTAATACACTGGGGGATATACGCTGATCACTAATTGTATCCGTAGAATTTTCTTCTGACTTCGGATTCTTATTGTTATCGAAAACAGGGGTAACGTCGTCAATCAACGTTTGAGAAGTTTCAGATATAGAAACCTTTTCTATTTTTGATTGAAATGAGTCTTCATGGATCGTCGCTTTTGAATCATTTAATCCATTAAATGCTTCTTCCGATTCAAGAGAAGCTAATCGTTCCATCTCTTCAAATTCTTTATCGGATCCCGATAATGAGATATTGTCGTCTGGTTTAGGTTCTTCTGACTTGAGTAAATCTTTTGAAAAGTCTAATGCTTTGGTAAACTCCGATAAGTCGAATTCCGGAGTAAGGACTTCGTTATCAAGCGTTTCTTCATCTTTCAGAAGATCGATAAAGTTTATACCAAGGTTCTTATCTTAAATTCCAATCGATACTTTTCCTATGATACTAAGATTCGGCATATTATCGTCTATCTCGTCGTCAGATTCTTCTATAAGCGTTGACATCCTCTCACGGTGCATCAATTCTATCATCGTTAGCGGAAGCGTCTCTTCCTAAAATAATAGTAATTTATATTCAACATTTGCGCGCACCTTTTTGACTTCATCAAATTCATCTTCCTGAAGCTCTTGTTCTAGGGACAAAAACTCGTCTAGCGAGTTCCGATTTCCAGAATTACCGACAAGATCATCCTTTGGTCGACGAGTAACATTTTCATCTGCCCAAGGATCTTTTTCGTCTTCCAAACTTGAACTTGAGCTTTTTCGATTTGGACTTGAGATTCCAGACAAGGCAACTGTGTGAGTTTCTACTTCCAGCTGTTCTTCTGGCGGAACTGGCGGTCCAGGGAGTGTTTCTGTCTCGCACGTGTTTGCCTCAGAATCACTTTCATTGTGTCCACATGACTTTGACTCTTCTGGAGCAGAAGGATGGAGAATCTCCTCGATGAGCTCTTCTGATTTCAACATTCGCTCCTTCTCGTATTCTATTTCTTTTGAGATTTCAGCCTTTTGTTCGACTTTTTTAATTTCCGTTTCAAAAGCTTCTTCCTCGTCTTCTTCCCCCTCATCTTCGCTCGATGAGAACTCCCCAAGGTCATCAAGTATATTATCGACTGCTTCTGAGTACATATCCGGTACTTCTTCGAGTCTTCTCATTTCTTCCATCAGCGTTTCAATTCGAAACACCGATAGACTCGACCAAACAGTATTGCTGTCAAACATAAGCGACCTCACTGTTTCAGTATCGACATCTCTTCTGGTTGGCTTCTCGCGAAGCTTTGCTGATTTGGGACTGTCAAACTTGGTCTTTATCATGTGAAGAGCGGTGATTACGGCAAGTTTATCGGGCTTTGTTGCCATTTCGTTGATATTGATAACGCCATAAAGATCTTTTACCGGGATGGAAAAATTTGCTCATTATCACGAGCTTGGAAAGAATCTACATTCAGCAGGAATAACGAGAACAAATATTAATCACTGGGATTAAAAGGAGCAGATGGATCCCAAATGTTAATATCTACGGAAATCATGAGTGAGCCTTCGATGTAAAAGAATATTTTCCACCCGACCTAAGCCAGCCTTCTTATACGCCGCAAGAACGGTCTTGAGATTTCCTTTAGCGAGCCGGGGATCGAGCTGGTGGAGCTCAATATTTTCCGGTGAATATTTTTTCAATATGACGCCAAGTGCAATTCCGGAGCGGAAACTAGATGTAAGATTTGTCACGTTCACCATCACGGAATATTTTGTCGCCTCACGAGCCCATGAGAGCAATTCCTAAAGAACAGGAGAATACGAGGCTCTGAACGCAGATAGAAATCATACCTGGGCGTTTCCTCCGACAGTTTCCTCTTCTTCCTCGTCACCATGAAGTCTGTCTATGGTGTTGACAACTTCAAGTCTGCTGGGACGCAGCTTGCGGCTAGGAAAATTTGAGTAGACGTGAAATTTAATGGAATCAATGCTTGGACTTTTCTTCTTCCATCGTTTCAGATTCTGGTATATGAAGGAATTTTCTAATACCTCGTCGGTGGAGTCTTCGCAGCGGGTCTGGGCTCTGGCGTGGAAGATGGAACGATTCTCGTTGATTTTTCTAGCGTTCCACTTCTATTCAAAGTTCCATTGCGAGACGCATGAGAGCTGGATGACTTTATCGAGAGCTCGTCGTAGTCATCCTGTAGTAAAGCGTTCATACCAGCTGTTAGGTTCTGAAAACATTGATTGATTGGGGCTTATTCTGATATCAGTCACCTTGAGTTCTGATAAATGAGAAGCGTTGAATCCAGATGAGACGTCAGAGATAGAATCACTTGAAAAGCGGGCTAGTTAGGCTTTCTGATGTTATTCTTTACCTGAAATCATCGAGATTTCCAATATCAAGTGTATTCGTAGTCAATAAAGAAGCTAATGACTGCATATCATCATCTGTCGCATGGCCAGAGCGGAGAAGAACTCCTGCCATTTGAAATGAAAGCTTGACGGCTTCGACACGCCCTAAATCGATGAAGCGGTATTTCTAACTAGCAATACCTTTGAAGGGCTTGAATTCAATATCTGTAAATTCATGGAAGATTTTATCATCGAGTTCTTCCGCGACAAGTTTACTAAGATCAATTTTCGTTTGAGCAAGGGCCTTTCTTTGGCCCGTCTTGGTAACTTCTTCAAGGAGAAACGACCATTGCTTGACTTCATATGTTTCCTGGATTAATTTGTTTCAGAAGCAGTCGTTATTTGAACACTTACATTATTTAGCGCAGTGCGGGAATTGAAAGTGGTCTCGAATTCAATCGGTTCAAGGTTGTTTGGAATGATAAGAGCAGCGTTATTTGGTTTTGTTGGGTCTGTCACATGCCAACTCGCGGGCTAACAATAAGATGAAGGCTTCGGGTAAGGCTTTCTGGTGTACCTGGGATCTACAGTTTCTTTTCTTTCTCGTTACGAGAAGACTGAGCCTATGCGGTGGGCGTTTGTTCGATCTACCTTTGAGTTTGAATGTGCCCGAATTTAGAACAATTTGAAATCTCCATCTCGCTGCCTTTCGGCCCTGGAGCCGTACCCGAGCCCAGAGGCTACCCCCATCGGGCATCTGAACGTATTCGATCATTAGAGAAGTTAACGGAGAAAGTTGTATGTTTATCATTCAATATTTCGTTCTGTAAGCTCAAGGGCTCGCAAACTACCAAAAAACCTTTGTACAGTAAGTAGAGGAAAATTCAAGTGGTAATCACAAAGCCCGAACAGGTCAGTACTTGTTTCTTTCTGCATTCAACCTTTCTATGTGTACAGTCTTATACTTCCGTCGACGCCAGCACCAAAGACCCAAGGATGATTTGGATGGAACTCAACATCCATGACTCCAAAATTCTTCGTCGTTTTGATTCCCTTGAGCACTTTTACGGGCACAATCAGCGGGTCCGAGCTCAAATCATTGTAAACACGACCATGAGAGACAATGATAGTTCCATCATCAGAGCCAGAGGCGAAAAGTGGATATCTGTTGTGGAATTTACAGGCGCGAATCGCTTTCTTGTGGTATCGAAGTGTCTTGAATGGCTTCTGGGATAAATCTGAAATGAATCTCTTTAGTTTGATTTCTTCTCTTGTTTGAAATTAGATTCGAAACGAGATGCCTGCTACAACAAATTTAAAAAGGCGTTAAATTGATGAAATAGGCCTAACGGGCATCTCAGGGGGATCAAATTACCGTACTAGCGTCGGATCAGGTCCAATCATTAGAATTTATCGATAGATACATAAGCTAATCATAAAATTTTCTATCAAGGAATATCTTTTAAAAGCTCTATTTACTGACGTAAAAAGGGAAAGTGTTTGCCGTCATAAATTGCTAAAGACTATGTGACATAGTCTATGTCGATCAAGTATTGAATTTCCAATGTAAAAGCGTGTCCTTACCTAAATCGATCCAGGCAAGTCTTGTCGAAAAGTCCCCAACGAGCACGTGATCACCTGTCTTGTGAACTGCAATACTCGATACCCACTAAAATCAGCGATGAAAAAACGCTTTCTCTTTCGCATTGATTTGATACCTTGACGTTAGGCTCGAGTTTTCTCTGCATTTCCTGTTTCGCCAGATTCCAAACTTTGACATATCGCTGCGTGGCTAAATAAAACAGTGGCCTGGTCGGGTGGAAGGTGATCTTTTGGAAGACGTTTTTCTGAGCGCTTGTGAAGGGAAGCTGTGTCTTGCGAGTAGAGAGTTGATGTAAGTAAACTGTCGTTTTTGCGTTCGTTCCAGCGACACAGGCGAAATAGTCACCCTTCGAATGCCAGGCGACGTCCCTGACCTCAGCCAAGTGATCGATTACTAATTTAGCACCGACCACAGCGCTCGAAGACCAGCTCAACCTTTATTAAAATCGAGTTTTAATCGGATGAAATATTCAAATCGAGTCCCACCTTGAGCGGTACTCATCTGGCTCCTCCCAGCTGTCAATAAGATCATTTGTAGCATCAACAATTCGTTTGTCGCCAATTTGAGGATTCACCACTGCCACTTTATTTCCAAATCCAATAATAAGGAGGCAAAGATTCGGATTGGGAGACCAGGCGATTTTCAGGCATTTTTCATTTTCTGACAATTTGATTAATCTAAGACAGCGTCCAGAGGTGATCTCCCAAACTCGAGCAGTTCCATCGTCGCCACACGAGGCCAAAAATTGTCCGGAAGGATGAGCAGAGATTGATCGAACCATGCCCACATGACCTTTGTATGTAAGAGCCTACACTTTGATCATAAATAGAGTTGAGATAATCAAACTCAACCTGGAATGTCGGAAAAGGCTGAAGATCTTTTGGTGATGGCAGTTTTGGGATGAGATCTTCCTTCTTCACATTCATTTTCATCTTTCTCTGTCTCGGCGCAAGATACAGGTCCAAACATCGCTCAAAACGTTCTGCGAAAGAGTTAACATAAAGAATCGCTGAGGCTGACATCCTGACCTTTATAGAAATCCGCGTAAGCCGGCACTGTTCGCAAGTTAGCAAAGTTTTTAGGCAGCCAAGATTGTTTCCTGTCCTCAGGATCTTCGGCCTCCCAAGCCAGCTGTTCACTTTCATCGAAGATGAACTCAGGAGCCGGTCGATAACTGAATGACGCGTTTTAAGAAGTGGTGCTTACGTTCGTGGAAAAATACCTCTCCGCATGTCCCGGCAGAGGCAACTTTGGCGCCGGGAAGGCCATTTTTTCCCTGGCAATCTGCGATCTGGACTTCTCCTGTTCCTCCTGTGAGCTCCAGACATTGTAATACTTTGGCTTTGCCTTTTCTTTCGCCTCCCTTTCGCGCTCAGCTTTTGTTTTGATGATGCCTCGGCGGATCAGCAAAGCGAGTTTGTTAACCTTAACATTTTATTAAACCTAAAGCCCTGTAACTTGGCACCGCGGGGGCGCAAACACAGAAGAAATAAAAGGAGAGGGATTCAAATGGAACGAAATGGAATACCTTGTTTCTTTCATCTTTTGACGGGACAAACGAAGCTTTGGACTCTGGAGCCCGGTTGATTGGCATTTCCTCAACCTCATGAGAATATAAGTCTTGAGAGTGCTCATTATAAAATTCAAATACAACATGTTCCAAGCTGAGCTCTTGAATCATAAACTAATTTACATGAATTCAGCGGCTGAAATAAAAAATCGAGAATCGGAGAAGAAGAAGAATCTGAGCACTATTTCCTATCCACTCGGGCGTATCGTCGACTTGCGAAGCATAGGATCCTTTTGTTAATCTCTTGATAAAATCAACTTCTTCGGGGGTAAGTTTGTGCTCTCTTAAAATAACCATCAGATAAAACACTTTTAAACGGGAATAACCGTAAAGTGCTTCGATCGGTAATTGTTCGCCAATAATCTGGGTCTTCGCAGCGCGCGAGGAAATCGTCGATTTCATCCTTGTTTTTAATCGGTTTTGCAATTTTCTTTCCGTCTAAGTCGTAGCCGATGTGTGGCAAATGGTCGTACCTTCAGAAAACAAATTCCAAATCGCATTATTTACTTCACTATTTACCATTCGATTGGCACATTGCCAATTGTGTTTTTTCTGTCTTCCTCGTCAGAAGTATCTCCGTCTTCGAACTCGTCTTTTTTCTCTCTCTCCTCGTCCGAGTCCTCCAGCGAATCGACGTCGCTATCCTCGTCATCTTCACTACTGTAAAAAAATGTAAAAAAACGGGGGATTATTATAATTTATTCAGATTTTTTGCTCGACAGATTGTTTCAATTAAACATTAATAAGCTTTGATAAAATCGCCTCTTATGAATAACGAATGATCTTTTTTTCAAAAATTCTCTTGGGGACGAAATATAATAAAATTATAAGTAGTAGTATGATAAAGTTGAACTTGTCCGCTGACCAATAAAGGAAAAAGGGCGAATCATAAAAATCACTCTCTAAAAAAGCTAATCACGCACCTTTCATCGTTTTCGTCCTCGTAAAGCTCTTCGATCTCGTCGATTACGTCATCATCCTTGTCCTTGAGGACGCCATCCTTTAAATCCTCTAATTCGCCTTTTGAGATTTTCTCGAGTTTTCGCTTTGTGGCCCCTTCGATCATCCTTCCACGAATCTTAATGAAAGGATAAAATTAAAAGGGATTCATCAGTTGAGTGAGGAATTTGAAGAAATCCAAGCAGATGGGATGAGAGTTACAGAAGAGCGATCAAAAGTGGCTTTCATATGAAGCGCTTTATGTGCCCCAAGTTGTGAGGCAGGAAGTGTCTCCTCGCAAAACGGACATTTTGCTATTTTTATTCTGAGAGAGGATATAATTTTAGATATGATCAGCGGTCGGAGGTAATTTTTACGTCGATTTCATCAATAATAATTAATTATATTTTAGAAAGTCTGTTCAACAGACTGTGATGAACAAATTCTCTTAGAGATTCTCTTAGGTATAATTGTATAGCAATTGTCTGAGAGGAAAATTCTCATCCAGAAAGAAACTGTAAATATAAATTTTTATCCATATTCTTGATTTTACTCTTGGTTTTCCACCTTCTGCGGTCTGTTCTTGAAAAGTAAGACTTGCACCTAATCCAATCCAGAACTGTTTTTCGAAATGATGATAGTTTTTTAAATGGTCGACAAGTATTTTCCTCGTTGATGCCGAGAAAAAGCAAAATTTACAGATAAAGGGCGTCCCGTCTTTCGGTACCAGCTTGAGCGCGGTTAAATGAGGTTGAGATAGGCTCTTGTCGTCTTTTGTTTCTAAACTTCGGTTGGATTTTTATTTGTCAGCGGCTTTTACTATGATCTTTAGCAAGGCTGACTACTTTTACTCTTGTAAGCAGAATCTAAGCTTTAGCTTGTTATAACAACCCGGTCCTATCAAGGCTCTTTGCGATAACATCTTGAACAGTGTGCGACTCGGTGTGAGGTTGAAATTTGGACTCTTTGATGAAGCGCTTCAAACAAATGGGACAGGAAAACATTCGACCTGAACCTCGGGCCATCTTCCCTACTTCTTCGATGCTTTTGGCAAGAAGAGAGTGCATGTTTTTAATGTGTTCTTCTAGCTCAACTTGAAAATCACAGTCATAGCGAATAGCAAAAAGAGCTATTTTTACCAGTACTGAACGCTTGAAAGTGACAGAGTGTGCAGAAAACTCGCTGGAATCGAGTTTGGACGGTTGGATGAACTGGCTCCTCTTCTCTTACTCGTTTCTCTGGGCTTGGAATGCCTTCCTTTTGAGTACATTCGATTTGAACCTCTTTGTCTGGATGTAGGCTTCGGAAATGCAAGATACCGTCGGAGCTGGATCCAAGAGGAACATTGCAGATCTTGCACTACAGAAAACAGTCAATTTTCTCTTCCGGAAAATATAGAAGTAGATCTCACCTCGTATTGAAGCTCTGACTGGGGGGAAAAGCTCCTAATAGGCGCACAATCCCTCCTCCGTTTTTTGGTTGGCGAGGTGGTGTTAGATTTTACAAAATTTTGTTTCGGCAAGATACGAATTGGAATCAGCGTTTCATTCCCCATTTTGATTTCCATCTGAGAGGTTCAAAACAGTAAGTTACTAGCTCATGAATGAATTTCAACTCGTTTACATGCGATAATGAACAAAACAGAAATATTTGAATCTTGGTCAGTTGTTTAGTTATTTTTGCTTTGGTTTTTGATAAGTTTGAACTTGTTATGTAAAGTAAATGGAATAAAAACGGATAACGAGGGGACAGCTGGACCACTTTTCAAGAGAGAAACGTTGATTTTTTTTCAAGTTTTACCACGAATGTACATTGAATGAAATTTTATTATGAAGAAATTCAGGAATTCTCTTTTCTAAAAAATATCTTTTTCGAATGAAAATTTGGAACGGCGCTAGATCTTGATAGAAATTGCAGAGATTGTAGACCGAGCCGTTTTACAAGTACTTTGTTGTTACTAAAATAAAAGGGAGTGGCGAGGACTGGGAGTTCAGTGAAATGTGACTGTAAGTGTGAATGTGTAAAACGCTAATACAAAGTGTTTATAAAGTTTTTCTGTGAAGAGCTCGGGCGCCTTCACTTTCCCACTCTTTCTTGGTCACCCAAATTCTTTTGAAGTTGTCCAGCGATGCTAGAATCGAGCCACCAATCCAAGTCGCGTAAAGTCGCTCTTGAGGAGCCGAGATTCGGATTTTCGTGTCCTTTGGCGATGGTCGCCGTAATTCCGAAAGAAGCCGATCGCCAAGTCCTACTCAAACATCACGAAAGAGATTCTTTGCACCTAAAACGTACCTCTGAATAAAGTCGAACCACCGGATAGAACAATATTTTGGTAAAGGGTTTTTCTGAGATCAAGGTCAGACTTTCTGATAGAGTTGTATAACAAATCATGAACTCCAAGTTCTTCCGAGCCAATCACTAGAATTTCGAGTAAAAAACGCGGAAAGAAAGCCAGATTTACATTCTGGATTGAAGAGAATCTCTGGTGCCTTAAATTTCGAGCTGCCGATTTGAATTTTTTCGCCGTCTGGAAGTTGATATTCGCGATTTTGATCCTCAGTTTCTTCTTTTCCCAGCAGAGAAATAACACATGCTTTTTCTAATAAAAACATAATACAAAGCTGATTCAGTTATAAAACCTTTGATCTGACGAACAACTTCCATTTCTGACGATGTAATGAATTTATGGCCTTCTTTCCTCAATAAAAGCTAGAAATAAACCTCAAAAAAGAAGAAAAAAAAGTTGGATTACCTGCAAATGACGAGTGATATCGCGACCGGCAATGTCGCTTCTAGTGATTGAGTGCTTGAGAGCGAATCCTTCATAAATTGGCACAGAATGAGAAACACCATCTCCGATGTCGAGGACGACACCAGTCGTTCGTCCGGAAGAGTAAAGTGATAGAACTGCTTGTACTGAAACGTAGAGAGCGGGGACGTTGAATGATTCGAAGAAGATCTCAGCCATTTTTTCCCTGAAAGATTTCATTTTGAAGCAAGAACAGCAGAAATCGTTTTTGCCTGTTTTTGTAAGGATTAAGAGGCGCCTCTGTTAGTAAAACAGGATGCTCTTCTTTAAACGTAGCGAGCTGCCCCTTGCCATAAATGTGTTGCCAAATGCGCTCCATATCTCCCCAATCGGTGATGATTAGGCTTACCGGACTAAATTTCGACCCTTATTTCTAGCTGAGTTGGGTGGTCATATGACACAGTTTTAGAAAGCTTACCTTCTGGGCTTTCATTTGGGCACAAATTCAAGAGGTCTAGGTCATGCCCGCAAGGCAATTCATGGGACCTGAAGTCCCAAAATAGGTATAACAATCCTTCAAACTATTTTTTCGATGGCCGTCCGGGCTCGAGAGTAGTCAGGAGTCATATATTTAGAAAGCTCAGGCTCTGAGCTTTCAGTAGAGCTCAAGAAATCTTAGTGCCAAGAGGTTTGATTCCACCTGGAGGCGCTAGAAGTTGGCGGTAAAAATCCGGAAATGCCGGAAAACTGGGTTTTTGAGTTCTAAACTCTACAATTATATGTATAAAACATATATAAACAATTATTAACACATTAAAAATTTTAACCGAGGTCAAACCGGGTGGTCAACCGGTTGGTTCATAGTGGGCCATATTTCCATGTTTTTGAAGGTTTCTAGAGTTGAACCGCCCGGTTCGACCGCGGTTCAACTTTTTAATGCATTAATTATTGTTTATAAATGTTTATACATATAATTGTAGAGTTTAGAACTCGAAAACCGAGTTTTCCGGCATTTCCGGATTTTTACCGCCAACTTCTAGCGCCTCCAGGTGGACACAAACCACTTGGCACTAAGATTTCTTTAGCTCTACTGAAAGCTCAGAGCCTGAGCTTTCTAAATATATGACTCTTGACTACTCTCAAGCCCGGACCGCCATCGAAAAATAGTTTGAAGGATTTTTGTACCTATTTTGGGACTTCAGGTCCCATAAATTGCCTTGCGGGCATGACCCAGACCCCTTGAATTTGTGCCCAAATGAAAGCCCAGAAGCTAGGATTTCTAAAACTGTGTCATATGACCACCCAACTCAGCTAGAAATATGGGTCGAAATTTAGTCCGGTAAGCCTAGTGATGATCCCATGTTCCATTGGATATTTAATAGCCATCAGCCCTCTGAATCACCTGATCAGCCAAAAATCTCCTTCGGCGGAGATGCTACCTGTGATCCTCGGCGGTTGAGCCGATAAAATTGTCACCCTCGATTGCGCCCTGCATGATTCGCGTGTGTTTCGGGCGAGCGACGTAATTTCGGAAGTTACATTTTGGCACCTCGTCTCCGGCAAATCCAGCCTAAGAATTTACGTTGAAGGAAATAACCTTTTTCTATTCCAGGGTGGATTCGTCGAGTTTAGACTAGAACAGTGACATAAATCTGTGCGTCGATTGCTACGGTCCCTTTGACTCATTTTTAACCGTGGTAAAGAACGTAACCGTAGCAATTGACGCAAACCCCCAAAACCGTAGAAAATGACGCGCACTCGACAAAAAATACCTTGATCATTCCAGAGCCATTATCAATAACAATCGGCTGATTTGCTATGACGCTATACGAATCCATTCTAGCTGACAATGTTCAACTGATGAATTAACCTCCAATGAAACCGCCAAACCCGAAATTCACCCCCCGCCGCCAAATGTGCCATATATGGCACATTGCAGTGTATTCTATGTGCCAAATATGGCACATGTGTCGAAAAGCCGGCTGTAGATGTAGAAAAAATAAAATTTTATGCCAACATTACAAATGTAAGACATTTGACATTATATGACATCAAATGACATCTTATTGATCTCGGCAATGTTAATGTTCCTCTTATAAGGGAGAATTTCTTACAATGCATTTTCGGCGAAAAAAAGTCCCACCGCCGCCAAATGTGCCATATTTGGCACATCGCAATACATTCTTGTGCCATATATGGCACACGAGTAGCGAAGCTAAATTCGCTATTCTGACGAATTTGTAGCGAAGCTAACCAAACCAAAGGTCTACCACGTGAAAGTTGAGCGAAAAGTAGGGGTATAAAGGGGGGTCGGCGAAACTTCTACTCCAAGTTAAAAATAAGTTACAGGCGTTTTTAAATCTCGGTGCCATATATGGCACACTTGGCGGCGTAAGGTTAACAACAAAACTTATAACTTGAGAAAATGGTTTAATTTTCAGGGCAGTTTTAAATTCTTTAAAATGACAGGTACAAAAAAATTAATTTTCACAGGAATCAGCTTCAACATGATCAGGTACAATTCTATCTTCCATCCCACTGGACATAATTTGATCCTTGCTGAGGGATATTTCTTCTATCGTGGCCTCTATCGTGATGCTCTCGTTTAACAAACTATCCTTGGTTTTTCAAAGTGCAAGTGGACAAACTGAATCAAAATTTAGACAGAAAATGATCAGTTTAAAGAAATCATTTTGAATAACCGTGCCTGATGGTGATTATGATGACCTCCTCTGAAGCCACCTCTTCCTCGTCCTCCATGATTATATCCACCTCTATGGCCTTGCATGTGAGGATTGTACGGATGAAGCTCCTGTCGAAATCTTTGCTGACTAAAACTAAACTTTACACACTCTGCAACATTTGCTTTTTATCTTACCTCCCGCCATTGAAACCTCCAGAATGACCTGGATTGTTCTTTTCTGGAATGTTTCCTTCTCCTTCCCTGTTGCTGTCCCATGCATTCGCGAATTCCTTTGGCACTGGTTTAGCAAATGCTTTCTTCTTTTCGAAGCTGGGCAATTCTTCTTGTGGAACGGGTGTGTTGTGAAGAGTTAATCCGGTTCTAAAGGTTTGTTCGCTATTATTGTAATACTCGTTTGCCATCGACTAAAATAGATAAAATTAGATCAAAATAGAAAAAACGGAAGTTTTTAACCTGGAAGACATTCGGAGGTGCCCCATCTTCAAATCCATCAAGACCGGGTATTTCTATCTCTTCTTCTATAAAAAGAAAAGAAATTAAAGAAATAGAAACACGTCAATAGAATTACCTATCTCTGTCTCATCTTCTAGTCCGGATTCTAGTCGAACTTGTTTACTGATTTCTGCGAGCATTTCTGTCTCATTCTTTGGGTAGTCCTTCGCGACTAGTTCCGTTGTCTAAAAAATCATTTGTACTGAATCATGGTAAAGAAAATACCTGTTGGCGAGACCAGAATTTCGTAGAATGATCATTCGAAGCAGTAGCAAGAACGTGACCAAGCGGGTGCCAAGCCATTGTCCAGATCAAAGACTCGTGGCCGCCATCAACTTGGCCAACCGGCTGAAAACATGTTAAAAACATGATAAAACTCGATCAAATCAATTCAAATTATTTCTTATCCGAGTTCAACCGAAATAACACGATATCAATTCTGACTGCTATGAAAGGGCAATAACCTGATCTTCGCCGATCATCCAATAAATAATTGATCCTTCTGAACCACCGGTCGCCAGTAGGCCCTCATGTTGTGTATGCCAAGCAAGCGAGGATGCTTCTTTTCTGTGCCCTCTCAACACTTGATAATGTGTCTTCAGATTTCGAATGTCAAAAACTTTTACAAGATGATCTCTAGCTGCGCTCGCCAACCAATGTCCATTTCTATTCCACTGGATGTCCATGACAGTTCCTTTGTGACAGTGAAGAGTTGTGATTGATTTGCCCGCTTTTGGATCCCAAAGCTTTATCGGCGTTTGCAAGTCTTTCGATCCTGATGCAATTAGGCCTTTGTGCGGATGCCAGTCGACCTTTTTCACGTCTGAGCCGTGGCCTCGTAGAATTTTTTCTTCAGTGTGATGATAAAAGTCCCATATTCTGACGGTTCCATCGTCTGAGCAACTTGCGAATTTGACGTCTGTTGGCGAAAAGGAGATCCCGCGGCAGGGTTGATCCTTGTGCGCTTGGAACATGCAGCAGTTGTTCATATTCTGCTGCCAGTACTTGATGTATCCTTGATGATCGCCTGTAGCTAGCCAGATCCCGTCGTTTGACCAGCACATTGCGCGGACGGGCTGATCATGCGCCTGCAAAATCGTTTCGAAATTGAATGCCATTCCATTCCACAACGTAAACTCGCCACTAGCCGCACCAGTGACCAAACGCCGGCCATCTGGAGTCCACACAATCTAAAACGTCACGATCATATTCTCCTCTATTAATCCCTCCAACTGCTGTATAAATTATACGATATAAATAACGAGTAACGACTGAATCTACATAATCTTTACATTTATCGAAAAAGCGAGTTTAATCTGTATTAAAACATAATATTCTCCTCGAGAATCTTATCATTCTAATTGCAGCATAATCATTAAACATTACTAGCATATGTTTAGTTGTCAATTAATGCCTTAATCGTAGTATATTCTAATTAAAGTCTGACGAAACACAAGAAAACCTGATAGACGGGACATTTCTGTTTATTGGTAGCAGTCCGGACAAATCTTGTTGTCACACTATTGGCAGGTAAATAAGGCAGTGAGCCAGGAGTTTCCGCTTTAAGAATTGAGCTTGTAAGTGGCTGAAAACCGGTACGGTCCTGTTCTCGGATCAGCAAGCGCTGATGAATTCATTTCAGAAAAAATTTACGACTTTGTTAGATGATCCCTTCCTTGAGTGGCCTCTTGAATCTCCGTGACATCATAGTATTAACGCAGGCACCGGTCCAATCAATAACCTTTCGCCCTTGTTGCTTTTTTTCGCCATCTTGATTTTTCATAAAATTCGGGCGAAACACATACGGCTGAAATTGCCGACTCGGGTCGAAGTGGTGACCCCGATTGTTCTGCATTATCTAAATGAGTCTGCTTGAATACAGATGAATAAACTGATAAGTGCCCTTCTGTTGGCAGGAAAAGACAAGCGAGAAGCGAAAAGAGTGCGCTTCAAGATAGGTTGTTTTCAATAATCGTCAACTGATTGGCGGTTGTTGACCGTGTTTCCTTTGCCATCGCAGGCGACCACTTTTACTTTTGGCACATTGATGCAGTCGATCACTTCTCGGAACTCGGCGTCTTCGATCACGAAAGTCCAGACATTGTCACAGAAGCGATACGTATTGAGTTTGCCCTTGAAAGTGATTCGGTTGCGCACTTTGTTCGCCAGGGCGTAGTTAATTGCTTTGTCGAATTCTTCGAGAACCTTCATCCGGAGACTGTGGGAGATTGCGCCCTGCTGCTGCAACTCGTCGAGAGAATCAATGAGCGTAGTTCCTAGCGTAGTGTTCCGATAGAGCTGATAATTCATGCTCATCTTTAATACGTAGCTTATCTCGATTCCGATGAGAATCTAAATTTATGAAGAACGAACGAGGGATAATAATAATCGTTTCGGGATTATTCTAAAATTTCAGTACAGAGACAGAATAACGCCCTTTTCTTCTTTTTCGTTTCGTTCCTTTTGCCTCCTGGTGCATACAAATCTTGTCGATCTTTTCTAGTTCCTCCAATAAATCAAGCTACAAGAAAGTAGTTAAAACATCATTGAAATAGACAGCTGTCAAAGCTAACCTTGTCCTGAACCACAGATAGAGCCTCCATAAGCATCTTTGCATTATCCTCGTCCGAATACGTGCTTGGGTGAGCATCAATCACCGCTCCAACCCATCGCGATATTTGATTTATTCCCGCCTTTTCTTGATCTGGTTTTATAGGACAGAGTCGAATTTTCGCCGTCAAAAAGTCCAAAAGAGCAACTGCTTTGGTCGTGTCGAGAGCTTTCAGCGCTCCGACAAGATAGTTGTGGGAGAATTCGCGTTTGAGAAGGAAATCGAGCTCCCGGATTGAATCTGCATCATTTCTTTGACGATGAATGAGAATAAATGTTTTATTTCAAGTTTCTTACGATTCCGATTTAGCGGCTTTTTCTATGGCCGCAGCTATTGACCAAACCAACACGCGTTCCGGGAAACACGGGTCCTTGGCGGCTGTAACAATATCAATTGCTGCCCGTTGATTGGCGACATCGAGCATGCCGACAACATGGGGACCAGAGCATCCAAGCGATAACAGGTCAATGATAATACTCTCCGGCCAGCTACCCTCACTGCTCTCTACATTGATAGAAGTTAAAAGAGGCTGAATGCGTCCTTCTTTGTTAGCTTTTTATCATGTTGATTTTGATTAAAACAAGTGGATCATTGCTTTCTACAGGAAAACTCATTTTTATTCGAAAAGTGAACATCTGTAGGGGACCATTTAAAACAAGATAATTTCAAAGAAACTCACCTCGGACACATGAGTTGAGAAATTTCATCGTAGCTGGTGAATGAACAAGAGTCGTCAAGTCAGAGGACTCTTTTAGCTTCTGCCAGATTATATTTTTCTCCTCTACGGTTTCCGCTGATATGAGCTTTTCTAAAAACTCATGTTAACAGTTCTTTCTCTAATAGGATTTTGAACCTATGCTGCCCAAATCGACTCCATTCTGTCTTTTTCCATTTTTCTCAAAGTGCTCTAGTGGCGGACTTCTCGATCTGATTTGCGACAATAACGACATTCGATACTATTCTTCGAAGAATATTTTTGAATACTAATTCTCTTCATTGAACGTTTATAGGGCAGTTAAGTGAAGGGATTCCACGCGAGGAATGTGAAAGAGTCAAAAAAGGCAGGTACAGATTGTGTGAACGCCAGTTTTTATATAATTTAGATAGGCTTAAGGTGAGATGTGAATGTAGTGAAGTAGCTACGTAGTTTATGAAGCAAGTAGTGAAGTAATTGCAATTTTAGCAATTGTCGTCAACAGGTGGCGACATGGTGAAATCCCAGACGCGAAGTTCTTGAAGAACAGTTCTAAAGAAATTATGAATGATTCAAGATCACTTGATGGTGATGAAAAAATGAAAGAAAGAGACTCACCCCAGAGCTTCGCACCATTTCGTCATCTCCTCCGAGGCATCGGCAGAAATCTGATAGCGTACGAACTTGTTGTGATCGTAGCTGAGCGACAGTCCTTCCATATGATTCGCCTGCTCGTTCTTGGGCGGCGCGCGGCCATACAGCTCGAAAGTGTTTGGACGACGGCCACGCTTGTCGGCCCCGACCGAGCGATTGAGCAGATATCGCAGGCTAAATGATATTTTAAAAGCGGCGTAAATAAGTTCCCCAGCGGAAGTTCGTCATTCCTCACATTTCCGCGGCGGGAAATCAACTGATATCCGACGCGGATCGCGATATTTTACCGCTTCTCATTAGATTTCCGGAGGTTACAAAAAATTCAACTGTCAGTTAGTGGAATCCATGTGTCGGAAATTCGATTTCCGACTGTGGAAATCTTTTCCCCATGGTGGTATAAGATTGCGTTAGGGAAGTATAAGAATTGACTCAAGATTAACTCTGAGAATTTTCAAGAATAGAAGGAAAATGTCGGCGGTAATCCGCACACTGTCTAAGCATTTAAACTTTTAAATGACCTCGTTTTGAACCGGCACTAACCTTATTCGACCTTCAGCGGGCTCAGTCTCGGCATGTTCTGGATATCGCCAGAACTCGATTGAGTCACCTCTCAATCTCGCCCAGTAACGAATCCAGTTACCGTAAGTCGTGCATCCTGTATTTCCAGCTCCCTTTGTTTTCACTTTACCAGGGATAAACTTCTAAGTTTTGAACGAAACAGAGAAGTAAATCCCACGTGCCTGTAAGAAAAGACGAGTATTCCATGGAATTGGTAAACGCCGCCTTTATGTTTGAGGTAACCGTGGCGCTGAAAATAGAAGTCATGACGCTCTTCTCAAGCTTGAACGAGGTGATGTTCTGTACATCGCCGATGCGCAGCGTTTTTCGTCCAATAAGCTGAAGTAAAATTTGAAAATCGAATAAATTATCGATGATTAGAGACGATAGAGGAGAATATATTTCTCGTCTAGTTTGAACTGGTATTTGCCAGCTTCCAATTATTCTACCTCGAATCTGGAGCTACTGTCTTCCGGACAAGTGGCCGACGAGCCACTTCCGTTACTGTGATGATTCTTTCGCAGACTTTTCCGACTGAACAGTGATCGACTGAAGAGCCCACCAGATGCTTGTTTCTCCTTCTTTTCTCCAGCGATATTTAGACTAATCAATTTCAGGTAAAATGGACATGATTTCTGTCTGACTACCTAAATATAGAAATGGAAAGCTCAAAGTCCGGCGCGACATTACGTAGAATCCGTTTGCCTTTACTTCCTTCGACGAGCAGGCGGACTTCTCCCTGGACATCCATGCGGCTCATTTCCGTCGCGAAGAATTCCTCGCCGACGGTGATCAGGCCGATCACCCAGGTGTTTCGAAAGTGCTCCGAGTTCGCGATCACCGACTTATTAGCTTTCACCCACAGGTCGGAGATGCGAATCGATCCTTTCGAATAAGGGTCGAGGACTCGTTTCATCGAATTCGCGATGGCACTAGAATAAGCTTAATGACCTTCACCAAAGCGTCTCTTTTTACCGTAATCCTTTATATTTCTCCGTAGCACACAAGAGGGTCTTTTCCGCTTCGGCCTCCACATCCGCCGGGACAGTCTTGCTCATGATCAGCTTATGCGCCTTGATCGCCTGTCGTTTTTGCTGCTCAAGAAGCGCAATTTCATTCTCCAAGTCTTTCCTCTTCTCGTCTCGCTTTAAAGTTCCGATGGCGGTCGAATTCTTCAACGTCATCTGATTCTGCCAGTTGAAAACCGTCTCCCGCGTGGGCTTATCTTTTATGCGCTAGAAAAAACGGTCAATGAGAGAAGTGAAAAGGGTAGTACCTGTGATGCTCGATAGTCATCAATCGTCAGCTTCCTGTTCTGCGGAGAAGTGAGCGCGATTGATATGTCATCGATAGATCCTCTTGATTTCAGATGGCCGGAATGCTGCTTTACGAACTTCTCCCGCGAGTTTTGATAGTCCTCGGCTTCTACGGAGCGCTTCTGGCTCTTAGGAGTTAGGAGGTTGTTCTCCGCATCCACTGGAATTGCTGTTAATCATGGTTTGCCTAAGAATTAGTAGTACGTGCCTGGTACTTCGCGAAATTGCCTTTCGAATTTCGGTGTGCTAGGAGAATCAATCGAGTTTGAATCAGCTGTTTCAAAATCTTGAATCGTGTTATTCAGATAATTCAGCGCTAAGTTAGTCAAATAAATGATTCGATAAGTGGGCTTCCTTTTTTACCTGCCATGGCATCTTCCGACACATCATTCGGTTGGAGAACGGAGGATATGGCGCTGGAAGAATCATCGCCTCGCTCGTCCAGACTGAAGGGAATCGGCGCTGGTTCTTGAGGAGGAGGGGTTGAGCTTGGAGACGGCTGGGATTCCGGTTCAGAAGCGTTGGGTTTGCTAGGCAAGAGTTTTGGCTGCGAAACAGGTTTAATAAGCTTGGCAGTTTGAACAGTCGGAGTTGTCTGGCGCGGAGGAACAATCGGAGCGGGCATTATCGGCGCTTCTTCCAAGTCGAAGTTTTTGAACTTTAAAAAAGAATTGAGTTAGGACAAACAATCAGACTTGAGGCCAATAAATCAACAATTAGGTTGATAACGACAAACAAAATTATGTTAAACATGCGTTTCGAGTTTGCTGATTCCAAAACTAGACATGCAAGGAAAAGGGATATCTTGGAAACACGCTTACGTTTGGCGATGAGACAACAGCTGGGAGAAAATTCTCCTTTTCTGGAATAGGACTTTCCTGAATAAGTGAAAAGATAAAGGACATGCGATGATAAGTGATAAAATAAATGATGAATGATAAAGTATTGAATGAGTGGTTGTTACCAGTTTGGAGACGTGGCCCTTTTGGGAGAGTTCTTTCAAATCGAACTCCTTTTTCGCCGTTCTCTTCACGAAAGGCGTTTCTTTTGCGTCCGGCTTTCCAGATCTACGCAGGGCGCGTTCGACCTGTTCTTTCGCAGAGAGGACTTCGAATTTCTTGCGCACGGCCGAAGGAGCAGATATTTCGGACGATTCTTGTTCTTTTTCTTTCTGTAGTCGTTCCTAAATTCCGAATTTTAAACAGCTTCTCCGAGTAAAATGAAGAAAAAGTCGCGAAAAAGTTTGACTAGAGATAGGCGTGGCACCTCCTTCCTCTGGGCTCAGCAACTTGTGTCCAAATCAAGAACTGGAAGTTCTGTCTAACTCTACCTTTGCAATTTGCGTGGCTTCAACCAGCTCCCTGTCCCAAATCTCTCTCTGTTTTGCCATTTCCTTCCATCGCTCCTTCCTGGCCGTTTCGGGCGCAGCTGGCGGATCGCTCGATTCGCTCGCGGAATTTGAAATTTCTGTTTCTCCATTATCCGGCCCCTTAATTTCCGTCAATATTTCAAAAACACTCGTCCATCTGTCCAACTCGAGATGATCCTCTCTTACCGCGAAATTCTTGTCGATTAAAACTTTTCTCCTCGATTCGGCGGCCTTTTCGATGGCTGTGATTGGATCAACTTCTCTGGCGGCGATTTTCTCGTCCCTCTTCTCTTTCATCAGACGAATACTTCTCAAAAGATCCGATTCCGCCATTTTTTCAGATTATGGACAAAGGAATGAAATCGGAGCGATAAAGAAGAAATCGAAAAGATGAAATTCTCGAGCGCAGGAACCAATCAACGATCGAGACTGAGCTCGGCGCGACTTTTGTATCAAAATCTCGAAAAAGTCGGATTCTCGAGTCGAAAATAACGCTCGTAAAACGGTTGAATTCTTGATTCCCTTCATTATTCTCATTTTTACAAGATATGGCAACATTTATTTTTTTTTGTCTCAAAACGACAAAAATGTTGAATTTTTTGCGACATTTTTTGCTGTAATCTGATTTTTGACAAAATTTTTGTCGATTCGAGACAGCCCCCTTCTACTCTTTGTTGGTTGTTTTTAGGAGACTTTATTTTCAAGACAGTTTTATTCACAAGAAGCGCAGAATTGAATTTATTCTGACTCAGCTTCGTAGTCAGACGTAGACTTCCTCGCCCTTGAATCGTCGCGTGTCTGATCCCTGAATAAGTCGCCTTTTCGTCTTTTCAATTTTTGACTTGCGCTCTTCTCGCTTATTGAAATCCTTCGTCGCCAAAATCGAGCACAATGCAAGCTGATCCAAGACCTCTCAGAAGGATCATCATCAAACAATAAAATAATCATCGGTTAATGCATTTTTTATTAGTAACTAACCACCAGGACAATAGACCAGGTTCTCAACGACAATTGCCGCTTTTACAGCTTTCATAAAATTCTGACGCGGGACAACAGCTTTCCTTATAAAGCGAATAAGTGATAGGTCCATCTAAAATTTAATTTATTCATTTTATTTATCGTAAATTTAAGAAACGAAATCTCATCTTTTACTCATCAAGCTAGAGCAGTTGTTGTTGGAAAAGATGAATAAGCTCTTGTCATTTTTTATCTCTAAATAGACATCTCTATATTGTACATAATTGTATGTATAACGAATAGTGATAGACATCGATTCTCTTGTGAAAATTATTCTAAAAGCCTTATCACTATTCGTAAAATAAATATAACACCATTATTAGAGTGAATCAGCATGTAAAATTATCTTATAAAGCAAGAAATATTCTCATTGAGAATCGGACCAATATTTAATCCATGTTTTGGAATCATTAGGACCTTAATTGCACCTAAACAAGTTATATCTTGAAAGGAGAATCCTCAGTCTCTTCTTATTAGAATCATTTTTTCCCGAAGTAAGAGCAATTAGCGGGTAATTGGCAAAAGCTTTTAGGCGGTAGATGATCCGGCTTAACTGCAGTTCACATTCTCCTGCGTTCTGGAAGCTGGCTGTCCTCGATTTTTGTATTTTCTGGTCGCTCGCTGGGGTTATCAACCTCAATTTCAAGACAACAAAATTGCCAAATATAATTGACCTCGATTCTTGCGCCACGAAAATCAACGACCCAGACGCCGAGTCAATAGGATCGATTAGAATCGCAAATTTTTCTAACCCATTCTCAATAATCGCGTTTTCTTATCGGCCAGTACTCGTTATGCTTGGCCACCTTCTGAACATATTTTTTAGTTACACGAGCTGAGCTCATCAAGGCTGAAAATTGGCGATTTTCGATTATGGAAATCCGACAAATTCTCATGGACATTTGATCTTCTGCCTTTTTAGCATTAGCGATAAGTAGCCCGTGAAAATCGTACTGTAAATATCCCGCTACCGTAAAAACGCTTTTATGAGAAAAGCTAAAGCTATCTCAAGAATTTCATGCGAAAGATAGCAAAAAGAAAATAGAGGCCAGTATTTTCACGAAACGGATCATTAAAATGCTCAAAATTATCATACAAGTGGCAATATACGGAAATCCCCAAGCCATTGAGGTCAATAATGCTAATTTCTCGCCTTTGGCGGTAGCTATATTCGTCAATGAGCTCATCCTCCAATTGACCGAGAATAATCATCATATGAGCGTTTCAAATTCTCAATAGCAACTTACCTGCGCACCCTGCTTTTCTCTGGAAGATACGAGCTGTCTATTACAGGGAAAGTACGGCAAATCCTTGTAGATCCACGCTATAGACGGGGGAATACTCGGCCCGATCCTCATTGCTCTATCTCCGCACTAGTCCGCATTATCTAATCTGAGCCAATTCAAAACCTATCAAGCGCCATCTCAAGACTTCCTCAAGCATCCTCACCAGACTCCAGCTTGTTCAAAATTCAACAGCTTAAATTCACGTCAAACTTTGACGGTCAAAGCCTTATTCAGTTCTATATAAAAATTTGCGTCAAAGCCGGTCAATTAGGGTAATAAGTTGAGAAATGCATAGATTCTCAAACGAGCTCGTTTTTTGATCTTCCAAGTGCGCCATTTGATGATTCAGCGAATATATATTTTATTTTTAATCAATAATTCACACCTCGTATACTGTAAATATGCTGTTATACAGAGTTTACTGCAGTTCCGTTGCTACCAAATCTGCCGGAAACACTAACGATTTCACAATTACAAAAGTTCAGCATCATAAAATCTAACAGCTTTTCCAGAGAACACTAAATTTTTGAAGAACAACTGGAAAATCTGAAGATCCTAGTTTTACTCATACAAGGAAATTTTCTTCCCAGCTATTCTCATCGTCTTCTAGCCGTCCTAGAATAATCAATATGGGATTTTCGCCATCACGAGGTTTACAGAAGATGCTTATTTGAATTGCCGCCCCTAAATGTCAGTCTCGTCGTTTATACAATCGTTTACGAATCGGACTTTCCAAAAACGGAACAAGAATTCGGTACGTCTCGTTTCCTTTCATGGTCAGATCTTCTCATAATAAATGAATAAGTGGAAAAAATACAAAGGAACGTGTGTTTCGTCAAATTCGCGTATTTTACGTCATCCTATACCGCCGTATGTCCGAACATAGACGCAAAGCATATGGTTGAGTATATGCTAAGAGGAAGAATAAATAACTTATTCAAAATAAGAATGAAAGAATAAATAATGGTTCAGTTTAATAAAAAGCCTATTCAGCGAAACATTCATGCTCCTCAATGAGGAGTCCTCATTCTAGGTTTTGGTGAATCACCGACATCTTGCTCCCGGCTGAACTAGTAATGCATTACCAAGGGTAAAGAAAACGGGGATGAGTGGCTCAAACACTCGAGTACGAGCTGAGCAATTTCCGCGTGAAAACCCACATGATTTTTCCGTGTACTTTTGGTGTGCGTAATTTCGTCGGTAGGGCACATTTCGTCACGAGTGCACTACTAATATTTGACCTCGGCAAATTTTTCATCGAACTATATCATTACACATTTGTGAGAAATTGAGAATGGCTCAATCGAACTGTTATCCCTTTTGTCTTTTTCTTTGGTCAAGTTCTATTTAAAATCTTAACCATCGTAATTTGTCAAAAGTTCAATAAAATGACTCAAATTGGGCCAAATAATAGCTCTTTTGTCGGAAGAAATGCTCAATTAAGCCGTCTGATTCATCTGAAAGACCATTCTGCAAACTGATTCGAGTGCTTTACCTGAACAATTTCGTGAATAAGAAAAGACATGCCGGCCTTGGTGATCGTCTCAAGGACAATTTAGAATTCTAGTCATCAAAACACCCATTTGTCCTTGTTTTTGAGCGATTACAGAAGTTCAAAGGGCAAACGACAGAGCTTTTCTATAGAAGTCATTATTTAAAATTGATGGATGATCATTTCACAACCCATATCATCATCAACTCCAACCAGGAAACCTTTTGAAGCTATTTGCCCAGGACGCCACAAACAAAACTAACCGGCCGAAAATTAAACATAACAGGTGATCGATCGCCAAATTACACCAGGTCAGTAACGCTAAACGAGGACACCTTTCGACCTCATCATATTAATCACCGCAGCCGCTTTGAACTACCCGATCCGCCGCTGCTGCCAGATGAGGCACCCTGCCTCAGATAGCAATCACTCCCTGGCTGCGCGCTTGGGACAACGCCGCGCTGTCATGCTCCGCCGCGGCTCTCTGACGCCATCCCGCGTAAACGCGCCCGACTATATAATCGCCGCGCTGAGGACAGAGTGCATTCAACTTTCTTCCATTTATACAGTTAGATTTTACCTTCTGTTCCGCTACAGAACCAGAGTCAAAATGAACGCCACCGAATCCGTCAACACCACCTCCCAATTCAACTTCCCCGCTGTCTCGCAGACAACTGAAAAAACCTCATCAACTCAGCTGTCTCCCGAAGCCAAAGAGAAAAAACGAAGACTGCGACGAGCCATCAAAGCCTGTATGCTCCGACATGGTTTCCAACCCGAACCAGTTGCTCCTAAAATCACGCTCTGCTTGCCGTCAAAATTCACCGCCAAATCGAAGTTTTGTGGTAGAAAAAATCTCAAATCCCTGAGTCTCAAAATTGGAGCATGAAAAATGCCGAGCAAAAGAAAACACCTGTAAATATGTAAAAGAACCAGCAACAATTCTTCAATAGAAAATACGAAACAAAACGAAAACCGCTGCGAAGCTGCCAAAACTGAAAGTTTAAACCTCTGTACATTTTCTGACTTCTTTTCCTAAATGTGCCCTTAGAACAACCATTGACAAATAAAACTGACAAAGTTTCAACTCTTCGTTGTTTTTATGCAAAGCATCAGCAATCATCTGCCACGGAAGCATTTTGTTGAAGGTTGTGATTTACTGATTTTTGAATGATTTTTGCGCTTATGTCTCACACCGGAAATTGGCATCCGGTCAATATGCGCCGCAAATTAGGCTAGAGAAAAGACGATCTCGCTGAGAGGAAATCAGGAATTATCTCCGCTTGAGCCATCCGCGCTATATCCTTCTTATGTCATTCCATCTTCTCACTGTATTTGCGTTCGAGTTCAGATTCGCCACGGCATCTGAATGACAAAAAGAAGATGTTCCATTATTGCACGAGTGTTGAATTGAGTTACTTCTATTCAAACCAGCAGGTGGAACTTCCGGAGGAGAGTTGGATCCACACACCTTCTCCCAAGGCCCATCTTTCTTCTGATTCGGTAAACAAAGATAATTTATAACGCTCAGACTTGGACTTTTCTGACTTTTACTTCGCTGGCGAACTTGAGGAGCTCAAGAGAGGAGGTTAAGAGATGCTGGCCGAAGATTAAAATGTCAAAGTTTGAAATCCGTCTGTCACGAGAATCTTTTTTACTGCTTCATGCTTAACCAGTGTTAAAGTAATCAATTGCAATTTTGAGAGAGAGAGAGAAATGAAGCTGAATTTCTGGCTCCTTTCTCTTGGAGAAGCTAGGCAGAGATTAACGGAGAAGATCCGCAAGGAAATCGAATCTAACTATGGCTGGGAGGATCTTCCCGGGATGAGCCCTAGCTACGACACAGACAAAGATTACGGCGATTTACCCGGAAGCGACTCGAGGTAAGCCACTTGACGAAAGAATATAGATTCTTTTTTTCTTTCTTCTTTAGCACTATTTTTGTTTATGACGACCTCCCTGACATGATGTACATGGACCCCTCTGAAGGTCTCTTTGATGAAACAATCAACGTCCCGAATTCCAAACATGACGAGTTTGAGTCGCTAGACGATGCCTCCAGAAGACCTCGGCAACTTCAGGAGAGAATTATCGAGCCTGAAATTGAATGGCGTGATTATCAGAATTCCCAGGCGTGTTATTGTGATGTTTTCATCCTTTTTTGAGACTCAAGAGGTTCTTTTTTGATAAATATTCTACACAAGTACCTAATCATATACATCTATATTATATGTTACATTCTCCTGAAAATATAAATAGATCTATCGATATCTGAAATAGCATCTATAAGGCATTCCATGGTAATTATGAAGCATCAGATGAGTATTACAATCCGGACGATTACTCAGACAATACAGGAAATAGTTTTGTAGGAATAACAACACTAAGCGTTGCCTATAAAAGATATGATTCGAGACTATCATCAGCGAGTTATGACTACAAAATGGATTACGAGCCCATCGATCTCGACTACAGACGAATTCCGAAAGTTCCTCCAGTGGAGCCACATCTTGCCGAACTAGAATCTCACCAAATGGCAGCGCACAAGACGGAAGTGATAATGGAATTTGTGACTAGATCTCCTGGGGAAGACAAAATCTTGAAGATGAAGCTTCCTATCGAATTCAACAACGAGCATCATACTCTAAGGAAGGTCTTCTTTAATTCAAGTTTTATTAAAAACTCTTACAATATTTTGAAAATCCGAGAAAGCTGGGAATTCGCTCCCGAGCCTTCGGAATTCGAAGATCTTGATCCACAATTATTGGAAAGCGACTACTACCAGGGAAACCAAATGATCGGTGGAGTTGTCGTTGATACATTTTTGATCGCGTTCGCTTCTGCTCCTGACGGAAAATACACGCTTACAGTGAGTCAAGTTCAAAAATAAATCGTTGAATAGGCTCATCAGTCAGACTAATCAGTCTTCTAATTAAGCTGTCGACCGATGACTTCCCGACAGTGGAAAAGATCTTCAATGTCAGAACGGTCGAGCCAGAAACTTTAGTTTGTGACTGCGAGAAAAAACTTGACAAGGAAGAAACATCTGACCTACCGAGCGACTTAGATCCTCTGCATCACTCAAATGGCTATATTTTGCCTTTTACGGGCTCCTTTGAAGATGACGCAGAAGTTAGTTATTTTCAACTCACCAAATATACTATTTTCAAGGCAATTCTTACCAACCACATGACAGAGCACAATTTTGCTCCAATTACAGCTGCGGAAGCGGAGATTCTAGCAAAAAGAATTCGGGAAAAAGCTCTCAGAACATCGGAAAATGGTGGAAATATTGGTAGATATTCATACTTTGAATTGAGAATCTTTATTTTTGTTAGAATGTGTTGTATCAGAGGAAAGTATCGTGTCAAACAGGTTCCTTTTATCTGCTTCAACAGACTTTCTTCATGTGGCGTGCTTTGATGTTTGTGCTCTTAGTGAACCATACAAGGAGTCGGGCAATTATTTTCAGGCGTTTTATATAGTCCTCAAATCTCTATCGGCTATTAGCTGTTGTGAAAGTACCCCTATCGAAAGACCATCGGAAACTCTATGAACTTCAGCCTCTGCCACTTGCGCGAAGAATCTGACAGTTGCTTTTTAAAAATTTTGAGCCAATTCGATGCATGTGATCGTTTCTACCATCAAAGCTGCTCCTGCGGCGACGAGCAAACGATAACAATTCTTTCTGGCAGGACTTTTGGTACTACACTTGGGATCGATTATCTGTAAGTAAAAAAAACCATTTTCATAAATTAAAATGAACGGATCAGGGACGAAGCTGTCGGAAAATATACTCTACTGACTTTATGTAATAAATGCTAATTAACCGTATCTTATGTGCGTTTGTTTATAATCACTCTCGAATGCAGTTCACCGTCAGATCCATGTCGTCTTTGGGGCAAATGAATCCCTAAATATACTTCAATCGACAGTCAGAGTAATGAAAATTCAAATCAGACAAACGCCTTTTCGCAGAGAATAGAAAATGAAATGGGAAAATGCGCGTTTCTGGTACTTTCTTATCGTTGAAAACTTTTCATAAAAACGACTTCAGAATATTACCTGTCGGTTGAGTACGCAAGAAGTCGTTAATATCAAAGAAGGTATTTCTGTGTAAATTCACACGGAGCAGAAAGCATTTTTTAGCTAAATTTACTACTGATATGTGGCAGGTAATGATGTTTCTTGAAAGAGTTTTCGTATAGCTGACGATGGTCAATTCGGTACTCATTGTTGATTTCAATCAATAAAGAACTCTCAAAAAGTAATCGTCTTTGCCGCATGCATTATCGCGAAATTCTGTGGTCAATGCATGAACGGAGCCGAGTTTGAGCAAATTACGGACTCCGGCACTGATTCAAACTACCTTGGTCCCCGCGCAAGTACAGTCACTCGCCGGTCAACTCTTCTCTCTTCCACTTTTGGCAGTAGATTTAAATTTCCCGAGCAAACTCAGGACAAGGGTTTTTAAATTCCATTTTTAACCATCTTTGTGTCAAGATAGAACCCTTCCAACGACCTCCCCAAAATTATAAAACTGAACCATCTAAGAGCCGCTCATTAATAATTTTTCTGACAAATGCACATGAACACATTTATAATACAAAGGCTTCTTGATCATTGTTTGTCCTATGTAAAATTGAATGTGAAAATAACGCTCCAATCAGATGCATCTCGAATGCAATAAAAAACAGGCGATTCACTTGTCTTATTAGAATTTCTGCAGGACATGGACAACGAAAATGCGATCGACCATCTCGCAAAAAGCAGAGACAAGCTCAGCGAAAGCATGACCAAGTATTCCATAGGTAAATTATCAAGCAATGATTGCAATTAACCAGCTTATAAGTTATAACAAATATATTTTAGACAGCGAACCTGTTGTGTTTGACTTCTCAAACTCACAGCTTGAGAGATATGAAACAGTATCGCTGCTTTTTCTTGGAATACCAGCTCTGGTTCTTTCTTTCTCGCTGTTTATTTCTGCTTTTCGTGTTGGAGACATGCTAATTTGGTACTTTCGGGAGGTGAAGGTAACTTTATTGAAATATTTTCAACGAAAGAATTAAAACGTAGGAATACATATTCGAAGCAACGAGCGTTCAAAGCACTACGAAGATCGATAAATCCATCAGTTTTTGATAAAGTCAACTCATTCGGTCACAATAAATTTCAATCGTGAATTCGTTTTGGTCATTTGATCTCCTGCGCATTCTCGATCAAGTTGATTTTCAAAACGCTTTTTTGATAATTTCTCACCTTCCAAAAACGACCCACTTCTTCGTTCTATAAATAGCATTGCAGCGCTGTTTCCAAAGTTTTCTTTCATTTTTTCTGCATTCGAAAAAAAACAGAGAGCTTGAGAAGAAGAAATCGAAAAATCATGAGTGTATCTCGTTGACTCACCTTTCGACTGATCTTTCAAGAAAAGTTTGAAAACAAGAACATCTTGTGACAGGAACTCACCCATCAGAACTCATCATTGTAAAAAAATAGAGAAAAATACGCTTCTAGAACCAGATTTGATAATCTGAAATCATCAACGGTAGGAAAATCAACTGATTTTCAACTGCACTTGCAGTCATGAATGAAGACAGCAAAGATAATCTATATGATCAATTTATGGGTGAGTTCAATAATGTTTCTTGTCAGGATGGCTTGTTTTAGCGAAAGCAAAGACGGCTGCCAGAGAAAAACGGTTGTACGAAGCGATGGAGTACCTAAAAACAGCGCAACGATTCAGAAAAACGGACAAGGTTGCACGACGAATTGAGGGTCTTCAAAAAATAATCGAGAAAGATGAGAACAGCTCTGAAGAAGAAAGTGAAGAAGTAATGAAACCATACTTTTGTTAGTTTTAATAAAAATTATTATACAAGGAAGTCTACGTCAAAGAAGAGGTCGTGGTGAAGGAGGAGCCTGAATCGATGCCGCCAACTCCAGAACATCAGGTAATTTTATGCTGGTTATATGAATTTTCCAACAAAAACACTGTAGTCGCCGTGGGCTACTAACGTTCGAATTTCAAAGCAGATCTTGGAACGAATCCTTCTCAACCCTAAATCATTCATTCAAATCAACGATGACAGCTCCCCAGAACACTGCCAGTATTTGAAGGTAAGGAGCCAAGTTCGTTTTTCGTTATAGCTTTCAAGATTTTTGAACCGACTGATTACTCCCTTTTCCCTGGTGGCAGACAGTTCCGGACGAAGATACCGATAGGCAACGAGGTCAAGCTGATCTACTCCTACACACCTGGCTCTTATGAAAAGTACCTGGACATGAGTACGGCGACCAACGTGATAAAAACTCCTTCTGCTCGACAAAATGATCAACCTTCATCGGAGCCAAGGACACCGCCACCATCATCACCACTTCCACAATCACCGATATCATCTGAGCCAGAACCCGAAACAAGACCTCCATCGCCGCCGTCACCAGCATCACCACAAGATGAGCCAAAAGCCAAAACCGGAGATCAACTGCCTGAAGTGTTCCTTCTTTACGACAACAGCACTGGACAAACTATACATGCTGTTAAAGGTGCGGATGGCAAATTCGAACCTATTGGACAGAGCAAAGGGAAGATTATCAACGTCTCCGACGGTCAATCTTCTGGCTCAATCATGACCGGAAACAAAAGCCCGAGCCAGGAAAATGAAAACAGCACCGAAGAGCAGGAAGGGGTAATAATAAGTTCCTATTCCTTGACTAATGATGAATCTTATAGGAGGCTGACTGTAAAAATAAAAATACATTGAAAAGAAAGGCTGAACCGATAAGGAATGGTTGAATGAAAGACGTGGGCAAAAAAGGGAAAACATATCTGAGACTTTATTATTTGAACGATTCAGTTTGGCAAATTTGCTCTGCAGAAGCGAACCTGTTAAAATTCGGGTGTGAGGGGAAACAAGTCACAAAATAAAACCATTGAAAAGAGAAAGCACCAAGCGGCCCAAGATGAACGACACGAAGACGATCAATGTCGCCAAGATAAACCGGGAAAGTGGCAAAACTTCATTCATTCACTTCATGAATGCGGCTCAATTTGCGAAGAAAATCGACTTCCTAAAATCGGCTATTCGACATTTCACAAATGCATACAAGGTAACTTTGATAGCAAGTAGAAAAAAGTGTGAGTTAACTTCAGACCGTCGAATTTCTCCGATCTCGGCCAGGCATTATCGAAAAAATCTCCATCTCAAAGTCGCTCAGCAACTGCTACAATCGGCTTGGAGAGCTGTACTACAATTTGGCGAAAGAAGAGAATCTTCCTTGCGATGCCGCCCATGACGTTGAAGCTATGTTCACCAAACTCAAGCTCGAGAAGGGCGCTGTTTCTAGCTACGAGCAAGCTATGGTCAATTTTGTCGAGGCGGTTAGATACGGAGCATTGAGTTGCGATTTTGCAGATTCTATCGGTAAGAATTCATTGCAAGACATGCCTGACTGAAATGTTTAAAGAAACGGACCTTGAAAAGGAAAATGACAAGAAAATTGCTGTTTGCATTAATGCCCTCGAACAAATAAAGGAAATTTCCAGATCCGACTACGACTTTAGCTTCAAAGAAATTGCCCTACCCTATTTGTCCGCAGGATTGCTTCTTCTCCCAAATCATCTTCAAGTGAAGGCAGTGAGCTTGATGGAAGTCTGTGAGCAGCTCAACTACGAAGGGCTGAAGTACAAGGATTACCTTCGAGAAATTCGTGCGACGCCGTATGAAAACATCGAGAACGTACGAACTTGGTTTCAGGACAAAACGAGGCTGGAGATGTTATTTCTCAAGGAAATCGAGTCTCTCTTACCACGTAAGGCACATTTCACTTTCAAGTCTCCATGAATTTGTAGATGTCAACAAAGAGGTTCTATCGGAGGAAAAGAAGGATGAGCTCAACGAAATGCTCTTGGAGCTTGAAGACAACCTCTCTCGAACAGCAGGCCTCCAAAACTTATACCAAGCAAGGGAACTGATGAGCAGAGCCATCAAAAATAGAAGACGTCAAGCAGGTGTTATTGACGCGTTGGACCTAATGGTACAATTTTAACTAATATCACCATTCTAATTATTCTTTCAGAAAAGAGGATATGACCAGACTATCGACATCGACCAGAAAGCAAGATGCGTTATTGCCGCTGAGATGGCGTACGTCTACGTCGAATTTGATGAGCGACCGCACGCTAAAATCAAAGCCAAGGAGTACTACAAGGAGTGCATGCGTCTGGCTCTCGAAAATGGCTACACCAAGGAATTCTACTGGTTGAAGAGAGCTAGAGAATATCTCGCTAAAGTCGCGTAAGACTTTAACAATCTTTATTATCGTTTTAAAAATATTTTAGCGCGGAGATGACTCATTTTGGAGTTACATTCAAGCCATCCAAAAAGGGTGCCGAAGTTATTGAGAGATTCAAAAAAGAGGACTTCAGCAGCAAGCCCCCAGCGAAATTCCTCAATTACTTGGCTAGAAATCACCCTCCGAAGAGAGGCACAGTAAGTACTCGTAAAAATTACCTTGGTTAACATTCTCAGATGCCCAAAGTTACAGGAACCGCCGAAAACATCAAGGACTGCCTTACAAAAGCGACGCGATTGTATCATCCGGACAGGTAGACAATCTTTTTCTTAACAAAACATAAATTTCCTCAATAAGAAACTCAAAATACGATGACGATTGGAAGGCTCTCTGTGAGCAAATTTCTATGGTCGCGAACAACTTGTACTCCGGATCCGTGAAGGGCATCTAAGAAAGCGTTTCCTTCAATAATGCCAAAAAATTCAAACACCTCTGCCAATTGAAAAACCCTCAACAAAATTTTGCTAAGAGTCTCCTGAACATATTCACTCTTCTTCTAGAATTTTTGTTTTATTCCGCTGTCCGAGACAACTGCTAAAATAAACTAACAGAAAATGAAAACTTCTCTTTTTGCTATCTTTGTAAGTTTGCATTTGTTTGAATGCCGGTATATAAGTGAGATAGAGAGAGGCGAACCAGATTTTTATGTTGATGCTCCGGAAAATATTTTGGAAATAGAGGAGGTAACAAATTTTCATTAATTCGTATCTCAAACTAACCAAAGCTTCCCGACGATGATCAGAAGCAGGAAGATTTGAGTCCTGATCAGGCTCAAAATCCCGTGGCCAGATATCCACTAAGACGACGAAAACCTGTTTATATGCCAGTATACCGACGGCCTAACGCCCCTCCAATCTACAGTATTCCTTACGACAGTGGCTACGGCTTCCACACTGTACGAATCTTTGATTTTATAGAACTACTAACAATTTTTAAGTACTCTCAATATTGGACCGACCACCCGACACGATTAATTTCTGGGATAATTTCTTTCTTCGTTATGTTCTACTTGATAGTGCTCATGATAACTTGCTGTATTTGGACAACGTGAGCTTATAAAATTGACCGAATTATTCATTTTTAGCAATAACGATGCCATTCATTACCAGCGACTTCAAGAAAATCAAGCTGAACGCGAACGACTAATCAAAAACGCGTCTATTTGAATACCACTGCATTAATTATACAAAATAGACACTCTGGCCTATTTTCATTACTGACTATTTTTTGAGCTTTTTTGTTATTCTTCTTTGTTTTCATTGAAAATATATTTTCTCCATCTCAATTCACTTCCGCTCAAGTAAGGAAATAAAATGGCGGATGTAGAATCTGATCAGATTCATACCTCGAGAAAATGGGTTTTTACTACGACCAAGGATTTTACTACAACGGTTTTTACTACGACCAGGCCGCCCAGTCCACTCTCTACAAGCCTTCTGATGGCTTCTACTATCAGCAAGAGCAGAATGGCTTCTACTACGATGGGTTCTACTACCAAAACGACAAGACCAAGAAGGCTTTAGATAACGGCGTCAAGGATGGTTTCTATTACAACGGTTTCTACTACGACGGTTTCTATTACGATAAGAGCCAGAAACAGGTACTTCTATCAGCTTTTTTCTGTCGATAAATAAAATATCTAGGGCTTCTACTACGACAAGCAGCAAGGATTTTACTACGATGAGAAGGACGCCGTTCCGGCTTACAAGCCCCCAACTGGTGCTCCACCTTCTTTCCCCTCTCCACCAAAGTTCCCTGCTGGCCCACCACCAGCTGCTCCTGCCGCCCCAGCTCCTTCGGCTCCAGCTGCTGATGAAGATGGCGAGTATGAATACGAGTACTCTGACGAGTACACTGATGAAGAGTAAATCATTCGCCAAGCTTGAGACAACACACAACCATCTATTTGAGATCTACGACAAACTGACTGAACTTTTCTATGAAGAATACATCAAAATTATAGAAAATAATATATTTTTAAAAGGCAGGATTATAAAAATAAAATAAATAGAAACAACAGTCAGTTCGGATTTCTATGCGTTTTCGTGTAGGCTTTCGTCAGAAGGAGCATCAACATTGATCGAGAACATAGGTACATTGTCGAAAGCAGCATTGACGGTCATTTCCGATTCAGGTCGTTGTACTGTAAATGTAGGTGCTTCAAAGGTGACGGACTCGTCCTCGATGTCAGTTGTGTAATCGGGCCACGGGTAAATTTTGGAGCCGTCTTCGACTGGTTCTGAATCGCTGCTGCTCTGATTCTCTGTCTGAGCAATCGTTTGCGCGAGTCGTTCCTCCGCTATCTTCTCCATCTTTTCTTTGATATTCGGATACATGTCGAGAATTTTCGTAAAATCTTTGTATTTGAGTGAGTAAACGTAAGTTGCATCTCTAGCAATGACTGTAGCAGTTCGTTTTGTATCGGGAATAAGAAGTGATATTTCCCCGAAAAAGTCTCCTTCTTGCAATACTGAATTTTTTAAGATAATTAGATGTTGAATCAACGAAGAGTACCTAGCGATTTCCTTTTCCGTTTTTTTAAATTGCCAAAAATAATCAAGCACATGCCACTTTGAATGAAAAACATCTTGTTTCCAACTGCACCTTGGCGAATGATCTTGTCGTCTTTGAGATACATCTCGAGACGCATGACATGAAGAACCTCATCGATGAATGAAGCAGGACATTTGTCGAAAAACGGGACTTTTTCGACAAGATCTTTCCGGTTGTGGCGAATCAGAGCTTTTCGGAGGATTGGATTGAGAGTTGCCAGCACTTTTTCTTCGTCAAACATTTTTCCTGTTGTAAAAAGTAAATTATATAATGGAGGAAATTAAATACCTTGATATCGTTTTTCGTAATAGTCAAGAAGTCTTTGGCGGGTATAGGAAGGAAGTCTCTTGTGCTCCATATATTCAGTTACTGCGTTGAGCTTTTCCGTGTAAAGTCTTTTTGACGCGTCCATCATCTGCATCATCGATGAAGCACCGCCGATGAAGACCGCTTTCAGTAGATCTCCGATAAATATCGAGCTAATGAATAATTATGATCTTCTTTGCTACCATAAACTTACAAAAACATCATCCAGAGATCATCGATACATTGTGGTGCCATGGTTCCGTAACCGATGCAGAACATGTGACTGAGCGAACGGAATAGAGACTTTTTGTATTGAAACGAGAAAGAAACTGTATCCTTGTTCAGGTCACTCGCGACCGACCAACTTTCCATATGAGGATATGCAGGGTTGAGTGTCGGGATCAAAAACTGCAAGCATCCGGCGATATGAATCCAAACAAGTAGAATCACCGCAAAACTTGCGATTTTCAGAACTGCTTTGACGCTCTCGATGTTGATCCAGCTCGAATGGACGTCTTGGAAATTTCGGACAAGCTTCGTCAATCGCACAAGTCTTTAAATGATTCAATAAGAACGGATATTATATAAGTGGAAAAATGGAATATCGATTGAACCTTCCTGAGTAAGCCAGCGACCTTCGTAAGTCGTATAAATTTAAAATATCGAACGATGTCCATTGCAGCTTCCTGTCTATCTTCGACTTCAAGTCCCGATCTCACGAGTCGGCCTGACGCTCCATAAACGTCAGTTCGACTGAAAAGTTCAGCAACCTAAGTAAAAATAACGATCTTTAGTATTTTTTTTTTGTTTTACCTGATCAAGTGGAATCGTAGCAATAAGATCAAACCAAAACCAGCCGCGCAGATACTTTTTTCGTATCTTTTTCACTTTGATTCGATAAAAACATTTTCTAATAATCAATTTTCCTACCATTTAGCACTGCTGTGTCTGCTTCAATATATCCAGTTCGAAAATTCATTATGATATCGAGTGTGAACCAGATGTCTTGAAATTGTTCGAAATTCCTTCAGCAAGATCGATTTTCGAGCTCAAGGTTTTGAACAATTTCCTGAAACGAACATCAACCAAAAAGAAATTAACGGATAGCTCTTGTCCGGCCGAATCATCTGATAAATGCTAAAGTATTATTTCTTGAATCAAATAAAATAAGAGGATTTTACCTGTCATACTTTGGAAACGTCACAATAATTGGAATGAAAATAAGGTTAAGGATGAGTATTATCGTCGTTATCGCGTCGAATATAAGGCGAAAGTTTGAATAAGGATGGATTACAAACGGGGAGTCTCTGAAAACAACGATGAGAACCTGTCACTGGAAGATTTAGGCATTACATGATTCGTTCCAGCTCTCTTTGTCGCATATTATCTGATCCTATTCTGTGTTGATGAACTTTACTGACGCCGATGAGTGCTGTGATTGTTCTCCGCGCATATGCTGAAACGACCGATCGACGGCGACCTCCCGATTCCTCCGTGTATTCTTCATCACTATCATCGCTGCTACTTCGGTAATCGTCAAGTGTGAACTCACATGTCAGCCTTTGCCTGTAAAAGGTTGAAAATTTTGTTTACAATTTTTAAAAATAATTGAAGATTTTTCATTTTCGCCCTCTACCTCTGTTTTTTGGTTAAATGACCGCCGCTATTGAATTTTGAGTTCCGCTGCATTTCGCAATTTCGGCGTTTTACCTTCTTTGTGAGTGATTTCTCGGAACTAAAGCAGAACTCGAAAATAATGGATGCAAACAGTAGCGTTCTAGAGATAAATCAATGAAATGCAAAAGTTTTACTGCTGAGTCTTCACTGAAGAAGGAATATTGAATCGAGCTTGATTCTCATTGCTCAAGAGTTTGATAAGAAACCATGCGAGTCATGAATACAGCTTCCTTGGTATTATAAAACTAGTATTTAATAATTTACGAGTGGCTTCCAAATTTGAGTTTCAAATGAGTTTGGGTGTAATTCGGCTGAAATTTAGAATAGAGAAAGAATGGCTTATGCTGGCCAACATCACTTTACTAATGCACGATCAAGTTTGTGTCCGTCACAAAAAAAGCATCTTATGAGAGTATTTAGGTACAGAATCACTTGGGTCATCTTACATAGAAGATATTGGCGAATACGAAGGAGAAAGAAATGAAGCTGGTAGAGTATTTCTAGCGACCAAAAACAACCGATTTTGAAGGGCAAAGACATGGTTACGGAAAAGCTCTGCTCCCGAATGGTGACATTTTCGAAGGAAGCTACAAGAATGGTCTGCGCTACGGAGAAGGAAAATACATTTTTCGTCGGCATCAAGGTTCTAGTGAGACGACAGATGAAATTCTTCCTCATGCAAAATATGTTGGATTTTACAAGCGGAACATGCGAAATGGAAACGGAACCTTTTGGTATCCCGATGGGTAAAAACTCTAAAGACTTCATTTCTTCATAAAATTATAGAGCAACTTACTCCGGTCACTGGTCAAATAATATGAAGCATGGAATGGGTGTTTACACGTACCCGAATGGAGACCGATATCAGGTGATCAACTAAAAAAGAGCAAGAGTTTTGAGCAATCCATTCCTTGAAGGGAAACTGGGAAAACGATCTCAAACATGGAAGCGGGAAATATGTCTACGCGTCTCACGGAGAAAGCATCTCGGGGACATGGGAGAAAGGGCAACTCGTCGGGAAAGTGACTCTGAAATGCTCAAAATTTTCTTTCGAAGGCGATTGGGATGGCGATGGACCGATTCGAGATGGGAAATTCATGTTGCCGAAAGTCAGTCAACTTGGTGGCTATTCAAGACAAATACGAAAGAGTAAATCTTCAGGAAAACAAGCTTTTTATCAATTTTCAGAGCACTTTTACGACGAAGACGAAAAAATTATTTGCGAAGAAGACACACTCATCTGGAGAGCTGATTCTTTTATAAGTGAGCCTTGAAAGCAAGTTAACATTTCAACAAAGATTTTTACTTGAGACTATGTTTTATTTAGAATAAATATTCAAAGAGGATAGTTTGGATCGTAATTACGAAGCCAGTAGATAATCTGGGATCCATACGCATTCATAAAGTCGGAGTTTTGCTCCAATCGCTCTTCGCAAGCTCGGAACTGACCGATTGCTTCCACAGAAAGATCATCGAGTCCAATTAAATCTCTGATCTTCATGATCTCATCGTATTCTAAAAATCTTTATATATACTATCCCTATTGTTATAAGTACCATCTTGAGTCTGAATATACGCGCAGAGATTGCTCACAACCTCTCCCATTCCATTTTTGATCCAAGTGTTGACCACATTTCCGTATTCTAAGATGAAATTCATAACTAGTAAACTATTTTTTAAAATCTAACCTTGAAGATAACTGATCGTGAAATCACGCGTTTCAGTTTGTCGGGCGAATTCTTGAAGCGCAGTCGCCAAATTTGCTGAATCTTGATTTCCCAAAAGCTCATTGAAGAGCTCAAATCCCAAGTCTGAAAAGATCGTAATATGATGTGCCTTGCTTTGACGGGTTACCTGCGCTCTGAGCATTCATATAAGATAGAGTTCGAATAGCAACAGTTGCTTCGTTTGAGCTTCCAGAGTAAATTTCCTGCTTGATGAAGTCTACTTCTTTCTTGCCTCCCGCGCGAATTCCATAGTTTTTGGACAGATCCCGCATGTTGATGTTGATTTCATCCCACGTTTTTTCGCCTGACATAACCTTTGCAAAGTTGCTTGCGGCAGCGGATAAACAGCTAAAATTGGTTTAAGAAAACGCCTAACAAATTGAGCTAACCTTTCTTCGTTGTGGAAACAAGCCCAATCGACGACATCTCTTACTGCTCTTTTAGCGTCATGTGACCCACCGTCTCGATACTCAGGGAAAACGTTGGCGACAGCGCCCTTAGCTAGCGGTCCCATGTAGTCCGCCCAGAGCTTTCGAGAGCTTGAGAACATCATCATTTTCCGCGCCGAGTACGAAGCAGTCTCCCGTCCATTAGGCGCCACAATCCTGTTGAAAACGTAAGCAAGCGTGTTCCACATCGGCCAGCGCTGAACGCCATCAGCAAGACTTGGAATCGTGAAAATCCTTGTCAATTCCATGATGTGGAAGTACTGTGATCCGTAAGTCATATCAGCAACCATAGTCTTCCAGTAACTATGCAGATATTTGGCGACACCATTGTGGAAGTCCTTAGGAAAGAAAGGAATCAAGCCGATCGCGGCCTTTTCTTCTCGGAGGAAAATGTCATTGACTTGCTTTTTAAGCTCTTGGTAGTCTTCGATAATGTAATACGCGTAAATCTTGCCCTCGGGATCGAACCAGAGATTTTTAGGCACACCGACAGTAGTTTCATTAGATAGCATCCAATTCATGACAATTTTGTTGTCCTGGTCAAGTGCTGGAAGAGGCACAGTCCATTTGTAGTCCAGTGAGCTTGGTGGTTCGTTAATGTTCTCGCCAGTTTGCAAATATCGGGATTGAGAAACAAGGAAGAGATTCTGATCAGCTTGGGCGCGAAGAACTGGATATCCCATTTGGCGAACCCATCCGTCGAAAGTTTTGTTGAAGGGAGTCGCTCCTGAGTGGTCGTATGGAAGATCCCATCCATCGACGGCTGGGTAAGAGTCAAGAGCGCTCTGCATGTGTTTGAAGTAAATCTCGCCGTCGGTGTTAGAGAATTTGTTAGCTTGAAGATAATCTTGCATGCCGAGTTGCCATCGGTCCTCACCCATGCAGTAGATCATCATTCTGACAATTGATCCTCCTTTTTGATAAGCAATGAGATCGAACTGCAACATGATTTCAGCTGGATTCTCTACCTTTCCTCCGTTGTTGTTCTGCTTGTTGATCAGTGGTCTCGATGAAGTTCTGTCGTCGAAACGGAGAGCTCTGAAAAGCTCGTTCACGATGAACTCATTTTCAAGGTTCCAAGTAGGCTCAGCCCATTTGAGAGCAAGGTAGCCACCGATATCTGCAAATGCCTCATTGATCCAAATCTCATCCCACCAGGTACACGTGATGAGATTGCCGGTCCATTGATGCTGAAGCTCATGACCGAAAACAGTAGCGACGGACATGACGTTATATTCGAATTGCTCTTCTGGGAGGATATAGATCAAGAAGTTCTGATATGTAACCAAGCCCCAGTTTTCCATGGCACCGGCAAGGAAGTCCGACAGACCGACTTGGTCAGATTTTGCACGGCCTGGCAGGAAAGAGTCAGCATAGTTGTAACCATAGAATGCGGAGAACCCGTCAATAATGTCCATTGCAAGCTGAAGGCCATAATCTCCCTCCCCGTTGTCGAGTCTGACTTTGGGTCCAAGGATAGTTACAGATGTGTCAGTTTCTGGAGATCGAGCGACGAGACTTCTGTCGTAGTCAGAAATGACCATTGCGAGAAGATATGTAGGCATCTTCATTGTTCTATCGAATTTGGTCACATAATAGTCGCCTCCAAGTGGTGATGGACCAACCGATTCCTGCTCGGTGTTGAAAATCGCATGATATTCTGGGTACTTTGTATGAACAGTCATATCAAAATATGCCTTGTATTCGGGCTCATCGAAGCATGGGAACATTTTTCTAGCTCCGCAGCACTCCATTTGAGTCCCTGCCATGTAGTGGACATTTCCATCAGCATCGGGGTAGCTGGTTTCGTAAAGCCCGGAGTTGTCTTTTCGGATGGCACCATTAAACTTGACTTTTATTTCGTGAAATGAACCGATAGGCCAGGTAGCGAGATCATTTTGAATGATCAGATAGTTCTTTTCGCTGTACTGCTCAAACTTGTCGTATTCAACTCCATCTAGCCAAACGTTTGTAACAGTGAAGTCGAAGTTCTTTCCAGAGTGCATGACGATGAAGCGAGAGAGAGTGCGAGACTCAATGAGAACAGTGGATTCGCCTTCGAATCGAAAGAAGCCATCGACTTTGTCTGACTCATAGAACCCATGCTGAATAAGCTCGACGGTGTAGTTGTAGGGGATGTGGTGCATGCTACCATCTTGTTCTCTTGGAAGACGCCAGCAATTGACGATATCTAGGTATTCAGGATCCTCGTAATCAATGCGACTCTCTGGGCGATCATTTGGATCAAAGGGTTTGAACAGGTTGATCTGGCCAAGGGTGACCCCAAGGCAAAAAACGAACAATCTCATGGTTAGCGAGAATGCTGTCGACCGTTTACGGGGGTGTATATTTTAGCAAGAAACCACTTGAAATTTTATGAACGTACAAATCATTATAAGAGCCGGTAATGCGTAAATATTGCGCAAGGCGACCTGCGTCCGATATTGTAAATCAACTCACTAGAAAACTCTACATCTGAAGAAGGCAGTATAATTTATTAAGATAAGCAGAATTAAAAATCAGTAACTATCGAAGAAGAAGATTTTTCACCACTCGATCTTGAGCTGAGCATGTCCATATCTGCGTACTTGGAGATTTTCGGACGAACGGAGTACTTGAATCGTTCAAGCAGGGACTTTGTGTCATCATATTTCATCAATTCGTGAATTATTCCTGAACAAGTTGTTTTACTTTGCAATTTTTTCCAAACTCACCTAGAGGAACGCAAATTAAAGATAAACTGGCGATGCACCATCCAACAGCATTCGCCCAGTTCGGATAGACATAATCAATGTATTGCAAGGGTTTGTAACCAATGATGCTGAAGATCATTATGACGATGACAATCAGCGGTGTCACAAACAGCCACATATAAAGAAGAACTTTCGGGACATCTTTGCCCGTTACTCGGCTGATTTCACGACTGAATTTTCGTTAGGAAAATGGATTTGTACTGAGGAATCACCATAACGGACGAGCACCAAAAACCCAAACTATCGTAACAATTTCTAGCGTTGCGAGGATTGATAACGATTGCACCGCTACGTAACTATCAAAGAGCTAAAAAAATTCATAACGACATATCATTAATTTCAACTCAAACCTTGTATAGGTAGATTCCACCATCAAACATTATCGGTACACCCATGAGGAATGCTACAGCACAAGACATGAGAGCCACGACTTCGCGGCGCATAAATACGCTAAGATTCGTCAGGACATCGAGAACAGTTATGTTCAAACATTCGATAGAGGAGAAAATTGAGTCGATGCCAAGAACGAAAAGAGTGAAGAAGAACATGATAGACCAAAGCCAGCTTGGATACATATCAGCAAGAGCTTGAGGATATGAAACAAAAATGAGTTCGGGCCCATCAAGTTGAAGTTGGTCGATGGGGATGTTCACCATTTCGGAAATATGGCCAAGGACGGAAAAGATGATGAATCCGGCAAAAATAGAAGTGAAGGAGTTGACAAGGCCAATAAGTAGCGTATCTCGTAGAAGGGATGAAGAGTTTCTAAACGAGTGAGTACCCTTCATTCGAATCGAATTTACCTATTGAATGAGCTGAAGGCAATTAAAGAGCCAAAGCCAATTCCAATTGAGTTATAAACCTGGGAGGCCGCGTTGACCCAAACGTTGACGTCAGCCAGTTTTCCCCAGTCGCCTTTTCCATTTAGCCCAAGAAAATATTCAATGCCATTGTATGCCCCGCTGAGTGTGCATCCTCTGATAAGCAGTGCTAGCAGGAGAACATACGGAGCAATTACAGTAACGTAGACGACCTTGCCCACAGACTTGGTGCCCTTGAAGACAAACAGATATATAAGAACCCAGGTAAACAAGAGAATTCCAAAAAGCGGCCAACGAATATTCCCGAACTCATCGATTCCTGACGTTTTATGAAGAACATGGTTTTCAAAGAACTCTTGCGTTACTGGAATTCCGCCGATGTTGTTATTTGTCGAGTCAGTGCAATTGTCAGTAGACCACTCTTTTCCTTCACAAGTTTCCCAGGGTAGCTTTGGTGGATTCAATCAAATACAAACAAATTTAAAGTATAAAAGTATGCTATAAAATATGATCTTAGTGCTTTCAGTCACCTACTGAAAGCTCGTTAAATCCGTGCCTCAGAAGTAAATGAGCTGAACAAGTAAAAAAGACAATAGACGATGATCGCTGTAAAATAGCCAGCGTACAGGAAGGACATTACCACGGTTCCATACCCGCTTCCTAATTATTTAATAAAAAAAATCCGCTGAAATTCACCAACCTTTCATCAGCGGACACAAGGCGTCAATCGCATGAACTGGTCCTCGTTGAGTGACAAGACCAACTGCCATTTCTAAGTACAAGCCAGGAAGGCCGATCAGAATAAGCATCAGAAAATATGGGATGAGAAAGCAAGCTCCTCCGGAGGAAAACATCATATACGGGAACCTCCATATGTTCCCAAGGCCGACGCAGTAACCCAAACATGCCAGGATAAATTCTCTTTTTGAACCCCACGATTCTCTGCTCATTTTCAGTCTGTTTTATCTTCTGTAAACCGTCCCTCTTTTACGACGTTCTTGGAGAGCCTATGTATGTCTCAGAATTTTCTCGAATCTTTCTGAGTTTTGAGTTGGTGTGTTCTATCTTCGTATTGTGGGACAGCAATCTTTTGTTCGCTTCTATCCCTCTGCAAACAGAAAAGGATTCGATTCCGGGAAAAGTAGAACTAGAATTCACACATTTGTTTTTGAAGTAATGCCAATGGATAATGATTTTCTCTTTACGATCCTGTGACGAAAACAAAAAAGCCCTGTTTAGACACAATTTTAGACCTTTAGTTAATGTTATTTGTAAGCTTGTTAATCCTCGCATTTCAAGCTATTTAGATTTTAAACTAACGAGCTATCTATAAATCAATTTATTGGAAAAAGCCACCTACCTAGAAATTTTTCGTTTCTCTGGGAAATAAACTAAACTCAATGATCTGATAGTGAGGTGATTTATAAACAAAAATGCATTTCGATCTGTTTCGCAAAAATGAATAACAGTTGCTGAGAAGGGCGAAGAACCCTGATGCACTGAGTTGACCCCCTGTATTATCGATTATCGCGCGTTCCTCTTGGCATAGAACTTAACCATACTTTTTTCATTCAATTATTCATAGCAATTCGAATCACTAGAAGATTTTTTACAGTCCATCTTTGATATTTCGGCCATTTTTGAAACAAGAAAAGAGTGATAAGAAGTTATGCAATCCTGTTTCAACCTTGGGGCTCTGTATCTACAGAATTGTTTAGAAATCATACCTCAGAATTCTCTGCGCCCCACAAATGAGGACATATGAGAGTTGATATGAAAAAGACCGAACTATTTATTCAGGCAGTAAAATTGCAAGCACAAAGAACACCCTCTGCAAATAGTACCGGTACTGTCTGTCGCATGTCTCGATTCTGATGCCCTCGATTTCAAAGGTCAAGCTTTGAGTTCATCGAGTGTTTGCTTGGAACAACAATTTTCTCATAAGAAGGCACTTTTATTCTTGCTTGTCTAGTACAGTATTGAAAAAAACGAAAACAAAGAACTTTTGAATAAGGGGTTTTCATTTCTAAAGGAGTCATTGAATCGGTAAAAATATAAATTGTCAACCGGCAACATAGAAAAGGAATATTATTAGGCGGATATTTTTAAACAGTGAAACTTTGAGGCGCCATTTGTTGCTGAAGCTCTTGGAGGAAATATCGCCGCGACTTGAGATGTCGGTAGCGCGTGTAGTCGGGATTGTTTTGCTTCTCTTCCGAGTTCGGGCTTCGTGAGTGTTCTGAACGATGGCGAGACTCCCAGGTTCGGATTGAGCGGGCGAGATCGCGTCGATCCAGCTCGATCTTGGAGATTTCACTTTCGACTTCACGGAGAAATGATTCTTTGTCCATCACAGATCTGAAAATAAAAACTGCAACAACGGCAAAAGAAGCTCGGAACTAACCTTGATTCATATTGTTGAACTTTTCGCTTGAGCTCCCTGTATCTCGAGTAAATCGCCCTGCAAGCCTGTCTTTCAGAGCTGGTCGACGGCCTGCCGAACTGTGATTCGAGTAAAAGAAGCTCTCTCTGTAGTTCGGACTTCTCCTCGCGAATCTGTAACTCAGACATAAGTGTGATCTCTTCTGCCCTGATAGAAAAAACTCTCCGCTGAAACATTCGTTTTTCCAAGTCAGTAACAGCGTTCTTCAATCGGTTCATTCGATCCAACCCGTTTTCTAAAGAAAACCATTTTCTGAGCTCTTTATTGCTGATTTTCCGCCGCGCCATTTCAAAAAATGATCTTTTCTTGTTTAAAGAAACCATTTCAATTAGAGCGAAGTGGCCAAAAGTATGATTAAGGTAATCCTCTTGCGGCTTGAGGAAGATGAATAGGCGTGAAAATGACTATAACTTATAGTCTATAAGTCTTTAATTAAACCATTACCTTCTTGAGGAATAGGGGATGCAAGCGAGATAGGAGAAGTCATAGGCGCAGTTCCAGGACGCGCACTGACGTTATTCGCGTCTCGACGAACTGGAGTTCTTCCGCGGCTCTTGTGCTTACTCGATTTATGTTGATCACTTTGCGAGCGAACATGATGGCTCGTTTTCTCTTCCGAATCTTTTTACGGCGGCGGGAATCGCTGGAGATTCTCTTGCTGCGCTTTTTCGAAGCTTTTCGAGGCATAACTGGCGTTTCTTGTTTTTCCGTGATAACTGCTGGCACATCGGGGGACTTTTGTCTGAAGATAAAGTTAGAAATAAGTTCTTTTTGCATTCGCACTAACCCTTGAACTTTAGGCTCTGGTGAGGTAGCAGGGGTATTTGCGAGGCTGGAGACAGCAGTGTTGGGCTCCGTTTTATGAATTTGCTTGGGAGAAACGGTCATCAGATTTGATGGGCTCTCAATATGATTCCCTTCTATTTCTTCTCGAATTATCGATTTGGGAGAGACTGGGGCTGGCTCCTGAGTCTTCGTCTCGGGTTGAATCTTTTCATCGGAATTCGCAGAGACGCCAGAGAGATCGAGCTTTGGAAGATCGAGTTTTTCGAGTTTAGAGTTACCACCGTCCACGTCGGCTTTCACTGGCGCTTCGTTAGGAGTTGGATCTGCATCGGCATATGGCAAGTCGTCGGTTTTGGATGGTGCTGAAGGAATACGAGTAGATTCGATAGGTGTCTTTTCTTTCTTAATATTTTTGTCTGTTTCTTTTTCTTCGAGCGGGGGTTTTTCCTCGGAGAGCTCAGCGGGCGCGGCGTTATCACTCGTTGCGCTGTGTTTGGCGTTGTTATCATTATCAGCGCTGGCGAAATTGAGCATGTCGGCGGTGGAGGAGCGACTGATAGCCGGCGAGCTTCGCCAGCCTTCTAGATTATCTCCCTCCTTGAGCCGCTCGTACGCGCTTGACCCGCCCTCCAGTATTTCTTGAGAGTTGCTCTTATCACTCGAGTGCAGTTCCGCCGAGCCATTTAGAGCGCGATCTTCTCGATGCTTCCGACTAGGCCGTCGCTTTGAACCTCTGAAAAACAACCTTTATCTTATCGAACATTGAATATTTGTTACCTCAGAGGGGCGGACCTCGTGAGCGTTGGAAGTCTTGGGTGATTCTCTTCCGGCTTTGAAAAGACATCAAGAGTTTCATCGCCATCTCCGCTCAGAATTTCATCGAGGCGGTTTTTGACGATCAGTTCTATCGAAGAAGAGGTAGCGACGGAGTACTTCTTAGACTTAGGAGAAGGACTCGGAGATGGAGTCGTTGGAGGCGTCAAACTCGCCATACTATATTAATGGTTAGGTTGGGTTTGGTTCAGTTGTGTTGGTTCGATCGACAATCGGCGTTGATGATCAACTTCAGATTTTACGGTAGGAGTTATCATAATTTTGATCGACTTCTGCTCACCACCGCTAACCATAACTGTGGGTATAAATATGGAATTTTTATGAAAAATAAACATACTTTTTGATACACAATGAAATGAAAACTTTTTGGAATCTTTCCACCCGATTTGCTCGTGGATTATACGAATTCATTTAATATTAAATTTGACATTATAAAATGAAAACTTTACGTTCTACTATGTTTGATCTGCTATTATACGGATCTACTTGATATCCGATTTGACATCTTGATTTGCTATACCTTGATTTTTTAACATGCCTTGGAGACGATATCGAGCTCATCTTGACAATTTCCTTCTCTCCATTATTTGCACCCACAGGAGTAAACAGCTTCGGGAATTGTTTAATGCATTTATTTGCAATTTCGTTCGTCTTATTCGTCGTTTTCAGTGCATCAGCATCAGAACTGCCGATTCTGAAAAGACTCGGGCCGATGCAAATCGCGAGGGAGGAAGCGGTCATGTGATTCTCCGTGTTCTTCGCGACGTCGTTGAGGAATTTGAACAGAAAGAGCAACGTCGAGCGGTTCACGGGAGGCATTCGCGAGATAATCGCTTCCAGCTCTTCGATGGTGCCATTTGAGTTGAGCATTTCTTCTTGGCTCTCCATTGGAATTATTCCTGAAATCAATCAAGAGCAGAAAAGAGGGGAAAAGGTACCTTGAGGAATTTCCCGCAGCCAAGTTTTGAGCAAACATGCCAGAGCTAAAGGATCACGAAGAGGCTCTTCAAAGAGACGGTTCGATTCAGCCTTGGCTTTCAGAACGTTGACTGTGTTCTTAGGGGCACAGGCTCGGAAAATCCCTTCCGCGGAAATATGTGGACGTAGACATAGGATGAGCTAAACTTACAAGTAAGATTCCTTTCAAATAATGAATTAAGAGGTCATATGACCTCGAATGATCCCGGAATGAACTTCAAGGTCATTTGAGGACACGTAACCCTAAATCCTAGCAAATAAAACTAACCGCATTGAGTAAAGAAGGCGTCTGTTGCCCAGGTTCTAACGGAGAGGGTTCAAGAGGAAGAGCAGAAAGAGGACATCCGAATTTTCCAATTCCCTTTTTTGGAGCCACCAGGTGATCGGCTGCGAGAGCTAACAAAAGGCGTTACTTTATTTTTCTTGAAGCAAGGATTGCACATTTTCTCTTTTCAAAAAAGCGCTGGCATTTCCCACTTTCGAAAAAGCGGAAAAAAGAGCTGCTCAAATTGTTTCTGAATCTATTCAAAATCAGCACGCATGAATTACGAAAGTTCAGAATTACGCGCTCGGGGATTAGCCAGGCTTCCGTAATTATCTCACACTAACTTGAGCACTTTCAAGAGGAAAAGCCACAGATGTTTTGTTCGGCGGCTAGCCACGATTATTTTTTCTTGGCCGAGATTTGAAACCCGCGAAAGTGAGATTTAACTTTTTATTTTTCTTATTGAAAATTAAAGTTTCTAAGCCTAAAATCTAAGCATTAGGGACCTAAACCTAGTTGATAGGAAGCGCGAGAAAATGGCTTTAAGGACCCCCCCATCAAGAATCGTGAAAAAGGGGCTGTTTAGTGAAAGTTTTTCTCAGAAACTATCTTAGGTAGATCCTTACTTTCACTTGCTACCGTTAGATCAAACCCTCGGCTGCAACCGTTCCCCTTATGATAATCTCTCGATTACAAATTTAAGGGTATACAGGCCCTTATAGGTAAAGTTGCTTAGTGAAAGTTTTTTTAAGGATTTTAGTTGAGGTATACCCTTAATCTTTTTACAGCATAAAGTTAAGGCCCTAAGCTACGACCGTTCCTCTTTTGAGAGTTTTTGGTCAACGAACTTAAGGAGGACAGCCCCTTTAAAAATTTATAAGTCGAATAAATGGCAAATTTACAGATTTCAATTTTAAGTTTTTCTTAAAAAAACTGCCTTCGATTATATTTTTCTGACTGTTTTTATGATGGAAATGCATTTAAAGATGGGTATACCCTTAATTAAAATGAAAATATAGCAAACCAAGGATTTTCATAAAAAATATAATGCAAATTTCCATTTTTTAAAGCCAATTTTAGTCAAAAATTTCTATAGCAGCGAAAAAAATTTCAACATAAAAGTTTCTCCTCGTTGTCTAAAGAACCCAAAAAGACCAAAAAATACAGAAAATTTTGACCAAATTCATCTTGATGGGGGGGTCCTTAAATTTGAGTTTTGATAGTGAAAAAGTATTCTTTGACTAGCCATTTTTTGAAATGGGTGTCAGATGATACTTTTCAAAAAGATTTATGGTCGAGGATTTCAGGCCTCAGCTCTGCCTTGAGCAAAGTCGACGTAAATCTGCGTGCCAAAGCCTAATCCGCTATAGGTTAGCACTACAACATAACACAGTCCTTGGAGTGCTTTTTCTACAAGAAAAATACTTATTCAATAAAACTTTTTTTATCATTATTATTTCATCAATTTGCAATCAAAACTAATATCAACAAAGATAATTTCCGTCTCCGCTCTATTTTTAAATAAACATACAAAAATCTGAAATTTTTCTATAAAAAATACCAAAAGAAGAAATTCTAGCACTCCAAGAAATAACATTCCCTGGTCTTTTTCAAGGAGGGACTCTCACATGATAACAACGGAAGTACTGGCTTGTGGTCTGATTATTCTGATTCACGTTCAAAAATTTTCCTAAATAAAAAAACTCACCGCAGCGGGAATATTTTCTTCATTCCAACATTTTTCTACAATTCCATCATTTTCTTCTTTCCAATCTCTTTACTAGTTTCTTTCTCGCTCTCTTGTTTGGGTTCTTGTTTATGAGTTTGTTTCGCCAATTTCTCTGAAATAAACGTTTGTTGTTTCTCCAGTCGATAAATCTATGCTAGAGCGGTAAACACGCTTTCAAAATTTCGAGGTGTCAGTGAATAATCTCTCTGGATTGTGTTTTGAGCAACTTGCTTCATGGGGATTGAGCTGCTTTTCGCCGCTCTCCTGCTCTTTGGGCACGCTGCTGATAAAGATAACACACACAGACGCACACACACGCACATAAGCATGTGTAGATTGATCTTTGCGTCTTAGGGTGCTAAGAGGGAGCAGCGGGATTTGAACTTTTCTAAAAGAAAATTTCTTGAAAAAATCTGATTTAAAATTTTTTTAAAATTTCTTCGTCTATTTCTTCCTCTTGAAAAACTGATAAAAGTGGAGAATTTCATGAATTGGAATTTGAACTAATGGTAAAATGAGAGAGAGTGCTTCTCAATTTCAGAAAATAGAGGATCGCTTTCGGTTTCCTTTATTTTCAATTTTAGCGAAAGTCCGGTGCGGGAACGGGCGCGCAGCGGGAGACGCTTCTGCTAGCTGAGCCGGGTGAAGAGGCGCCAGCGGGTGCCAACGGCCGCCCGCAGACTACGCAAAAATGCAGCACAAAAGGCCAGGCCCAGCTCAAGCCAACATTTCACAGCAATAATTTGGGACTAATTTTCGAGTTATGCTTCCCGAGCTGCTCTGTTTTATCGCTTCCGATGATAAGCGCCCCTAGAAAGGAATGGCAGGATGTGACTGATTGAACAACCATTCAACAAGTCTACAGATCATCATCATTTCGAAAACATTAGCTGAATAATTACAGAAGTAAACTGGAAAACTTGAAAATGGAGCTTGTTGTTTCTCTGTCTTTAAACCGGTAATCGGGCGGAGATTTAAACCGCAAGTATCAAACTAATTCAAGCTGTTGCCTTGAGGGGCTGAAGTCGAATCCGAGACAGAAATTAATCACCGCTGACAGAAAAAGTAAAGCTCTCAATTCAGTAGACCCTTGCTTAGTCGCATTCAATTCATCAGCCAAAAATTGATTTTCAGCACTTTTTTCTCCCTTTGCTTAAAAAATTCATTTTTTGAAGGTTACTTTCAAGTGCTATCCTATGTCATTGAATAAGATTTTGAGGTCACGTGACCTCAAATGACCCCGAAAATTCTCTAAAAGCAGCTCGGATCTCTAAATCGAAAAATAGCAGGAAATAGTATTTGAGTGCTGGATGAGATACTTGATTTATTCTTGACTCTGCCCAGTTACTATGGAAATAAAATGAAAAAGACGAGTTTTGCCTTTTCGTGCGTTCACAAAGCGCCCTTTCATCCAACATGTTTAATGCGTTTGAACATCGTGCTAAAACGACACTCCAAAAGTGCTCGAGGAAATTTTCTAGTTTTCAGAAAAGCAGAAAGAACGAAAGCCTCAGCTAATTCTATCTCAAGCTTATTCAAAATTAATCTGAGCTAGCTCAAAATATACTTTTTTGAGCTGCATGAGCTCATACTTAAACTCAATCATTGAGCTCAGCCCGGCTCTGAGTTGACTCAAAACTCGCTCAGGTGTCATATTTTTTAACCTTGAGCGAGCGAATTGAGCGGAGCATGAGCGATCGCTTGCTCGCTCACGCTCAGATGCCGCTCGGCGCCCAGCCAGAATTGGACTTCAAGAAGTAGCTCGTGTCTGTATTTCAGAAAAACAGATACGAATATGCCCAGACTTTTGGTGATGCTTCTTGTTTGTTACTGATAATGAGAGAGAATCTTTACGCTTGTAAAAGTTTCTCTAATTGCTAATGTAAATTACCCTCGCTGCGAATTCTCAACAATTATAAAAAAATCAAAAGTTAAAAAAGTTTAATTTCTTTTCAATAAAAAATCCCGCTTCATACCTTTTTCGATCGCAGCGTGATCCTTCTCAACTTGGATGAGTAATGAGTTTCCTTATTTTTCTGTTTTCCCTTTCTTCTTCTTTTTTTTCGTTTGTTCTCTTTCCAAAAAGTTCGGCGAAAGTTCTGAACTGGCCAAATTGGAAATCCTTCTTTCCGCGGCGCGAAATCTCATTGGGCGCTCCTTTGATCTAAACCCTGGGTGAACTTAGACAACGATTTTCGAGTTTCGCAGAAAAGAGAAAGCGATAAACGTAATAACGAAAGGAATTACTTTCTTCTGCTTTCCTAAACACGCTGATTGTTGCGTAACTGGCTCGACCAAAGACTGGACTCTGACTCGAGTAAAAATAAAATAGCGCCATTTTTTTGCTTTTCTGATTTTATTACCCTTTTTTGAAGAGATTTATGAAAGTTGAATACGCATTTTTCTACTCAAATTGGAGAAAACTCGCCTGAGGGAAGAATAAATCCTACTTACGGCAAAATCGTTTATAAGTAATAACTTCTTATAAAGATTCTTTTCATTTAGAGATTGTCCCGTCACTCAGAAATGATAATCATGGTAATTTACTTTACTATTGTTTTTATTTTAGATATTTCTGCGAAAGATTTTAATTTGAAAGTTCATAAGAACGAAAAACACAATGGCTCTGGAATGTCTCCAAGTGGATCATTTTCCAAATTTATCATCCACAATTGATTATTTTACATGAAGTCAGCTGATCGTGAATCTTGTCCAGTTTTATGTTTCTTTTCCCCTTCTGGATAGAAATAGCACGTGACTGGTTTTATAGTTTTATCAGTCGAATAAACTTATCACTTCCAAAACTCAAGAACAGATTTCGATAATTCTTCAAGATCCCATTTTTAGAGAGAAAAATGAAGCTGAGAGGAAATTGGGAAAAGCTCATTTTTGAGAAATCACTTCCAAAAAAGGCATCGATTTTTTAGGCCGATTATTTTTTTGGCAAATTAAACCGCCTGCTACTCAGTATTAGTCGCCTCGAACGCGAAGAAACAAAGTGAGTGCCTTTTACTTTTGCAGCTCCAGCTGAATGGTGATAAAAACGATTTGCCAATCAGACTAATTTAATTACCCGATTTTGAGAAAGCAAAGAGAAGTTCTCCTTGAGAACACCGATTTCAAGAGGAAACTAAAAACTCAACCGCTCGGAAATTTCAAACCCCGGGGCCATCCGCGGTTCATCGCGGTTTTCGTTTCATTTAGGGTGGGAAAAATTCATTTCCTTTTGAAAAAATAAGAGATAAATTTGAAAGCTTTTGGGGCATTACGAAACTGATCATTATTAACCCTATGCGTGACGCGGATGCACTCAGTGCATCCGCTCATGGTTTTCTGTCCATTTCTCTCTCAAATTTCGCTCGAATTCAAAAATTTAAAAAGAATAAGAATCTACGTCCAAGAGCACGTCCAATCTGCTTCGTAACATTTTGAAAACAGATTTTATAATAACCTTAAAACGTAAAAAATGTCCTAATTTTACTATTTTTCGTCTCGAGAACAGTTATTTAGATGCATGTTACGTAACTTCGAGCCCGTTTCGCCGCCGAAGAAGGGGGTATTTCGGTCTCTGAGACACTGACAACAGCGAATTCAGGCTGTTTTTCTTCTAAAATTGGCAAAAATGAGCAAAAAATTGTTCTAGATGGGTCGGATGCACTGAATGCATCCGCGTCACGTATAGGGGTAGTTCTGATCGTCACGCAGAGGGTTAAGTAAGAATTGAGAAACTCATAGTTGTAGATATCTTCATCAATACTGTGTCTTCGTAATTACGCTCTGCATCTCTAGAATATATTATTTGATCAGAATGGAAAGTCGGCTGAAAAGAGGAATCTCCGGATCGGGTCCGCCGACGCGCTTTTACAACATGAGCTGGAAGAGGCGTCATTCTTGCGAAGATTCAGTCAGAGACGATGGCACCTTCTCCTTCATCTTCCGACCTCACACCTTCTCTTCCTTGCTCATTCTTCTCGGCTTTCTTTCATATATGGCCTTTTCGAACAAAGAAGTCGACGATTTCAACACAAACGTAAAACGAGGACTTTACGCTGTAGCAGTCGTTTTTGTTGCTTTCGGGTAAGAAAGATGTAAAAGGACTAACGAAGCGAAGCTTGGCTCAAATAAAAAGTATTCGAAAACGGAGCGAAGAGAACCTTTGCTTCAAAAAAAAAAGAACCTTTACTTTCGAGTCGAAGCTGTTAGGACCAAAATGTTCTTTTCGGCTCAAGAATTCAGGTTCTTCTTTCGAATTGACGATTCGCTTCGCTCTGTTTTGAAAAATTTTTCATTTGAGCAAAGCCTCGCTTCGCTCCAGCTCTCATCATTCTTTCGCTAACCCTTTTCGTTTTCCAGAGTCACATACGCGCGAGACGGACCCTTCTACCGACCTCACCCGATAATCTGGAGATTTTTGTTTTCTTTCTGCGTTTTGTACGAATTGATCCTAGTGTTCTTCCTCTTCCAAACGCCGAAAATGTTTCGGCAGACAATTCAATTCCTCGACCCGAGTTTGAACAAAACCATCACGGAAACCGCGTACGGAGACACTTGCAAGATTTATGATCCCGAGGCCTATCCAGACGATCCATTCAAGAATTTAAAAGGCAAGAAATATATAAAAAGGAAGGAAAAAACAAAGCACGAAGCTTCTTCTCTTTATTCTTTTTACTAAAGTCGTTATCTTGTGGAAAATCCTATTTTCAGGAAAAATGGACGGTTTCGTCGTGGCCCACGCTGTTGGCTGGTTTTGCAAAACTTTGATCATCCGCGATTTCTGGATGACGAACGTTCTTTCTGTCACATTCGAATTCCTCGAATACTCGCTAGAACATCAACTTCCGAACTTCTCCGAGTGTTGGTGGGATCACTGGATTCTCGACGTTCTTCTTTGCAATTTCGGCGGCATCTGGCTTGGCAACAAGGCGCTCAAGGTGCTGGAGAACAAAGAATACAACTGGATCGGAATCAGAAACCAAATGGGATACAAAAATAAGATGAGAAGAGTTATCGCGCAGTTTTCTCCTTATTCCTGGGTTTCCTTCGCCTGGAAGCCAAATACGAGCATACGAAGATGGGTTAGGTAAGATTCAAAAACGATTTGATAGTTCAATTTGAAAAATTAACGGGAAAACCATCGAAGAATACGAAACAAGTAACGAAATTTCGTGAACACGGCTTTTTTCTTTATAAGAAACTCTTAGAAAAGGCTGCGTTCCGTTACTTTTAACCATATTTCATAAAACTTATCATTCATTCAGCGTAAACGTCATCATCATTTTCGTGCTCATCTGCGAGCTCAACACTTTCTACCTCAAATTCGTCATGTGGGCCCCTCCAGATCACCCGATCGTACTCGGCCGACTCTGGTTCGTCGCCGCTGCCGGAGCCGTGGCAGTTCGTGAAGCCTACGATTTCCTGTCTGGCGTTACTGCCGAAATTGGACAGTCAGCGTGGATTGCTGTCGCCGTTATTATCACAGGAAGGGTGAGAAATTCTATGTTAGAAATTCATTCATTGGGCCCCCATTTCGTTTGTTTGGAATCAATAATTTTGGTGTTTTGGCCATCTGTCGCGGCTTGGAGGGGAGTAAGTTGGGCACGCGCGCGCACTGTGACTGGGGGTCAGTGTCAACGCGCTCACCCTGCCGAGTGGACTGTGTGGGCGGCAACCGCGACCGCTCGATTCGACCGCTTCTCTTTTTCTCTCAAACAACATCGCGGAGAGAGAGAGAGAAAAAGTTTTCCAAAGAATGACTTATTTCAACTTCCCCTTTACTTGAAAACGCGCAATAATTTTTATTTGGCAATAAGGATCATAATGAAAGATTTTCATAATTTTTGGTAATAAGTCTCAATTCTCACCTCTTTGAAAAGAAATGCTCATCTGCCTCAAATTCGGCTGGGAAACGGTTAGCATGCCCTTCCCCGTCCACATTAAATGGTTCTGGGCATTCCTCAGTTTCGGCTACATAATGTGGTCTTTCTGGGATCTCTGGAAAGTCGACATCGTGACTGAGCCGCCCGAGGAGAACCAGAACACGACCGAGCTGCGGGAAAATGAACTTCTAACAGCTGCTAAATCCAAAAATGAGTGAAAAAAAACATGAAGATCTTTTTTTGTACAAATCGCAACTAAATATTTAATAATTATTGAAAACCAATCCGCTGTATAAAATATATTTGATGCAAACAGAATTCCTTCCGTATTTTGATTTCACATTTGTATAGTTTCATTCTTTAATTTAATTATTTAAAATTAAGCATAGAAAAACGAAGAGTAATTGAAAGTTTATCGTTAGCTGAAACCCTCAAAGTACAGTGTTCGTTTCCACAGGCCGATTTATCTCATCAACGATACCTTGCCATTTTAATTAATATATAAGTGATTTTTTATCATGTCTGTTTGTCTCGCTTTAAAAATTTCTCAAGTTTCTGTCTGTTTATTGATAAAAACCAAATATTGAAACTTCATCCTTTTTTAATTATTGAAAAAATAATTACTAGAGCGTGAGACTTGAGCCGAAGCGATAAGATAACAGTAGCTCATTTGCGTGGTGGAAAATGATGTCCGGCGTCGAGCTCAACGCGTTGATGAATCAAATATCTTCTCAGGGCCAAAGCCAAGGCAGCGAGGAGCCGGCTGAAAGCGCGGTGAAAACGGAAAAGAGCGCTTCGAGATCGTACTCGAACTATAACAGAGAGATTTGGAGAGTCCAGGGGGGCATTCTCGAGAGCTCACTCGTCGAATTCTGCGTTCAGAGAACAAGGCGCAAGTTTATCGACGATATCAGTAAGTCTTGGTGTCTCCGAAAGAAAATAAGGGGTCACGCTCCCTTATTTTTGGGGAGCTGGCTCTTGAAACTTTTCACTTGAATAATTCCAAAATTTTCTAGCGGCGAAGCGAAAGCCAAATCTCACGCTTTTCAAAGAAGACTGGCTTGACTTGATAGAAATTCTAAAGAGAATCGTCGCCGACATCATCAACAAGGTAGAAAGCAACTTTTTCTTATCCCCGTTCATTTATTTTTTAGGGAGATGCAAGAAGCGAGTGGCTGAAAACAGTGACGATTACGCATCAACTCTGCGCGCAAAAGTACCGAAATCTCAAGAAGGTCTATCACATTTCCAAGCAGAAGGACTCTCGCAAATTCAGCTATAAGGTATGCATTTTTTTCCTTCTATGAGTATAATGAAATGTTTCAGAACCAATTCAAAGAAATCGAAGACCTCTCCTCAACAGTTCTTCAAGAATCAACAAAAGTCGTCACTGGTCCTTCGCAATTTATCAGCGAAGCAGGGTTGTCTATCGTTCCCGGTTTGATCCCGAATCTTGCCGTTGCAGAAAACGTAATGCACGTCAATCCAGCAAGCCCGAGTCCAACAAATCCCAACGTCAAAACGGAGAGAGAGCCCGAAATCGGCATCGAGGAAATTCTCGTGAATGAAGATTGTGATGAAAGAGCGATGGAGAGCCCTGATTCTAGCTACACCTCGCCAACTCATCTTCATGACGGTAAACAAGAAGAACCTTGTTTTTCTCAACTTATTTATTTTCAGAATCTCCGGAGACGAAAAGTGAGCCTCCCTCAGAATCCGGCCAAGGCATCACAGAGAATGTCATTCCTATTGTTGTTGGCGGAAACAACGCGGTAAAACTCCGTACAGAAGAACTCCTGGCCCAAATCAGCAAATACATAGGTAATTTAACTTGCCAATTCATCCGTGAATGCATCTTATTATTACAAATGTTATATAAATGATTATATAACAGCAATTAAAAACAATGTCAGTCATTATTGCATTAAATTTTATATAACAGAAGGCATAAAAGAAATTCCTATGAATGATGTGCGTATTTATGTCCACCAGCGATTTAAATAATAAGATGAAAATTTGGCAGCCCTGGAAGACCAAGGAAAAGTCAAAAAAGAAAGGCTAGTAGCATTAACGTAACCTCCTGAAAATAATTATCCGTTGATGTAACTATTGACGGGTAAAAGCTTCACATTGAAGCCTTCACATGAAGCTATAAACTCAGTTATATAAATTCTTACGTAACTTTTAATATAAATACAGACGAGAAGGATTTGTTATATCATTTGTATCAAATATGCCTAAAAATAGCAAAAGAAAAATAGAAGATCAAGCAAAAAACAAGAAAATTCAATCAATATATAACTATCTTGTAGGTGATCAAAACGCTGAAAACAAAAAAGTGAAGCTCGTCTCGACCAAGACTGATGTAACCCTCTCGCCTCCGGTTAAAAAAGCACTCTCTGGGATTCCTCATCTTTCGGATACTCAAGCTACAGTCCGTAACTCAACTCCTCCTTCAGCGCCGCAAACTGCCGTTGAGAAGATTCTTCTGAAGATCGGCTGCATGATGGACTCGTGGCACAGAGAAATGCGCGAGCACAACAATCGAATGGAACGGCTCTTGACGGAACGGAATAAAATCTCCGAAGAAAGCAACAGGCTTCAACGAGAGAGGATTGCTCTCGAACGCGAGAAGTTCGAATTCATGAAGCTTAAAAGAACCGTCGAGGAAATGAACAACATCGTGGATGATACACCCGCCGAGCCGACAGATGAAAAACACATCCTTGAAACCGACCCAGACGACATCCCAATCATCCAAACTGTGGAATAGGTCTTGTTGATTCTGTAACTCCCGCCACCCACTTGCTCCAACTTACTTTTCTACTGTTAATACTTTCACGTTTCTACTGAACTTTACTTTCTTGAATTCTAAAAGCCAGGACCGATTTATCTTTTTGGTTACCGAAGCCTTCACTTGAACCTTTTCTTCCGTAGATTTCAAAATTAAAGCTTTTAAAATCACATTCGCATTTCTTCAATGTCGTTTCCTTTACCGATACGGGCAGATCCTTAGTATCATATATTTTCTCATTCCACTGTACAAAAATTGTCACGAAAATTGTTTCTTCTTGACGGCACAAAATATCAAGAATAAAATATTGAAAAACACAAAAAATATTTAAAAGCTGAGCCAATAAATGAACTGATTTTCTACGCGCTAATGATTTTTATTGTCTCAGTTTCTCTTCCTTGATTTCAATTTTCCCTCGTTGCCATGGTTATCGAAAGGAGAGCAGGGCACGCAATGAGTACATCAGGGTCTTAAATTTGGTTTACAGAGAAATTGAGGATGTTTAACTGTACTGAAAATTTTATGTGATGTTGTTGTGTTGTTGCTTTCGTAAATACGTATTTATCGATTTTTTGCTTGAACGCGCTTGTTTTTATCTTTTTTTGAATCACATTTTTCAAAAAATGAAAAGTTTCTAGAGCGTCGCCAAGATAAGACAATTATTTTTGGTAAGATCAGTTGTCCCGTTTTCAGACTGCAGGACGCACCCACGAATTCCTTTGAAGAGGGGGAACCCGTGGAACGTCCAAAAACGATGAGTGGCTTTGAGCCGAAGCAGAAGGGATACTTCTCCGACGTACTCAACGAAAACGCTCCGACTGTGGATAACTCAAAATGCCCAGAATTCAACCAATCCCTACAGGTATTTATTTCTTGAAGAAAAGAGGCCTTAGAAGGTATTTAGTGGGCATCATCCACTGAGGGAGAGACCCCGAAGGTCGATAATATTCCTGAAATGAAAAGCCACGGGCGAGACACTCGCCGAACGATTCCGTCACAATTTGCAGAGCAATCTTCGCTGCCAAAAGTACAGACGCCCTGGTACATTCCACCTGGGCAGGAGCCGCGAAAACTGGCTATAGAAAGACGGAAGAGACAGTACAGAGACTGTCGTGGTACTATTGAAGAAGGAAAACTTAACTCATTACTAGAAAAACAGTAAGTCCCTGATAGGGCTTGAGTTAATCCAAATCCAGAGTTAATCCAAGTACAGAGTTAATCCAAATGTCGACTTAATCCAAATGGATTAACTCTGCATAACTCCCTAAAGTAATCGAAATATCTTCCTTGACTTCAAAAAAGTAAACAAGAGCTGTTCTAGAACAATTTTTAGCAATATAAACCTCGAAAAAATATATCCTGATCCTGAAGCATTGGAAAAGTTTTGCTTACCGCTTGAAGTATTCGACAATAACGACTGGGATGAGAGAACTCCTGAGGAGTGGAACGAGCTGCGCCCCCTACCCTGCCGTGTCTACATCGAAGAACTCGGCTGGCGCGATGGGGCTGCGCTAGAACTAGTTGAGGGTTCGGCCTCTCCGGGAAATAGCGGCGACTGGAGAGTGGCGATCGAAGAAAACGGTGAAGTTGGTCAAGTTGAACTACCAAGGTACTAATCCCCCATTTATCGGCAATCGTACTCACATTTTTCTTAGAATCTTGGTCCTCTTCCACGCAGAGAATCCAATGCACTTCGTCAATCGCCTCGTAGAAGCCTATCACGCTCGAGAGAAAACTGAGCTACTGCTCCAACAGCAGCTCTACATCGATTCGATGCCACGAGAACGTGCACCAATTCTCGACGATCAAATGATTAAGGTTGTTCATCGCAACGTCGAGGAAGAATATGCCGACGAGATTGCATTTGAAGTTGAGATCAACATGCAGCGGGCGGAAAACTCAATCATGTACCAGGCAGAATCAGATTCCAACCCTGCCTTGTTCGAGGCTCTCCACTGGAGATATCAGCAAAAACTTGCTGAAGCGAAAAAGAACCCTCCGAAAAAGCCGCAATATTTTTTCCAAAAAGCGAAGAACGAATTCAACTTCTCATCTTTGTTGACTCGTGCGGAAGTCATTGATGCCCTCGGACGCGTGAGAGAAGAGTGTAACAAAGTCATCGACATGCAGCTCTTCAACACGAACACTGGAAAGCCGCTAAGAATCAACGAATTCGAGCAGAGCCAAATGAGCTCTTGTACGACGACGACTCTCTATCTTGGTGACCCGTGGGTATCAGCGATTAAAGGTGGCGTCCGTGGTGCTCTTCAGTACATGGGCAAGGGCTGGTTCAATCTCAAAGAGAATAACTACCACACTTACTCTCAATCGAAAATGTTCCTGCTACTAAATGTGATTCGATTTAACATGCAAGACGCTCTTCGCTACCTTGTCGAAGGGTCCTGTACGAACTTTGTCGAAATGATCACAGACTGCTGCGACCCTATCCAAAATATCCCCCAAGATTTCGAATGGGGTCCTGAGCTGAAGATTTCCAACTTTGTTCCTGAGCGTGCTCCATTCCTGCTGATGGAACTCCAACTTGGAAAAGAAGAAGTCAGCTACAAAGTACCATACGATGATGTCATCGAAACAATCATCAAAATCTTCGATCAAGCGATCAACGGAACTCAAGCTGTTCCACATATTGAGCGAGGCGTCGTCGACAAAATATTTTGGAAAGGAAACTCCTTGCTAGAGAGCGTTGGAAAGAACGAACCACACATTATCAAAATGCGCGAAGTGATCACCGAAAAACTTGGCGAGTCTCTCGATATGCTCAAGGCTTACGCCAAAGAATTCAACCAGTTCCTGGAGTTTTTCAATTTGAAGATTCCAGAGTATCTCCAAACGTTGAATCTCGATGAGATGAGTGCCAAAGATATTAAAGCTGCAGTTGATGAGCAATTCGCGTTGTCGAAAAAAGTACTTGCTGAGCTTCCGTCGAACCTGGTTATTGGACCTTATTTCGTTGTTGTCGAAAGTGTTCGTCAAAATATCGCTAAGAAACATAAACAGCTTGGAGATGCAATTTTGGAGCTGCTTGTTCAGAAGCTTCGAACCCAAGGAGACGAAGCTTGTAACCTGTGCAAGAACATCCAGCGCAGACTTGGTGAAAAACCTATGACGATTGAAGATCTGGCCGATATGCGAGAATACATGGAAACCGTACCCGCTCAGTTGGAAGAGCTCACACTTGAAGTACAAGATGCTGTCAATGATTACGATCTGATTGAAGAATTCTACTATCCGCTGTCACAAGACGACTTTAATGTTCGATGGGAAGCTGTGTTCTTCCCGGGTAAATTAGAAAAACTGTTGGAGGCAACCTATGGCACTTTGGACGTGATCGAGCAAGACCTGAAGAAGATTCAGATGAAAGATACCGGCGAGTTTCACGAGAAACTTGAGAGCATGCAGATGGCTGTTGCCGGTTTCTCTGCCTACACTGATCCAGCAAAAGCTAACGAAGTTGCCAACGAAGTCCGAAGAACTGTCAAGTCTCTTAACGAATGTCAAGAATCTGCAAACAAGTACAATGCGCGAGAACGTCTTTTCGAAATGCCTGTCACCGACTACTCAAAGATTCAAAAATTGCAGCGCCAATTTCAACCTTTCAAAGACTTGTGGTCTGCCGGTTCTGACTGGTCGCGATGGTCCGATACTTGGTTTAATGACAGCTTGTCTGGAATTGACCCTGAATTGCTCGAGAAACAAGTCGATGAATGTTTTAGAACTTTCCACAAAGCTCAGAAATCTTTCAAGGATGTTCCGGCTGTTTTGAATGTTGCTTCGAATTTCAAACAGTCCGTCGAGGCGTTCAAGCCTTACGTCCCCCTTATTCAAGGTCTGAGAAACCAGGGTATGCGAATCCGTCATTGGGAGCAGCTTTCAGAAGAGCTCGGCTTCAAGATCTCTCTGAAGAAAGAACTCACTTTCCAGAAGTGCTTGGATATGAAGCTCGATACATATACTGAGCAAATCAACAAGGTATCAGAAGTGGCTGCTAAGGAATACGCTATTGAAACGGCACTCGATAAAATGGAGGAGCAATGGAGACCGATTCTCTTCGAAGTCCTCGATTACAAAGATACTGGTACTTACATCATCAAATCACCAGATGAAGCTTCACAGCTACTCGATGATCATATCGGTAAGTTTAAATATTTTTTTTAATTCGATAGTCTTCCTTGTTTTCAATGGCTAAATTCTAACATTGAACTCAAGAGCAGATGACTCCACAAAATAAACTGGTTTAATCTGGTTCGTTTACTAGACTCTACCTCGTGCTCGAAATTAATATCTTTTAATTAAGTCATGACCCAGTCGATGAATTTTTCTCCTTTCAAGAAGCCATTTGAAGAAAGAATCCAAAAATGGGAACTCACACTCCGAACAACCCAGGATGTGCTCGACGAGTGGCTGACCTGCCAGCGATCATGGCTATATTTGGAGCCAATCTTCTCATCTGACGACATTAATCGACAACTTCCCGTTGAAGCAAAGCGATATCAGACTATGGACCGAGCATGGCGTAAAATCATGAAGAATGCGTTTGACAATCCAAAAGTCATCGAAATCTGTGCTGATCAGCGTCTTTGCGACAAGCTCAAAGAATGCAACATGCTCCTCGAGCAAGTACAAAAGGGTCTCTCAGAATATCTCGAGACAAAGCGAATGGGCTTTCCTCGCTTTTTCTTCCTCTCAGACGACGAGCTTTTGGAAATTCTCTCACAGACAAAAGATCCAACGGCTGTTCAACCTCACTTGCGAAAGTGTTTCGAAAACATTGCTCGTATCACATTCGGTGACGACTTGCGAATGACTGAAATGACATCTGCTGAAGGCGAAACTGTTGCTTTCTCTGAAGAAATCTATCCCCGAGGAAATGTCGAAGATTGGCTCACAGAAGTGGAGCGTGTCATGGGCGCTTCTGTCCGTGAATTCCTCCGAATCGCTGTTGAAGCTTATCCACAAATGGATCGAAACGAGTGGGTTCTCAAATGGCCTGGCCAAGTTGTCATTGCCGGATGTCAAACCTACTGGGCTCAAGACGTTGAAAACGCTATCAAAACTGGAACACTGTCCGATTTCTGTGAAGTGTACAACGGAGCACTTTCCGGACTCGTTCATCTAGTCAGAGGAAAACTTACCGGGCTTGAGCGAATGATTCTCTCAGCTCTCATCGTCATTGAGGTGCACGCTCGAGATGTCACACTGGAATTGAACGAACAAAATATCGCATCTGTTAATGATTTCGAGTGGATCTCACAGCTTCGTTACTACTGGTACGATGGAGGACTCTTCATCAGAGCTGTGAATGCCGAGTTTCCATACGGCTATGAATATCTTGGTAATTCTGGCCGTCTTGTCATCACTCCTCTTACTGATCGATGCTACCTCACACTTACTGGTGCTCTCCATCTTAAATTTGGTGGCGCTCCTGCTGGGCCCGCTGGTACTGGAAAGACCGAAACAACCAAGGATCTTGGAAAAGCGCTCGCTGTCCAGTGTGTTGTCTTCAACTGTTCCGATCAGCTCGATTTCATGGCCATGGGTAAATTCTTGAAGGGTCTTGCTTCTACTGGTGCCTGGGCCTGTTTTGATGAGTTTAACCGTATCGACATTGAAGTGTTGTCTGTCGTCGCCCAACAGGTTATGACGATCCAAAAGGCTCAGATCGCTAATGCTGAGACATTCATCTTCGAAGGTGTGGAAATCCGATTGATCAACTCTTGCGCCGTTTTCATTACTATGAACCCTGGTTATGCTGGTCGTACCGAGCTTCCCGATAATCTCAAGGCTCTCTTCCGTCCAGTCGCCATGATGGTGCCGAACTACACAATGATTGCTGAGATTTCTCTGTACTCTTTCGGTTTCGATGAAGCGAAGGTTCTTGCACACAAGATCACCGCTACTTTCAAGCTTTCTTCCGAACAGCTATCGTCCCAAGATCACTACGATTTCGGTATGAGAGCCGTCAAAACGGTCATTTCCGCTGCTGGTAACTTGAAACGAGAACACCCAGAGATGAACGAAGAGTTGATCTGTCTCCGAGCTATTCGGGATGTTAACGTTCCAAAATTCTTGCTCGATGATTTGAAGCTCTTCCGCGGTATTGTCAGCGATTTGTTCCCTGGAATCAAGGAGGAAGAAGTCGACTACGGCTCACTTCTTGAAGCTATTCAAAACGCTTGTTACGAGGACAAGATCAAACCAGTTGAAGGCTTCGTCAACAAATGCATTCAGCTTTACGAAACGACTGTTGTTAGACACGGTCTTATGTTGGTTGGTCCCACTATTTCTGGAAAGACAAAATGCTCACAAGTGCTTGCAAAAGCGCTTACGTCACTCAAAGGAGAAGACTCCATCTCAGGTGGTGTCTACGAAGAAGTACACATTGATTGTTTGAATCCCAAGTCAATTACAATGGGTCAGCTCTATGGTGAGTTCGATCCGATGACTCACGAATGGACCGACGGTATTTTGTCAACTCTTATTCGCCAGGGCTGCGGCGCAACTAACAGTGACAAAAGATGGTACATGTTCGATGGTCCAGTCGACGCTGTTTGGATTGAAAACATGAATACTGTGCTTGATGATAACAAAAAACTTTGTCTTTCCTCTGGTGAAATTATCAAACTGACTCCACATATGACGATGATGTTCGAAGTCGCTGATTTGGCTGTGGCTTCTCCTGCTACTGTATCACGGTGTGGTATGGTTTACCTCGAGCCCGGTGGAATCGGACTCGAGCCATTTGTAGACTGCTGGATTAGTCAACTTCCGCCTGGAGTCGATCGAGCATGCTTGAAGGATCTGTTTGATACATACATGGAGCCAAGTATCGATTTTGTCAGACGCAATCTGAAAGAAATCGTGACCAGTGTCAATGGAAACTTGGTATTTTCTCTTCTTAATTTGCTCGATACTTTTGTTGAGCCACTGCGACCAAAAGAAACTGGTATGCCAGCTATGGGCGTTGAAGGCGGAAAGCGAGTTTCCGTGAGAAGATCCACAACATCAGCTGTTCGAAGTTCTACGAGCATGAAGCGAATCTCACCTGTTGCGAGAAAACGGCTCGATCTTCTTGCTGAGCCTTGGTTCATATTTTCACTCATTTGGTCAATTGGTGGAACCACTGATTCTGAAGGAAGATCGAAGTTTGATGAGTTCCTCCGAAAACTCATGGCTGAGAAAGGCGCGAAATTCCAATTCCCCGAAGATGGGGAGATTTACGACTTTGTTCTCGCTGACGACTCTCTTGGCTTAGACAAGGATGACGATGAAGAAGATGACTTCACACCAGAGTGGGTTTCATGGCTCACTAAGGTCGACGAATACACTGTTCCTGAAGGCGCAAACTTTACAGAAATCTTGGTCCCAACTATCGACACAATTCGTCAATCAATCATTCTCGGTCAACTTGTTAACTGCAACAAACAAGTTCTCGCAGTTGGTCCCACCGGTACTGGTAAATCCGTCGTCATTTCTGATAAGCTTCTGACCGGCATGTCTGACAAATTCATTCCAAACGTCGTGGTCTTCTCCGCAAAGACTTCCGCAAATCAAACTCAAGATCTTATAGATAGCAAGCTTGACAAGCGACGAAAGGGTATCTTTGGCCCACCGATTTCTAAATATGCCGTCTTTTTCATCGATGACTTTAATATGCCAGCGCTTGAAGAATATGGTGCTCAACCGCCCATTGAAATTATTCGACAATGGATGGACTACAAGGGTTGGTACGATCGAAAAGCCATTGGCTCTTTCCGAAATCTTGTCGACATTGGATTCGTCTGTGCTATGGGTCCCCCTGGAGGTGGACGTAATCCAGTCACCGCTCGACTTCTTCGTCATTTTAACCAACTTGCATTTACAGAAATGGGTGACAAATCAAAGGCCCGTATTTTCGGTAAAATTCTCGACTCTTGGCTTCCAGAAAGCCTTCTTGAATTCAAAGATCCTCTTGTCAATAGTACAATTGATGTTTATGGAACAGTCTGCAAGTCACTCTTGCCCACGCCAGCAAAGTCCCACTACACTTTCAATCTTCGAGATCTAGCTAAGGTATTCCAAGGTATGCTTATGCATGCTCCTAAAGAAATCGAGGATGTGCAAGTTCTCACAAAGCTTTGGTTCCACGAAGCTTGCCGAGTCTTCTCTGATCGTCTTATCAACAACGAGGATCGAACTTGGTTCGAAGACCAGCTCAAGGGAAAGATCAATGACTCGTTTGGCCTCGATTTCAATGAAGTTGCTCCTCATAAGCCTGTCATCTTCGCAGATTTCGTGAGCAACAACGGAGCTTATCAATTTGTCAAAGATCACAAGAAAATGATCAACGTAATGACAGAGAGTTTGGAAGACTACAATGAAGTTTCCCAAGCGCAAATGAAACTTGTTCTTTTCATGGATGCTGCTCAACACGTCTCAAGAATCAGTCGAATCATTCGACAGCCACTTGGAAACGCTCTTCTCCTCGGTCTCGGTGGTTCTGGTCGACAATCACTCACTCGTCTCGCGGCACACTTGTCTGACTACGAGTGCTTCCAGATTCAGCTCGCTAAAAATTATGGCGTCAACGAATGGCGAGAAGACATCAAAAAAGTAATGATGCAAGCAGGTCTTCAACAAAAGGCTACAGTCTTCCTCTTCTCAGATACTCAAATCAAAGACGAGTCATTCTTAGAAGACATCAACGGTATTCTCAACTCTGGTGATGTTCCCAACATCTATGCCCAAGATGAGCTAGATAAAATTTACAATGCAATGAAATCAGAATGCGCTAGTCTCGGTCTTGTCCCTACAAAATCGAACATGTTCAGCGTCTACACACGTCGGGTCAAGGCTAATTTGCATACAGTCGTATGCATGTCTCCAATTGGTGACATCTTCCGAGCGCGTCTTCGACAGTTCCCTTCATTGATCACGTGCTGTACTATCGATTGGTTCACCGAGTGGCCCGATGAAGCCTTGCGGTCGGTCGCAAACACTTTCATCGCTGACACTCCTGTTACAGAAGATGTGCTCAAAGGAATCATCGACGTTTGCATGCAGATGCATCAATCCGTCGCCGTAGCTTCTGAAAGATTCAAGGCTGAGCTGCAGCGTCATAACTACGTCACACCAACAGCATATCTAGATCTTCTCGCCCTTTTCAACAAACTCTACGGAATCAAGATCGATGAGGTCCGAACTCAGCGTGATCGAATGAAGGTCGGTCTCGACAAACTCCTCAAAACCGCCGAGGACGTCGCAGTTATGCAAGTCGAGCTCGAAGAAATGCAACCCGAGTTGAAAATTGCTCAGGAAAAGACGGCTGAGACGATGGTGCAGATAGAAAAGATACAATCATTGCAAACGAGACAAAAGCAACTGTTGCTGTGCAAGAACAAGAGTCGGCAGTTGCCGCTGAAAGAGCTTCGAGAATTGCAGAAGACGCCCAAAGAGATTTGGATGAAGCTTTGCCAGCTCTTGAAGCCGCCACTAAATCGCTAAAAGTAAGTCTTCCATGATTCCCACGAACTGCTATTTCAACTTTGAAAACCTCTTTATGAAAATTATTTTTAGTCTCTCAATACATCTGATGTCGTCGAAGTCCGAGCCATGCAGCGTCCACCACCTGGTGTGCGAATGGTCATCGAAGCCGTCTGTATTATGTTCGAGATCAAGCCTAAAATGGTGGCGGGAGAGCAGCCTGGTAAAAAGGTTGCGGACTACTGGGAACCTGGCAAAGCCCTGCTTCAAGCTCCTCCAAAGTTCTTGGAATCTCTTTTCAAATACGACAAGGACAACATTCCCGAACATGTCATTACGAAAATCGCCCCGTACATCGAATCTGAAGACTTCCAGCCCGCTGCAATCGCGAAAGCCTCAAAAGCCTGTACCTCGATTTGTATGTGGGTCAGAGCCATGGACAAGTACCACCACGTCGCCAAAGCCGTCGAGCCAAAGCGACAAGCTCTCGCTGGCGCCCAAGCGGAACTCGCTGAAGCTCAAGAAATTCTTCAATCTGCTCAGGCGAAATTGGCCGAGGTCGAAGCCGGTTTGAACAAGCTCAATGCGGATCTTCATGCGACCGTTGCCAAGAAAGAAGAATTGGAGAGAAACACGCAATTGTGTCAGGACAGATTGGTCCGAGCTGATAAACTCATCGGCGGTCTGGCTGGGGAGAAGGTCAGATGGGCCGAATCTATCACAAAGTAAGCCACTACTAACAGTTGTTGTTCATTAGTTTATCAAAAGCAGATGATTCCTCTTGAGGACCCTTAGGGCAGTGGGGATGTCCACGCCAAAACTTGTTTTCCGAATTATGTTAACACGATAGCAGCTTTTTGTCAAGTCTCTCCGAGACTTGTCTAGAACATGTTTCTCCCAAGCTCGAATCTTCCAGTCAAGAGATTGATCTTTTCAAAATGCCGAGAAAGCTAATGTTTTCTATAAGCGCAATAGTATATTTACAACCGAAAGAAATAAAGAATTGTCTCTTTTTTGTTGTGGGGTAAAGAATATAAGGCTACAGAAGTTGGAAAATATGACACAGTGTAGATATTTTTTCATTAAAACTTGAAAATTCGATTTTCGACATTTTCGTGATCTTTTTGAAGATATTCGTCAGTGAGGATGACTTTCACGGTTTCTCCTTCCGGGTTGACCTTTTCCTCGACGATGCGACCAATTTCCGTCTCAGTAGCTCCTGTTAACCGAGCCAGTCGGGTTCGTATCACATCCACCTTCAATTTCACTCCAGGAAGTTGATACTTTGGTTTTTCAAAAGAGCTCTCCACCTCTTCACACGCTTCAACCAACTCCATCGGTTCGAACTCATCCGAAGACTCGTCGGAAGAGCTCATCGGATCTTCATTATTGTAAGGCCTGTAGGACTCTGACCGCTTTCTAGCCGCTTTCCGCAGCTGTTCATTTTTCTGGTGCGTTTGCAAAATGTTGTAGAGGCGAATTCCATCAGCAACGCCGCACTTGTCGATGATGAACTTTCGCGGGAGCTTCAGAAGCGTCGATCCGTTGCAATTTCGAAATACTTCCTAAATATGGAAATTCGTAAAATTATTCAAGAAACAGAAGGGGGCAATAATGATTTATTACTTAGACATAGCGCTTTATCAACAAAAAAGATGGGTTCATCTCGGTTGACTTTTGATGAGCTCAACATTCCGGTCAATTAAGAATTTTGCGAATTAGAAATAAAAGCTTTTTTACAGTAAATTTGAACAATACCGGTATAAAAACTCTCGTTCACACTTTACATTGGCGATAAGCCAGATTTTTCAGCAAAAATGACGAAAAATTTTCATATTTGCCTCAATTCTATTTTCATCGGCAAAGATTCGCTTCAGTAAATTTCGATAAAACCCACCCGCTCGGTCTAAAAAAACAACCAGAACTCACCAAATGTTCCTCGAATCGTCGATTCGTCAAAAACACTTGAACGTCGGTTTTGGACATTTTCGAGAGCTTGATCATCTTGTTCGAAATCTTGCACATTTTTTCGAAGTTCTCTTTTGCTTCTTTCTCTTTTGTCTCTATTCGAATTTTCGAACTTTGCGAACTTTGTTGCCTTCTGAAGATATTCTTGGTGTTATTTTTGTTTTGTGGTTTACAGTTGTTTTATGACTGCAGTAGGTTGTCGAGTGAGGGTTTTTCCCACGATCTGATTTTTTTCTTCTGCGGATGAGGATAAGGTCTTCGTGCGTTTATTTATGAACTGCTTCAACTGAGGACCAGAGTCGATCTGGTAATTTTTTGGTCTGGTAAATGCGCGTTTAGCGCCGGTCTGGTAGTTCGCGCTCAACTCGAACGCTCATTGGCCCGTCTCAACGAGACTAGTCCCAACTGGTTTCAATGGAAAATACCCAGTCGATGGAAAATTCAAGAATGTTTTTGAGAAGTGAAATTTTCTATACTGAATTTTTTTTTTCATATTTCTATTAGCAAATTTAATACTTTCGGTTTTTTATCTTTTAAAATTATATTTCAAAGCTTTCCTTATTAATTATTTTTCTTATAATCGAGCATTTTGTCAAAACAAATCGATTTTCGTTTCTAAAAATCATAAAAATATTTTCTTTTTATCTACTCCAAATCTCTTAAGATTCCAAAAATGTACAGAAAAGAAAGAATCACTGTTGAACTTTGGGAATTTTCCATTTTGAAAGCCGTTCAAATATTTTTAAATTCCTTCTTCGACTTTGTTCAGAGGTCATTCTACCTGTATCTTATGTTACATTTTCATATTTGCGTTCAATGAACTTTTTCGTTGAAATACGAAAATCCGTTTCGAGCCGGTTCGAACCGTAAAAACTAGAATTCGCTTCCCTAAGATCACGCTTTTTGCGCCTGATGGATATTTTGTCCCACTTATATAGAAATGACCTTAACTGTCTTGTGACCTTATTGTCACACCTACAGCCGGAGTCCAAAATAAGGGACACCAAGATAAGGGACTTTTTGGCTCGAAATGCCTAAAATCTGCGCCCCGATTTGTATGTTTTCTATGTTAAATTGAACCAATTTAAGGGACTTTTTTTCGAAAATTCGGGACCAAAAAAAGTCCCTTATTTTGGACTCCGGCTGTATCTGGCCAGTGACACATTTCGTCCAGAGGCTACTGTTTTTCCTCATTTTAAAATAGGGAGCTAAACATTTCCTCTTCAGATTGAATCATCAACTTGATCATTTGGCTGGAGATGTCCTCGTTTCTGCCGGAACAATCGCCTATCTTGGCCCCTTCACGGGTGAATTCCGAGCTGATCTCGTCAAAGAATGGACTGAATTCATCGACAAGCGGGGAGTGCCCCGCACGGATCAACCCGATCTCGTCGCTGCTTATGGCGACCCAGTGAAAATCCGCAACTGGCAGATCTACGGTTTGCCGAGGGACTCTTTGTCGACGGCAAATGCCATTGTTGCGCAGTATACAAAGCGATGGCCGCTATTCATCGACCCTCAGGAAAGGAGTAGTAAATTTGCGAACTCAGAATTTCTCGTCAATAATTTTCTTTATAAAGAAAAAACCAGACAAGTTTTTCACTAAAAACGAAATAATATAGACACTGAAAAGTGAATCCAATATTTCAACTCTTCGTTAGGGCCAAGCCAACAAATGGATCAAGCAACTGGAGAAAAAGAACCAACTCGACGTGCTAAAACTCACCGACAAGGACTTTCTCCGCTCCCTCGAAAACGCCGTGCGTTTCGGAAAGCCCGTTCTCTTAGAGAATGTGCAAGAAGAACTCGATCCTGCGCTGGAGCCGATTCTACTGAAGCAGATTTTCAAGCAGCAGGGATGGAACGCGATCAAATTGGGAGATGCTGTGATTCCCTACCACGACGATTTCAAGCTTTACCTCACCTCCAAGCTCCCCAATCCTCACTACACGCCCGAAATTTCCACAAAGGTCACCGTCATTAACTTTACTCTTGCTCCGTCTGGACTGGAAGATCAGCTGCTCGGCCGCGTTGTGGCAGAAGAACGACCGGATTTGGAAGAAGCCAAGAACCAGCTCATCGTGCAAAATGCGAATATGAAGCAAGAACTTAAGTCGATCGAGGACGAAATTCTCCAACGTCTTTCCGACTCGCAAGGAAACCCAGTCGACGATGTGGATCTCATCCAAGCGCTAGAAGCCTCGAACGCCAAATCTAAAGAAATCAAGGCCAAGGTCGCTGCGGCAGAAATCACGGAGAAGGAAATCGACGAAACTCGAATGAAATACATCCCCGTCGCTGTCCGATCGCAGATCTTATTCTTCTGCGTCTCCGATTTGTCCAACGTCGATCCGATGTACCAATACTCGCTTGATTGGTACGTTAACATCTTCGTCAACGCGATCGCCAACGCCGAGCGATCAGACGACATCGACGAGCGAATTGCAAATATCAACTCGTTCATGACATTCTCGCTCTATTGCAACGTCTGTCGATCCCTCTTCGAAAGACACAAGCTCATGTTTGCCTTCCTCGTCTGCATTCGCATTCAACTCAACGATGCAGTCATCAATCCTATGGAATTCCGATATCTTCTTGCAGGCTCAGCTGCGTTGCCCGAATCGGAGTTGAAAAAGCCCGAATGGGTTCCAGACAAATCATGGATGGAGCTTCTTCAAATGGAATACTCGATTGATCGATTCAAAGGATTCCCGCAAGAGTTTATTGAGAAAGAAGACGTCTGGCGTCAAATTTATGAAAACCCGAACCCGCACAAAATGGACATGCCCGTCAAAGAAGAACTCAACGATGGCCTCGCGAAAATGATCGTGTTGAGAATGCTTCGGTCGGACAAAATTACGAACGCAGTTCAAGACTACGTCGCAGCTAATCTTGGCCAACGATTCATCGAGCCGCAGAGCACTGATTTGGCTGAGGTATTCGCAGAATCCTCCCCAACATCGGCTCTTATTTTCGTCCTCTCGTCCGGTACAGATCCTGCTGCTGATTTGCACAAATTCGCAGAGGCAAAGAAATTCACCAAGAAAATGAATTCGATCTCGCTCGGCCAAGGTCAGGGCCCGATCGCCGAAGCTTTGATGAAATCAGCGATGGAACGAGGACAGTGGGTATTCTTCCAGAACTGTCACTTGGCGCCATCTTGGATGCCTAGCTTGGAACGACTGATTGAAAACATCTCCCCTGAATTTGTTCATCGCGATTTCCGAATTTGGCTGACTTCGATGCCTTCGAACAAGTTCCCGGTCTCTGTCCTGCAGAATGGCTCTAAAATGACGATGGAGCCTCCTCGTGGAATCAAAGCCAATCTGCTCAAGGCGTACACGACCATGGTTGTCGATGATGACTTCCTCGAAGCGTGCAAGACGCCAAATATCTTCAAGACTCTCCTCTTCTCTCTTTGCATGGTGCACGGTGTTCTCCTTGAGCGCAGAAAGTATGGCTCCCTCGGTTTCAACATTCCGTACGAATTTACGGATGGAGATCTTCGAATCTGTCAGTCGCAGTTGCGAATGTTCTTGGATGAATACGAGCCAGAAGTGCCTTACAAGGTTTTGACTTACACAGCCGGTCACATCAACTACGGAGGTAAGAAACCACAATTCTTTCAACACATAACATTCTTGTTTAGGTCGTGTTACTGACGATTGGGATCGACGATGCATGATGTCCATCCTTGGTGAATTCTACAAGCCCGCCGTTCTCGAGACAGGCTACATTTTCGATCCGTCCGAAATCTTCGTTCAAATCGATCCAGCCGAGTCCGAGTTCGCCGACTACATGAATTACTACAGAACTTTGCCGATCAACGACAAGCCAGATGTTTTCGGCCTTCACGATAACGCTGATATCGCTTACGCCAACAATCAGACTATGTTCCTCCTCAACACTCTTCTCGCCCTCCAGCCGCGATCCGCTTCTGGTGGTATTTCACGAGAAGACGTGGTTTCCAAGCTTGCAACGGAGATTCAAGGCCAGTTACCACCTGTATTCGACTTGGAAGGAATCATGAATAAGTACCCAGTCATGTATGAAGAATCCATGAATACTGTTCTGCAACAAGAAGCAGAAAGATTCAATAAATTGCTGAATGTCATGAAGAGCTCGCTCAGCCAGATGCAAATGGCTATCAAAGGTAAATTTCTAGCTTTATTGTGAGAACAGCGTGCGTCTTTAAATTTAATGTCGGCCTAAAAAGTAAAAGCTATGATAAATTAGTAAAACGCTAGAAACCATAATCGGCATATGTTCTTGAACTATTTCTAATTATTTTTGGCCAATAAGCTTTCGAGGCGAGGGTGTGCCCTCGACGAGCTTGAACTGTTCGTTGAGTCTGCCCGAGCGGCAATTTGGCGTCGGTCAAATCTAAGACCACATGTGATGTCAAGGTCGCAGTCTCGAGAATTAACGTGTGGCGACTCCCTGCTTCTTCGGAAGCACGGTCGCCGCCAGCCGGGCATATTCCTGTTCTGGGCAGTGTTCCCCTTCTGGGGGTGTCATCGCTCCGGATAAACCATGCTCGGTACAAATCCCACCACCAATTATAAAAAAATAAGCATGAAAACAGAATACCAAATGTAAAATCTCAATTACTTGAAGCTCATAACTAACATCTTATTCTATTGATAATTTATTTTAGGTCTCGTTGTTATGTCTGATGCACTTGAAAAGATGTTCAACTCTCTCTTCGACAATCAAGTCCCAGCGAACTGGTCAAAATGCGCGTATCCATCCCTCAAGCCCCTCGGTGCATGGGTAAAAGATCTTGTTGAGCGATGCCAGTTTATCCAAAATTGGGTCGACAACGGTACCCCAGCTGTCTTCTGGATCTCCGGATTCTTCTTCCCACAAGCTTTCATCACTGGTACTCTTCAGAACTTTGCACGAAAAGTGCAAGTATCTATTCATACGATTGGATTCGACTTTGCTGTCCTTCCCGGTCCGCTTGATGAATGGGAGCGTGTTCAGAAGGCGCCAGATGATGGATGTTACATCAGAGGCTTGTTCTTGGAAGCGGCTATTTGGGATGTAGACAAACAGATTGTAAGATTTAGATTTGCAAGAGCGGTTTTAATCAATCGTTTTAGCTTGCTGAATCGCGTCCAAAGGAGCTCTACACCGATATGGCTGCGATGCATTTGATCCCAGTTCCAAATCGCAAAAAGAAAGAATCTGGAATCTACACCTGTCCGATCTACAAGACCATCACTCGAGCTGGTACTCTTTCGACGACTGGTCACTCCACCAACTTCGTCATGCCAGTCGAGCTGCCGACCGACAAGGACGAAAATCATTGGATTCGACGCGCTACTGCGCTCATGTGTTCTCTTGATTACTAATTCCTTTATTTCACCTGTATAATCTCTATTTTTATAATAAATATAATCTATTTTCAACAATTATATTTTCTCTCCTTCAAATGTTTAACTTTCAGAATGACTTTCGATGAGGGACTCGCAAATCACTGCATTAGACAAGCAAGAGATGGGACAGTTAAGCAGCGCCGATTGGCAGAAGCATCTGTCTGCCTTTTGAAATTGACCAAAATCTTGGGCGAAACCAAGGCCCTGGGTGAAACGAATATAGGAGAAGCTATCGGGCAGTTGTATCCCGAGTACTTGGAATCCTTACTTTCCCGGGCCGCCTTTGCTGAGAAGAAAAAAACTTCATCTATCAAAACATCAGTAAGTCTTCAACTTACTCACTGAAAACAAGGAAGAAAACGGCAGATTAGACGATTATTTTAGGCAACAACATTTATCACATCATCAACAAAAGCCAGAATGAATCAAGAGAATTTACTAATGAAACAGGAAAAAATATTGGAGCTTTCTACCGTCACAGCTTTAGGTATTCTGAGGCCTCGGAATTCTAATGCTAACTGTTTTCAGCATTATTACAGTCAGGAAATCACGCTCATGCCTTGCTCGCAGCTCAACAGTTTCTCGTCCTAGCGGGCGACATTTACGGAGTGAACGATTTGCGATTAATACCAGCGTACACTCTTTTGGCGGAAATCTGCATCGGACTTAACAAACACCGTGAAGCGGACCAGCACCTGCAAAAAGCGAACTGGGTTATCAAACGTAATCAAGAAGATGAGACAATTAACCAAGTCTTTTCTCGGCTTTACCGGGCCATGGGATTGCTTGAAGCAGCCAAGGGAAATACTGAAGATGCATCAAGGTAATTTTGGGATATCAAAAGATAGACAAATTTGGTTTTTAAGACTATTCGCAGAACAAGTATTTTACGCTTCGCTGTGGGCTGGAACAGAATCAATCGGCGCCGCTTGTGGATATTTCAACTTGGCGAATATGGCCGCCCGAAATCCAGGAATGATGCAAGTTGCGATTAGTTTCTACGAGAGGACGCTCGACTGCTGGCTTCAACTTTTGGCAGATGAGAATTTGGATATTCCGGTGTTAGAAAAGGGCGAGACTTTTAACATGCTCAAGGCGATTGCAGAAGTAACTTTATAACTCTTTTACAAATACTCATATCAATTTTAAGACGATGGAATCAATCTCAGCCGAGTCTCAGAGCACCGCAAAAGCACTCACAACCCTGGCTTGGTTTAGCGAACGAATCGGTGAACCGAACGACTCGATCAAGACTCGCGCAACAGAACTTGTGCAGAAACTAAAGCTATCCAACTGTAATATTCTTCAATATGTTTCATAAACTAAGCTTTTCATTTATACCGACAATATTTTATTATAATAAAGAGATTATTTTTATACAATTCGCGGGTAACTTTACTAATGAAAATAATAGCAAAGTAAATCGGATTTTCATTTTTATTTTGCAGGAAAAAGTTGCTCATTCTTCTTCGTCGTCTTCTTCGGCGAGATTATGAAGAAGTCGGAGAGTATGTTGAAATAAAAGTAAGCCTTCGTCAGAAGATTCCTCTTTGTCCAACTCGATTTCAATAGAATAAGCGTACGGATAGAGGTACCAACAGTTTGGCTCCATGGCGAAGAAAGAAATTACCTTTCGGGGAAATCTTTCGTGAGTACAAGTTTCGCTGTAGTATTCTCGAGATAACGGAATACGGATCTCAACATCATTATTTTCGTCAGATTGGGTATTTTGTAGTACATATTCCGTATCCTCCACCCTGTCAATGATCATTTGATGCTGTATTAATTCATTTTCGTCTTTGAGAGCGGCGGTAACAGTAAGTGGGCGTTTGAATTTGAATCTTCTGTGTAACTGAACTTAAGAAAAATATAAATTAATAATAATCATTAGAAATTTTTTTTTCACAAACCTCTATGAAAAATCAATTTACTGTCAAAAAGAAAATGACGATCTAGATAATGCTTTCCAATGGCGCCCAACATCCAATTCCACATAGGCATTCGGGCATAAGGTCCATTCTTTAAACTTTCCAAGATACCTTCGATACGCTGTGAATACTGCTTCTGAATTTCATCAAGATTAGGATTCAAGTTCATGCCAGCCAGGCTTCTTGGATATATCAAAAATGTTATGAAGTGAAAGATTCTTGTGAAGCTGAAAGCTTCTTTCACTTTTTCAACATCAAAACAATCTTCATGAAGATAGCTAGGAAGTCTCTTCGTTTTAACGCACTCTAGAATCGCACTACAGAGTAGATTTGCCACACATACTGGTACACATAAAGCTGAGTCTTTTTGATCAACAACATGCTTTGTGATATTCTGAAAACCTTCGTGGAAGAACGTCGTAAATTCAAACTTCATTTCTGACATTTGAATTGATTTCGTGATATTACTGTCCAGAACGAAACTTGCATCATTTCTTGGGAGAGAAAAAACAGAACTCACACTTCTAAAGGCCGCATCGGGTATATTATTCGAGTCTGGAGATAAATGAACAAGCCAGAAAAGATTACAACGCTCAAGTAGTGTGAGAATATGTGCATCTTCTAATTCAGTTGTTGGTCGGAAAAGAAGATTCCATGCTGTCTTCCAATCACAGAAAAGAAAAACTAAAATCGGTATTTCAATTTTCCCAGTGTGATATCTGTCTATGTCTCTGAGGGGATCATGATACCAGTAATAGTCCATGCCACAATCAAATTTTTCGATTTCTTGATCGAACTGTTCAATAAGAGTCTTATTTATGGGACGATCACGATGATTGTATTTCGGGTTTCCCAAAACTTTACTGACTCTACAAAATCCTGGAGTCGCAGCTGAGAGACTCTGACAGTATCGGAACTTGTCTCCTCTTCGAACATAACCCATTTCTCGATATCCCGTGCGGCCCGAGTGATCGTAAACAACGCCAAAATCTATCCATTTAGGAGTTAGATCTCGACCAACGAGAACAATGTTTTCAAGTTTCTGATCGCAATGTTTTATCCCAATAAGTGCCAGATAGTCTAGTCCTGCCCGTACTTGTATCGCGATTTCCCGTCGTTGCTCGATTGTCAAAGACTCAGATCGCAAACGGCTTCTTAAATTTCTGTTTTGTCCTCTTTCCATGATCGTTATCCATCCGAGACAATCGCTTTTATCAGAATCCGACTTCAAGAAAATTTCGATATTCGCGAAGTTTTTGATGACATTTGGATGAATTGGGATGCAGTCATCTTCGTTATCCAAGTCAGATGGATTTATTGCTAAATGATCAAAGAACCTTACAGTTCCAGTCGCTTTTCTGTATTCTTAACTTTTTAATAAATGGATAGAAAACCTTTATAATTTTACCGTTAGGCTGGTGAATAACAAATTCAAGATCGTCAGCTTGAAGTTCAGACGTAAAAAGACACGGATCGAAATGCTGAACTCGGTAAAAAGCATCAAATTGGTCGTTTTCATTGCCAATTATCGATTCTCCACCGGAACTGTCCCTACAAGAAGTGTCCCAAGAACCAAGTTCAGGCCTTAGTTCCTCTCGGAAAATTTTTGTATTGATGAATCTCGGGTTGCGGTCAAGAAGATATTTTTGAAAAGTTGTTGTCGAGAAACTAGCGAGTTTTTCTTCTTCTCCATCGTTTATCTTCCAAAGTGAGCCTACTTCGCGAGTTTCAAAGTTGAAAAAGGTCCAATAAATAGCAGCATAATCCGCGCCAGGATACTCGCCTCTTTCAACAGAAAGTATAAGTCTGCATTTTTCAGTGCGAGTTGTATTTCTCTTCAGCGTTGGTAGAAGTTTAAACAGCCAGTCAGAGATGATGGATTTTTTTATCCTTTTCGACCAATTGGGACCCAAAGCTTTGGCTATATAAAAATGTTTCTTATTTTTATTCCTTCTCATCTCTAGTTGTGGAGAGGAATTCTAAAATAATGATCGAAGGACTATTGGCTCGGTTCCAGCCAATGAAAAACTTGCGTTGTTCTTCAGGATCGATTCAATATTTACGTTGTGCAATGTTCCTCCGCGCGCTGAGTACTTTTAAAAGTAAAAAAAGAAGTTTTTCGTTTACACCTTCCCAATTGTCAACCTTATTACTTATCAATTTTGGCATAAGAAGATGTATATTTTTATTTTTTTTTCATCTTTGAAATCATGGAAGAGAGACATCTTTGCTTGATCTTACTTGTTAAAAACAGTCAGATGCTTATTTTGACAATACATTTTATAGTTTTACGTAAATAGATCTACAAAAACCACAAAACGTCTGAATCCTGACAAGTTTCACGTTCCAGAACTACATCGTAAAAAGATCCCCTGGCTTTTTCATTTATCGTTAAGATGCTTTTATGCTCAGTTTTTCCGCACACTAGAATTAGCGGTCGCGGCTCTGAAATTTTATCGTTATTGCAAAAATACTCTGAGAAAAGAGCGCTCCACTTCAGATCTTTCATTGAAAAATTTTGTTGAAAAAGAAGTTCTCGCAGAAAAACCACGATACGAAAACCACATCCTCTTGCTTAAATTTTTTTAGGTGGAAGATTATCCAGTTCAGAGACCAATTATTGATCTTTTTAACACAGAGAAGAACTGAAGTGTTACAGTGAATCTGTGCTGAGTCGCTTTAGTTGAATTGTGGCTGGAGTAGGGCTAAAGCGGATACTGTTTGGCGGAGGAGTGCGGGTTTGAGCGATCTTTTAGCCGCGGCGGCACCACACTGCTGGGCGTGTGGCGGAGAGCGCGCTTAGCTCCGCCCTACTGCAGCATGTTTCCTCGTTCCTCGCCGCGGAGCACCAGACCAGCGCGCACCTCCGCGCAACTTCGCTGAAACACGCATCGCGCCAATCTGCTGACTGAGGAAAACACCTCCAACGACCCGCTCCACCTTGTGGATACCAAAACGCAAAAGGCAGATTTCTCAACAGTTAAAAAGTTAAATCTCTTAATTGACAAGTGTCATCCACAATTTTGATAAAAAAATCTGTAAACTTTTTTCTTATGAATTTTAAAATGATACAAAAAGTGAAGTTAAAGATTCTCAAGAGTTCTCATAATGTTCTTTTTCTTTGATGATGTATAAAAGCTGCGATAAAGATCTCAATTCTCCTTTTACGCTTTCATTTTTTAAAAGAATTCATGAAATTAATCAAATTGTATTTCTTCTCGAGAATACTGAAAGATAAGGCCTTCATACTCTTATCTTTAACTGGTTGATATTCGAGCAATTACTTCGAATAAACTTCGTTTTAACAGTATTATCTTTGGCCAAAGGTATTTACCGCGTGTGGTACAAGATCCACACAGCGGGCCCCAGCGCTAATAGCGTCTAGGGTCGCCACGGTTCAATTTTCAAGTTCAATTCATATTTTAGTCTTTTTTCGCTCCCGATTTTTTTTTTCAGAAATACGGTATTTAAGCCGCGCTTTCAAAAATGTTCAAAGAAATTCTAACCGATTTGTTTAACATTGAATATCAATAATTAATTGATGAGTTACGAGAGTAACTTATTATGTGAGAATAATTTATTGTGAATCCTGTTTATATTTTGACTTATCCAAATAGAACACCTCTTATATTTGAGGGTTGTAAATTAGGGCGAGGAATAACCAAAATGGGCGATTTTAACAACTAAGCGTTAGCGCTCGGCGAGCGGCCCACTTGTGACGCTGTAGAGCGCGAGGCCCCTTCGCCGCCCGAAATCGCCAAAACCGCCCTGATTCCGTAGCTACTCAATGACAATCAACTGAAGATTAGGCTCTAGGGTGCGTGGAGAAATATATCTTCAACTCAAATGGCTGAATTCAAATCCATACTCGTATTTCCGATATCGTTTTCGATGATCTGAACAATCAACAAATAAAATAATGGAAAATTTACGATTGATTATTTTTAAAAGAGAGTCTGATTACAGTAAGCAGGATGCGCTGTTGTTTTGGGAATAGCCAGCTCTACATATGAATCGGCTCTCGAGCCTTGGTTTTCTAATGGGCCGGAAGCGTTGAGGGAAGACTTCAAGACTGGGGTACCGCGGAATGTCAAGCTCTTGGTTGTAGCTCCTCTCTTTTCCTTTCTCATCATTTTCGATGCATAAATATTAAAACAACAAACAAGCCATTTACTGCTCATTCAAGACGCGTTTACTTTATTTTATAATTTATAAATGAAATATTTTTCAGATTCTTTATTGAAAGATTTTTCGTGTTGCCAACGCCCTTGCTCTTTTTGCATTTCTGGCTGTTCTAAAAAATCGCGGGCACTTTGCAAGTGGCTTGCTGGGAGGATTACGGCGGGAAATATTGGTATTGTTCGAGCAGGTCAAAAAAATAACGCCCTTAGCTTGAAGTGGTTGCTTTCTTAAAATATCTCTGGATTAGGAGCAGTGAGACATTTGGCGTTCGTTCCTGACCGGATCAGTTTTTATGAGCTCTGCATGACTTAACGGAACCGTAAATGACGCACTAAAGATGGCTGAAATTTTCCAATACTCATATAAAAAGCTCCCAGCTTCAAACCCCTAACAAGGGTGACAAAAATCTAGTAAATATGAACGCTGGGGTTAAATGAATCCAAGCTTGAAATTTGAGGCCATTTGTTTATTACGCTCACTTTATTTATCGCTAGAAAAAAATCGCTTGTTTGAACAGGGCTGCGCACTCAAGCAAGGCTAAATGAACACTTCAAGAGCGAGATTGGCTTTTATCGTCTGCTAGAACTTGCAGATACGGAGTCTGACGTAGATAAACTCGCTTTTCTCAACGTGTACGATTTATAAAACATATCGATATTTACTAGCAAGACTCTTCAGAGCCTGAAAATAAGGAAATTACGATATAAAATCTGCATAGGAAAACGCATTTTAGAGATTAACTCATTTTCACATGTGAACCAAATTTGTGGTCATTTAAACTTCGTATCTTGCACAGTTAAATTTGTAGTTTGCAATTGACATGTATTCTGCTAGAATGTATGAAGTCGATTCTCGATTTAGAGATGAATTTGTATCGTACCGAGAAAGCTGCCAAAAAGTGAGGATGAAGCATAAAAGAGCTCTTCTGAGATCTGAGAAGCGCGTCGTTTTGCGCTGCCGCCCCGCGGTCGTCACACAAACGCGCGAGAGAGCCAGAAAGCGCCGCTGCCGCTGCGGACTCAATTCAAAAAGGATTCCTTTTAGGGTGATCGCAAGAATCCAAACTTCCGTATTTATTACTTTCAATTGAAAAATCAATGTCTTATTTGATCTATCAACCCATTTTATCAAAATTCAGTAAATAGCCAAAATATCTTTATAACAGTATTTTTCGAAACAAAAGAAAACTGTCATAAGTCAAGTAAATAAAAATCTGAATGGAAAACAGAAATGATGACAGCTCATTTCTGTAAATAATTGAAGCTAAATTAAATTTGACCAACAAAATATTTTTCGTTACGAAGAATCCTTGGAAACAAATGTTGGTTCAACTAAATTAATATGATGAAAAAAGACCCTCGTTCAGATCTTGAGCTCGGTTAGAGCAAGCTAAGCCTGTGAATTCTCAATTTTTTGGTTTGAGCTCGCGCTCGGCCGCTACCCGTCCCGATGCGCTACCGCCGCCCGCCCGACACGCTAAACACCCCGCCACAACGCGCAGAAATCGCGCAAAAGGAACAAAAATTATTTCCCAAAATAAATTTCCTTCCAAGACCAAATTTTCAACACAGAGAGGTTTCCCTCGACCCCACGAAGATTTCTAGACGAAGAAGAAGGCGATAGCTGGTTGTTTTGAGTACGAAAATCGCACTTTTGGCGGTTTTCGAGAGATTCCACGAAGATTAGAAGCGCTAGAAAAATAGAATGAATGGTGTAGCTGTCCAGCCGATCGTAACGCAACCCATTTCGACTCCAGCGCCAGTACAAGATGAGGTAAAACATTTTTTTGACCCACACATCTGTGGTAATCTTCTATGTCTCCCAAAGTACGGGATATCTATTTTAATCCCATTCTCGAGCTTTTCATTATAAAAAATATGTCGGATGATTTATGAAGACCCTTTGGAAACAAAATACCATCATGTGCTTAATGCAGTTTACAGTAAACATCAGATTTCATCCCGTCGTCTCTTAAATTTTGTCTCAAGTGGAAACTACCGGCGGTAATCCGCTAAAAAGCAAGCTGACCGGTCTTGAGTTGAGTTGGTTGGAGTCTAGGGTGGTTAGTAGCGGGTTTGAGCGCGAGTGCACGCAGTATGGCTCCAGCGCAGCTCTAAGCTAGGGTGGCCACGTGACTTTTGGAAGGCGCGGGTAGAAACGCGCTTCGGCCCGACAGACCGCTCGCACGTCACACTGGGAACTATCCATACGACTAGCTCTGGCGTTAAGACAACCGCCACATTCAAACAACAATTCCTCATCTTTGTGGCAAATTTTTGTTGTTTCAAAGTTTACTGAAGATGATCTTATTCAGATCTACTCGAGTACTCTAATTGTTACAGTCATATTCAGCCTCTAGTCGATATTTACGGGTTTCGAGACAAACATTCATCCCCCGATAAACCCCGGTTCCTGAATATCCATTAACGCCAAGAACGCAGTTTTTCAACGCGTGTCTGTATAATTACTATTCGCCGCTCTCGGGAAACGCGCGCGCGTTCCGTACAAGTAGCAAGTCCCGTGAGTTAGGGAGCCTCGCCAAAATTAAGGATGTCAAGTCCGCCGTGGCGTTATACGCTGCCCCGCTCCGCCGCAGCGCTGCGAATTGAATTTGCGCTGCCCTTTTTTCCACCGAAGGCGCTTACTTTGGCGATAATGGAGCGCGCGGTGGACGACCTCTCCAAAAGTTGAATTTTCATAAACTTAAAGGTGGAATTTTTACACATGTTAATGAGCCTTTCTTGTTTATCGTGAGCACTAGAAAGAAACACAGAGCAACTTTTAAAGGCTCCGGTGGTCATTTTCGAGTACATTCAATGAGAAAACTAAACTCAATGATTTACGCTCTTCAGAAGGATTTAAAACACTCGATGTTTTTCATGAAGTTAGATGATATGGAGATCTAATGATCAGTAGTCTAATTGTTGAATTACTGGAACTGTAAGAGTGTTTAATAGAATGTTTCAGAAAAAAACATCTGAAATCATGAACTTGAGCGGCGGGTGTGGTAAAGCGCGCTGTGCAGTAAAGCTTTCATTCTCTGACGGGGAAAGCGAGCTTTAGGGTAGCTGCACTGCGCGCATGCGCGATGCGCTCGTTTTAAGGGCCTCTCGCAGCGGAGGGCGAATTATCCAACGCATTACCCTTTCTTTGAGTTCGTTCTAAACGAGCCAGTTGTTTCTTCTTCAACGATTTCATGCTTGGCTATTTTTATATCGCTCATTCTAACTTCAATTACAAGGCGTTTTCATGTAAGAAGCTCGGTTTATATTTTCACATCAGCGTATTTGCAGTATACAGTGAAACCCCAACTTAAGGCCACTTTTTGGATGACAGCTAATTTGAAAAGTGGCCTTAAGTTGGGTGATTCTCCAACTAAGTTGGATGACGCTAAAATTTTTCTATTTCTGGAGCAAGGGACTGAATCTGGCCTCGGAATCCTGTACACAGGAACAGGGATTTTATTTTTTGGCCCATCTGCGAAACAGGAAACAGGACAGGATAAAAAACACAGGAACAGGTCCTGTTTTTTCGGGTTTCACAGGCTTTGCAGGCCTGTAAACTAAAATTTCACGGTTTAAATTTTTCCTTGATGAATCAAAATTTAGAAGTTTTTTCTCGTTATTATCATGTCTACAGACAGTTTCAACTATAAAAGTTTCTTTATATTATATTTGAAAGAAATTCCAAGAAAATTTTTACGAAAAATATCTTATCTTCCCCATTTCTCGCCTGTTTTCCTGCGATTTACTTACTGTGAATAAAAATGGAAAAAAGTGGCCTTAAGGGGGTAGAACTAGGTTTTTCGAAAATAGCCGATTCTAGACCGGCGCTCAAAGCGAGGAGAGCTTAGATTTTCAAATTCTCTCTTCGGTTGAAGAAAGAACAAACTTAGATCTAACAACATTTTTCTTAAAATTTTTTTTCGTCAACACATTTTGGCGCTAGAGAGCGAAACGTCAACCCATCTCTTCGAAAATCGCAATTTTTGCGTATTCGCGTCCTCAAATATATCGAGTCACGTGACCAGCCAAATTTTTTAAATCTCATTTTAAGATAGTTTAACCATTTATCTAGCAACATTTTTGAGGAAATTGCGTAATCACAAGTAAAAACAGGTTTTTCTTATTTAAAGTGCCCTCCGAAAATCACGGTTTTTCCGAAAATCTAGTTCTACCCCCTTAAGTTGGATTTTTTTCGGATGACAGATTTTGGGGTTTTTTCAAAAAAGTGGCCTTAAGTTGCTGGGCCTTAAGTTGGGGTTTCACTGTAAATGGCTTACAGTGCCTTACAATTAATCACTTCCACAATCCGGAATCGTCAATCCCCTTCGAAGGAAAAAGAACCTCTTACTGGAAATCGGGTTTCTTGTTTGATTCTAGAGATCGTTTCATTCGATTTCACCATTTCTCTAGATGAAATTCTTACATATCAATCTGTTTCGTAGTCCACTGTAAAGAGAGCTTTTCGATTTAGTCATGAAAGGATTTTTCGCAGGTTTCAATTTCCAAGGACTCGCTTTTGAAACTTATTTCTTCGGACTTCTCGGAGTTCTTTGGCGAGAGTACTCATCTTTGATTAGTGAACCAGCGCGGAAAGTTGGATTTTTTCCTTAGAAACCTCCAATTTCTAAACAGCAATTATAGCCACAGCTGCACGATTCTTCCCAAACCGACCAGCCACCTCAAACAGTTCAAAATGGACATAAGACAGAGCACTCCGTAAAGCAGGAAGCACAGAAGATCGAGAATCAGACGGCGATAAACACCATTGCAAAAATCTGCTCCGTCGCCGCACCCCATGGATTTCTCCTCGTTCATTCTCCCGAAAAAGTCGATGATAAAAGAGTAAGTCGGCCTAATTGTTGAGCCGTGTGTCTAGCTGTGTCGAATCGGCGACCGCGGGAGCCAAAGTTTCTCCAAGGGCTGCCTGTAATAATCCAATCGAGCTCCCTTTTGTGCGAAAACCGCTTAGCCAAGGCAATAACGCCGCGTGGGGCTGTACTCCACGCAGCGTGTAAGATACAGCTGCTGCTCGTGTCTCTATTTCTTTCATGTCTGACACTCAGCCTCTTCGACTCAGTAATAAACGACATAAATACATAAACGTCTCTCTTCAGGTCCAATTTGTCCGACTCATGCAACTCGCTGAAGACCCGATCTTCGATGTCTCCGCCAGCTACATCATCCACATTTACAAAGATCTACTCTGGGACTTAACAATTCACGGGCGAAAAGTGTGCCCGGAACTGGCCCTTCCAAACTTTCCCGAACGCGTGACACACGATACCGCGGAGCTCTTCTTCAGCAGCGTGCTGAAAATCAAAATTTGCCCGGGCGTTCAAGTCGCTGAGAATATTTGCCGATCAATTTCAACGCTCGGCACAGCGGTCTTTCTCGATAATGACAATAATCGCGTCGCGGTGGAAGATAGATTTTCCAGAACGGTAAGACGCTGCGCACAAACCCACTCCTAAGTGGATAAAATTTCAAATTCAAAGCTTGTATTTATATATAAATAGGATATATTTTCACCGAATCTGTAAGGAAATCGTTCGAACGGAAAACGTGCAATTTAAATTTTATAATTTTTAATCCTGAAATTACAGGTCCGGCACGTCGACTGCGAAATCGTCCAGGCTGGCGGAGTGAAATGCTTGGCGTGTGAAAGATGGACGCCACCAGCAACACCGCAGCAACAGCCGCTGAAACCGAAGCCTAGAGCAGTTGTTGCACAGAACGGGAGCCCGCAGATCTCTCTAAAACTCGCGCAAACAACGCCAAATGGTGCCCCAACTAATCATCACAGACTTCAGGCACAACTTTCTCAAGAAAATGGATTTTCCCCCGAAAAAAAGGTAAGAACAAAGGAAAATTTAGAGCCGCTTGTAGATCTAAGATTTTTAATCGATAAGTTAGATATAAATTGTTCGTATCTCAGATTATTTTGATTTAGGCTGGACATGATCTTCTCCCAAAAAAGCGGAGACATCAAGAAGCTTCCGTTAAAATCGAAGTATCCGGCAGTGATTCCTCGATCAATGGGGTAAACCAGGCGGTTAGTGCTAACGGTCAGCACCAAATCCAAGCCCAAAGTCAAGGAAACGGAGGACCCCCAGTGAAAGTGAGTCACATGACCTCTGGACTGTCATTGTTGGCGGATTCGGCAGCGGCGCGGATGCCGCTCACCGCAGATCGCCCAAACATGAGGGAACAGCTACTCGCCAAAGCCGTTGAAAAGAAGCAGGTTTGTTATGCGAGGGGAAATGGAATTTCCTTATTCCCGGCACATTTCATAATAATCAATTGATTTTTATGTCAGTTCAATTTTTGATGAATTTTTTTCTAAAAAAAATTGCTTCTTCAACAACTGTGCTTAAACTTATATCTAGGCTTGCGGGCGATGCGACCGTTGTCAACGCCTAGACGACTGTGGTCAGTGCGATTACTGTCTCGACAAGCCGAAGTTCGGCGGGCCAAACACCAAGCGGCGCAAATGTCGTCTCCGAACGTGCGTCTATTATCGCCAGAGTCAGATTCGAGGCTGTCGCAGGAGCACTGGTTCTACAGGTACGAATCGATAAAAATTGAATAACGGATTGTCTAAACTGATCACCCTAAAAAGGATTGAGCTTTCTATTATCCCATCTTTTGTAAATGACAGCGGAAATTGACAAAATAAATTAAGGCTCGCGAAAGGACTCCGAATCAAGCTACGAAGTGAAAAATGGAGATGAGAAGCGCGTGCAAATCGGAATCATCGACCAGAAAGGGGAAATTGCTCGCATTGAGAAAACCCCGCCGAAAAGTCCGAATGAAGGAGGAGGAAGTTATAGACGACGGCCTACTTTTCAATGCCACAAGTGTGAACCCTGCGGTGCACCAGATTGTGGAAGGTAATTCTAGTCCTTTTAGTGTAAGAAATCAAATCATGTTTAAAGCTGTCGTTTCTGCTTGGATAAACCCAAATTTGGCGGCCCCGGTCGTTTGAAGCAAAAATGTATCGAACGCCGATGCATCCTTGAAAAACAGAGTGACGATCAACACAGCCCTAGAACTTCTTCCACCATGATTTCTTCCATAAATGTTTCGAAAAAGACTGAGAAGCAGCCCGAGTACGTCCTTGCGTATACCCAGCCTGATCAGAAACCGACGACGGCGAAGATCGAAATCAAAGCACCCGGAGGATTTATGCCACTCTTCAAGCCAGTTACTGTCACTCCGCCCGTAGTAATTGATAGATCTGCCAGCAATGGTTCAACAGTCGCGCATCCCATCCACACTCAACATCAACCTGCCGTCGTCCTGCCAAAGCGAGAGCTTACAGTAGAACAGACGCCGCTGGTTAAACGCGAAGATATCATCCAGGATCAGGGCACCATCGCTGTGAGTGAAGGTGAACATCTTACCGATGAGGACGAAGAAATCCAGGTTGATGCTTGATCCGAGTGAATGAACAAAAAATTCCTACGTACTTTTGCCTTCAATTATTGCGGTAGAGAGAACAGTTTCAGAATATGAATTTATAACGCTTATTAAAAACGCTACTTTACCAAGCTACAGAATTTGTATCTTCCTTCTAACATTTACGCCCTATCAAAAACGGTACTATTCTAAAACTTCAATGAAACGACTTTCAGATGAAAGTGTTCACTCAATCGAGAAATATTCTAATATTCTATTCTTAATTCATCTCCAATTAAAAACTAAAACAATCGCTCACTGCCGGCCAGTGTCCTAAATAACTACCAACAAAGTTGCCTTTACTCTGTTTTTAACATTCTTGCTAAAAACCACCACCAGCATAAAATTCTTTTGCCTTGTTGCTTTACCAGTTCAATTTTCTCTTTCAACATTATTATTCAGTCATGTATTATAATTTCTTGTAGATATGTCTTCCCAAATCGACTTGACCCAGGTTTTGGTTTTGGCGATTTTGCGGAATCCAACGCGAAATTAACTGTGCTCAAGTTGGGCCGGTATAATTTCTCTGGTATTTTAAATATTTAACTACGCGCTGTTCCAAACATACATTTATATGATCCAACGGTTTAACTCATACTTACTATTACTCTGTAGAACTTGTGAAAATATAAATCCGCTATTTATTTAACAAAAACTGCTTGTTTATTGTCCAAAATCATGCTGCAGGTTAGATAGGTTAATAATTGACAGAAAACGTGCTCTTCCCGTGATCCGATTTTCCATCCTCTGCGTCGTAAAGAATCTTGTCTAAAGTGTCCAAACTCGGGCCGGATGTAATTCGCCCGGACGGGACGTGATGTGTCGAATGTTTGAAGGAAGCGATTGAGGGGTCTTGGTGGATCACCCGCTGCGGCATAGAAGGTGGCGTTATTGGCTCAATACGTTTCTCCGTTTCGGGGTCGGACCTTGTTTATTGACAACATGGCGATGATCTTTTTAGGCGCCACTGTTGTTAAACCGTAATGTTTCATTTACATCATTATTGTTGTCAACCGAATATATCATTTTTCGGACCCGAACTCTGATTGATTAGATTGCGTTTCATCCCGACTTCTTCTTGCTTCTTCTTCCAACACTTTCTTAGCTTCTTCTACTTTTATCTAAAAACTTGGCTAGAGAAACCCTTGAAAAGAGGAACTCCTCTTTCCTTTCTTACCTTTCTTGTTTCTTCTTCGATCATGCTCGCGCGCTTGGAAGTTTGGCGAACCATTTCACGATCTGAAATCATTTCAATTCGCGATGTGTTGCTTCTTTTATAAAGCCTCCTTTTAGAAACTTTATCTGGCGAATCTAAGGTAGCTCTCGGTCATCAATTCGATAAAGCCACTGTATACTGTATCGTAAAACATACTGTATATCCGCAGTTGTTACCTAAAGATCCCAAACGGCTGAGATCCGTCGTCTCGACTCTTGGAGACTCTGGACGGGGAGATCTTGGCGGTGGAGGACGAGGAGGACCTAGTGATCGACGAGATAGTCGACTTTCTGAACGATCAAAAGTTCCTCCTTCCATGTTTCTGTATGCCATGCTTATGCGCGATTCCGGACGATCCATGTTTTCAAGACGAGAATAAGCTGCCCCTGATAAATTTAATTTTCAATGCTGCAGTAGAGTACAGTACCTTGTCGTGTCGATGGCGGGCGGAAAGAAATGACAGAGCGCGTTTCCAAATGATTTCTTTGATTTCCTGATCTTCCGACGGGTGATAAGCCGCGCTCTATTCTTTCTCTTCCTTCAAACTCTGGAATCCGCATCCTGTAGTCTTTGCCCTGCTGTGTTCCCGACTAAAGAATATCAAAAGCTGTTTCATGAGGACCATTTCATACGAAAACAGTCGGAGAAGTCACTCGACTTTTTATCACTGCGCCTCTGATTATTCCATTTCTGACCCAATACGCTCCGAGAATTGACAAGCAAAAGCATATAGTCATGATCAAGCTTCCCAAAATAATCAAGCTGTTTTGCCAAGATTCTGGGGCTCTTTTGAAGCCGGATAAATTTGTATCATCTAAAAAGGAGCTTGTTGTATTTCGAAATAGCAAGCGGAAGTACGGTACCGATCAAGTAGAGACAAGTCACCGCAGAAGTAATCATTGCAGACAGGATGGCACAGCTGGCGTGGTGAATAAGGAGACAACTGGACGAGCATGAGCTGCCAAGAATTCCCAGCACCGAGCAAAGGATAAAATATAGCGCCCCAATTATTCCCAAAACATAATCTTAAGAAATTCTTAACTCTCAGGAATAACAAATTCTTCGCGATGAAAATCAAGGAGGAGCATCTTTTCAAACCTTTTACATTTTTATTGATGCCACTGGTCTTGATCCAAATGACCGTTCCAAAACCAATTATTCCCAGAACAAGTTCAGCCCAGCAACATATTGCAAAGACTTTTCGAACTTTCGAACCAGACTGACCCATTTTTCTTTTTTTCTTTTCTTCAGCGCATTCTTTCTTGTTTTTTCCTCAACTCTCTCTCTCTCTAACCTTCTACTCTCTGCTTTCGGGAGTTCTTGGGCGCAAAATTTCTGCAAGAGTCTCAGCAATCTAGTATCAGCCAAAGAGGATGAACGCGTGCTAAGCTTTGATGACCACACGCGTGCAAAATTCAAGGTCAGTGACTTTTATTTAAGAGTTGGAATTTTGATAAATGGGGCAGTTAATTATTTTCGATAAATAATGGACAGATAACTTCACTGAAAGAACTCTTCAGGAGTTGTGATATCCAAGGAACTTTATGACTGGCTTCTTGTCGTCGTTGTCAGATGAGAATCGGGAAGCACGCTGGCCACTTTTGAAAAAGCAGGGGTCATGACTGGAGGCTTTGCTGGCTCTTCGGGGGACGAGAGACGACGTCTTTACTTTTTCCACCGAGAATGGAGATCGCCAAACAGCTGAATCTTCGATTTCAGAAGAAATTTCATAGTCAGTTCCAGTAGAAAACGGGGATCGTTCTGGTGTAGATATGGTCGACTCCTGAAATTATATGAAAAAAGATAAAAATCAAGAAGAAATCAAGTTACCATGTCTTCGATCATTGATATTTCGTCGTTTTTGTCTGATAAATCTTGTTCTTTTGTAGCATCAATTTGAAGTCGTGAGATATTCCACGACGTTGTTGTTTGTCTCAATTGTTCTGCAGAAGAGAGCATTTTTTCTTGAAATTTTTAAATGATCTTACCAATGACTCGGTTCATTTTTCTGTTGTTCTGTTTCCGCTGATTTTCTAAACTTTTGATTTCTGTCTTCATTTCATTCACCTTCTTCTTTTTCTTCAAAATTTCATATGATAAAGCTTTTCCTCTCTTTGTTATCTCTGAAAGTTCTTCACTGAGAGCAGCACAGGATTCGGCAGGATTCGGCTTCTTCATACTGCATGTGCTACAGCTGCTACTTCCATTCTGCGATCCTGAATTTTCGAATTGCATTGTCTTAATCTTAAAGCTTTGAATCAACCGTTTTTTGGTTTGGGAGATCCTCTGTTGTAACCTGCAGTTCCGAGACGCCACATCTTCTCTCACAATGGCACTGTTTATTTTCTGGACTCTCGATTCACGAGAATCATTGCTCAAGAGAAATTTTTCATTTCATCTAGAGACTCCTCGAAATAATTTTACTAATTGTCTTAGGTCAGCATGATACGCGCCCAAGTGCATGAGATTATTAAAAAGAAGGATTGCTAATTTAGAGGAAACTCCTATTGCTTCTGCAATTAGCTCATCTCGAGTTTTGGGGGAGCTTTAACCAATTCGCCGAATTAAACTTGGGTATATAAGCAAAACGCAAACTGCTTGGCAGTAGATTTGAGACAACTATTAGGATGAAGCTTCTTTTTCTTACAGGTAATGACAACATGATAGCATAGAAGAGAACTTGAGAGCTTCAGGTCTAGTTGCTGCTCTTCCTCAAGGATTCGACTTCTACGGAAAACGGGGATTCCCATTACTAAGGTTTAGAAATATTAAAATTTCAGTTTTTATAAAATTTTTTTAGGCCATACCAAAAACGGTCCCACTTTGACGACATTTCCTCCGACCTCTTTAGTGACAACCACCAGCAGAATATGGATGCAAGGGGTTGAAAATGAGATTTAATAGGGGTAAAGTGTTGAAAAACTCAAAAATATCATTGCATCCGATAAAAGACGATCTTCTTTCCTCCGTATTTGGCGCAGCCTTCTAAATTCTTCCCGATAAAAGTCACTTATTGATGTTTTCCATATTTTCACTCGCATTTTAAATAAAAAATACAAAATCAAGCTGTCAATTGCTATGTCTATATTCTCGTTCTTAGAATCTAAGAAGACAATTAAAAAGTCGATGATTACGATTGACGCCTAAGAAGATCGTTACATATATTTCGCACAAGCGCGTGATGGCGTCAAAGCTCCTTAAAGTATTTGCAGGGAGATGTTTTCAGCTTTCGCAGTGGGTAAATAAGTCTTTGCAGATTTTAACAGAAAAAGAGTTATGCAAACTTATACGATTTTCTTTCTCCTAGGTAAGGATTCCTCAGCTCTTGCTCTTTATTTCACCGTGCTGAGTTGCTACGGTATGACTTTAAAGTCGTTTCTAGAGAAAAAGAACCTCTTTACTAAAAACCATAACTTGTTTACTTTGAAATTTCGTCCCAAGATTCTCAAAGACGATAGCGATTGTGGTGACAGTGGTCACTGTCTGTTTTGCCTTTAATCCAAAATCAGTTCTTAAAGTCTAGCCAAACATGGTCGAAGAGAACGTAATTTTGGAGCTCGTCACTTAGCCGCGCCGCTCGACGAGCCGTTTTCCCGAAATAAATCTCTCTCTCCTTGAAATCATTTTCAGGCCTCGTTTGCGCATATTTCGTTGAAAAACGCGGTGGACACTGGGGCGATCGTCCGCTAGAATTTGTCCCGTACGTATTTCATCATGGAAATGAGGATACTTTCCACGATCTTCTCAGGAGCCGGATAACAACAAGTCCAAGTTTTAGTTGAAATCGGGATAAATATTTTATCCGATTTAGTACGGTTTTCGAAATGAAAAAGAAGGAACGCGAAGAAGGAAAATCGACGAGCCAGTAGAATTACGCGTCACTGTCAGAATGATTATAAAAATAAAAAAAACGTGCAGTCATCGAAAAATATGGAGGGCAAAGCTCAATGTCATTACTAAAATAAATAGAATGCACTGAGATCAGCAAAATTTGCATTTAAAAATTCAGCGATTCAGTTGCGTCGAAATATGTCCGACAGTAGATCGGATAGATCGCTAAACATATAGATCCGAATATGATTTGTCGAATTCTTTTTGACATCCTTTGTAATTAAAAGTGACCTCTAATTACCGCAAAGATCGATTGCTGAGTCGGAAGTTCTGTGCCGTTCTCCTGGAAGCTGCCCCACCGGGATTTGGGATATAAAACAGTAATTGATCCAGCCGGGTTAAATTTGCGCCTATCAAAGCGCCTTTATAATATTTTTAATATCCCGTTCGGGCACACACTTTTAGGCGCGAATTGTGTGCCCCTGCGTGGCGGCGAGGACCCTTGATCTCCAAATAAGTAAATAAATTTTAAAACTTCCGCGTATCCCATAACCCAGTCAGACGAGAATTTTGAATAAAATCAAACGCCATTGAAAATTCATTTTATAGTTTATACTACAGCCATGATTGCACCCTGAGAGTCGCCAAATCAAAATCATTAAAGAACAGCCTATTCATACCAGACAGCTCAAAAGGCCGGAAACACACTTTAGCCAATTTTGATGCGAGTTTTTCTCAGTCCCCTGCTCCATTTATTTTTCCGGCTTTTAGGGAAAAATTATTCCGTCAATTAAAATTTTGGCCGTCCCACTCATTTTTACGGAAGTTGTAAGATAAGGAGCACAAGCTTGCCTGATCATAACTAGGGAACCCTCTTTATTTTTGAACAAATTGTGGAAGAAACTTGCATGTGAAACTAGAGCACCTTAATCCGCTCTATTAGGAGGTATCTTAGCAGGTGGATTGGATGCCTCTTACCGGACGTAAGGGTGTGAGCTGCCACAATCGATTTTCTGCTTTTTGGAAGTTGTTGATGCGCGCGATTGGCACTCGAAGATCAAACAACAATTAGAATCGTTCTCCAAAACTTATGGATTTAGCAAAGGACGCAGGATCTCGCAATAAGCCAGCATTAATCTTTCAATCTTCGCGCGAAAGAGATCAATTCCGCGAAGCACTTAATAACAAGGACTAATGCAGCTATAATAGCTACGGAATATCAACACCATCGCAAATTCACAAACATTTCATTGCCCAACTTACAAATTAACTTATTCTAAAAGAGCGGCGTCTTTCATTTTAGCGTGACTTTTTCAGTTATATTTTTAGTTTAATTTACACAGTATTCTCTTCGTTGATATCAGACGATTTCCGGAATGTCTTGAAACAACTGCGAGCTCGTGATTCTAGTCCCGGTCGGAGTATGATGGATGATGATGATCTCGAAGTTGATCCTGGATTTTGGCTCCTTTGATCAAGTCGTGAAAATAATCAAAATGGATATTGATCACTCGGAATCAGACGAAAATCAAATGATCATAAAAAATGTACCACTTTGTGAATAGCTTTTCAGACAAATTTGATAAGACTGATGGTCTATTTTTGTTCGTAAATGTTGATTTTGCCCTGACGATTGAAATTGAAAAGAAGGAGAAGTGACTGCCACTTGAGCATGTGTTTGAGTCCCCTTGGATTTCACTATGATTTGGAAGCTGAAATCTCGAGTAATAATCCGCCATAACTACCGCTCTACTTGACCATCTGTTAATTTTCATTTCAAAATGATAGGATGCGGCTTTAATTTTCGCTCCTGACTCATCCTTTTAACATAACTTGATATTTTATGATATAAAAGCTGCTCCTTCTTTTCACGAGCAATTTTCTCCCAGAACAATAATAATTGTAAACTGCATCATAATTTGCTCGACGAATTCTTTACCTGCTTCCAATTGAGACGCATTACAACTTTCGGAAAAGCATTATCAGAAGAAGATGAAAGCGATCGCCGCCTTCAACTGGCAATGTCTCAAGAAACGCGTAATCTGCCGCCGCTCATTTTCAAAGGCAATTGTAATTTTTACGAATCGGACAGAAATCGAGCTATACGCTTTACCGATAAGTCTACTTGAAAAAAAAGGATTTCGGAAAATATCGATTCATCGCACTTTAACGACATGTAAATGGCCCTATGCCGCGTCTTCTGATCTGCCACTGGCTTTCCATAATTTTAAGAATCAAAGTGTCACAAAAATATGGTACGGGGAATCAGATAGGATAAGCCAATTTTTATGATAATTCAATTTTATTGAAGTCCGATGTTTTCTCTTACAAAATTTACTCGAGACTCAATTCTGATGATCTCTGAATCGTTCAAAAATTCCAGAATTAAAGTTTACTTTCGCGTCGTTTTTTACGCAGATGAAAGCCTCGTGCGAGTTATTATAGCTTTCAGTTTCTTCTCATTCTTCGCGCATAAAGATTATAGTAACGTCCAAAAAACACTTCTTTTGGGGTGCAGTGATGTAAATTTTATTACAACGCGCCGCGGCTCATCTGAATGATTCGCAAAAGTTGATATCGCATTGATGGGAAATTATATGCTTTCATAAACTGCCCATGAAAAGTTGAGCCATTCAGAAAGATACGTGACTGTACATGCATTACGCGCTGCTGTGCGAAATTTATACTTCCGCGGGGGCAAATTCATTAGCGCGAGAAGATTTTATGTAAACGATTCTCGCAAGAAAATACTGTGAAGAATTTCATGAATATCGAAGTGAGTCGACAAAGAAATTTCGGAATGTCTTTAACAAATCACATGCTGAAAATAATCATTCGAAAATTCTGAGACTTCAAAGGCGCCATTTCAATTTCTGAACTGGGTTGAGAGTTTGTTTCTTCTTCTTTTCGATAAGTTCATCGATGTTGATTTTGCTTGAGCGGAAAAGGACTCGAGAGCCTATCGCAAGTAATAGGCCATATTGACGATGCTGATACCAAAAAACAATACACAAAAACATCAAATACTATCGCCCGGCGTAATCGACATGTTACTGTTTCTTCGCTGCACGCTGTGCAAAAATGAGGATTTGATAAGCTGAAATCTGAACGAAAATTATAATTAATAGTTCTCAATTTTATGTTCAGATTTGTTTGTCCTCCTCACGTCCTCGTAAAGCTCAAGAAGAGGGTCGGACAAAATTATGAGGGTTTTAATTTGTTGAGCCGGAGTTCTAAATGTGTGAAAATTCGAGTTTCAGTAGGATCACATCCAGTAAGATTAGGGGCCATCAATAGGTTCAATTTAGCAGCAGCCGCGACAAGTCCAAAAACCATCATTTGCTAATCACTTCCGACTGGCACTTTGGAAAACTCCAGCTCGATCAATTAGCTTCCTGGCACATTTATGATTCGCCAGCTTATTTTGTTATTGCGCTTGATTTCCGGTGATCTTTTCAGCAGCCAAGAATATCAAACTGAACAAGACCTTTTCATCAAATCAGTATTAATTATTTCTGTCTCAAATTAAATCTCATTATTTTACATCTCCGATAAAATTTAAGGAAATTTGGGAAAACATGAAAGAGGATATCGGATAAGTACCCATTTTCGGAATCAACATCAATATCTTGTCCCTGAAACATAGCTTTGCGACAAGAGCCGATTTTCGGCTACCCATTTCTTTTGTTATTTGCCGTTGCCTCTTCGTCTGATCCGCGGCGGCGAGGATCAAAGACGATCGAGGCAGAAATTTGCAGCTCGAAGGTGGCGCAGCTACGGGGTCGCGCGATGGCGCCATTTGAAAGAAATCACGGGCGCAGGGGCCCGACGAAGATCATCGACAAATCATAACACACAGTCGCTCATCAGTACATCCTTCTCCTTGTTACAAAGAGATTCAGAGACTAAAACACTTTCTTTTTGAAATGGCTACTGCTCAATCCCAGTTCAGTTCTCCCTTCTCCGTTGAAAACATCATCAACTCAAAGAGCCGACAGGGCGCACAGAAAGCCTCTGGGTCACCTCAGAGTGATCACGAGCATCAAATTCCAACACCAGATGTAAGCAGCTCCACGTCTACTTCTTTCGGTAAGTTTGAGCTTTTTGGATAATTTTGAAATCATAGAAGAGTACTCGAAAATTCAAACAAATCAACCACGCATCCTTAGATTTCATTGGAGATTTTCCTCTAAGAGGGTATTCGCGGGGAATTTTTAACTGAACCTCTTTTGATTTGTAATAATTTGATGTTCTCGATTATTCGTGAAGCGAAATGTATCGTTATTTTTTCATTGAAATTCTTGGTGGAAATAATCATATCGGAATGATCTGCTGACTCAGAACAGAAGAAATTATCATTTATTTGCTTGATGCGATGATTTTTCGATCAGTTTGCTCTTTTTGAACTCCACCATTTTTGTATCAGTTTCAACAACTGTACCTCTCGATCACACGCCAGCGTGTCTCGAACATTTCATTGAAGGTTCAATTCCCAACCCGCTAATCGAAATTGCTTGAATTCCGCTTATCATGGGAGGGCGGGATCAAACGTTTTGGCACCTTCGCCGCAAGGAAGGATCATGCTATCGTTTCGTCGCCGGAAGCCGCGTCGGGTCCCACCTATAGGGCGAGCGCCTTCCCACTCAGGTTTATTGGAGGCTGCTGATTAATCGGAGAATGAGCCTTCGATTAGCTTATTCATTTGAATTCCCAATTGTCATTATCACATCCTCAATTTTGACAATACCCAATCATTAGTCAACTCACATTTTAGAGTCGAAAAACGAGGGTCTTGAAACTCACTCACGAACCTCGTCGCCTGAAATCAACGAGAAGAACCATCACATGTCGCGAGAAGACAGCTGCTACAGGCGATATCGCACTGCTTTCACTCGGTAAGCGAGCTTTACTGTAACACCGATTGTGAGCAGTTTATTCAGGGAGCAACTCGGAAAGCTGGAGAAGGAGTTTTTCAAAGAAAACTACGTCAGCCGGCACAGACGATGCGAACTCGCGAATGAATTGGATCTTCCAGAAGGCACAATTAAGGTAACGTAGGAGATAGAAAGGAAAGATTTAAACCAAGTTTATGAACAAAAAGTGGCGATTATTATCATTGATGATGATTTCAGTACGCGTTGTAAACGCTCGACATTGAAAGTAACATAATTTATTTGAAAATTACGGCTCTTTGATCACATTAATTTCAAAAGCTATTATCACCCCTCGAGCTCATCGATTTTCAAACTTCCGGTGAAGCGCTTTGATCGTGCCCGGCGTCCAATTATTACTCCATATAAGCTAAAATCACCCGTTTCCTGCACCTGCCCTGGTAGATCATCCCCTCCTTTCTAAGGCAACTTTAATCAGGGCAATTACAGGAGATATTCAAAGATATACAAAATGTTGATTTTCGCGCATCCTGAGTGAACTCGTGACCTCAACGAAATACGGACCAAAGATCGTCGAAAATGAGCGTTTATTAGTGCATCCTTGTGCTGATATTTGCTAATAATGTGGCTAGTGCTCCCAGGACTCCCGTTATTGCCGGAATCGATGCATAAGCTGTCTAATAAGCTTCAATAAACGTGCTAGTTAGAGCTCAAAACCGAGCCCCGCGTGACTGCATAATTGGCCCATGAATTTTTCAGTTCGGAATAATATTGATATAATTCATCGAGAGCAGCGATATAAACTCGCCAATTATATGTCGTGAGATGAGCCTCAATTGGAGAGCGCAGATTTGACATTTCAAGCTTTTCGTTCCGATTGATCAGAGTTAACTCTTGTTTTCAGGTTTGGTTCCAGAACCGACGAATGAAAGACAAACGACAGCGACAAGCCACTCAATGGCCGATCGATCCCAACTTCATCGCCATGATGATGCAACAGCTCGCTGCTCAGCAAGCTACTCGATGGCCTTTTCCTCCAGCGATTGGAAGCGGTAAGAATTTTACGAATGGTCAATGCTTTCGAGATTCAATAATTGTTGAACAAGTATTCAATTTTAATCTTTAGCTCCTTCTCCACTTTTGGCAGCTCAGCTCGCCGCCCAACAAAACTCTAGTCTTCTCGCTGCTAGCGCTCGCTTAGGCGCTAACCCCGCTGGCCTCCCTGGTCTTGCTGCTTCCGCCTTGAACCCAGCAGTCTCCGCAGCCTATCCTACCGGTCTTGCGAATCTCAACCCTCTTCTTGCTGCTCAGAGTGCAGCTCAACTTGCTGCCCAAAGCGTTTCTCAGCCACGCGAAGTTCCCTCCTCTCCGGAACACAATCCTCAGTCCCCGCAACTTGAAATCGAAACTTCGGGCGACGAGAAAAACTAGCTTTTCCGTTCTTTATTTGTAAAATATCGAGTACTTTCCAAATTTTCCTGTCTTATTAACTGTAAATACCTGAAACAACAACTCAAAATCTTCATTTGCATGGAAACAATGATCTTTTTATCGATGACAATAAACTATGTCGACCAAATTAACAGTATCTAAAGAAAGTTGTCCTTGGTAAGAAATTATTGAAGCACTCGGATTAATTCTCTAATGATCGGCGCCACGACCGCATTTGAAATATCACTCTGGAGTTTTCTGGCGGTGGTGGTGCTTCTGTTATTGCTGAAGCTGGTACGTGTACCCAATAGTGGCGCACTGGGAGCACCGCGGGCAAAGACTGCGCGCAGCAGGCGGAATGCGCTCCCTTCTGACGCAAAAATAGTGACACTCAATATTTCAAAGCTAGGGATTAAGAACAAGAGAACATGATATAAGAAGATGGGCCTTGCAAGCATTCTAAGCGTGCTCACGCTGGCTCTAGCACAGGTTAATGAGCAAAACACTATTATCTACGGACAAGGGCGCCCCGCTGAGCTAGAGGAAAAAAGATGGACAGGCATCCAAGGATCGAGTAAATCCAAGGAAAACAGTTTTCACTGAGATTGATGAAATTTTAACTTTGATAATTATCGATAATTTTTACTATGTAGAATGTGCTCTAATATTTCATTTTATTTTTTGAAAACTTAAATCAGCCGACTATTTCTGAACCAGAAAGAAGCTCGCCATACGAGCCCAGTGGACCTAAAATAACTGGCGTTAGGGATGTTAAGACATCTTCAATTGATCTTGATGCTGTTCGTCGACAAGAAGCTGCTGATCTGGCGGCGGAGTCAGCTCAAATTGAGCGCACAACTCGAAGCTGTCCGGAGTCTTGCCGTTGTTATAGTTCGGATGAGGAAGACGACATGCAAGACGTTTTCTGCGACAAGCGCGGAAGCTTGATTACTTCTATTCCCCGAGAGATTCCCTCAAATGCTTATCTCGTTCAACTCGCCGAGAACAAAATTGTAAACATTGACCAAATCGAACTCTCTGGGCTCGGTGATGTTCGCGTTTTCAACATCTCTCGTAACGGCTTGGCAAAAGTCGAAGAACGCGCATTTGCCTCACTTCACGGAACAGAAACTCTGGACCTTTCCTTCAACAAACTGTTCGAACTGGACATTCGTGCGATGAGAAGCCTTTCTGAGATAGATCTTTCATTCAACAAGTTTACCACTGTTCCCAGCTTCAAGGACGAATCAGGATACTTTTTGACGTTGGAAAAAATCTCGCTCACAAGAAATCCAATAGAAGATCTGGGTGAGGATAACTTTCCTCCGACATTGACAGAACTACATCTCAGGAATGGCTTGAAAAGACAACTCTCTTCGTTGATTTCATGAGCAGTTTTGAGCCATTAAAAAGTTGCACGAGATTAAAACGAATTGAAAGTGGGAACTTGGAGAGTGCAATTGGACTCAAGAAACTCATAATTCATGGATGTTTAAATTTTGACCTCCGTGAGCGAGGACGAATTACTCACCTGGACCGAGGAGTCTTGTCGAAAGCTGGCAATCTGGAACATTTAGATTTGAGCGGAAATGCAATCAAATCTATTCCGGAAAAGCTCCCTGTATCTCTCAATCAGCTCATCCTGCACAATAATCATTTGACGAACCTACAAGAGATCTGCCGGCCACCAGATTCACTTTACTCCGTTCCGGAACCGGGAAAAGCTGCATTGGAAGGTTCCAAGCTAAAGAATCTCCACAATTTGCGTGGCATTGACTTTTCGATGAACCAGTTCACGCATTTTTGCATCGACGACTTCGTCAACCTAGAAGACTTGGAGTTCTTCAATGCTTCGTCGAATCAGATCACAGAGATTCCAGGAAATACTTTCAGCTTCGCGCGAGAATTAAAGGTTCTGGATCTCCACAAGAACTCGATTCAAGAGTTGAATTTCGCCAATTTGCCTAATTTGAGAATGCTCGATGTTTCTGAAAACCAAATAAGAACATCCGTTGATCCGTATCTCTATGGAGCCCTAGAACAGTTTGACGCAAGATTCAATCCATTCCAGTGCGACTGTCAACTGAAAAAATTCGTCCAATTTGTTCAAGAGCCCGGTCGAGTGAAAATAGTTGGAATTCGTCAGGCGCAAAACACCTACAAATGTCAAATTCCGCGCCTTCTTGGCAACCTTAATCTGCTGCGGTTAACACAGGACAAGCTTGTTTGCGAAAATGAAAAGGACGAAAACGAATTCCGCTATTTGTCAATCCTCGCGCCTATTTCCATCGTTGTCATTCTAGGCATCGTCGTAACAGTAGTTTTCTGTGCTTCGAAGAACCGTCGTCATCGAATGAAGATGAAAGACCTGAGTGGGCGCAATCGAATTGGCGTTGGCGACAAAGTAGTCACTTCTGGTGGCGTCGCGGCAAAGAATCTCAAGATTGTCAAGAACGACGCAGCTATTCTCTGCCACATCAATTCACAGAAGTGGGTAACTGATATAATGCTGCCGACATTAAAGCAGAAACCTCAAGAGAGCCAACTGCGATGCGAGAAGCTTTACATCGACGTCTTCACCATCAAGTCGCAAGTGAAAAACGAAAAGCTTAGAAGATGCGTTGAACAGAACAAACGCGTTATCATCATCATTACGACTGAGTTTGCTTCTTCTGACGCTTGTCTGTTTTGCTTGCAAGCTATTTACGACTTAACTAGAAGAAATAGAAAGGTTTGATGAGTCTTATTTATTCAATTCTATTTTTCTTAGGATGGGATAGTCCTTGTTGTCCTCGAACCAATCCCGTGGAATTCTATGCCTCATGCGTTGAAGATTCTTATGGCTGAGAAGACTTTTATCCAATATCCAGTTGAAGATGTCGGTCGCCAAACTTTTTACTTCTGGGATGCTCTCCGCGCGAGCATTTATGCTGATCAACTTGAGCAAGTCACAAAAGGTGGGTAAAATAACTAGATTTCTTGTTTTGAAAGCTTTGTTAGTGGAAGAAGGAAGAACAACCCGGCTAACAACAGCTGATGACGGGGAGGAAAACTATGACGATGAGAATGAAGTGGACGACATTTATAACGGAATCGATCAAATGAAACAACAGATCTTGGAAAAGTCTACTAACCAGCAAGAACCGGTCACGAATCTGATAAAACTAGAAAGTGCTGACCCCAGCGAGCTAAAGGTTTAGTCGTTAATTGTTGATAAATGAACTATTCCTGTTTAGAGAATCGGAGACTCCACAGCGAAGTTACCAGTAGAGATCGAAATCGAGAACCCGTATCGTGACGCGCAGATTCTCCATGAAATGGCAACAGCGACGAGTAAGAATGAAGTGCTTGAAATTCACGAAGATCTGGAAGATCTCTACCAGAAACGACACTCTTGGCAACGTCCTCGCGTCGTTGTCGATAACTCCAACGTCTGGACTGGTCAGAAATTTTCACTGCCACAGGGAGACGACGCTGAAAGCATGTATTCTAGAGGTGAGCTTTCGAAATTGATTCATTCTTTGATACATAATTTCAGACAATAATGGCATTCCAAAACTTCCGGCTCAAGGTGCCCACATCGGTTCCATTCCCAATCAGAGTTTTAGCCAGGTTAGTCTTTACAAAGTGACTTTAATGACCATCTTGAATTAGCCAAACGCAGGCGGAGGCTTCGATCTCGCTACAGGGAGTCGCAACAATGGCCTGACAGTGATCCCTCGCGATGGAGAGCCAGAACGAATCTACTCAGAAGTCGAGTTCAAAGCCAATAATTAAATGCTTCAAAACTTAAAAATGCTTGCTCTTAATCCCTTTCTTCAACTCCTCAATCAACGCACTGTACAAAGCAATCTTTGAAATACAAACACGATTAATAAAACATAAAGTGACGTGACAATGGAGCTTTGATTGAACAGGAAGCAAGCACTTGGTGACGCACTGAGTTGGTAAATACAGTTGACGATGTCATCGCCATCAAGTTTTATCGCAAACACAACTTTTCCCTTCCAAATCTTATTTAGTAAATTCTGAGTCAGAGTTGCTCTTGGGGAAAAGAACTTCTAAAAATTCAGGTCACGTGTGCACAGTTCTAATTTTAGCCTTTTGGCAATAGAAGGTGCGTTCAAAAAAGCTCTGCCTTGTGACAGTTCAACCGCGCCCCTGGCAGAATTCTCAAAAAAAATACGGAGGATGACGAAAAAAACATACGTAGTGGCGTAAAATTTCGAATTGGCACAGATCAACGAGCTGACGCAAAGATTCGTACTCGAGTGTGATCCAAGCCGATGCATGTTTTTATGGATAACAATATTTTACTTTTGGCCGGAAAAATACTACCCCAGGAGGCTAAAATCATTAGGGCCGATCGAAATCGGACAGATGTGACGCTCCTCAATTAGAAACCAGCCCGGCCTGCTGATCGAAGGGTGCAAAATTTGCATCGTAAACAACTCTGAACGTTTGCGAGTTCGACAATATGAATCCGAAATGAACTGCAGTCGTCTTGAAGACTCTATTTGTCCTAGTAAATGAGAAGAACGCGAGAGAGTTTATCAACTCTCTAAATATTGATGAAGTTCAGACACGCGTTTCCAGAGCCTTGTCTCCAGACAGTGCATGTCTCAAGCGTGAAAAAATATTGTCCAGGTAGTGAGAATCCACAGTCGCCATTTACGTTCAGTGAAAAACACGCTGGGACTCTCCCAGGAAACCAAACTTATCAAAAACACAGTCTGTGATTGTCTTCCTTTATCATTCGTTGACAAAAACATCTGATGGATAAAGTTAGTCGAGGAAACTTTGGAGAGTTTAACGGTCCAAACTCAGACTGAAGTCGTAACAATCAGTCGCGGTTAGTTAGTTATAGCTGCCGACAATATAATTATAACGGGTCGTGACTTTCCGTAATTTTACTTTAGCTAAGTTCATCTTGAGTTTGACAGGTTCAGCGGAGAACATTCCCATCAATCTAAGACCAGAAAAGCTATTTGTTCTTCAGGAAAGCTCAGCAAGCTTTTCCGAATGGTAATAAAACTCAAACTCTGTCGAACTCTGTCGAAACTATATCGAACCCAAAAGAAGTGCGTGATTGAAGGATGATTTTTCGAATAAAGATGATCGAAGAACAGTTTCGTTTGAAAATCGAAGAATCAATGCATTCATCATTGATTTTACGATGTCGTATGTTTATTCCTACAACGAACCGGATCAATCTGGGACAGTCGACCGGTTGATCGTTGCGTAACACCACCCTTCTTGAGATGACATGAGGTGTCTTGATGACCATGACGTTGGACTGAGCTGTGAGCAGGGCGAATGAGCTGCTGGCGAGCGCCGCCCACGAGCTCAGCGCCTGAGAGTGCCCCCTCGAGTTGCTCGCTGGTCTCCCAAAGACTCAGACAACAAAAAACTCGGCCGAAGCTAAAAGGCGCGGTCAGAGACAGAAAGTGAAAAAAGCTTCTCAAAGAAAAAATTCTCTAGAATCCTAATCAATCAAAAAATACAGAAGAAACACTGAGAAAGTAGCGAAGAAAAAAAAGAGGAAAAAGAAAAGAAACTTGGAACAACCCTTTATCGACAGTCAGTTTATGTCAATTACTGTAGCGAATGGCTATGAATATGAAAAGAAGAATCTCATCGGACATGGAGCTTTTGCGATCGTTTTCAAGGGCAAACACAGACAGGTACAGTTATTAATTATGTAATGACGAACTTTTGAACGTTTGCTCTTAGGGATAATCTTTTGAGACAGCTCTTTTATTCGATGATTTTACGAAAAAAATGATGATGAATTCTGGGGAAGTGTTAAGCTCGAATTAGTCGTGTATTTTGAACGTAAACAATATCGCGTAAGGATGAGCTCATCTTCCAGCTCAGCGCGATGTTTTCAAACGTCTAAACAACCCCAAGCGCTTTCAAATGACTTTGGGTGGAATGGGTCGATCCCTTCATTATTTACGGGCTCAAAAATTAACTTCGTAAACATAAAAAATCTCTCACGCCAAAAAAATTATTGATGCCAAAAATATTTTCAGTTATAAAAGTTATCTAATTGTTAATTCAGGAAAAGAAATCGGTCGCTGTCAAGGTGATCCAGCGATCAAAGATCGGCAAGCCGGCGGACAAGTTGCTTGGAAAAGAAATCGAAATTCTAAAATCGTTAAAGGAAGGGGCTCGTTTTTTCGTCGACCTTTTGGCTGTGTCGGGGCACAGAAGGCGCGTTGCCGATATATTTCGGTCCTCTTTTTTTTGGCGCGGGGCCAGCTAATCCAGCCGAAGCATATTCACTAAATTTATTTCAAAAGACATGTTGAAAGGAAATTAGCCCTCCAAAAGCACGAAAACATTGTCTCCTTACTCGACTATGAAGAAAACAACGACCAAATCGTGCTCGTCATGGAATACTGTAATGCCGGTGATCTTGCTGAATATCTACAGAAGCAGGGCACCCTCTCCGAGGATACGGAACGGTTCGATCTTTATTGGCCTCAAGCTACGATGAAATTTCTAAGAAAACTTCTAAAGAAGAATCTTTCCTTTTCTGATTCTTCTTAGAGTTTTATTTCCAGTTTTATAGAGAAATGTCAAGGTCAACGCCCCTCCAAGAATAGCTTTTGTCTACTTTCACTAGTAGGATTGCACAAGCGAGCGAATACGGCTCGTGTGGCCACCATCACATGCTCCAAGCATCTGATTAGCAAAGTTTGTCTAAAAAAGCGCCTCTAGAGCTCACGCGTCAACTCTGAACGCAATCTGGCTCAAGAACGATTAACACGGGCTTTCAATTTACGACTTTCCATTTGAAAATATCCAAAGAAACAGTAGTTTTGCCACTTTGAGTTAAATTAGGAGTCCATCATTGATTGATGCCTTTTGCTGGCTTTATTTGGGCTATTTCCGGTTATAAAATCGATCCGTGAATAGATTCGTACGTTTCTCCAGCAAATTGTGGCTGCTATGAAGGTTCTGCACGAAAAAGGCATCATCCATCGTGACCTAAAGCCTGGCAACATCCTTCTGAATCGCGACTCGAGCGACAACAACCGACTCCGAGTTAAAATAGGTAGGCTTTGATTTATGGCCGTCTGAGAGTGGGCTCAGAAGGCGCACAAAAGATTATTGGCCTCTGTCCAAGATCTGAATCTTTTCATTCAGCCGACTTTGGATTTGCGCGACATCTTCAAGGCACCGACATGGCAGCCACGCTTTGTGGAAGTCCCATGTACATGGCTCCAGAAGTCTTGATGGGTCACAATTACTGCGCCAAAGCTGATCTTTACTCGATAGGAACTATAGGTAAAGCAGTCATCAATTATCGTTTCTAAGATTGCTTCAGTCTATCAGTGCTTGACTGGTCGAGCACCCTTCCACGCCTCTACTCCCCCCGAATTACGTGCCTTCTACGAGAGGACGCACACGCTCAAGCCCTCCATCCCCAATACCACTTCGGCCGCATTAAAAGACCTCATCTGCTCGCTTCTTATCCGCAATCCACGAGATCGGCTCAGCCCGAGCGACTTTTTCCGCCACGCATTCATCAAGACCCGCTCTGGTTCCGCCAGAAGGGTGAGTGCAAATCAGCATTTTTAAAGATTTATTTACAACTGTTTAGGGCTACAACTCGAGCCCAACAATTCCTGACGCCAAAGTGCGCAGCGATTCGCACTCACCTGGACCTGCTATGAGCTTGGACAACACTGACTCCGTCCTGCAGACGGACAATGACGGTGAGCTCCTGGTCCAAACATCTGACGATTCGGAGGAGTTCGTCGTCATCCCTGCTCCACGCCGCCGCGCCGTTACTGTAAGTGCCTTTGTTATCTTTCTAAAAAAGAGGAAATGGTCGCGTGACTCGCCCGAGCGTTGCGCCACTCCTCCTTCATATGACAGTGTGCATAGACATTGGCGAAAACAACCCTCGGGGTATCATTCACATGACATTTTAAGATTGGGTGTAATCTCAACGAGCTAAATCGCACGCCTGAATACGACAACTGCTCGCCGGTCTTTGATTCTCCTCGCTATTCAGCACCAAGTCGACAAATGTCGCCGCGGCACCACCACCGCCGCTCACCGAGCTTCGAGCACCAGCAACACTCGCCCAGAGAAAGACACATCGAGCGCGGTTTCGTCACGCCAGAGTTCAACCACAGAGATCGAGAAATTGGTAAGTTCTTGATAAATTATTTCTTGATCATTATGTGAGCTAGTGATATTCACATAACAATTCTAGTGCGAACAAATTCGACCCCGCTTTTGCGAATCCAGCAAAACGCAACACCTATCCGTCGAATACCCTCGCATAACCATCGAACTCGTCAACGAGCCTTCACCGTTGGCACACCTTCCCCAGATAGCAACCTTGTCTGCTCGAGTCTGCAGCCGCTCATCGAGGAAAATAACAACGTCGAGGTTGTCGAAGATACTCTCATTTCGCGTCTGCACTTTGCGATGAATCTCGGCTGCGCTATTCTCAAAGTGGCGGATTTACATCAAGGCACGAACTACAGACGCCGGGGTGAACGGTTACTGCTCTTCAATCGAGGGCTCCAGGTGATCGCCTCCGCGCTGCACTCAGCTAGGAACTCTTACGACGAAACGGGGCCCTCGCCCGAACTTCGGTAATTTTTAATTAGCTATTCTCCGCTCAATTACTTTTATAGATCGATCCTAATGGAATTGAACTCGAAGTACAAGGAGTGCAGGGGTTACTGCAGCGACCTGCGACACTCAGTTACAGAAAGCATGGCTCCGAAAGATACAAAATTCGACAGCGCTGAACGAATCATGTATAACTTCGCGATCAGACACGCCGAAGAAGCCGCAGAAGGCGACTCGAATGGCGACCTTGAGCACGAAGATATCATTCAGCGATATGAGACCGCAGCCAGTTTACTACAGGTAATAAATTATTTTGTTTGTAATTTGTCAATAACTCCGGATTTTCAGGGAATCTACCAGCTAACAGATTGCCAAGAAGACAAGCGAAAACTGGGAATGTATCAGAGGCAAATCCACGAGCGGCTGGACGAGATAAAGTCTCAGTTGTCCTAATTGTTTATTGCTCCTCTTTTTTATTATTGTCTTTTCCGAAATTCGCTTACCCAAAGGTGTTCAAAAATCAAAAAAAGAAGAAACAAAAACAGGCCTTTTTCTCCCTTTTTCAATTTAACAGATAAACGTATCCTTCGTTACACTCTATTTTTATACAATATAGAAAAGAAACCATCGTCGATGGTCCATCGAAGACAAATTTGACTTGCTGTATGTTTTTATCGAAGTGTTAAAATGCTCTACGGAATAATCAGGTTTATGTATTCCTCATTTATGAAAAAAAAAAGAAAAAGACAAAACTAAAAAACTTCTAGTTCCTCTCGTTCTAATAACTCAAAAAGTACCCCTGTACATAGCTCTTTCGTACTTTTTTACTTTATTTTATTCATTTTCAAAAATATTCAAGTCGATTCATTCGTCCGCTTCATCAAGCGCCTTCAGTAAAACTGGGCCACAAAAAACTCCTCAAAATGGTGTCATATTCAAATAAAAATTTTAAATGTGAAAGTTTAATCCTGTCTTTTCGTTTATTTACAAGCGCGTTTTCAGAGAGTTCTAGCAGACCTGCGAACAGGTTTCGTTTACTTGGCATAGTCTAATCGAGCAGTCCATCGAAAAGTTAGAGTTCTGGTCGTATTCAAAGATGTAGGGAAGCGAGTGGTTTCTAGTTCCTTTGCAAAGACTCATCTCCGCCGAGGCAGTTGAGTTTTGAAAGCGACAGTTCTCGATGAGAAACTCTAACTCGTCAGAAAATGGGTTTTCAAAGTCGACACTGATTTTCTTTTTGTTGTAGTTTTCCTCGAGCGTGCTCATTGAGAGCAGTGGCTCAAGTGTCGATGTTGATTCCAAACCTGGATGAAACGAATTTTCGACTAATACGGCGCTACTGATGTTGAACTTTCTCGGATAATTGCAGACAAGGTCGATCGAGTTGACTTCCTTCTTGTCTCCGAAGCGGCGTCGCACTGCATCGTTAAATGGGTACCTCAGGCTGTGTTGGATTGTGAGAAAATTCTTTTTAGAGCTCGTGAGTTTGCCTCCACAAGCAGCGTGTCCGACTGAGAGGTAGAATCCTGATGCTTCGATATCTAATTTGACAAGACATTCTTCTTTGTTTTCATCTCCCACTGAAAATTGTTCAAAACGAGAGCAATTTTTGCTAGATTTACCTTGCAACCATTTCTTTCCTCTACCAAATCTCTGCTTCAGGGATCCTCCTCCTTTTCGGTATTGGAGTCCCATAACATCGTACGAGATGAACGCATCAAGTCCGGATTCAGAGCACTGTATGTTCGCACAGTCGGCAGAATTACTCAGCTGACAGAAAGTCTTGCCATTAATTTGTACTTTCGTCCAACAATTCTTACTGGGGCATTCTTCATCGTCTCCTAATGGCGCAACACGAAGGGGATTAGCGTCTCGATCTTCTGAGTTATCTTCAAGTTGCTCGATATGTTCTCCGAATCGTTCATAAAAGGCAATTGTTGAGCTTTCCATCGTTGGTGAAATTGTCTGCGGGATAATCTTGCTCTGAGCTTAGAAAAGAAAGATGGATCAGCAATAGATCAATGTTAATTTCATTTCTTTTGATAGAAATTATTCCAAAGCTCTTTCCTGCGGCTCGTTTTCCGAGAAAAGATTGGGTAACGCCTGTCTAGTCAAATTGATCTTCTGGCGAAGTGTCCATTCGTCGTCTGCTGTATGAAGTTTCAGAACTACAGAAGGTCTGTTGCGATACTTTGTGACACGGACGACGTTCGCCGTTAAGTCGAAGGGCGAGTCAGAAGACCGTAGATAATTACTGACTCTTTTCTCAATGTCGCTCTCTCGCAAGTCCAAGGAGTCAGCGGCGAGAGGAATTTTCACGCGGACGTTAATCGGATTGTATTCAAGAAAGGTCGAAGTCGTAGGAGCAAGCTCTGTTGTTGGTTCAAGTGGTTGATCAGCTCCGGAGCCTTCATTCTCTGGTGAGCTGGTAGTGTTTGATGGAGTCTGGTTTGGGCTATGAAACGCATCTCTAGCATCGCTCAATGCACCAACAACGAGGGTGATTGGAAGCTGCAAAAGATCAGCGACTCGATGAAAAATCTCGTTTGCATTAAATTCTTGCAAAAAGTTCATTTTACTCGATTTCGTTTTTCAGAAAGCTCTGATAGATTTTCCGCTTTTCACGTTTTATATCCCCGTTAGAAATTATTTTTTCATCATGTGGTCTATTTTTGAATTGCTATTTAGAGGTTCAATCTGAAGCCCCAGTTTGCTCAAAATAGAGAATACGCAATAACTGTGGTTAAATTACTTTATTTAAATGGATTCTTGATCTGGGTAAATAGAAGAGTTTTTCTTCTGAAATCATGAGGTGTCACAGGAAAGAAGCAATTTTGCGATGTTTCACAAACTAGTCAAGACATGAAGGTAGTATGGTTTTAGTTTGTACTAAGTTAAAGCGCGCAAATGGCAGGGATTCAAAATTATGCGTTTTAAATATCACTTTCTTCGTTGATTTTGGCTTCCTCATCTCGTCTAGAGTCAGATACTTTCCGGTAGGTTCCTTCGGTTGCTGAAATCTGCTGTCGCTCAAGCTCAGTCCCGATAGAAACGGAGTATAACTTTTGATTGCTACAAATTTGAATTAAAAATAAAGAAAATATAAAACTTTGTAGACAATTCCTTTGATCCAAGAACGGCACCAACAATCGGGCCAACGATAGGGATCCAAAAGTGGCATTCATAAAGGTTATTTCCTCTCGTAAACACTGTAGGCCAGCCAGCAACAAAAGTGAACAATCGAGGTCCCAAGTCTCGAGCAGGGTTGAGAGCGTATCCAGTGTTGACACCCAATGCAGCACCGATGGCAAAGACGATTCCGCCGATGAAGAATGGCTCTAATCCAGCTGGAGCGCCACTGATTTCATTTTATTGGCAAAAACAACGATGGCGTGCTTACTTGTTGTTCTTGTCGGTAACGGATCTTACAAAAAGAAGAAGAAATAAGGCTCCAATAACTTCGTTGGCGAAACCCTGCGCCATCGACACGTCGTTTCTCGGATAAGTCGCAAAAATGCCCGATGTCTCAGCTGTCTTCTCCATGTCAGCGTATAACATGTATACAGCGCCTCCAGAAACAAAACCTCCAATAACCTATCCCAGTAAAACATGAGCTTTAGAAATGGTTTTACCTGGCCGATAACATAGAAGCAAGCTTCCTTGATTGCTAAGCGTCCTTCAATTGCTTCAACAATCGTAACTGCGGGGTTTACGTGACCACCACTCACTTTTCCGCAAACATAAACGGCCAATGCAACGGCTATTCCGTAGCAAAGATTAATACCGAGCCATGTTCCACTTTTTCAAGTTCAAAAAGAGAGGAATCAAATTTAAATGCAACAGAAAAATCTGAGAAGTAATCTGTTCCATAATTTAGGACTGTTCCTTTTTGCCACAACTAATTCAGCAACAGAGCCGTTTCCAATAGTGCACAAAATGAAAACTCCGATGGCTTCTGCAAAAGCGCGTCTCGGTAAGCTCGCCTCCATTCTAGGAAAGAAAAAAATCGATCATTGTCAGATTTGTTTATGTGTCATGTAATCGTTTCACAGTGAGGTAGTTGAAGAGTTAATGCAGTGCGGGCAGTTCAATGAAGTCGTAAAAGGGCGAGATTTTCTCTCGGGCGGCGAGTGCTCCCGTGAAGAGGTCCCAGTTCTTCAGCGAGTCCTTCCGCCGCCTCTTTCGCGTCTTCCGGTTGATCTCTTGGATGAAGCTCGAGTTGAACTCGACCTCGTCGTCAGACCCGCGGTCAGCCTTACGGATCTTTTAAAAAAGGATTAGCGCTTGGACAAGAGATAGGGCGCGGCGACTTACGAGGAATCTTGATTCAAGCAATGCTGGAATGTTTGAACGGCGAAGCGAATGTAAACAAGTAGTTAGCAGTAGTGGAGGAGATTGAACTGGTTTCAGCAGCTATAAAAATGTCAATATTTTCGAGTCTGGGATTGATGGTAAAGGTAACTCCATTGAACCTGGCTCGATACTCGAGGATCTCGTTGAAGAGAGAGCAGTTTGGTCGTGTAAGGCGTTCTGGACACAATTCGTTTTGAGAGGTACAACGCGATGTCCAGCCACTCGTCGATTTCGCTCCCAATAAGCGGGGCCATCTCGATCAAACACTGGTCCAAAGCGCTCAGTCCTCGCGCATTCAAAGATGAAGGATCGAGTCCTGCTTTTATCAGCATTTTCACTTCCTAGCATTAATTATTAATGGATAATCTTGAAAAAATAAACAAATGTTTTTTCTAGCACGAAATTTAATAAAAAAAATTAAGTTGAATATCTTTCAACTGAACGGTAAAATACCGTCAATTATTGATTTGAAAATTGAAGGATTTTTACCTTGGACTTGGCGAGATGAACAGCGTGTTCAAGAATAAGGCCATCGTTAATTTCTTTCTTTTCTCTTTTGTAAGTCTTTAGTGAGTGTTTCAAAAGCTTTTCGTCCGAGTAGGTTATTGCCTTTCGACTTGGTTGCCAAAAATATAAAGAATGGTAGCATTTCAGATTATTGAATTCTTACGCAAGAACCATGGCACTATATAAAAATAGTATTGCCCGTAAAATACTTACGCAAATGTTTCAACTCAAAATTATGATATGTATAAATAATAAAATCAAAAATTGAAAAAAAAAATTACTACCACCATTCATTAAAGATTGTCAACCAATTTCCCTTTATAATCCTTTCTTCTAGCCAAATATCACTTGTAAAGCTATTTTCTGATCCACCAGACTCTGAGCACATAATTTATTTTTTCTCTATTGTTTTCTTTTATTATTCGTCTTCAGTTGTCTACGTCGGGTCTTCCTCCAGCAGTCGATGGATGGAACATGCGCCATTTTTGCGCCTAAGGCGGCGCATTTCTGGCTCCTCCGAGAAAGTAGGCGGCCGAGTTTCTTACTCCGCCATTGCCTCGAGTTCAACCCTTTCCCGGAATCGTTCTTTCAAAAAATTATACTCATTCATCGAGAGGCGTCAACGAGAGTAACCGAAACGTCGAAAATCTAAAGTGTAAAATATAAATAAAAATTTATTATATTGCGAACGCAGCAAAAAGAAGAAATTGATAAAGTGATGTTGATATTTCTCTATCCGGGGTAGACTATCCCCCTCTTCTTTAGAAAAATTATAAAAAATAATAGCTTCGGGAGCAAAATTTATTTGTCTTGGAAAGCGAAAAAGATAACATCCTATTTATGAAAATAAAACAAACAAATGCGCATCCTCACTATCGAATGCACAGGCGCTCACAGCTTATGTAGGCTCCTCCTATCTTCGTAATTATGAAGTTGAGACTAAAATAAACCTGCAATTCTGAAGCTCTGAGGTCTTAAATTTCTCTAGCAGACTTTGTCAAGACTAATCAGAAATGTTGAAGATATTCTTGAAGGCTGCTTTGTCTAGAAGAGCTCTGAATTTGCACTAGGATGATGTTGGATTAAAAATTCTTTTTATAATTTTTGAAATCAAAGAAGACTTCGATCACACAATCTTGTTTGTTTTTTCACGAGTTTATAATTTAGTAGATAGCAAATATCAACAATCAAGTAAGGTAGCATATTTCGAGTTTGATGTTTTGGGTTGAATAATTTTTTCTTAGAAATTTCTTGAATGAAGGGCTTGCATCTTGGCATTTTTCAGTCGTCGTTTCGTGTTTGCAAAGGTCTTCAGTGGCTTGAGCTCATCTCGGATAGACAAGCGGACTCTTTTGCATGAAGATGAATTCATTTCTGGTTCGGTGGAGGACGACATCATCAAATCAAGGAGGCTCATATTTGTTTGTTGTGAGTTCAGATACTGTTTGTGTTTGGGGATTCTTGAGTCCTTTTATATCGAAAAAGAGCGATAGAGAGTGCGAAACACTACATATCGCCCAGCTGAATCAGTTTCTAGCGACTGGGAGCATGCTTTGACAATAAGATATCGGCTCATAGGATCAATCATCTCCAGCTGCGATCTGAACATTTGGACTCACCGGATGTCTTTTTTTCTCAAACAAGTGCTTCCCGGAAACGCTTGTTTTCGAACGATTCCTGCATTTCAAAATTCGTATGCCAAGACAATTCATCTAACGCAAATAAACGTAAATCGTAACATGAATTGCTATAGGACGTCTTGCGCACTCAAGAATCCATTATCATGAGATTAATATAAAGGCTTTTTTGTTGATCCAGAATCTATTTGCTATTCGCGCCACATGTGGTTATAAATGATGACCTTCCTGAAGCCAATTTCTTTTCTCCTTCCAGGCTAATCCAAATTTCTTTTCGCACTCCAAAGAAAAGGCAAATAGAGATTAGAGTCAGAAATCAACGAAGGAGAAATCGATACCGTTGGAAATTTATAAGAGCAAAATGGGACTCGTAAGTTGGGTCATTCAATTGGTTTTGAATTTGAGCTACCTCGGAAGCTGGGCATGCTTTGCAGTTGGTAATATCGGACAAACTTGGAATTGTAAGTTCTTTCTCTAGTTATGTTTGAATTAATTAAAGAATAAAAACCATAATATAAACCGATCTAGCGTGGGTTTATTAAAATGAGAATCTTTTGCTTCGATCTCTTACTAATCAAAGTTATTGCTTGAATTTATCCGAAACCACTGTTGTTTAAGTCGCAAACCGTACCAAGTCCACGAATACTGTCGACGGCATCGATGACATTCTACACAACTCCGAATATTACTGTAACGAAGGACTCTGGCTTCGCTGCTGTACTCATCGAGATCAAGAATGCGCCTTAATTTTCACTGACAGGTATTGTTACCCTTGTCAACAACCATTTTCTAACCAACATCAGAGAAACTCTGGCTCCGAATCAACTCGTGATGGATATTCCTACTCTTATGCAGCACGGCTTCGCTGCTGGTTCTATGCTTCTAGCAGGGCTTCTTCCTTTACTCGCCGTCGCTACGCGTACGCTACAGTAACTCTTATCTAAGAGCCTCTTCATAAAAAATCATAAAAAATCTACAACGGAAATCCTGGCCGCCATAAATCATAAAATTTTATTTTCAGTCTGCTGTGGCAATAAGCTTGGTGCTTATGTTCTCCAAGCAACAAGTGGCTTATTTGCTCTGGTATCGCTGGTAACTTATTTGACCTACTATATTGGTGAAAAGGTAAATAGCATTTTTCTAAAAGACAATTTATAGCAGGTTTTATGAGCCTTAAAGTCACAAGAGTTCTTTAGAAAATTACGCCAATAGAAAGTCTAAAGAATGATACGCAATCATGGGACTTTCACGAGTACTTTCCAGACTCAGGAAGCGTTAGTAAATAAACAATCAACAACTATCAGTGTGATATCTAAGACTTATTTATTAACTCGCGACAGAATTCGGCTGGTGCTTCTGGGTCGTCATAACTGGAATCTGTCTCAACATGAGCACAAGTTTCATTCACTGCTGTTTCTGTAGCAAAGAAGCTTCGAACAAAGTCTCTGCCTCATATTCATCAAGACGTAATTCAACTTAAAAACACCCTATTCAAGATAATGCATGAAAATCAAAGAAAATAAACATATATTCACAAAGTAGGTTGAGAAGAAACAGAGGATTTTTGCATTTGTGACCTAAAAAAGTCCATATTTCGCATGTCGGTCTTTTTGTATTCTAAGCCATCTTCAGATAGAATTCGCTCGTAGTGAACATTAAGACTCCAGCTGCTCCCAGAAGCGCGTAGAAAGGTAGAAGAACGAGAACAGATCTCTTGCTCGATCAGACTTAATAGCTCGTATTTGTTCATCGCAAACTAAAAGATACTAATGATTTCGAAATCATCCATGCAAACCTCATCGCAGTGGACGAAATTCTTGTCGAGAAACCCAATCATCTCTCGCGCAGTATAGACTTTCACCCCATCTTTTCGGAGAATCTTCCTAATCTTGAGAATAAACTCCATTTCTGTCGGCGGACAAGCAAAATATATCGACTTCACTCTTCCGTAAGACATTCGAACATATTCTGCAAGGTAATCCGCGACTTTCTCCGGTTCATCCATCAAAACTCTTGCCATCGTACATGCGCCATCCTCTTCAATGTCATCACCTCTTCTCTTCCGCGATCCCCTTTCGCAGTGATTGAACCAGTCTCCATGAGAATATCGCCAATGAATCGCCATATATTCTGACCCAAGATCTGATCTCTGAAGAAATTTCGCGGCAACGTTTCTAATGAACTCTGGGCGTTGTGTCGCCGAGACAATTTTTTGAAGGAACTTGAAGTTGTCAGACTCGCGTGGAGGGTTGGGTATGCTCAGCCTTGAAAAAAATGTAAAAAACAGGTCTAAAGGAAGTTCTTACCTGTCGAAGTCAATAGTTCTGTAAGGGAATAACCAAAGTGGACACTTTTCTTTTGAGTCATAGAGCTCCGCGATCATCGTATGGTTCTGAGAATATCTCAAAGGCTTCTTCATCGAGTCGACGCCTGTGGGATAAGTAGGAACTCTAACTGAACAATCATGTTTTCCAGTATTCTTAGCAAGCTGCATCGGTCCAAATTTGAAAAATCCAGTGAAGTCAGCGATGCTCTTCAACTTTCCATCTTTGCAGTAATTTTTGCCTGCCATGAAGAGAGCATCGAAAGCATAATCGCAGGTGTTGGCAACTTTATGTCCGTCGACGACAGGGATGAGCTCTCGAAGAGATTTGATGTCGACCCGCAAGCTTGGCTGAGCAATTGGCTCCTCTACCGCCAACTTATCATTACGCCCGTGTTTGTAAAAAGGAGGAACAATTAACGTTCTATTCGTAATAATTGCGAGCATTACAGTTTCACGAAAACCGCGGAGCTGATTGTTCGGTCCATAAGAGAATGCTGCGGTCAGGAAGTGACCCTTCCTCAAGTTGAACTTTGGTGTTATCGAGTCTTCCCAGGCGATTGTAAAGTTCGGGCAGGCTAAACGAACAGAGTTCTTATAACAAGATGTCAAAAAGAAGGATAATTTAGAGATAAGTTTTGCAAGATTTGCGACACCCTTGACTGAATTGCCGGAGCTTCAGTTGGTGCTTCTGTCGGGTCGATTTCTTCCTCGAGCTCTTCAATATGAAGCTCCGGGAAGATATCATCTTCATCAGCGTCATCTGCCGTTCTCTGAGGCTCAAACTCTAACTTCTCCATAACGGCTAATCGCTTGTTCGTTTCTGTCGACGCAGTCACTGTCGTCATGATTGCAACTGTCACTTGTTCTATACTTTCCGTTTCTTTCCTCTTCTCGGGGTATTTCTGTAAAGAACCCCTCGGCAACTCTGTTTGCTCATGATAAGCAGGTTTTACAGATGCATTCAGTAACTCTATCTGTATCTCTGAGACATTCAGCTGCACAAAAATGCACAATATTGCCCCTGCGAATAAAACAGCAGCTGTATTTTTTGCTTGAAAGCCCTCAATCACCTTCATTATGTAATTTTTCTTGCGGTAGGGCGTCCTATGCGCGGGGGATAATCCCGTTTCGTCTTGAGTTTCAACTTTTGCCGGCGGTTACGGGAAAAACCGACAACGGCGAACGCCATGGTGATCGTTTTTGTCGATGCAAAGCTTCCAATTTAATGCAACCTGCGAAAAGGAACAAGAAATATCAAGAAAATAAAGTTATTATTCCACCATATTCTGATCTAATTTAAGGCATAAATCAACAGGGATTAATCAGATATTTGAGCGACAGTGCAAAATTGAAAAATGGCTACTTTTGTTGGGTAATTCCTCGCTTTCCTCGGGGATCGCCTGGCTCGTCCCTGTTGCTAGTTTCAAGGTGGTCACTTTACGACGTGGACCTGCGAGATTTAGGATATTTCGAGCTACTAAGCGTTTCTAGAGCGGAAATCAAGAGCAAGGCGTACCTGTTACTTTTTGCTGAGGAGCCGCTCCAGCTTCCATTTTCTTCTGCTTGCGGCGCTCGATCAGACGGTTCTTTGAATGCTTCACATCGCGGATTTTCACTTTGTTGTCGACTCGCATTGTTTGCAACGCGCTTTCCATTTCCCGCTGCGTTTCTCTACAATTTTTCAATTTCAAAAAGCCGCTCTCGGAAACGAACTTACCGGTAGCAATCCGGGTCTTCCATCATATTTGCCGAAGTAAATAGCGGGGTGGAAGGAACTTCGCGAACATTTGCCACCCAAGGAGAGTTCATAAACTCGTAAATGTCGATTCGCTTGTTGACATCTACAGTCAGCATTCGCTTGATGAGATCTTTGGCCGTTAGTGAAATGTTCTTCCATTCTTTGTCGGGAAAAGTGTATTCACCTTAGAGCAAGCCTTAGGAAAATCTTCATCAGTAAAAGGTTATACCTTGTCTAATCCTCTTTTTCATCCCCGGAGAAATGGAGAAACCGTGGTCAGAATAAAACGGCGGGTATCCACAAAGCAAGACGTACATAATTACGCCCATCGACCAAACATCACAGGACATGTCGTATCTTTGCTTTTCGTTCAGAACCTCTGGCGCAGCATAATAGGGAGTGAAGCACGGTGTTTCAAGACCCTTTTGAGTCACTTCTTTCGCAAAACCAAAGTCAGTTAGCTTCAGTAATGACTGGAAGTTGCGTTCGGAATAGAGCAAGTTTTCTGGCTTCAGATCTCTATGAGCGATGTTCCGGCGGTGCAAAAACTAGAAAAAAGAGAATGAATCTTGAGATCAAGGAAAGCTTATTTTACCATGACTGCATTGCCGATTTGTCTCATAATATCGGCCGCATCCCTTTCTGTTATCTTCGTTTGCGTTGTATTCTGAATTCTATCGAAAAGCTCTCCTCCTGGCATGCACTCCATTATCAACAAGTAGCACGGTCGTTGCCGGTAGATATTTTCATACACGTCCAAAATACGCACAACCTAACAATTTATAATAATCTAATAATTAATGATTCCCGAACATTTTCGCATTGAGAAGCATAAGCATGAAGTTTGACTTCGAGTTCTGAATTTCTGCTTTCTTTTATGATGATTTTCAGTGCGCCCTCGGCTCCGGTCTGACGATGAATCACTGAAAACGGACTTTGAAAGATTGCATCATTAAACTCTACAAATGTATGGGCCTCGCCATAAAGCAGCATACTTTTACTGAAGCTATCAGGAATGATCCGAGTGAGGAATTACCTTTGACGACAGATCCATTAATTCCAGTGCCGAGTTTTTCCCTCGTCAGTTGGTAATCTTCCGTTACGGTATTCTGAAGCCAATTGTTAATTAAAAAATCGTTGGTCAATACATGAATCACGGAAATTCTCAATGAGACAATATCCCCTCTCAAATTTATTCGTCTTATATTCCTACAGACCTTTTCATGGTTAACTTCTCAAAACACGGGAGCGCTACTATACCCTCAAAACACGGGGTCCAATAATTGGACCACAATGCATTATCCCCGCCCCGCGCGGCGCGCCAAATTCATAGTGTGAAAAATAGCGCTCAGGACTTTTGGCTCTAATTGACATTTCCGTTGAGTAAAAAAGATTATAAATATATTGTTAGAGAGCTTGAACCCTCTTCTATAATAATTTACTATTGTAAATCGAAAAATCCGTTTCGATTTTCCACCAGAAAGCGAAAGAGAAATATGGCGCAAAACGCCACCACTTTTGAGTTTTCATTCGAAACTTCACAGAGTGGTTCGTTTCCGTCCTATCAGCTCACATTACAAAATTCAGGTCAAACAGATTACTAGAACGGGAAATACAGGGGGTAAAAGTCGCCGTGGTCCAATGATTGGACCACGTGCCTTGAGAAGTTAATTTATTCACTAGAATACATTTGAGGATGCCCCTTTTCGGTCGGAAAAAAGGCACTGATATTGATTAACATACGCTTTTTTGGACGTCAATGAAATGAATATAAATAAAATAATGATTAATATGAAGGATAATGACGACAATTTTTGTAAAAAGTATCGATTTTAATTCATAAAAACGACAATTTTTATGGTTGAACGTATTGTGTCTATTTTTATTTCCGAGTTCAATCCGACCCGCTTTCGTTTTTGAGAAGTTTATCTCCTTTGCCGTCAGTACTGATCCCCTTTCTCAAGAAAAACTGCTTATTTTCGCAAAAACTATCGATTGCGTCTTTTGAAAACAAAACAGGAAGCACTAATTAAACAGTGCGCAATTAATGAACGTCAAAATAATATTTGCTTATCAGTATAAATTATTATTTACGCTACCTTTGAAAAGCCGATTCCAAGTGCCTGTAAGAAAGTCGGCAGGTCTTTTTGTGAGAGATGGTTGAACTGGATATTCTGCTGGTTAGCACTTCTTTGGTCCATGCCCCAGCCACTCATCGTGGAAGAACGTTTTTCTAGTGCTACTTTTCTCTTTTTTCTTTCTTTCTTATTGGCTCAGATTCAAATCCCAACGGAACTCTCTTTTTCGTCAGTAAAAAAGGCTTTTTATGGTCTCCTTGTTGAAAAAAAGATAATTCCGTTTTTCGAGTCGAAACAACGAAAAATCTGCGCGCGAAAAAAGGAGAGCTCGAGCGTTTTCGCGAAAATTTCGCGATTGAGTGGGCGGCGCGATCTGAGCAGACTCAACTCTTAGTCACCATAAAGTAAAGAGATTTACAACAGAGATTTCAAAAGAAAAGAAAAGGAAAAAAGATCAGAAGAGGGGCGATTTCTGGTTATTTATGGTATCAATCGGCGCCAGAATTTTGTTCTCTGGTTGCGTAATCTTAGATAAGCGCTTCTTGGAAAATCCAAATTATTTTTTTCATTAGATCTTGATTTTTAGAAACTCAATCGAATTATTTTATTGAAAAATATTTAAAAGAAATATTTTGAAATTTTGAAACAATTTACTGCTTATCATTATTAATTCATAGCTTTGAAAAATATATTTAATTATGAAAGTAACATTTTTGTCGAAGAATCTTTTTCAAAAAATCCTTATTTTGACCTATTTAGAATATAAACTGAGTTAACCTCTACTTTGAACAACAACACCCCCGGTCGTTACATATCGTGTGTAATATTTATTCCTGCCTTCGGCCACGGTGTTCTCTCGGACCCCTCTTTTTTATTTCACTTTTTCATTTTCAGAAAATCGAAAAAAACTGTGAAAATGTCCAAGATCACGTGCGGACCCGTTGTCGAGATTCAGGGAGATGAAATGACCAGAATCATTTGGGACTTGATCAAGGAGAAGCTCATTCTGCCCTACATTGATTTCGGAGAGAATCTTCACTTTTACGATCTTTCCATCCAGAAGAGAGATGAAACTGATGACCAGATCACTGTCGACTGCGCTGAAGCCATCAAGAAATACGGAGTCGGAATCAAATGCGCCACAATTACTCCTGATGAGAAGAGAGTCGAGGAGTTCGGTCTCAAGGTAATTTTCACTTATAAATATAAAATGTGAACGGCTCAGAAAATGTGGAGATCTCCAAACGGAACGATTCGAAATATCCTCGGCGGCACCGTCTTCCGTGAGCCAATTCTCTGCTCAAACGTCCCCCGACTCGTTACCACCTGGAATCACTCCATCGTCGTCGGTCGCCATGCCCATGCTGATCAGTACAAAGCTACCGATCTGGTCATTCCCAAGGCCGGAACCCTTACAATGACTTTCCAGCCAGACGATGGATCTGCCCCTATTCAACACGTAAATTCAACATTTCAGAAACCAACTAAAACGATACCCTCTTTTTAGACCATTTACAAGTACGAAGATGGTGGAGTTGCCATGGGCATGTACAACACTGACAAATCCATTCGGGATTTCGCACGAAGTTGCATGATTTTCGCGTCTGGTCGTGGCTGGCCCCTCTATCTTTCGACCAAGAACACTATCCTCAAGAAATATGATGGCAGATTCAAGGTTTTGTCGCTTTTCCAACGCTCCTTTTATAAAAATCCTCCAGGACATTTTCGCCGAAGTCTACGAGGCCGAGTTCAAGTCGACTTTCGAGGAAAAAGGAATTTGGTACGAGCACCGACTTATCGACGATATGGTCGCTTACGCTCTCAAATCCAGCGGCCAATTCGTCTGGGCTTGCAAAAACTACGACGGTGATGTGCAATCTGACTCTGTCGCCCAAGGTACAACACTCTTGTAATCTTTTTCCCGTCAACTTTTCAGGTTATGGCTCCTTGGGTTTGATGACTTCCGTGCTCGTCTGTCCCGACGGAAAGACTGTCGAATCCGAAGCTGCTCATGGAACTGTTACTCGACATTACAGAGCTCACCAGGCTGGAAAAGAAACTTCCACGAATCCAATTGGTAAGTTTCTCTCTTTCTTTCGTTGTAACAATGATTCTAGCCTCTATCTTCGCCTGGACTCGAGGACTCGAACACCGCGCAAAACTCGACAAGAACGAAGCCCTTGCCAATTACTGCGCCACTCTTGAAAAGGTCTGCATCTCGACCATCGAGAGCGGCTTCATGACCAAGGATCTCGCCATTTGCACCAAGAACGGCGACGCGTCCAAAGTCACCAGGGCCGACTATCTCAACACTTTCGAATTCTTGGACAAGCTCGCCGAGAATCTCAAAGCTGCCATGATCTAAAAAGAATGAAATCAATCACCAGACTGGTGCTGACTGATTCAACTTTAGAAACAATTATGTTTAGGACAAGAACTTAAAAAAAAGACTTCTGCAATCAACTTTTTACTCATTCTGTTAAAACCCGTCTTACGTAAACCCAATTTTATTCGCATTCACAAATCCATTCTTTCCTTCTTTATTCTTATTTAAAAAATAAACTTTCCCGGTGAAAAGAAAATTATCTTTCTTTCAAATTTGCAGTATCGTTAATTTAAAAAAACTTAAATAAACTCGAAAAGAGTGAATCTGGCACAGGTGACTTCGAAGGGATTTATTTTTAAGGAATCATGAGAATGGACCGCGAGCAAGAATAATTAATCGCACGAACTTTTGTCATCTCTTTTCCACTTTCGTGTTGGTATTGTTCCCTTTTCTGTGGATTAAAAATTCATCCCTTCGGAGTTGCTTGAGCGCCGCGCAAGGAATACTATTGTGTATATTCCATGCAACTAGTCATGTGCGCGCGCGAGCCTTGTTTCATCCCTTTGCTGCAAAGGCCCCGTCAGCAGAAATCAATAACCGATTTTCTTTCTGGTCTCGCTCTCTAAGAAACCTTGTTTTAGAGAATCGAAAGAATGACTTCAAAGAATATGGTCCCCAATCCCGTACCAAGGGTAATAAAATTAAAAAATAAAAGAAAATAGAAATAACCAAGCAAAAATCAGTTATACGAGTCTGTGGTTGAGGAAGTAATCTCTAAAGTGCGGGACTCGGTGCTGGATGAAGGACTAGACGAGAGCGTTCTTTGTGACTTGAAAGCGCTCTGGACAAAGAAACTCGAAGAATCGAAAGCAATGAGCGGGCCCGAACCTACCAACGAGTATCGTTCCTACGTTGGTCGCCACGGCCCACCCGGCGACACTCCCAACATTTATCATCCTCATCCGCAGCAAGCCCCTCTTCATCGTCAGCCACCTTATCGCCACATCCAGCAGCAGCAGATTCCTCATCCAAGAGTAAGAAAACCAACATTTCTATGCCTCCAAAATCAATCATTTTCTAGCTCGGCCCGCGAGTCATGCCGCTGCCTGGAATTCCCACACCACTGCCACAACCAATACCTGTGAGTTCCTCCACTCTTTTTCTTTCTAACTTTTCCTCTTCAGCAGCCTGTGATGCGTCCCCACCCAACCCAGGCATACAACCCGCGGATGCCCGCCCGAGCGAGCCATCACCCCCATCCGATTCCCGCCAGTTCGCCGATGGCGTTGCATCCGCAGCACGGACCTATCCCTCCCCACAGCCAGTCGCCCCACTCCTATCCGAATGAGCACCCAAACCCCTCGCAAACGCCAACACCCCCACTTCACCCACATCACCCAGCATCTCGCAATGCGCCTCGCCACATAAGCCCACATATTATCCGCCAAAATCATACTATTCAGGTATTTGTTCCAGCCATCTTCATTCTTTCAAACCCTTTCTAGCGCCACGGTCTCCCCATTTCATCTCCAGCTCCTCAAATGCAACACCAAAGTGTCATTCAAGCAAATCATTATCGTCCTGGACAGGTTTCTATATTCCTCTTTCGAAAAAGTAACGAAAAATAGGTCGACGGAGCGATAGACACAGATTCTTCCGATTTAGACTCCAGCTCCGACGAAGAACCTCCACCAGCGCCATATACTCAAGGTAAAAAAGGGTCTTTTTCGACGGTACTGAATATGTAACGAATGTAACGAATGTAACGAAAACTCAAAAACATGTCTTTTTTTCGTTACATTGTCAGTAAAATTCTAGAGATTTTTTTGTTTTTCTTATTTCACCCCCTTGTGTTTCCTACAATTTTACCCGCGGAGCGGGCGTTTTGAATCAGAGTTCCAAAAAACGCAAAATTCTCGCGTGCGCGTGCGTGCGCGTGCGGAGAAATTTAGAATTTCGCGTGCGCGTGCGGAGACGACTTTCGAACACGCGTGCACACGCGTTCGCACGCGTGCGTGATCGTGTGCGTGCGCAAAAAGGGATAAAATTGCCAAATTTTAGCAATTTTTTGCTTCTCTAATTTTTTTCAATCGACAATTCTAGAACAATTATTGCTAATACCAAGTCAAAATTATTTTTGAAACATAGGAAATCCTAGAATTTTACGCATTTAAATTGACTCTAGAAATTTTTTCGGCATAAATGACCTAAAAACGCCAAATTTTCTAGGATTTCGAGCACGCGCACGATCACGCACGCGTGCGAAATCTCAATCTTCGCGTGCGCGTGCGCACGCACGCATACACGCGCACGCGTGCGCACGGACGCACGCGTGTTTTGGAACTCTGTTTTGAATCATTCAGAGCAGGTATGGAAAACGAATCTACCATATTAACGCTATTTCGTATTTTTTGAGCTTTTTTTGCTCTTTTGGATATGTTTAATTGTTGTATAAAGTTAAACTCCCCAATATCGCTCTTTAGAATAAGTTTCTAGAATCAGCTAACAAAAAAACAACATGTCTCTGTTTTCGTTACATTGTCAGCAAACTCGTTACATTCGTTACATTCGTTACATATTCAGTATCGACCGTCTTTTTTGCCCTGGATTAATAATTATTTTTAAGAAGACGCTGAGCCACTCAATTCCGACGATGATGTCTCAGATTCTAACGATAATGAAATCTTCGAAACAGGTACCTAAAACAAGATGATCTGGAATAAATTTTTTTCTTCAGAAAATATTGTAATTTGCCAATTCGACAAAATCGCTCGGGTCCGAAACAAGTGGCGCTTCCAGCTCGTGAATGGTATCATGACCCTGAATGGAAAGGACTACGTTTTCCAAAAAGCCACTGGAGATGGAGAGTGGTGAAACTGCTCTTTCTTCTTCGAATTCTACGATGAAACCAACCAGAAAATCAAAGTAACCGGGCGCCAAATTATCAAAAAAAAAAAACAACGCTCTCCTCTTTCTTTTTGCCGAGATAATTTTTATACAAACAGACACACTGTACGTTACGTAGCTGTATTCCCAAAGCCGTTCCCCTTCAACTCGCGCATCACTTCGACGATCTTATTTATTTGGAAAGAAATGTTATTTATTACTCGAATCAACTATTTATTAACTTTCCTTGTTCAACATAAATTTCAATCGCGAAAAATGTGCTCCCAAAAAGTTTCCAAAAATGAAATGTTACGCTGTTCTCAATCTTTAAACTTCTGAAAAAATAAGCTGTCATTTTAATCGAAATGAGAATTTTTGTCGTAATTTTGAACTTATTTATTTTCTGAATTTGTAAGAAAATATAACTCAAAATTGCCACAAACGAACCCGACTGAATCCCAATTAACCTTATACGAGCAATTTTAGTCAAGCCCGAGATTTTTAAAAATATCAATACCTGAGCTCAATAACATGTGTAGAACACCTGAGTCCGGTTTGACAGATATCTAATGATAACAGATTAGCAGCCTTGTTTTAAAAAAGCCGTTTCGCGGCTTATCATTAGAGATATTTCAAACCCTTACTCAGGTCTTCTACACAGGTTACGGAGCCCAGATTAACCCGCTGCAAAATCTCCTGGCTTTTTCTGTTCTCGCATAAACCGAAATTCGAGCTGTTCTACTTATCCAATTGCTAAGACTATCAAAGTATTTAATTTAAAACGCTGTATCTAAAAAACCCGGATGTTCTTTTTATTCACCAGTCACTATTTGAGTTTGACGCCATCGATCTTTTTATTTTATTTTTACTTTGCTCCTTCAAAGTTTCCATTTATCATCTCTTCATTTACACTTTTTTTTCATTTTCTAGTAGATTTGATCCTATCTATATTCCACCAACTTCATGATTTTATTTCACGCAATCATTTATTTCTATTCTTAAACCTGAAATGTTCCGTTTTCCAAGAAAAAGAGGAAAAACATTGAAAAAAAAATCTTAAAATCAAAAATTCGCAAATTCGAATTTGCAAAATCCTAAGAAAAATAAGCTGTTTACAATCTTTCTATTCTCTATGGCATAAATGTAAAATTAAGTTATTCAAATATAAAATTATGATCATTTATGCATGTTCTTTTTACGTTACAACAGTCTTATGCTTCTCAAAAATATCTAAATCTAAGTTTCCCTCCTCTACTGTATTCGGTTATCTATTTAAATCTAAAAAAGCAACTCAAAAAATTTTTTCTTTATCAAAACTTAAATATAAAATAAAGGATAAAAAATGATGATGAATCGAATCGGACCAGCGAGTTATTATCAGCTAACAAACGAAGTCAGAAAGTGCATTCGCATCATCAGAAGGAGCAATTATCAAACGAATAAGAATCAAAATGTCAAAGCTTCTTTGGCGAGATACCAGGAACGGAAAAGAAAATTGCAGCAGAATCAAAACTTTGAACAAAAAGTGTTGATCAACCAGTTTTGTCGAGTGATGGCGCTCGTGGGCAGGGTTCAATGAGATTTCATAAGAGCATTTTTGAAAGCCTTATCCTGTTTAGCTCCTATTTTGAACCCTTCTTGATGATCATCATTGTTTTCTATTCTCTTCGACCAACGAATCGACTTTGAACTCAAGAACAAAAAACTCGACGATCTCTGCGAAAACATCCGCCTTGTCTGCGTTCTACACCGAGAAAGTCTCGAAGGAGTCCTAGCTTATTTTCAAAATCAGAACATAAAAATTTCCGCCGAACTTGGAATTTCTCTCTCAAATGGCAAATTTCACAAGCTCTTTCTTCTCGATGGGAAGCAAGACGAGATCGCCAGGATTCCGAAAATTGCGGCGTTTGACGTTCGAAATCAGTCGTTTCGGGATATTGATCCGGATTTTTGGCATCGATCGAGCATTTCTAGGGTCGATCAAGGACAAACTTTAGGTACGCGAGTTCTTCTCGGCTCTCTCTTTATGGAAAAATTTTAGGGGAGACCCTTGCTTACATGAATCAAAAGCCAGCTTCGATCCAGCTCTCAGTCCTTCAAAAACACCAACTTGTTCGCGACGATTCTTCGCTTCTCGAGCGATATTTCTTAGCGGATTACATCAATTCAATGCTGCGACAAAAGTTTAACTTCACAGGATTCGAGCTTCGACCTTACGGCAGTGCCGTGACTGGCTTTGCCAATAAATATTCGGACGTTGATTTGTGCGTCATCGACAAAAACCCCGAGAAAGACTTTTCTGCGTCAGCTTCTTATCAAGAAAACTTCCAAGAGTGGCGAAAAGAAGCGAGGATGATCATGATCGAGTTGTACGAAGCAATGAATCCCCAGAGATCGAAGAGCTGCCTCATTCCTGGAATCATTTCTCAACAGCTCTTGAGCCACGCAAAGCATCCGATCATAAAGTCCGAATTTGCTCCATTGAATTTGGAATTCGACTTTAGTTACATGGACCCGTCACTTTTGTCCATGGCAAAGGAAATTGATAGAAATAGTCTGTTTATTCAAAAGCTTGAAATCCTAATTGAAATCAAGGAAGAGTACTCATAAAAATTTCCATCTATTTCGAAGCTTCATAATTACTTCTCCTCCCTGGACCCCCGAATCATCCCTTTCATCGGGACCATTCGTCTTTGGGCTCGATTGAGTGGCAACTCCAGTCACGGTCTTTCTGGACAAGTTTCGCCTTATATCATGACGCAACTGGCATTAAATTATCTCCAAAGCATCAATTTCATTCCCAAAATCAAGGATTTAAAATCTGATCAGCCAGAACTTCACCTCGGAGAAGATGTCAGTTTTGAAGCAATCGTCGATTGGAAATGCGTGTTGGAAGATAGTAGATTGGAAAGAGACGCGGCAGAGCTTGTAGGAAAAACTCTCGAAGAATATCAAGAGCTTTCGCCTTTGACTGAAGATCTTAGACAAGAAGACTCACTGCATATTATATTGTACGGTTTCTTGACTTGGATAGAAGAGTTTGATCAGAAGCATTACTATATTTGCTCGCTCAGGTGACATTTGAAATGCATAAATTCGAAACTGAACAGCGAATTTTTCTAGCGGAAAGATGCTGCCTAAACAACGGGCGACTGCTTCATTAGAGATCACTCATCCATTCGCGTCTGATAGAAATATAGCAAGGTACGGTTTCTCCACACAAAAACATTCTGAAGAGTCCCTTTCAGTACTGTCAAATACGATCAGTACCTCAGATTCAAAATCGGAGCAGCTGCTGACAAGAACAAAATTCTGTTCGATTTGTTTAATCAACACAGTTTCCCGCAGCTAAAAAAGACGCCCGAGTTGGTAAAGAAGACAGTAGAAAGTTGGACTGGGCTATCGGCTTTTCTCAATCCGTATTTTTCATTCAATGTTATGGATCATAACTAGGTGTCTTAAATTGATACAAAAACAGCTGCCATGAAAGATTTTCACTTTCAGATGATCGTAGCTGGTCTTAGAAATATTTTTATGACACCGAAAAAGACCGTTTCTTAAAAATCCAGACAGAGTGTCAGGTCATGAAGAGTATCTCGAGAGTGAAGGAATCACGAGGAAAAATGTTCTTAAATTGGCGAAGAATAGTATATTATGAATAATGACATTTTCTGGTATTTTCAGAATGGGTAAAAAAGATCGGAAGGAGAGAAAATTGAACGCGCGGGAGAAACATGAGCAGAAAATTAGGCAAAACCAGCAAAGAGCGAATGAGGAGAGTACAGAGCAAGATAAAGAGTTGGAGAAGCAGCTGAGAGAACTTGGATTAGCTTTGAGGCAGGCAAAGAGTTAGTTTTAGTTGTTCTCGATCGATGTTCAGAGACACTACTGCAGATGGAAATTGTCTATTCCGTGCAATATCCGATCAAATTTGGGGATCAGAAGTTCATCATCATAGAATTCGAAGAGACTGTGTGCAGTTCATGAAAGATTATGAGGACGATTTCAAGCCATTTATCGATGGCGATTTTGATGCTTTCCTTCGAGAGACGAGTACACTTGGAGAATTTGCCGGGAATGAGGTAGAAAAGAACGTTTTTTACCGATTTAAACCAATTTTAGGCCCTTGTAGCGATTGCTAGAAAATTCCAAGTAGAAATTCAAATTCATCAAGCAGGTCAAGCCGTTTGGACGGTGTCTGATGCTATTAGCAATCCAGAGAGACAGATTCATCTTGCGTATCACGACTGGGAACACTACTCCTCAATCAGGAAGATCGGGGATGTAAGTGATCGACCAGCCCTATTGTTTTTGAATTATGACAAGGCTGCGGATGTCAGGAAAGGGCGGAAAAATAAGAAAGGATTTCCTGTTTTTATTCAATTTAAATGACGCGATCGGTCTAAAATTTGACAGTTTTTATGAAATGAAAAACTACTTTTTCTTCTTCAGGGAAAATATAGAGCTTAGAATATTATTTTAAAATGACCTCAATAATATTCACTTCTGTCAGTAATTCATCGTTTAAATGATAACCTTTCTACAAATACTAGCCCATGAAAAAGAGAAGTCTTCCTTGAATTCGACGATAACGAGCGAGAAGTCACAATAATTGAAGAACGAAGTACGCCACGTCCAAAGATGAGCCACAAAGATAGAAAGCGCGAAAAGAAAATGCAAAAGCTCCGTGAAAAGGCAGAACGCGCTCGGTTAAAGAAAGAAGGACCCAGAGTTATCAGTAAGAGAACCATTCATAGAAAGATATTTATCATTGTTTTAGCCATCGAGGATGATATCGACGAAATCGCTTCAAAATCAATTCAACGGCTTCAAATCTAAATTTTTATTTTCTGCTGATAATGCCCAAACAACAAAAAATAAACCATAATCCGAGCTATTTGCTTCAATTTATTTTCGTATGGCATTAAATTTAATGTAAAAGAATGTGAAATGCCAGGAGAAACGCGATCCTACAAGGTTCGAACCGCCACTGACAAGGTCGCTTGTCAGCCTGGTCATGTTAAGGGTTCGCCAAAATTATGTGTTCTTTAATTTCTTGATCTTTTGGCTAACTCCTCGGACGCTCTCTTCCACCCAGATGATTACGATGGGCTGCAGAAAGTCAACACGACGGATCTCGTCGAAATCGCTCCCGTTGACCATGCCCAGAATCCTAGACCAGAACTTCCTGTTCTTCTTTGCCCTTGTCCTTCGAAAAGCGTTCCTTTTGGAGAAGTACATGTTGACAAGCACATTTTCAAGGAACATTTGAAAGATGATGAGTGTGTCAATGTGAATCTCGTCAAAGATATCGCCGAAAAGAAGATTGGTCTCGTTGAAATGTACATCAAAGACTACTACATTTCCCGAATCGACATGCGTGTTGTGACGACAGAGCTCACTGGAAGATGTCTAGTTGAAAACCAGTCACTGAAAATCAACTCATTCTCACTTACAGTCAAGCATCTCGTGGACAGCTCCGGCAAGACTATTAAAAAGGGAGGAATCGTGACGAAAGATACGCGTTTCGCTTTCAGATCAGCTTCAGCCCTGTTTTACCTTTTCATCCAAATCAGCGAAGGTAAATATTCCCCACTCGTGCTTTCCAAACGCTTTGAAAATAGAAATGTGGCACTACGACTCATACGGTTACAAGCAATACCAACGCGCAATCGATGGCTTCCTTGAATCGCTTCTTCTGAAATGGCTAGCAGAAAAATGCGCGCACGAAGTTCATATTGTTTTTTATGCTCGGCATCTTTACCCGATCGATATGTTAGAAAATTCCCATGCCAATCATATCCTCGACAATTTTCCTGACAAATGGAAGAAGTATGTTCATAAGCTCAACAATAAATTTGTGTATATTGATCACTACAGGACTTTGACTGATGCGGGGGAAAGTTTGAGGCCTGACAATCAAGCCAAAGGTAATTCCATTCATCGTCACCATCCTAAATAAAGTTTAGTGTCTGAAATCGTCGCCAAATGTCGCGGAGTTGTGATCAACTGGATCGCTGACAGTCAAATCTACTTCCAAGACGGGACCGAAGCGCCAAGAATGATTCACGACGGTCCTAAATTTCGTCTATCCTCTGCCCCACAAGCGAATTTCGTGGAAGTAATCAACATGTCTCTCCATATTTTCGAGAGGCATCAAAAGATCGCGTTCTCGATCGAACTGGTCAAATGATCCTCGTCATAAGCGCTGGAGTAGGAGTCTACGACTGCACCCATCACATGCAAATTTCCCCAGTACTCGGGCTCAACCAAAAATCAGATCAGCGAATGCAATACAGAAAGGATCTCTACAAAAAGACGCAGCACAGGATTCGCGATTTGGGAATAGGACTGGATTTGCTCTGCCTTGGCGAGCAACCGTTGCATGTTGTTCCCTTATTTCGACTTTATGATGCTGATGGACAAATCGTCAGATATGAGCGACCTGATTTTATCAATCTCAATTATTACCGTGAGAGCCCGATTACTGTTGAGGAAGATCTAGCCAATATCAAATATGTGCCGAGAATTCATTTTCAGGTGAGTTTTTGATTTTGAGTTTTTATTTGAGAAAATGATAATGAACTGTGAAGAAACGAGAATGAATTTTGAGTTCGATGCAACATCGGAAGATTTTAACGGCAGGTGTTGGTAGTTTTCTGGTAGAACATATCTTTGCAGGAAACTCCGACTGGCCACGAGAAACCATCTACTTTGACGAATTCCATAGTGCAGACTTCTTCAGTTTCGATAGAGATCTTCTCAATCGATCCTCGTCCGCAGCAGAGCTCGTCGCAGCTTCCTGGTCCGTAAGATTTTGTTGCATCGCAAACTCGGCCTCGGGTGACTTCACAAAAATTTGGGGATTTCTTTCCGAAGATGAGTCGATCGTTGATAAGAGAGGAGAAAACTGCTTGGGGGAGAATTTCGAGCTGTCGTTGGTGAATTCGAGCAGCAGATTCGTATTTGTCTTTGATGATTTTGTTCATCTTAGCTTCGTTAGTAGTCGCTTTCCAGCAGGTTTTCTGAGCGCAGCTTCCAGAAGGACCGTGGCACTTGCAGACGACATTTTTGGCGCTCTCAGCGGCGTGTCGACCGATTTTGTTGTTGTGAAGTCCGAAGAGGAAGTGCTTCTTTTTGAAAGCGGCAACATCGGTGAATTCAAGAGCAAACTGTTCGGCATTGAATTTCTCGCAGTCGGCTGAGCCCATTTTGCAGAACTTTTCTAACGAATTCTTGAGATGACCAGTAGCGAGAGCGTGGAGATAGGCACTTTCTTGGGTTGGATGTTCAAGCTCGGGTTGCTCTTTGGGAAGAGTTTTGATACCATTGCAGCCCCAGAGAGTGTCAGACATAGAATCGAAGCAGGCAGAAGTGGCAATTTGAGCGGCATTTTTGATTGCAGGGGCGATGAATTTGTTGCGTCGACACAGGTTTGCTTGCTGAGAAGTAAGACCGGAATAGGCGCAGATATCGCCAGTCCAGGATCGGATGCCAATCCAAGAGAGGGAAGAAGCTTCGGTGAAGGCGAGGATGATGCCGGAGATTTTCATTTTTTTTTTAGTTGTTTGTTTGTTGGTGATTGTGTTTGAATGATGACTTGAGATTCGTCTGAGGTTTTATATGACCCAGTGCTCTGGCGCTAGAGTCTAATGCAAGCAGATGTTGCATTATTTTTTCTTTGAAGAGCAGATGGAGCAATACAGCGCACATCCGTTTTTATCTGATTGTCCATCGTAACTTGCAACTTCTCAGAAGTGATCCGCCGCAGCTGCTCGGATCCACCTGATTGGAACAAGCGGCGATCAAACGGGTACATATGTGTGAAATCGTAGTTCAAAGCTACAGGTACACGAGGAATTAGGTCGCAAATATACAAGTTGATAATTATGCATTTATAATTACCCCCTCTTTGAAGTTTTCTTCTTCTGAAGTCTATTTTTAGGAAAAAGACAGCTCCTCGTCGCATTCAATCATTCGTGCTCATACAATGCCAGCGGGAAGAAATCGCGAAGCTCGTCTTTCTTCCTCCAGCAGATCGCATATTTCGCCCAAAAGCCCCATGCTCTGTCTTTCGAGAGAAGAAATGGAAGCGTACGATAACGCTATTTTCATGCCAGAATCGAAATCGTATCACAAGAGCATCTCACAAAGCAATTCTATCAATAGAAAAGTCTCTCAAATTAGCGAGGAAACTTCGCCAAAGAGTACCTTCAACAAAAATCTTCTTTTGATAGCCGATCAGAATTCGAGCTCTTGGGATCCAAAGGAAGGTTTTGTCAGCATAAGTTATCAGAATAGAATATCTCAACAGAATCTTTTCATAACTCCTTCAAAAGCGATACACTTCCCAAAAACGCTCGACCAGACGAATTCGCCATGAGTCAGTTTCCAACGATTTCATTTTTCAACCTCATCGTCTCAAACCGAGATCCAACCTTGGCTCCCTTTTATCACCAGAAAAGTCCCGACCAAGAGATATCAAGACTGCTTCTTCGGCCATGTCTGCCACTCTTGTTATTCCAGAGCAGGACGTGAGCAGGAGTAACAGTCGCTCCTGGACTTCTTCCAGCTACGGTAACTTGAATTATTGAGATCTTGATTTATAATCGATCCTCTTCGCTACAGGGAATCACTGTAGCCCAACTCTCTTGATTACTCATTCAATGTTTAAAAGGCGCCGTCCAACTAACAAATTCACGCTCTGCCATGTCAGTCACAATTAACACCGGCTATCAAGGCACCATGGGTAAATCCCAACTTCGATAACTTAAAAATTTTAACAACTCTAGAGCGTCGACGGCGGCGAATCAGCCAGTGCGACTCGTCAAACAAAGACTACGACAGACATGATTCTTACAGGTTTGTGTTTATTATCTTGCAAGGTTAGACAAGTCGATTGTGCTTGCAAAAGATTCTTGTAGACCAAGTTGTGAAAGTTCCATTAGCTCGCGTTGATTTCTTTTGCTTTCGCGGTACTTTCCATATTTGAATACGCCGTAGTGTCCGAACTTCAGCACAATCAAAAGGAGCGACAGCAAAGCCACTACAATAAATTGCTTAGTTGAACTATTTTCGATACAGTCATGGCTAACTTACAGACAATATTCGCGTTCACAACCATGGTCAGGTCCTCTGGTTTGCAGAGGCAGTTTAGTACAACTTCTTTTTGACAAGTTTGCCATTCAGCATTAGAGTGATATTCTTCGCAGTAGTGAGCAATATAAGCAGCAGCTAAGTTTTTTACTGCAAAAGAGTCAATAAAAGTGGTTTACCAGAAGAAATCGCACATTTTTCATGGCAAAATATTTCAAAACCCGTGCCATTGTGAATCGCCTAGAATACGGAGAAATTTAACAGAAACTTCAATAGCCTGCCTGAGTAAATTTTGTCGAGCTTGCCCAGTTTTGCGTCATCAGCTGTAGAACTCATAAAAATTATTTAAATGATAACGAAGTGATTCTAGAGAATAATGCTAGTTTTAGTTTCAACAATCCATGCAGCATCAACCCTTTCAACGTCAGTGGAACCTCCATAAACCGTCCTGTCACCTACACAAACCACCAATGGGTCGATTTGTTTCCGACCAACTCCGATGGGCAAGCGATTCAGCCTCATCATCGAGATTATGTAAACAAGAACGTTATTATGAACGATGTTATGGCCGAGAGCTTCCGAAGTCAAATCATAGAATCCTTACAAATTGAAAATTCCACAATTTCAACTCTGAATACGGTCGAGTCCCCTCCTATTTCCGCTACAGACTTTCAAGCAGGGGAGTCCAGCAGATTCTCAAGAGGGAATGATCAAAATGATAATTTTCGCGGCCAGAACAAACTCATTCCGCCATCCACAAATGTAGAGTGCCTCGACACTAGAATCGGCGTCGATTGGAAATCCATGACTTATCCCGCTTGTCTGCCCCTAACAACGGCGAAAAAGCTCAATGCGAATGACTTGACACGACAAAAAGGGGCTTATAAACACGCAAATCCGTATAAATGGATCCAGTTGGATAACGAAAATCGCTCCGAGTTCGCCTTCCGCTCGATAAAAGAGAAGTTTTATGAGCTCGTGAATCAACGAATCGCGCAAGGGTTTCAAATCGTAAGAAGCTATGATGACGGGCAGAAGAAACGAGACAAGGATAATTCAACAACGGAAACGATGGTGGTTCTTCTGGGCCCATTTGTGCATCATTTTGAATTCAATAGTCGAAATGGAGCTGCAAAAGGTACATCTCTAGAATTTCTCAAATCTATCATTTTTAAGGCGCCGATAGTCCATTGAAACTGACATGTTACGGCAACCAGTGGGAAACGATGGCTCTTGCCGAATCTTCCATTTACAAGTTTTCTTTTGCCATTGCTAGAAGCCGCTTTGAACCAAGAGAGATGGACTTTCTTCCGCGTTTTGGAAGAGGATTGCTCAAAGTTGAGAATTTGGATAAAGTTATTGAAAAGCCCATTCAAGAAAACCTCGAGGACTATCAGCTTCAATGGGATAGATACTCGTGGAAGTGTCGCTTCGTTTTTGTAATGGACAGGCAAGTGCCGGCTGAACCTCATAGAATCCGAGCAGCGCACGATGATTTCATGAAGCTTCTTACCCAAGTCATCAACGACAACGTAGAAGTCGACGCGAAGAGAAACAACCCCATTCCTATTCACCATCCCTCCGGACGAAAAATATCCCAAGACAACTCAGCTCGTCCATCGTCGCCAAAGTCGATCGTGCAAAGCTTCAAAGGAAATTCAGATAAGCCAGAAACTCCTGCCGGTCGACCTTACACAGGCCATGCAAAAGATTTGGACGACTTAATCGCCAAACTCGAGGAATCGCCAATAACTTTTTACAAAATCTGGAAGCCGAATATGCCAGCAGGAGCAGAGAAAGAGAAAGTCGGGTTTTTCTCAATGCATGCTGTGCAATGGCTGATCTCCCACTGGGGATGCGCTGATAAGGCGCAAGCGAAGGAGTGGCTCAGTCATCTGTTGAATACAAGACGCATTTTGGCTAAAGATGACAATGAATCTTGCATACGAGTTGGATTTTACTTCTACCACATAAATGATAATTTGAACGAAGATGACGACTTGCTCGACCAAGCTGATGATTATGGACTGGACGACGAAGAAGACGAAGAGAATTGCATCCCATTAATCGAAGTCAAGTTCCCGGAAATGTCCGACTATCGAATCCTCGGTCGATTACGGAATGAGTGCAAGACTCAAACTCAAACAATCAAAAAGATCATTCCAAGACGCAATATCAAGACAGTGCAAAAATGCTGCGAAGGCGCCTGTTGTGCAAGCAATCAGCAACGATTCGAGTGGTATCAAGTCTATTACTGCCCTAGACACAATCCAATCTTCGATGCTTTCACACTCATGCATCAGTGGCTCGCCGCCACACCAGCCAAGATATGCGAAAGTGCTCACACGATGATGTTCAACGCAAGAAAAGCTGGTTTCAATATGATACCGTGTCCCGAAGACCCTTTCGATATGTCTGGAGAGCCGTTCAAACAAGTGAAGCAATTTGATATTAGATGGGTAGTTAGCAATCAAGAGAAATCCTGGCACGAGAAGCTGAACAAGCTTGAGCTCGTTGATGTTGTTTCCTCACTTTTCTTCGGTGCGTCATCAGAATATTAACAGTGATTGAAACATTTTCTAGAGCTCGGGTTTTTCTACGATTCGTATTTCAAGCAGAAGACTGCGCATCAAAACCTATTCCAGTTTATTCACAAAACGGGATCCTTCTTTTTGCTAATTGAGCTTGAATCTGATTCAGAGTCATACTACGCGGTAATGTTTCTCTTCGTTTCCCAATTTTACTTTTTTTAGGGATATCCAGTCTTGATAAAGTGGATCTTGAATCCTTTAATAAGGTCACGCAAGTGGGCCATCTCATCACAAGAAAAGTGTGAAGGAGAAGCGAAAAGCATTTGCAGCGAAATTGAGAAAATAATCTCGGATACAACGGAGAACGGTCGAATCTACCAACAGTATCTGAAAATCAAAGAAGTTCCAAAACCTGTTGAATTGTTCAATTAACCCCCCACTGCCTCACTCTATTCAAAAAACCTTTTGTTTATCGACTTTTTGTTCAGAAAAAAGATGCTCACTAAGATTATTCTTTCCTTGGCTGGAATCGGCCTCATGTATTATGAGAAAGTCGTGGATGAAAACATGACTGCTGCTGAGTCGGCAAGAAAGGAATACAAAGCGAGTTGCGACATGAAAGTTGACCTGCTCTTCACAGAACAAGAGTTCAGCTGCTCGACGATTCTCAAATCTGATTACGCCGTAGGCTTTGGATTCCTTCAGAATGTAAATATTTACGAGTTTTCTGCAAACGTAACCCGAAAATCTATTGCTTCATTTTCAAAATCAACCATCGCGAGATACAAACAGAGATTTTTCAGGTCTTGCCCGTCGACAGTCCCTTCATCCAGCCAAATTATGTCTACGGTCTCTGGCACTACATCCTCCAGCTCTTTGTAGCTATCCTTGGAGACGGTAAATTCCTTTTAAAAAATATATGATATGAGTTTTTCTTCAAGCATCTCTTTCCCGAACTCTTTCTGTCGGTGGAATCGGTGCCTCTGTCTATTTCACGTACGCGATGATAAAACTCGAAGCAATGTGCCTCGCCTGCATTATTTGCCACTTCATCAACGTCGCCTTTTTCGTTCTCGACACAGCAAAGCCCGCTGCACCGGAGAAACTCAAGCGTCACTAGGTTCATTTTGCGTACTATATACATTCCTTTACCAACGAAACTATTTTCTGATTCAAAGTCAACTAATCTATCGAAAATTAAGAAATAAATCGTTCTTATAATTAAGAATGACCGAAAAAATCGTCTACGTTCACTTCTCCTACGACGACGAAACACCCACTCCCGTTTTGGAGGAGCTTTCAAAGTCTCGCAATGGATCTGTCTTCGCAGGTCTGAACTCTGCTGGCTGGCCAGGCAAAGGTGAAACCCGAATTCTCTGGAACGATACATTCAGCGGCGAGGGTCGAAACATTCTCATTGCTGGAGCTGGTGCCAAGAACGCCAAAGACTACTGCGAGATCGAAATGCTCAACGAGCGACGTGAAAATGCTCGTGTTGCCGCTGGAGCCGCTGTCAACGCTCTCAAGGGACTCAAAGTCGATAAAGTTCTAATGGAGCTTCTTCCAGGGTGTGAAACTGCCCAGGCTGAAGGAGCCCACCTCGCTCAGTGGCGATACAAAGAAACCGAGCTGGCAAAGATGCCGAAGCTCATCGAGCCCATCAATGGCGCCCATGATGACTGGATGACCGGTGTTCGAGCTGCCAAGGCGCAGAACTTTGCCCGTTACTTGATGGAGTCTCCGGCGAATCTTATGACTCCAACGATATTCTGCGAAAAAGTCACTGAACGACTCAATCCTCTGGGAATCAAATGTACTACTCATGGAAAGGATTTTATTCTTTCCGAGAGAATGGGAGCTTTCTGGTCTGTAGCGAAAGGATCCGCCGAGGAGCCGAAATTGTTGAAGCTTGAGTACAACGGTCCAAGGTATTTATCTCATACTTTCTCATCGACAACGATTTCAGCAACCCCTCCGGTAAGACAATCTGCCTCGTTGGAAAGGGAGTCACCTTCGACGCCGGTGGAATCTCAATCAAACCATCAGCAAACATGGACGCCATGCGAGCTGATATGGGTGGCGCCGCTGTCACCGTCTCTACCATCTACGCCCTAGCCATGGCCAAAGCTCCCGGCAAGTATGTTGCGCTGACGCCCCTTGCAGAGAACTTGCCTTCTGGCACTGCAAACAAGCCCGGAGATGTCGTAACTGCTCGAAATGGAATGACCATCCAGGTTGACAATACAGGTAACGTTGATCGGTAGAGATGGACAGAGATTTACATAATTCCAGATGCCGAGGGTCGACTTCTTCTTTGCGATACACTCTGCTACGCTTGCGACACGATCAAACCTGATGTCATCGTCGATTCGGCCACTCTTACTGGAGCCATGTGCGTCGCAACTGGCTGGGCCTGTGCCGGTTGCTTCACATGGTCGACCGATTTGGCAACGAAGCTGACCGCGGCTGGTGTCGAGACTGGAGACCGAATCTGGCGAATGCCCGTCTTCAATTCTCACAAGAAGAAGATCAGTCCAGCGCAGCTTGCTGATCTTAACAACACTGGTAAATATATTTTTGTTTTTGTGTCGCTGAAATGCTTCAAACTTTGAAGTTCAAAAGATATCGCTTTCTAAAATGCTTTCAGTAAAGTATAAATGTTTGCAATTAAAAAAAAATTATCTAGGTCCTCGATGGGGAGGCGCATGCAACGCCGCTGCGTACCTCCGATCCTTCGTCCCCGCTGATGGCCCCGAATACGCGCATCTCGATATCGCCGGGGTGATGGACACCTGCCCTGGCGCTGATGATCCGTCGTACATTTCCAAGGGCATGACCGGCCGCCCCACAAGAACTCTAGCTGAATTCTGCCGAGCTTACAGCTCATCTTCATAATTTACCAATTGTCCACAATTCATTTGATTCTTTTGAAAGTTCATTTTCTGTTGATCCATGCAATAATTAAAAATAAACTGAAATCGAAGTGAAACTATGCAAATATTGAAATATTAGAAGTAAAATGTCAAAGGCGGCTAAAATTCCAACTATTGGCGGAGGACGTGAGAAATACGCGACCGTACGCAAGCTGCAAAAGAAAACAGTAAAACTGAAGACGCTGCTTGTTGATGAGGTTGGATTCTTCAGTGCGTCTCTTTTTGATTAATTAAAAGATCATGTTTGACGGTGAATTCGATCTCGATTGCCTGACGACGTCGATCCCCAATAAATCCCTTTTCGACGAAGATTTCACAGAGCATTGGGACTTTGACGAAACTTTGAACAAAATAATCGCCGAAAAAACGCAAGAAAAAATCGCAAAATCGAAACAACTTTCCTAACTCGTTCTGAACACCAACTTTTGCCTTACCTTCTATTTTCGTAGTAACAAGCATTTTTCTAATTAAAATTTTAATCAATTCTTTTTTTTAGAATGGTTCAACGAATTTCTGCTCGTTTGAGCAAAAAAGATCCGAACAATGGAAAGTTGACTCATCAGCGTCCTGGCCAAGCACGGTAATTATCAATCACTAATTAGTAAAAACTAATCAAAAGTACTAGAAGCAGAGCTGGCGCGAACCGATCGCGATATGCAAAACTAGAAGATACGATCAACAATGTCACAAAGAGCCTGGAATCGACAAGAATCGACAAAGAATCAAAGAAAGCAGAAGAGCCTTCTACGGATGAGAACAACCGTTACTCGCTTGCTGACATATCCGTCATTCAAGAAACGCAGCCAGAAGAGATGAACAAACGAAAGAGAGCACGAAAGGCGGTGAAAGCTCTCTTTGACTCCGATGATGTAAGAATCTGTTACGAACTAACTTTCTTAAAGAATATTCTAGGAGGCGCCAGCAGCAGCGCCAAAAAGTTACGCTACAAGGTCCACAAAGCGTGCCAGCCCACCCCGATCCAAGCCAAAGCTCGTCATTTCCAAGGTGCTCGCTCCCGACACTCCAGAAATGGAACGAAAATCCCGCGTCGCTGGAAGGGAGAACCTGCCCGGCCCGAGATACATTCCGGAATCTGACGAAGAAATGACATAGAAGGACCTTCTTTTTTCACTCGATTTATCTCAGGAAGATACCAGTTCTTCATTTTCCCTTTTTTACCCTTTTATATTTACCCTTTTTCAATATCGAGATTTTCCCCCCATTTTCGCTTACGGATACTTCATTTATTCCTTATCTTTCTCACAATTCCCGTATTCCTGTCGCTCGAAAACGCATTCACAATAATATTTGTTAATACAACTATAAGTTATAGTCTATAACCTTTTCAGTGTCAGAATGGCTGCCACTCGGCGATTGCAAAAAGAACTGGCTGATCTTCAAAAGTCCGACAAACCCGAAATTCTTCAAGTCAAAGATCTCGGCCCTGCAAATGACCAGATTTTGAAGTGGAACGGGACCATCTTCCCGGAGAAAGTAGATGTCTTTGTTGCTTGTACTTTTCTAACATGCAGACTTTTTAGGAGCCTTACAACAAAGGAGCGTACACTATCATCATAGAATTTCCCGTCGAGTACCCTTTCAAGCCGCCAAAAGTTACCTTCAAAACTCCAATTTATCATCCAAATGTGGACGAAAAAGGCAGCATTTGGTATGCAAAACAATTAAAATCAGGAGGTTAACTCCAACTTTTTTAGTCTCTCCGTTGTAGACAAAGAACACTGGAAGCCCGCAACGAAAGTTGAGCATATTCTTACAGAACTCGTTCGTAAGTCAAACCAGTCCACCAAGGGTAATTGGTTATTCAAAATTCTAGGTCTGATCGAGACGCCCGAGTGCGATCATCCTCTGAGAACCGACATCGCCACCGAATTCCAGAAAGACTACAAGAGCTTCGTGAAGTCAGCAGAAGACCACGCTAAGAAGCACGCTCCAAGATCATAAATTCAAGACCATCCCCATTGTTTTTCTGCTGCTCAATTAATTACCTTTGGAGAATGTTGATATGAAAACTGTATTATTTGAACTGGAACAAAACAAAAAGAACCTTTCCAAATTATAGAAAATCTTACATGTAACTCGTTTTCATATCGCAAATGCAAAAATTATGCATTAGAAACAAGTTTGAATTTGATTCATTAATTATTCCCCGTTTCATGTTTAGATTTTTAAATTCTTGTATGTATCGTTTTATTGAAAATATAATCAATCTCTATCTGCGCTTTTTTAAGTTTTGAGTTGAATCCTATCAATTTACCTTGATAAAGAAAGCTGTGTTCATAGGTTAGAATTCAGATAAGATGGTGTTCGGTCTAGGAAAGAAAAAGAAGAAGGCTCCAGCACCGCCTATACCAATGATAAGGGATCTGAAATTCAGATTCTGAATCATCTGATAATAACTCTTTCTCTTCCTTGATTTCATAAATCTAGAAAATCGTCTAAAATTACTCTTAAAAATCCCGCGCAAGCCATCAAACAATCCAATGCCCAGCGCCAATCCCATGCCTTCTCAGCAATCCGCAGCAGCTCAACCTGTTGAGATTCGATTTGATTGTCAGCTAGCGCATGGGGGTCCTGTTTGCGAAGTCAGAAATTTCAGAAATATCAAAGAACTCTATCTTCGAATGGCTGAGGCTATTGGAGTTGATGTTAATAAGATTCTGTTTGTTACTGGTAATTTATTTTATGATAAAAACATATATCCATGAATTAGTTAACACCGAAAAATGCGACATGACAAAGTTGCTCGGCGGCCAGATCATGTTTGGCGACTTCCTCTACTGCCACGTGTCGGCTCCTACGACCACCGTCATCAATGTCCAGAAGGTCTCTCAAATGTTTGGCCTTACCATTACTGACAACGGGAACGGCCAAGCTTTTGTCAAGGGAAAACGAGCTGGAAGTGTGGTAGAACACAACGATGATATTCTACCCGGTGATGCGATTCTTTCCATCAATGGCGAAGGTAATAAATATATCGTGCCCATTTGTTATATTCACGGTATTCAGTTATGATCGGAAAACGACATATCGATGTTGCAAGAAAGCTACGAGATGTTGAAATAGGTAGCATGGTCGAATTTGTGCTCCAGCCTCCAGTCCGCGGTTTCAACATGGTCGGTGGACGCTCCAAAGCGAAAGTTTCTGGCGACATCAACAAGGGCGGTATGACGGTTAGAATCAAGGCCAACGGAGACGCCGAAGTTGTAGAAGGAGACAAACCCTGCAAAACCTCGTAAGAGAGACATGTGTTATCATCATTATTTCTATTATTAGTAGGGGAAATCACTAATAATTGAGCTTTTTTTTTGGGCTTAGTAGGGTAGGCATATAATACCGTTTTAGAAAGCCCAGGAGCTGGGGATCATTTTGACTATTGATACTTGGGGGTGATCTCGTACCCTGAGGGCATTTTGATACCTCCAAAGTCCCAAAATCTGGCCAATTTCGGAAAAGGGAATTTTTGAAGCCTTAACTCGACCTTTCAGAGGTTATTTACTATCCCAGATTGTAGCCCAGGCTCTGACGGTCATTTTGAGCTAAAAAAAAGTAGTGAGGAGGGGGGGTTCCTGAGGAGCTAGAAGCTCTTGAAATTGGGGAACTCGACAAAAATTGAGTACTTTTTCACAAAAAGTACAGGATTTGTATCACAAATGCCTATAAAAGACTTTTTATCCATCTTTCTCCACAAAAAAATGTTCGAGAAATCATCTGGGGTCATCTGAGGTCATATCGGGTCACTTTTCGCAATTTTCGTTTTCATGGATTTGACCTAGAGTGACCTCAGATGACCTCAAATGACATCTCAATTATTTTTAAATAAATAAATATTGATAAAAAGTCTTTTATAGGCATTTGTGATACAAATCCTGTACTTTTGTGAAAAAGTACTCAATTTTGTCGAGTTCCTCAACTTCAAGAGCTTCTAGCTCCTCAGGAACCCCCTCCTCACTACTTTTCTTTAGCTCAAAATGACCGTCAGAGCCTGGGCTACAATCTGGGATAGTAAACAACCTCTGAAAGGTCGAGTTAAGGCTTCAAAATTCCCTTTTCCGAAATTGGCCAGATTTTGGGACTTTGGAGGTATCAAAATGCCCTCAGGGTACGAGATCACCCCCAAGTATCAATAGTCAAAATGATCCTCAGCTCCTGGGCTTTCTAAAACGGTATTATATGCCTACCCTACTAAGCCCAAAAAAAAGCTCAATTATTAGTGATTTACCCTAATTATTAGAGCAATTGAAATCATCGATCAAATGCTGGAAGAGTACGTTGGGATCAGAGATCGAGAGCTTTCCTTGTCCATTTATGAAAGTGGAACGAAGTCCTCTGATTCTGGGACTTTCCTCGATACAGTTACTAGGTTCGTCTATTGTGCTTGAGTTTGGTAAAAACATTTTTCCATCATTTAGTTCATATCCAATGTTCGCCTTCACCGATCAGTTCATACTCGATGTTTGGAACATTATCTCCGATGCCGAATCTGGAGTCATGCCAAAGAAGCCAGCATAACAGTTCATCTCCTTATTCATTGATTCCTTTCTGTCCACAAATGTGCCATGATTCTCCTTCCTTTCCCCGTTATATTTGCACTGACCTCATAATTCTACTTCTCCTTCCAATTCTGTTCAATTTTTGACATTTCTTGATTTATGTTTTTTAATTCCTTTCAATTTTATTTTTATAATTCCGTAGCAAAATCAATTTCTCTCGCATTTTAGATGACAAGCGAATCGGCCCCGAGAAATTGATCACCTTAGGTAACCGCGTTTTGTACAAAAATTACCAAATCACCTTACTAAAGATCCTGATTTGCACTAAAGGTTTCTATTTGAAAGAATTCTTTTCAGGCCCTAATCATTATTAGATTTCGGGTGTTCCAAATAACAAGAGAGGTGGGCGACTCAGATCCTGCAGTGGCGTTGGCCTGCCTCCACCAACAGAGGTAAAGGAGAATGGATTTCGATCAAATTGACCATTATTACGCAGACTGATAGCAAGGAGGAACCACCGCGTAAACGAAAAAGAAGGACTAAAATGGCCAAAAATGGAGTTGAAAATGAGCCAGACACAAACGGATTGAACGGGCACCTGAGCCAGCGAGATTCTGAAGTCGTTCGGCTCATTGGCCAACATCTCGAAGATCTTGGCCTTCAAAAGGTACTTCAATTCTTCTGATGGTTCCTCCATTCTCTCTAGGTTGCGAAGCATTTGATCGAGGAAACAGGAACAGAACTTGAAAACGAGTACGCTACTGAATTTCGCAGCTCGATTCTCACCGGTGACTGGAGCAAAGCTATTGCAGCGCTAGAAAAACTACGGCCGGAGATAAATCACGATGAGAGAGTCCAGGTACTCAAATTGACAGCTACAGAACTATATTTTCTAAGAACATGATCTTTCAAATCTACGAGCAGAAATATCTTGAGCTGCTTGAAGATGGAGAAACTCTCGAAGGAGTCAAATGCCTCAGACAAGACCTCGCTCCGCTTAATATTCAAACAGAGCATTTACAAAAGCTTGCCCAGATACTTCTTGTCCAGGTACGATCGAGCTAGTGAATCAATTTTAAAACGATTCAGGACAAAAAACAGATCTATTCAATGATGAACTGGCCCGGCAAAGGACGGGCATCACGCGCGGCGCTAATGGATAAACTTCAGTCCTATCTGCCTCATCATATTATGCTTCCGGTGAGTGACAAAACTCTCTTCCTTTGAGTACCCTTTTGTAGCCACATCGGCTATCAGTTCTTCTGCAACAAGCCCAGAAATTTCAACAACAGCAGTGCCTCTTCACAAATGGAAACTTGCCACAGACATCTCTCCTATTTGACGCTAAATCGCCCATCAAAAAGGTTCAATAATAGTTCTGAATATAACAGGTTTTTTTTGAGGCGGACATAGACTTTCTGTAACTTTTGATTGGGTTAAGATAATTATGATCTGTAACTTGCAGAATATAGCCGGGTATTAGGTTACTTATTTTTCATCAATTTGGTGTCAGTAATTATTCTGGTGGTGGAGTTATGACGTCATCAAAATGCATTATGAAATAGAACCTTGAACTTTGTGATGTCATTACTCCTCCACCAGTGGTGCAAATACCACCAAAAGCTTATTTAACACACTGGAGACCCTCCCCAACAAGATGCAAAAGAGAGAATAGAAATATCTCGTCTGTAACACCTTCAAAAACGCTCCACCAATTTATGTTCACCTCAAAAAAAACCTGTTTATACTGTTTCTTAATCGAAATAGATACCATCCAAGTGTATTCAAACCCTCAATCGCCACGCTGGAGATATAACCTACTGCCGCTTCAATCATTCGGGCACGCACCTAGCTACTGGCTCGAAAGATGAAACAGTCGTCATCTGGTCAGTAGCATCCAACGGAACTGTTACCTACGAGAAAACCCTATCTTGTGACTTCGAAGTGACATTTTTCGCCTGGTCTCCAAACGATCAGCTTTTGGCGGTTGTCGGAGCCGAGAACACGCCTTGTGTGAATCTCTGGGACGTCAAAGCCGGAACGAAAAAGCATGAGAGTCGACAAAGCCCAGATGATAGTCTTACCTCTGTAGCGTGGTTTCCCGATGGCCAAAGCTATGTTTGCGGGGGCAAACGTGGACAGTTCTACCAAGTGGGCTTGGAAGGACATATTCTTGAGACGTTTGATGGCGTGAGAGTTTATGGCCTTCATGTTATGGGAGACGGGAGAAACATTTTAGCCTCAGACTCTCATAATCGAATCAGAAGGTATCACAACCAAATGATTTCTTCGATATTAATTTGCAATTAGCTATGATTTCGAAGCAATCTTGGACAAAGAAGTCATCAACAGACTTCCAAATCCGATCATGACTTTCTGTGTATCTGCTGATGAAAAGTACGCGCTACTGAATGTACTCGAAGACGGGCTTCATCTTTATGATCTGACTTGCAATACGTTTGTCAGAAAATTTCGGGGTAACCGACAGAGCATGTATCAAATTCACTCTGCCTTTGGTGGAGACAACGAAGAGTTACTCGCGACTGGATCCGAGTGTGGCACAATTTTCATCTTTCACAAGGACAGAGAAACACCGATAAAAGAGCTTACTGGCCATTCAATGGGTAGGAAGAGGAGTAAATCTGATGTTAACTAAATTAGACAAATGCGTGAACTGCGTGCATTTTCACCCCATTTACACGAATCTCTTGGCTTCTGTTTCTGACGACCAGCTTTTGAAAATTTGGAAGCCAGCAGAGAATGAAGATGAATTTGGAAGGCCAGATTTCGTATGAATCTCACATTTGATTGTCTTTTGAAATATTATGTAGGCAGCCACGACATCTCTTTGAAAGCGAAGCCAGCTGAGGAGACCCTTCACCGAAGAGCTTCAAATAAAAACCTATCTTCACCGTTCTTTATTATATTTTTCTGCAAAGAAGCACTCCTTTCTCTCGTTGCTTCGCCATTCAAAGGATTCTGTTATTCAACTCATTTCAAATGCGTTTGCTTTCAATTTGCGATTTCCATTTTCGAATTCAGAAGAAAATGAAGCTTTTGCTTGGCCTTTTGTTGAGCGCCGCTAACGCGTATTTTGTGGAAGTCGATGCGCACAAAGAAGAGTGCTTCCACGAAAAAGTCTCTGCCGGCACAAAGGTAGAAATTCCCAGAAAACGTGGCTTTGAATAATTTCGATAGCTTGGTTTCACTTTCGAAGTCGCAGAAGGAGGCTTTTTGGACATCGACGTCTCCATTACCGGACCAGACTCTAAGGTCATTCATCAAGGAGAGCGAGAATCAAATGGGCGGTACGAATTCGCCGCTCACATCGAGGGGCAATACAATTTCTGCTTGAGTAACAAAATGAGCACAATGACTCCAAAGGTAAAAATATTGAAAACGAAGCGAGCTAAAATTCTGATAGATTGTTATGTTTGATATTAATGTTGGAAACGCACCTGCAGATATTAGCGAGGGAGACATTACTGAAGAACACTCGAAACTCGGTATGTCTAATGCCTTGAATGAAAAACTAACCAGCTCTAGAATCAATGATGGCCGAGCTCTCGCAAGCCATGCAAACAGTGAAGCACGAGCAAGACTACATGGAAGTCCGAGAGCGCATCCATCGCGCGGTCAACGACAACACGAACTCGCGAGTCGTCATGTGGGCCTTTTTCGAATCCGTCGTGCTCGTCTCAATGACACTAGGACAAATTTACTACTTGAAACGATTCTTCGAGGTCCGAAGAGTTGTCTGAACAAATTTAAATCAATCTGGCTCCAACTTCAGCAACACCCACATTTCTTTCAAAATATTGAACTGGGCCACTCTATTTTGTTCTCATACAATCATTGTGGCGGTAGAATAACATAATTTTACAAATATACATACTAACTCTTTATTTTTATTACTGTAACTCATTTTAGCCCCATCTGCCAATTTAGGACCTTTTTTCTCATCGATCTTTCTGGCCCATTTTCTTCCCGAATCCGTGTTTTAAATGATCAATAGAAAAACAAAACTCTTGTGCAATTATCTTCAGCTTTTTTTGGTTCTGGTTCCAAATAAATAATCTCTTATCGAGCTCGTCAATTTATTCTCCTAAAATTTCAAAAGGCTAAATCAGGTCTACAGAGGTATTTGGTGATTTTAAATAGGTTTCATTCCAAAGAAGTATCGAAGTTGCTCCCAACAGAAAAATTGAATGAGAGCATATGGTCCAAATCGAGCCCACTGAGCTGAGAACCCGCGGAAGAGTCCCAAATATCCATTATTCCTTATTGATTATAAGCGGGCTTTTTTTTAACTCACAAACCTGACGATGTAAACGAGAGCTGCAGGCATACCAGAGAACTTTCCAGGATTCGTCATGATCATGGTTCGAGCATTTGTAAAGGGAGAACTTGAAATTTGAACTAATCTTTTTGTAGTTTTTAAGTTTTACCTCGAGCAAGTTATAGCAAAACCAGTAATAATGGAAGTACAAAATATCAGCCCCAGTCGTTCAGGATTTGTCGGTGCCTCCTTATGACCATATTTTGTAAAGTCGCTGTCTTTCCATGAGTGGAGGAAGGGAACGAAACTTTGCCATGTAGAACTTTTTCTTGATGATTCGTCTGAAGAAGGCGTTCTTTTGAGGAAATCTTTGACTTCGTTGTAGACCGCCATTTTTGTTATTCCTATGCTCATCGCTCTGGATAATGAATAATTTATAAGAACTAGTAAAGGACTGTAAAAGTCAAAACCTGACGACTGTTGTTGAAACACCTTCGTAAAAGTTGCGCAACTTGAAAGGCGTGCCGCCTACTTCGACGATTAGCCTGTGAAACTGCGGCGGTTTTCCTACGTATCCTTGAGCTCTAACTTTTAACAACTCCGTAGGACATGCGACGACAGCGGCTAATCCTCCAGCCGAGCAACCGGCTGCCATTCGCGAGAGAATTCGCTGGAGGTTTGAGTCTTTGTCGATGATCGCGCCGAAACCATCCCTAAACGGCTCGTAGAGACCGAATCGGAGGGAAGAGTAGATTGATTCTCGGGCGAGAGAAGCGGTGATTCCTCGGTACCAACCGGAAAAACCTTCTGTTTTGTAGAGCTCCGCCATGACGACGGGAAAGGGGCGAACAGAGGAGGATTTGGCTCGTTGCTGGAAAACCATGGCAGTTTCGAAAGGCTAGAGTTAATTTATTGAGAGCGTACTGATCAAAGCATGAGGGGTACGATAAACATATCTAAAACGTCATTCGCTTATTAATTAATTCGTTTAATTTTGTTACTAAAAAGCATTGATTAAAAATTAATCGAAGTCATTCTTACGTGAACACATGTCTGCGCCGCGGAGCAGGAGACACCCGCCAGCCCCAAGTTTAGTATTTGCTCTCCGTTCATCTATTTTCGCCGTTTTTGACGCCTTTTCACGAAAAATAATTCCCTCTTTTTTCCGGTCGTCGTTTTCTTATTGGCCAGTGAATGAATGGGGAGCCAATCGATTCTCAAGAATTTTTAATAAATGGTTATTTGAATTAATTTATTTCAGATTGGCTGAAATCGTCAAGTCGTCCGATGAGAAATGACTTCCGCTCTTGTTCTCCATGAAGGAAATGTTTCAAGCAATTTCGATTATTTGCTCGTAAAAGCAAATTGGAAACATATTTTCAAGAGGATGCGGGGATCTTGCTCATATTTGTGGTTCTTTTGACTTTTGTCGTTTTAACAGTCTGGGCGCTAAGGAAAAAGTCTTTACGATTTCTGCATGAAACTGGTCTTGCTTTGATTTATGGACTTATCGGTAAGTTCCATGGTTTGATTCTTTGATCAGTACGTTTGTTGTTTAGTTGGTGCTATCATAAAATATGGAAACCCCCTGCCCGGTGAAACCGACGACGATGGTGAGGAAAGTCAAGGCTTGCATGTCAGCTGTGATAATATTTCGAAACCGGAGGAGGTTCTTTTGATTACTCTCAATGGCTCTGAGGTTTGTTAAGTATGATTATCATGTAGCTAGTTGTTCAGTATTCATATAAACTAATGGAAGAAGTGACCGACGAAGAGAAAGGTTATCGTTTCAATGAAGAACTCAGCAAGATCACCTTCGATCCGGAAATCTTCTTCAATATTCTCCTTCCACCGATCATCTTCAACGCCGGATACTCGATGAAAAAGCGGCATTTCTTCCGAAACATCGGTGCTATCACGCTTTTTGCCTTTATCGGCACAACCATTTCTACTTTTGCAGTTGCCGGCGTCGCCTATTTGGCGATGGAACTTTCGAAACTAGCGTCAACGGCGCCAAAGGACATGGTTTTTGGGCATTGTCTGCAGTTTGGCGCGATGATTTCAGCGACGGATCCGGTCACTACACTAGCGATCTTTAAAGATCTCAAAGTTGAACCGAATCTTGACGCGCTGCTCTTCGGAGAGTCAGTGATGAATGATGCTGTCGCGATTGTTCTGTCTGAGGTAAGAGTGCTTTTTCGACGCATCTAAGCATATTTTCAAAAGGGAGAGTTGAGTTTCAGGTATTTTCGGTGTGAAGTTGCCATAGAAATTTCTTTATTACTTGGCTAGCGAAAAGTGAACTTTCTTTCTGACGATATTTTTAGACATTCTCGACAGTGATGCTCTCAGGATCGGAAAAACAAAATGGTCAAATCCTCGTTGAAGCGATTCTAAACTTCATGACAGTCTTTCTGGGATCACTTGGAATCGGCACTGCTGTCGCCATGAGCTCCGGTAATTTCAATTATTTTGAAATAGTTTACAATAATTTTTAGCGATGATTTTTAAATTCTGTCGATTCGATGGTATGGACACTCTCGAAACAGGCCTATTCTTTCTTCTTTCTTGGAGCAGTTTCTTATTCGCCGAAGCATTAGGCTTGACTGGAATCGTTGCCATTCTTTTCTGTGGAATTCTTCAGGTACAAACATGTCCCTATACTCCTCTAATTGATCACAGGCGCACTACACATACAACAACTTATCCGAGGACTCTCAAAAAGGAACGAAAAAGCTTATGGAACTCCTGAATTTCCTCGCCGAGAATTTTCTCTTCATCTACATGGGCATCAGTGTGTTCTCGTACACTCGCCATAAATGGGATCCTTTCTTCATCATCTTTTCGTTTCTCGGGATCTTCCTCGGACGATTTCTCAACGTTTACCCACTTTCTGGGCTTGTTAATCTGACGAGGAAGACTTCTGACAGACCGCCTATCAGTGTCAAGTTCCAGCATATGATCATGTTTTCTGGACTAAGAGGAGCCGTTGCTTTTGCCCTGGCACTACGAGAAACAAAAGCGGGAGGCGATGTAAGTGAAGCGCAGCAAATGATGTTCTCGACGACACTTTTGATCGTCTTCGTCACGGTTCTTCTTCTTGGAGGGGCTACGACTTCTGTCTTGAGTTATTTACAAATTCCAGGTTTGTTCTCTTCCAGGATTTCAATCTAGCGGTCTTTAGTTGGAGTAGAGGACGACTACGAGTCCTTTGCTTCCGACAATCAGAACAAGGCCTGGCGAAGCTGGTACAAATTCGACTCTCAGATTCTAAAACCAACGCTGACCAACTCTGGGCCACCGTTAACTGCCACCTGCCCTTCTTTTTGCCATAAGCTTGCATATTGCCTCACCAGTCCAGAAGCTCATATTAATGATGCTGATGATCAAGAGGTAAAATAAAAATCGAGAGCCAGCCTTTTATAACATATTCAGTTGTTGAATACTCCCGCTCTCTTTGAAGGAGATGATCCTTTTTGAAAGGTTCCGAAATAAGCATTTACGAGTTTTCATTTACCCATGATTAAAGATTTGATTAACCCAGGATTGAAGATTGACGTGATGGGTTTTGAAATAAACATTTAACTTTGCATCGAAATTATTCGATTTGGATGCCATTTTTGACCACTATAATCTTATTTTCTAACTAACATGTGTTTTAGGTAATTCTGGACGCAGACGAACTATCCATTCATCACAACCAGCAGCAACATTCTAGTACAGCGCTCGCTTGAATCAAAACAGCAAAAAGTTCACTTTATATACAGAAAAATATAGTTTTCTTAATGTAGTGTCGTTCTCGTTGCAAGTTGATATTTTCAACGTCTATTTATTCAGTAAAAAAGACCGATGATTTCTTCATTTATTCTTACACTTTCTACTTATAATTTGACTACCTGCAAAATGATCAATTATAAGTTTTAACAGTCTCTTGCAGATACGTACCTCGTGCAACCTTGATTTCCAACTCTAAGTTTTACTCAAAGTACATAAGAATCGCGCCTTATAATCCCCTCAAAGTTGAAATTATTCTGCTACAGATATTGTCATTGCATTTTGGTGCGATACCGTGTGTTTACCTTGCTTATCTTTAAATAACTTAAATACAGATATTTAAAAAGGAGCTCTTCGAACATTTTGGTTCAGATCTTGAAAAATGTTGCTTGCTGAATGGGAAAGCATCGCAGAGCTTCCAACAGGCTTGGAAGGGTTTGCTTCTGTCTCAATCCCAAAGATGGGCATCTTCATCTTTGGCGGTGCAAATGAAAATATGGAAGAGCAAAATGATCTCTTTCAGTACTCACCGACAAATAATGCGTGGACGAAACTCACCACCAGGTTTTAGCGCGCAACTTTTGGTTTAATAAAACTTGAATAAGTGAAGCCCCAATGGGCCGAAGCTGTTGCGGAATGTCATTTCATGAAAAAGACGGAAAAACGTGCATCTATATTTTCGGCGGTTTAAATTCCGGCGTCGGATGGCTCGGTGACATCTGGAAAGGTCAACTGGATCAAGGAAAAGTTACATGGACTCAGATAGAGGTTGATCCTGTTGATTTCACTCCCAGAGACAAAGTTGCCACAGTCAGAGGCGAAAACGAATGCTTTATTATTGGCGGCTTCGGACCTGTTGATTGCGCAGAATCCGAAGATGAACAGGACGCGGATGATGAGATTAAACGCGAGAAAGAAGCTCAGGAGGCGCTCCAACTCGGGTAAAGTTTCATTTACCAGACTTATCAGAACATTTATTTAGCTGGTTCGACGATGTCGTCCGACTTGATTTCACAACTGATAAAGTAGAGATCCTTGCTTTCAAAGGCATCGAAGGCGCCGCTGCCAAAGCCGCATCAGGAGGCTTCATGAACAAGAAAGGGGAAATCATCCTTTTCGGAGGAAAAGGGACAACAGGCAGAACAAATGAAATGTTCATCTACGATGTTGAAAACAAAATGTGGGAATGTGAAAAGCCTGGAGGATTTTTACCCGCGCCAAGATCATTTTTCGCGTCTGCTTCGGTTGACAATAAGTTTTATGTCTTCGGAGGACAAGGTAAACATTTGATTTTGACGAATATAAAAATCTTTCAGGTAAAAATGACGAGCTTCTTGGTGGCCTTCATCTTTTTACTAACGGCAAATGGTCGAAAATCGAATCGAATGGAAAATCGCTCAATCCGCGGCGACAAGCAAAGATGGAGTTCTACGATGGGGTGTTGTACCTCTTTGGTGGAACAGACAAACTCGATACAGGTGAGATACTCGATTCAATATTTGTTTTACGAGCGTTTTCTCAGAGCAAGGAATCGCCAGCGTTCTCAAGGAGTGCTGGAAAGCCGAATTTGTTGAAGGAGAGGCAGAAGACGGGAATGCGCTGCTCAGTGCGATTGGACTCAAACGACGCGTTGATGCGACTGAGGAACAAATTTAGAGAAAATTTTACAATTTTTACATGTGACAATTTTTGATCACTGCCAGTTATCATCACTCAATTTGAGAAGCCTTCAAGAAATTATTAATATTTTTCAGAAATCGTACATGGGGTACTCATGTGGCTTGTGCGACTCGCTTAGATTTCGAAGGCGCAAGAAAAACAAGAAACGACACCATGAGTCGATGCGATCACTTCAATCATTCAAGGAACTTCTGCCCGCTGATCCGAGGCTTGATATAAATTCAGCCGCTGAGGAACAATTTCTCACACTTCCTGGAATAACTGCAGTAAGTAGCAGCAAGCGAAAATGTTTGCTAGTAGATTTAGGACCTCGCTCTTGGAATAACAAAACATCGGACGAAGATTGGCGAATTCAAAAGCATCAATGATCTGGTCTGTGTACCAGATTTTGGCGGAACAAAAACGCTAGATCTCATAAGGCCTGAAATCAAATGCGCCAAGAAACCAGATGCTGCTATCGCGATTTCATGTAATCCGGCAAGGGATAGAACTGCTCTTAGTCAATTTTTCTTTTATTCAAAATTTACTTATTATCCCATACAAAAGAGATTAAAAAGTATCTTCCGAGTCGCCTACTTTCCTCTTGGCAACGAGTTTAACGAAAGTTACTGTTCGTCTTTGGGCGTGAAAGAAGTTATTTGCAGCTATATTCTCAGAAACTCACTCGACCTCGTTGTTTTCAGCGGGAAAAGTCTTCATGAATGCAAAGACGACTTTAATGAGGTCTTGTCTGAGTTAGAAGATCCAAATATACCAAAGATCAAGCTGACATCCGATCGAGGGAAATGGAAAGTTGTTCCTCTTTATTTCAAAGGTTTCGCTCTTTTTTATCGGTGGCATAAAATTTGTCTTTTAGGAGAAAATGACTTGGTATCTCTCATTGCTTTGAACCTGGAAAAAGTCGTTATTTGCGAAAAAAGCGAAGAGGTCATAAAAATTCGGCTTTCTGCGTTCTTTACTCATCAACACGAGTTAACCCTATCCCACTCTACCTCCTCCTCCCCCTCATTGCTTATTTCTAAGAACCACATCTCCCCAACGACCAGTAAATCTGGCCAAACAGCTTACTCAGACACTGGGGTAATCAAAATTTCTTCAAGTCTTTTATCTTCTAAAGTTTCTCCCAACGGGCCCAAGTACGAGAGCAACTTGGAAAATCTCAAGTCAAGCTATATTCCGGCTAGTCCCAGCTCACCCGTTGGGAGAATCACTACTCTAAAGCCTGAATACTTAGAACTCAATTTAATTTAATCAAAAACTTTTTATAATTGTATAATTAAATAAAACTGTATACTTTTAGTTTTGCAAATTTCTGTACCGTCCACTTTAGTTCCTTTTACTGCACATTCAAAGTTCCCGATTCATTTCTATTTTGCCTTTTCCTATCTTATTGTGAGTTAGATAGATTGAAATAAACTAATCTTTCATGAATCATGATATCTTTACTGCGGGGTTTTCAGCAATGATGTAAAAAATGGCGGAAATTCTAACGCGAAATAAGGATTTTTTGAGCAATAATGTTGTTTTCTACAACAATCTTATTATTCACCAGCATCCGACCTTATTATTCAATGAAACTAATACGCAAATTTCAAAAAGGTGAGTTTGCGAACTATAAATGCCCGGACGAGAATATGATCCTTTAGAATCATTACCTATGTCAAGGCCTACACTCACATCTCCAAGCGGATCAAAGTGATGTTCGATAGATCTATGGAACAAAACTTGAAGGAAAAACTGAGGGATGAAATAAGAGGGACGGAGGAGAGCAAGAAAGAAGAAAAATATCCCATTTTTGAGTCTCATAAGCAGAAGTACTTCCAGAAAATAGCGTCCGAACTGAGATCGTATGGAGAAGAGATTGGTAAAACGATTTTCGTTGTGACGAAAGAGTTTGACGTAAAAAGGCAAATGGAGAAGCAAGGGGTTCGTCCGGACATCGTTATTTTCCTGTCGAAAAATGATGTAGGCTATTCAACTGAGAAGAAAGCCGAAATCGTCTTGCCTGTGATCGAAAAATGCAAAAGACATCGAAGCGTCCCTGAGTTCACCGGTGCGAAAGAGCGACTGCGGGATCTTTTCGGAACAACTAGGCAAGACATCGCCGCGCTCTTCCAGCATCACGAATTTAGTCATCACGAGACAGAAACATCTTATTCCTATTATCGCAACTGTAAAGATGAAGACCATGAGTTCGTCAAACTGATCGACGACTCTCCTGGTGAAGTGACTGTTGAACCGCATGATGATTACATGGTCCATAAGGCGGATGAGATACTGGGCGATTGCTTAAAAATCTTGGACAACTTCGGTACATACGGTTTGATCAGATGGTTTCCAGACTTGCAACTGCGACTTACTCTTCTTGCAACGAGCTACAATAATTCTCAACTGGTGAATAAGATAGAAACGAACATGATGGTCAATACTATTTACGAAATGGTGTTGACGACTTTCTTTTCTTGCAAAGCGATCATTTCCGAGCTTGATGAAATCGAAGAGAAAGAGTGTTTGCTAAGCGACAGGCTCTGGATGTTTCTATGGAACCTTCGGGAACGCTTCAACCCTCCTAAAGAGAATCTTGAGATGGATCGAGCGTCCGATCATGATGATTCGGAAAAAGAGCCTGATTCTGATTATGAAAGAAGAAAGAGGGAATGCGAACTGGATGAGTTCCACGATAATGCTGACGATGATCTACCAGCTTGGTTAAGTCAATTTGATGTAAAAAAGATCAAGAAGCCTGTTGAAAGTAAAAGTGCGTACAATCCATACGAAAAGCCAGTAGAAGAACTCGTTGGGGAAGGATTTGGCAAGTACATCGTCAGCTTCAACAGCGAAGTCCTGTGCTATTCGTTTCAGATGGCCTTGAAGCTCATGACGGAGCGGGAGTTCCCCCTTTTCGCATGCATCATTCCCTTCTTCCATGATTCTAAGATGTTCCAACTCGGCACGCCTTTCAAATCTTCAATGAGAAATCCACGACTTGTAGACGAGATCAACGAAAAGGTGTTTGCGAAGAGAGACAAAGATTATGCGAAGACGATGAAAGAAAGTTTGGAGTTCTTCATGGATAGCAAAAATCGCTCAGGGTTGTTGATCACGACTTCTAGCGTTCCGAACTACGTAATTGAAGGGATTGTCACACAGGGAAAGTGTCCGATCAGCCTTGGCTATCGTTTCGAAGAGCCGAGTGCAGATTTCTTTGACCTCCCGGTTAGAGATGGCATGATACAACTTGTTGTCGACCTAAGTACTCATGACAAGTTCAATGAGGTTAGAAAAGAAGTCGAGCGATTTAGTTCTGGTGGCTGCAAAGAACCTGAAATTAAAAGTAAGAGTGACATCTTTACTGATCCGCTTGAGTCGTCGGAAACAAGAATCGAAAAAGCGGACGAAGGAATAATGGATGGATTTCCCGACGATAAAACGGCGAAAGAAATTCTAAGAGATGTTGTCAGTAAAGTTTGCATTCCGGATATTTTCGCGAAATTACAAGTCAACACAGCGAAGGATGGAAATGGAGGGTGGATGGCTACCGCTGGATTTCCATTTGACTTCCCAGTGTCCAAGAAGGTTATGATAAGTGACACCTTTCAAAACGAAGAAGATGCGGTTGAGAATGTGTGCAAAATTGCCCTCACAAGGTTCAAGAAAGAGAATCCTAATGATTTCTTCCTCTTGAAAAATCCGAGAACCGAGGTTGAGGAAAAACGCGAAAAGTATCATACAAGAGGTCCAAGAGAATTCGAGCCTGATCTACCCGAGCATCCTTTCCATGAGAGCGAAAATTTCAAGAGCAAGTACTCAATTAAAAACGACAAGCAATACCGACGAATTTTCCCAGAATGTCTTCAAGGAGGCCAAATTGAACCTGGCAAGCCTTGTTACCTTTATTTAGTCAGTATCAGCAAGACAAGACGCTACTGCGATAACTTCAACATCAAAAATTCGTCGGAAGCGTCTTTTCCTCACGATTTTAGCGATCAGGCCTTTGGCATTCTTGTTGCCAAGCCGATAGTTTCGGTTGCGCCATTTTCAGTATATCATCCGAAGAAGCAAAAAACCACATACGCCCTTGATGTTGAAGTGACCCTACTCAGATCGATGCTTGTTTTCGACGAAGTGGAATTGAGTCAATTGAAACATTTCTACAGAAATATTACAGAACTACACAATGGATTAGGAGAAGATTGTTTACAAGCTAGCGACGTTCTGATGACACTTGAAAAGAAGCGAGATCTTCAAAAAGAGATGAGCAAGGAATCGAAAAAGTTCACTTCTGGTTGGGGCAATGCCGAGAAGCGTGTTCCGGAATACTGGGAGTTGAAACAGTGGGTAAGACAAGGTGAAGTGCAGTTGCTGTATGTTCCACTTGCGAAGCGCCAGCTCCCATGGCATGGTTTTGACATTGACTGGTTTACAATTACCGAGATGGAGGTCTTTGAAAGTAGGTGCATGCATATAATCAGAGCGAGACGCGAAAATCACGCCAAAAAAGATGCAGAAATGAACAGATTAATCAATCAGAGAAGACAACTCACACCGCAGAAAGATGAGAATGGAGAGCCAACTGCAGAATGGGAAGCGTATACGACAAAAATTATAAGGTTGAGAGAAAATCTCAATTTATTGAACGATGCAAATCTTGAATCCAGTAAGACTGGTCCTGCTCCACATCCTTTAATACCCAAAAGAAGCGGGAAGGCGATCAGGAAGAGACACGAAGAAAAGATCCAAGAGAAGCACTGGGACAAGCAGCGTGTCTGGTATGAACCGTATATGAAGGCAGATGCAGGATTTGGCTTCGGTATCATTCAATCAACGAAACAAGAGCAGTTCATTGTTGGGCGGGAGTTACACTGGCGACAGGAGGTGGAAGAGGCTACCTTTTACTACGGCAATAAAATAATAAAAGCACCTCAATTGATACAAGAATCAGAATACGCTTGGCGACGTCCAGTCAAAGAACTATTCAAAGACTACAGCAAACATATGGACCCAAGAATTCCACGAGTTCCAGAGCCAACTAAGAAAAGACGCTTCTACGGCGAGCTTTACAAGACATTCGATAGACAAGATCACAATGTCCGGATTCTTAATCGAAAATCCGTTTCCGACAATACTCCTGACTCGTTGATCTGGCAACCCACGTGCGACAAGTTCTATCTGACTGTAGAATTCTCGAATAAAGATGGTACAATGAAGGATACAAGTTTGAAAGAGCCCATTCCATACGGCGATTATCATAAGAGGATAAAGCCTGAGTTCAACGCAAAGGGAAAACTTGTGAAGATCAGCGACCCCTTCAATAATTCAAGGCAAACGATGATCACAAGACACGCTCCAGAAGGTGGCAAAAAGCAAACAAAATTCCTTTTCATGGAGCATATTGAGTATCACTTCCTTCCAAAGAACCTGTTTATTCAAGCAGCGAAATTGCCTGGAATCACGGTTCGTCTCATTCAATTGCTAAATGCCGAGGAACTTCGTGTCAAATTCGCGAAAGAGTACAACGGTAGGGTTTTTCCGACTCTCGATGAAGGAAACAATCATAGCAAGCCTGGACTATCACCACTACAAGTTTACAAGATGCTAACCAAATCACCTCTTACTACGTACAAAACGACTTCTATCAAGAGATTCAAAGGCCTGGTCGAAGGAACTGAAGCCAGACATGATACCTTCCTCTTCACAAATCTGCCTCCCACAGCCGCTCCTTCTGGATATGTCGCAAGAGATGATGAATTTACTGGTGACTCGAAAGAAGGGACTGACTATTCCTACAAGAAGATCAAGATATCCGAGAAAAAACTTCCTGCTCCAACAGATCAAGAAAAGTTCCTGAAACTTTTCGACTCACTTGGTCCAGTTTATCCTCCGCCAGTCTTCGGTGAGAAAGCTTTTTATCTCCCGCCACATGTAGATAAAATCGTTGATCACAAGGTCCTATCAATTCCACAGAAGCAGGAAAATCTTGATTTTGGTTTACTCAGCAACACGATCAACTGCCAAGAAAAACAAGCATGGTATTTAAAACGCGTCAATCCGAAGAAAACTCCTCCTCGGTACACGGAAATATCTTGCTGGTCAAAACCCTCATCAGAAGAGTTTTCGGACAAGGATCATTTCGACCGGGAAATCGAGTGGTACGGCGAAAAGGAGCTAGAACTGTTCGGAAAACAGCAAGTGGAGCACCCTGGCACTTTCATTCCTTGGTATAAAGATGGAAAGACACCTGGAATCGTCGATGAATCATTGAAGCTCTTCAAATCATTTGGAAAATTCAATGAAAACAAAAAAGAAGGCGAGGCGAGGGAAGAAGCATATGAAAGTCTTGTGCAGCAGGCGATCAATCGATTAGTAATTCAAAGTCACTGCAAAGACTGGTTTTCACTCATTCAAAAAGATGCGGCAATATTCACGGCAGAGTGCGAAACAGATACAGATTCTGAAGAGACAAATACTGTTCTGTCCTTGAAGAATGAGAGCGAAGACCAGCTGAAGATCCACAAATGTTTTGAGAGAATCGAGCGAAAAGCTACCGACCCACCGATTGACTTTATCACTCGCGAGTGTTTCGCTCCTCCTCCATCCCTTCTTCTACGCGCACTTACTCAACGAACCGCAAATGACTTTTTCAATCTTGAGCGACTCGAGTTTTTCGGCGATTCATTCATTAAAATCGCCTGTACTCGTGTTCTTTACGAGAAGTACAGTTATTTTACAGATGGAGAACTGACGAGCGCCCGTGGAGCATATATTTCCAACGCAAATTTTCTAAAGCTGTTCAAACTCAAGCTTTCTGATGGAAGTTGCCTCCAGATCCCCCGCTATATGAACTGTCACGATCTCAGTCAGAAGGGACGTGGGATTCTACGAGCGCCAGGATGGGTTTACACCTTGAATCACGCTCTGACAGACGATAACCAGGATGAAACAGAAATCTTCCCTCGGATTTCCGATGAATTTACCAGCGAGACCGTCCGTCCTTCCCACTTCAACTATATGACGATCGATAGCATTAACAAACTCGTCGACAAGAAAACCGCCGACGTAATCGAATCGCTTATCGGAGCATACCTGGTGACTGGCGGGGAGAAAATGGCTGCTCGATTTGTCTGGATGCTGAATCAGCTCTACATGGATACACTCATTAGTAACCCTGAATACTTGGAAGGAATTCGCAGGAAGCGAACTGTACAGGGCGATTGCCTCATCACCCACCCTCCAGAATTCTGGCCAGAAAATGCCTACGAAGCTAGAGCCGCATTTGGGGAAGATCACATGACTTACAAATCTGAACTAGTGGAGCCCGATTCAAAGACAGATAAAATCATCAAGGACCTTCAGAATGAGCTTCAGTATGAATTCATTTCACCTCATCTTTGCAGACTCGCGCTTGCGAAAAAGAAGTTCACAAAAGATCCCAAAGACAATTATGAGCGGCTTGAATTCCTTGGTGATGCGATTTTGGATTATTTGGTCGTTGATGAGCTCTTCAATCGAAGGTCGGCTTCACTCGATTCTGGAGAGCTTACCGATTTGAAGCAAGCAATCACTTCGAATAACCTTTTTGGATCGTTGGCGTTTTGCATGGGATTACCACAATCGACGTTGATGAAAGCGAGCGCCGCGAAGGATCACATCTCTGCGATGCACAAACTCGAAGAGTTCAAGAATCTGCTCAACAAGCAGGAACGAGGCGTTCCCTTGAATCCTGACTTGCAGCGTGTTCTCAACGTTATGGAATGGACTGATAAGACCGTAAACCGAGCGAAGGAGTATTCTTGCCGTAAGTCGTACTCTCAGTGGCGAAATTTTCAACTAGTCATGAAATAACTCTGTTTTAGCTTATCTTCTCGACATTCCCAAATGGTTTGGTGACGTATTCGAATCTATGTTCGGCGCCGTCTGGCTGGATTGCAATCAATGCCTCCCTCAAATATGGGATATCTACAAGTCCAAGATCATCCCCATCATGGGCATTGAAGGGAACAAGCCATACAAGTAAACTACGCTTCTTTACTTATTTCCAACTTATTTAAATTCTAGTCCTGAGTTCATAAACAAGCTCAATCCAAGAAGAGAGATCGCAAAGCGACTTTACTCCGAAACAGCCGGCACCGGAAAAACAGAGAAACTCAATTCACGGGACAAAATCCGCGAGTTTTTGAAGTCGCATAGAATGGAAGAGCATACTGAAGACTGCCTTAGATTCACTGGATATTACTTCTGTGTAAGTCAATAGTTTTGGTAATAACTTGCTAATCGTCTATAAGTACGTGGAGATATATCTTTCAAGCCAGAAAAACGTCACAAAGCGCGATATCGGAATCGGACTAACGGAGAATTCCGCAATTTTCGCTGTCTTTCACCGCCTGCTTTTTCAGCTAAATCTCTGAAAATTCACCTCACTGCTAACTCTCACCATTTCATAACGGATAATAAACCATGGAAACATCACGCAAACAAAACAAAATTTGGTTATTCCAATACATTTTATTTCTATTTACAAAGAATAATTGTTCACCATGGGCGCCAGATGTTCAAGTCAAGAGCAGGGTTGAATGCAGTTTTGCCAGAAAGGTTAGATAAGAAATATGCGATTCGCAGTTTCTGCAGGAGCTGCTCGTGTTCGGGAGAGAGCTGAAGGGAGCCAGAAGATGAAGAAGCTGGCGAGGGAGTGAAGTTGATTGATGAGGGTCGTTTAGCTGGAGGAGTAAATTCGCAAGAGTCAGTGGAGCGTCGTTTCTTGGGTGATCTTCGGACGATAGGAGTTGGCAAAAAATCGATTCTCAATTCGTCGGGCTCGCCGAACTTTGTGACGAGGCAGTCGATCGTAAACTCCAGCAATCCTGCTCGAGTGTTAAGTTGACGAGTTGTTCCAGCGCTGATAAAGCCTTCGGTGTCGAGCGTTTGCTTGAGGATTTCGAAGCAGTTCTTGAGCTTGTTTCTGTAATACGCGCAGGCTTCTTGGTTGTTCATGGCAGTCCGACGCTCTGTGGGGTTGGCAGAGAGTGGCTTACCGCCGAGCAAGGCAATGGCAGCGTCGAGAATGCGGAATCTGTTCCAGTCGTGAATCTCTGGAAAACGCTTTTCGACAATGACTCGAAGTCTCGAGAAGCGCTCGTTCAACTTGACTCGTGATTTCTTGGAGAAATCGTTGCCGCTGGTTCGTGGGGTGTTCATGTTCTCGACTTTATAAAATGAGATTGATTGTTTCTTTTTTGTTGTTTGTATCTGGAATGATATGAGTTGCCTGGTTATGTCGCCTCGGTTTTATATTTTCTCAAGGATGGCGCAGTCTGATATCAAACGGAATCCCATCTTGAAATCGCGCTTTTGAGGACAGGAGAAGCCAATCGAAAGTTAAAGGGCTTTCGCGACGACTCATTACGGAACAGCTGGTGTGTAGTTCCTCATTTTACACGCGCTTGATGGACTCAAAGATACCGTCTAGATTAGTACTTTTGATGTGCCACCTGGCCGAAAGCTAATTGACAATTAAATTGTCGATTGAATATGCAAAAATTTCTCAACTGTATATTTTGTACTATTTTATTCGGGTCAGCAAGACTAACACAGAAAGTCGTATTCCGAGGCTTCAGGAATACGAATATCGACATCCTCAGACTCGTCTTCTGTTTTATCGCCATCGTCTTCGCTCCTTTGTTCATCAGACTCGTCCTCTGTCTCATTGCCATCGTCTTCGCTACTTTCATCGTCAGAGTCGTCGTCAGACTCGTCGGTACATTCTTCGGCAGTTTCAACGATTATTTCTTCACTGCCTTCTCCGTCAGTCTCTTCCGCGGCCTCCGCGTTTACCACCTCATCTACGTATTCAATATCGGCGTAAACGTAGGTATCGCCTCGCTCTTGGGCGCGAATAAATTCTTGACAGATGCCGTCCATCTTTTCAGGAAGAGCAGGGAGAACTTTGGTCAGGTTTCGTTCAACAGTTATTGTTTATTATTTTAATTCTGAAACATCCCATATAATCATAGCCAATTTAGTTCAATGCATAAAACCTGTTCCTATGATCATCATTTTTCTCATCCCGTCCCACATGTACACGTACCCGTCCTCATTCTTTACTTTTTCACGGAATTCATCTTCGAACTGCGGTCCTGGTAAGTTCACGAGAGAGTCCGGATCGTGGAAGTTGGGTCGTACGGGGCTAGGTTTATTTTAATAATAATATAATATTATAAAACGACAAAAATGGTACCTCTCCTGATTCTCTGCCATCGTTGAGTGATTGAATTTTCTAAGAAACTACAAATAGGTACTGAATCTAGAAAAAACAACAATCTGGAGAATATCAACTACCCGTTATCGGAATGGAAGAAACTAGAATTTTTTGACCATGACTCATAGAGAAGAACTTGTATGAGAATCCACAAGATGAAGCATTGACGAATGCTCGATAACATGTATCTATATTTTTGTACGATAATCTTAACCTTCGACCTTTAGAAACCTCAATGGAATCATTCCGACAGAAATTCTTCTCACAGTTCCCGACTGCAAACTTGGCAGGTTCAATTCATCGATACGGTGTCGGAAGCATTTTCTCATGCTACCAAGGCGCTCCCCAGCTTATCACTGGATAAAGCTCGTTTTGATGTGCGCTCAAGGCCACCGCTGTAGCCGGGAGAACCGACAGGAGGGCGAAGAAGAGCAAAAATACTTCTGCAATTTTCAAATCGAGAACTTCACTGCTGTAGAAGGTGTATTTTCTGTGAAAGGATTTTAGCAGATAGAATTGAAGACAACGAAGACCCACTTGGAAATAGAAAGAGAATCATCACGTACTCACTTCGCTTACGAAATAGAAGACTGATAGGAAACGAAAAGGATATTATCGAGATTCAGGTAGAAAGCGAGAATCCTGGCAGACAACAAGGACTACTCTCCGGCGGAGATTGAGAAATTTGTCAGGAAAAGAGCAAATAGACTTATGATTACAAATTTCTACTAGCTTCAAAAAACTCTTTGTAAGACGAAAATTCATCGAACCGATGAGCGAAACTGTTATGGACGTTGGTGCTGCGGCAAAGACTACTGTTGACCAAGGAAAGTTATTGAAAGTCTTTCTTGAAAAAATATTCATGATGACATTTAGGCTACGCGCGAAGTCAAGATTTCTTCGAGGATATGTCAAATTTCTTTGGTGGCTTCTCCAGTTTTCTTCTGAAGGCTGTCATCGTCATCGTAACTATATTGGTAGTCTACTTTGCGCTCAAGTATTGTACGAAGAATTTCATACAGCGGCTAAACTCAGCTTTATGCTGCGACGAGTAAGTCTTCTACCCTAGATATCAGTAATAATGAAAATTTTTAATAAGCTACGAGCCCGATTACCATCACCAACATCGGCGTTTCTACCGGCCAAGCAACCATGTCACCCTCCAACCTCGCTATCAAGAGCCACTTTCGCGAGAACGAATGCCTCACTACGCCGAATCCAGATTTCACCCTGTCCATTCCTACCCTGACGATCAACCAACGCCGGAACAGTTTCAGGGCTCAAATGGCTACGAGACGGACCGATTCGAATTCGCTAGTGATATAAGTATGTCGTCGATATAATTAGCGCTTTCTCTGATAAAATTATATCTAGCCCCGAAAGCTCCCAAGCGTCAGCGACGAGACCGAAAGCTCTACGGAAGCCGAGACGACTCACTCCTCACGTCTTCAACCTCATCGGATAGTCAGCGCCGCGATGGCAAGAAAATGAAAAGATTGGGATATGATTACATTTTAAGTTTCGATAATTAGTTTTCGATAAATTTAGAAAAAGTCATATCCCCGCACGCAGATCGGAACGACGGCGATCGGCATCTCAAGGCAGCGAGCGACGCCATCGGCCCCAAGCATGGTGGCAAGCACTCCTAGAGAAAGGAAAATCAAGTACCCGACACTACGCTCACCGAAAAGCTGTGAAACTGGCTTCGTCTGTAAGTTTTCCTGCATCCGTCAAATATTTCACAAATCATTTTAGCTGAACCCGACTGCATAATCGAAAACGACTACGTCCTGGCTGGACGAAAATTTTAGCCTGTGCGAACAAAGAAGAACTCAAATACACCCAACTTACTTTTATTTTGCGACTCATTTTCTTCCAACTTATTGTCAGATTCTTCCTATTTTTGAATAAATAAAAATATCAAAAATCATACCAAAATTTATATTTTGTTAACAGAATCAAGCACTTTATTTTGTAAGCGTTGCCATAAAAATGGTTCCACAATCTTGTTATTTCCGCCGAAATTAAGAGTCCAATCGCGATTCTTTCGTTTTTATTTTACGGTTTCGTGGTGAGGGGAGATAACACCGTTTTTCGGATGTTTTATTTACCCGATTAAACTATCGGTACAAACATACAATACTGCTTTATCTCAATCTACTTTACTAAGCTTGCAGAAACCCTCCTATTATTGACTTTTAGTTGACCCTGTCAAAAAGTATGAAGAAATCAATCATGCATGTGAGCGCGGTAAAATTTCCCACTGCTCCGAAATAGCATCCTTTCAATACTTTATCAAACAAAATGCGCCGAATATTCTCCCTGTCTAGCCGAATCCCTCAGAAAAGTCAACAATGCTTCTTCCTAACGGATTTCAAGCAATTTCGATAATAATTTTTGCAAGAGAGATTCAGGGCGAAGAATGCGCTAGAAATGCTTGGGGGATTTGCGAATGTTCAGCCAGGGGCTTAGAATCCACGGAATTTTAGTGAAAACAGCAGATTTTCATGAAGTCATTTTTTCTATTTCGATGGAATTGTTCAAGCTCCATTAGAGGCGCAAGTGCTGACTGATTGGCCATTCGAGACCGTCAATAGCACTTGCCTCAACTGTACTGATATTTCCGGGCCACTTTGGTAAGCTAAAATGTAAAACAGCAAAGCATGAGAAATAAGGGACGGTCCGAAGTGCTCGTGTGTTCCATACTCGTCGCTTTCCTCTTCTGGTTCCTGCTCGTGCGCGTCTAATTACACTGAAACATCCGCTGGAACATGTGTAGATTCATCAAAACTATCAGGAACGTAGAGCGCCCGGTGGTTTCATTCAGTAGACTAATTTTGAACTTGTGTCTCCACTTTGCTAATAGGTGTCAGAAACGACTCGTCGGACTTGGGATGTGGTCTAAACGCGGTGCCTGACGAATATGGAGTGTGTTCCTGCGACGAGGTAAAAGTTGTTTTTTCGTGCGTTTCTGAATGACGAGTGTTTAGAATTTTACCGAGCACCTATCAGGCAAGTGTCCCCTCTCCAATCTAATTTTTCATTCTCTCTCTTGTGAAGGAACCTACTGTGTCTCATGTTCCTCCCTCTCACTGACAGGTCCTGGTGCCGATGGACAAGCCTGCACGTGCCATCCGTACGCCAAAGCCGACGACAACGGAGTCTGTCAATGTTTACCAGGTTTAAATAAGTGGTTCACAGTTTTATTTTGCATAATTTTGAGCTCTCGAACTTTCCTCAGCTCTTTTTTGTTAAGGCTTTAAAAGATTCAACGACGGATTAGTGGACATTTGCATATCGTGTGATCAAGTCCAAGGGCTTTTCAGGTGATCGAGCTTATTTTCAACTAGTTTTTACAATGACTTTTAGCAATCCGGAAAGCTGCTCTTGCTCTAGTGGCTCCTCTATCAACGAATTTGGCGTATGCATGCCGGATGAGAACGGTTTATCCGCGACAACATCTTCACCAACGTTATCAACTACTAACACGGGAGAGACTACTGCCGCTCAAACCGAGTGGGGTAACTCTACCACCGAATTAGACAGCACAACAGATTTGATGGAAGATACCACTTCAGTGGAAACATTAGCTAGCACAACAGCAATATCTGTTGACGACCAAACAAGCTTTATTGGCGACTTCGGAACTACGCAAGAAATGGCTTCGTTAAGTGATTCTTACTCCAGTCAGACAACAGAAGAATATGCATTCACTTCAGGAATAACGTCGACTCTTGCCGCTTCAACGCTGGAATCAGAAACAGAAAGTGTAACGGACTATTTCACCGAAGAAATTACGAGCGCTGAAACTCAAACTGCTGAAGTGACTTCAATAAAAATGGAAAGTGACGAAGCAACAACTGGGCCGAACTCTATATTCACCGACGTGCCAAGTGCGACGCCTGAGCAAACTGATACAATACCGCACACAACTGCAGATAACACCTACCCATCCAGCACGTTAGAAACGGGACGATTCATTTTCAATTTATATCACTCAGAATTATATAAAATGTGAATCCCGCGAATCAGCCCCAACAAATGCGGAAACGGAAGGATTGCTGGTGACCACGGTGGGCGAGAATGACCTGAGTTCCGAAAACTTTACCGCACCGGAAGAGCCAATAGATTATACGGAAACGGTTACTGACGCATATTTTGATGGTGATGCAACAGAACCGATTTCAATCGATGAAATTGATGATTTTACCGAAAGCTTTACCGATTTTGAGGAAGAGTTTATTTCTGTGACAGAAGTACTTACAGTAACAGATGCTTCTATGGATATGATAACAGAGAGCGCTGTCAATGAAGATTTTGTAACAGAAAGCGTTGGTGATAATGAAGCTTTCACTGAAAGTTCGACAGATGGAGAGGTGTACAAAGAAGAAACAGGAACGCGATATCATTCCTTTCTTCTCATAACTTTGAAAACTCCAATTTACTTGAGACACACTTAAGTTCCGAGAAAGTTATTTGAACGCCCTTGTAAGTAACTGTCGCTGAATATGCAACATCCGCGGCGTTGGCTTTGGAGGACTCAACAATCGCGATGTCGAACGACGTGTTCACAAGTGACAGCCACGTTCCAATTGATGAGACAACTGCGGGTGAGAGTTTCACGCAAACGGCGACCACTGGATCGACCCTTCAATTTTCGGAAGCGTCAACTTCTCCGGCCGCAGCCGGTCCAGTTTCAACAACGCAAGGGTTTACCGACTTGCCAACTGTTTGGGACGATTTAAATTTAGGCAATTGGTTCATAAATATGCATAATTATAGCTGAAGTGACTTAAATTCACGGAAACTATTAGCGAACCATTTAAAAGGAAAAGTCTCCTCAACTTTTTAGCCGATCGAAGTTTGAAACAGGTTCATTAAGGAGGGGGTCGACGAGAAAAATTTTTTCGCTTTTTCAAAATTTTAGTTATATTTTTGGATTCCTTAATAAAAAAGGAAAATTTTTGGTCTCCAGCTTTTTGGGCATTGATTAACTTTTTTTACCAAAATTTTCGATTTTGTGTCTGGAATTCGAGATTTTACGATATTTTAAAGTTGGTTATTTCACCCAAAAACAATCTTAATCCGATTTTTATTTACTAGGTATTGTTTTTAAATGGTATTCTTATCATTACCAGTAAAAAATTCCGAGTCTCGGCGCTTTTGGTAAAATTCTCCGTGAAAAATGAGCAAAAATGACGATTTTAAGGAAAATCGCATATTTTTAGTGAAAAGAAAAAAATTTTTAAATAAAAGCAGCCCGTTTTATATTGTCGCCGCTGTATTTTTAAGGGTTTCAACTTACTATTTATTTAATTTGACGAAGAAAAAAAAATCCCGTTTTTGAGATTTTTTGGTTACGAGTAACCCCCACTTTGACCCAATTTTTTGAAAATTTTTTCGAAAAAATTTTTTTTCTAGTTTTCGCCGCTGTATTTTTGAAACACTTTTCTATCCACCTGAAAAGTCAGAATTTGCCTATCTAAGCAGGTTTTTCCGGATTTTTGGTTACAGAAATCCCGATTCTCGTCGACCTCCCCCTTAAGTATCTTTCGTCCACGTCTGAGTACGTCAGGGTTGATCTTGTCTGAGAAAACTATCTCTTTGAGTCGGTCGATTTTTTGAGACTCCAAGGCAGGCTCTGTTTCGGGAACGAGCTCTGTGGATGATCCTCTTTTTGATTTTACGTCGCCCGGAACAATAACGTCGGATGTTTTCACTGAGGCGGCAGTTGCGTCAGCAGAAATCACAAGCGACCAAACTTCTCTTCCTTCAACAACAAAACATTCAACCCAAGAATCAACTAGTCTTATTGATCACACTACTGTAACAGTCATCGCTGGTTTAGAAACGACATCCCAATATGGTGAGAAGACATTTTCTTTTTTAAGATTAATTTCTAAAATAAATTGTTAGAACAAACAAGCACAGATGGCGACGAATTGTTAGTTACAACACCTTTACCGTCCAGCGCTACAGTCGCCGACACTCTAGTCACAACGCACTCCTTTGTTACTAGTGAGGAGATTATTGCGACGACTTCTGAGTTGATTACTACAGCACTTCCAATAGGTACTGATAAAATAACAAATGCTGATAACTTGATAAAAACAATATTCAATTGCGCTGAAATGTGAAATTTGATTAGATTGGACGGTCACCGAAAACCTCGTTACGAGCACATGGTCAGGATCAACGGCAAGTTCAGAAAAAGCAACAACCGCCAGGTAGGATTACCGCTCCACAAAATCCCACCACCTCTGAATCAGACACAATAGCATTTTGGTTTTGTAATGACGCCCGCATTTCATAATTGTTTTACGCTAAGACCCGTGATTTGCGAACGCGATTGCCGATAGATCACCATGCAAAATTTTTAAGTTCATTACAACTCATTTTTGCTTGTCGCAAATTTCAATTGAAATTTAGCGAAATTGCAACAACCGAGGAAAATGAAGCCACGACTTTCACGACCGAAGTTTTCATAAGCAACGGTACTCAACCAGAAGAGCTTGAGCCAACAACCTCTGCCGAATCTCTTCTAACGCAAACAGAGCCTCTTACAGCTGCTTTTACTACTCATGCTCGTACGATTTCCATTTTGGAACGTGTTTTTCATTTATTTTAGAAACAACAGAAATTTCGATGACGACCGCACTTTCTGATAATTTCACAACAGCTGGATTCTCAAATGAGTCTGTCGTGGATTGGGTAACGCAAAATAATATTATCAATGTCTTCTTCATTTATTTTTCTATTTAGACTTTTGTCGATAATGAAAGCTGGTCCACGTGTTCTGTTTCTTGTGGGGAAAGGGCTAGATATTTCTATTCAATGTAGAAAACCACCCTCAAAAGGGGCTTCTTTCTAGCCCCTGAAAAGATATGGCGGAGTTCGAACTCGCACCCAAGTCTGCAACACGGACAACTGCGGAGTCGGCTCGACACGAACTGTAACTGAGGTAGGAGCGCGGAGGTATAAAATTCCGAGCGTTTGAACTTTTGCGCGATAAGAGCGGGAGAGAAGTTTATTTAATTTAATTCTGTCCAATACAGCTTGCGGTGGGTGTTTTTCTTTCTTACAGAATTGGACGGCGGTTTGACATTTTTTATCGTGATAAACTCTTTTTAGTCTTGCAACGCGGCGTCGAGCTGTTTCGCCATCGTTACTAATAACGTGACCATGTCCTTTGACCTGACGGTCAGTTTCTCCACCAACGCGACGTACAATTCTTCAACTGATGATAATATAGGTATGTATGTTATCTTCTCTTATCAGTTTTTTCACATGTATTCTATTTGGTGAGTAAAACGACAAGTTCAAGCTTCTATTAGAGATCCAATTCCAATCTGAGCAAATGGCGGATTTTTCGGGTTCCTAATTGACAATCTTGGACCAGCGTTGTCCGTATCTCGAGTCTACGTAACAATCATGAATAAGACCTCAAGAGGAAAATTAGTTATCATCAAGGACATGAATTCAAGTAATTACTGCCCCCTCTAAAAATGACTGCAAGACAGTAAATAGTACGATACAGTACCTTCTTTCTCGAGCCACGTTTTAACCACCCGCTCTCATTGCGCACGCGATAAGAGGAACTCAGTAATGAGTTTTTCTTCGAGTTACTTTCTTCTGCCGGTGCGTTTGAGCGTTCCCACGACTTTGGAGTTCTAAAAACTTATCAGACAATTAACGCCGATGTATATTGCTCACTTCAGGAATTGTATTGACACAAAAAGGTTCTAAAAAGGTGTTTAGACATGATTACGTCGGGAATACGCGATGCTCTGGAAAGTATTGGTTCTTATCTGGGCAGGTAAAGTAACAAATTGAAGACCATAAAAAAGGAAAATTCCTTATTAATTTATATTAAAAAATGTTTGAATTTACGATACCCACCAAACTTCCCCCCCTTCCTCGTAAGGATTATACTCTAGCGCCTGAACATTATTAACTCCTCGTAAATTATCAGATTCTAACACAATTAATAGTTATAACATCATGATCAACGTCCAACCAACAACTGCAAGACGACGAAGAACAGCTGACCTGTCGAATATTGAAGACTATCATATCGAATCGGAAATCTACCTCGAGGAAAAGCTCGAAAAGGATAAAATTCAGAGCTTGAGATTACTCAATGTCTCGGTAACCTTTCCTCTTATATCACCAAGTTCTTACTGATTTGAGGATTTCTTGGAACGATTCAACCTCTTGCTCGACGAAAATGGCTACCAGGTCGAATCTGAGTCCGACCCAGAAGTAGCCGTGGAAGAAAGTTTGAAGACGGACAATTCTTTCGACCCATCAGATGGAATTTCATGCGCAGATGTCAACGCTGAACCAGTTGGGGCTCAGTGCTTGTGCAGATATGGATTCAAAGATTATGGCGTTGGTTGTCGACGAACTCAGCCACTGACGCTTTTAAGGATTTCTTGAGAAAAACTTATTTTCAATTTTCAAGTCAAGTACGCATAGGTGGCGCTTTAAGGATTAATCTCGCTCTCTGATTGGATCGAAGTTGAAATAAGAAATCCTGGAATAAGAGCGCTAGACAACGTTTTCTTCCGCATTTACCACTCTCATGTTCTTTCAGAGAGCTTCAAAAGCTCACTCATCAAGAGGTAATAATTATTTGTGCATTACGGGATCGCTTTTCATTTTTTGCATGCTTAGATTCTCCCGGGCCCACATGATAGCGCGTTATCAGTGGAAGCTGACTAAAATGGCGGAAGTTCACGGGCCAAAGAGTTCATCTATGTAAGTGAGCGTAATTATGCTGTACTAACTGTTTTTATCAAACGACTAATGCGTCAGTTACAAGCAGACAGGTCACTGATGCTATCAATCTCTGCTGCTTATAATTGTTTGTTCATAAATGTCGGTGAAAATTTTTTTTCAGGAAACGCTGCAGTCAACAATCGGTGACCTTGGCTACTAGCCGTTACGAAAGCGAATTGCGTTTAGGAACGTGTTTGATCAAGCTTGTTTTTGGAAAGTCTCTTCGTAAAGAAATTTATCACAAGTGTCCCTATATTGCTTATCACTGTGTCTGGATAGAGAGGGTCTTATTGCCCTCTTCAGAACAGGAGGCGATCATAGTTCAAAATATTCAAACGCAAAACAAAGCCGTGGCCGAAGTCGATCTTTTGACGATCGAAATCGAGGATGATCTAAAAGGAAATGGATTTTTAGAGCAAGTTTTTTAGAAAAGCTCCGATTCGTGAACTTTTTTCGGCGTTGACAGCTCATTAGCAAATCCGACAGCGGATTTACAGTTTACGAAACTTTTTTTCCTTAACATTTTTCAACATCATTTTTTTCAAACTCGATCTTTTTCAAAAATCCGAAAAAAAGCTTCTCCATCAAAATTCGATTCTCAAAGTTGGCTTGAGGAGAACTTGTGCTCTTATGTTGGACGGATTCATGAGATTTTGATTGATTTCATCCATATTACTTCTTTCAAATGTCGCAAAGCCGGATTTTTGTGGCCCAAACAGGTATTTTTTTTTTGAAAAACTTGGTTTTGATATTTTTTTCTTCAGAAGCTGGACTTGGGCAAGAAAGCGCTGAAAGGAACCTTCCATCATAAACTCAAGCGATTTCTTCAATGCTAATAATAAGTAATTAAAGTTACTAAAACGTACAGTGTATTGCTTTGTTTTGTTGTTTTGTGCAGTCGTTGTTTAGGGAAAAATAATTTCGGCGATAATTTTCGGCTAAACGGGTAGAACTCTTTGCGGACATGAAAATCCACTTTGCGATTTCGTCACAAAATAAGCGATAAACTTATAAGAAGGCGATAAGCACTACCAATTCGCCGAGGAGATGCACCGTGAGGCACGAGTCTTTTTTGAAGGGACTTTTCCTAAAATTGGTAAAGACTTTTTTTGACTTCTAAATTTTCGAAAATTCGATTTTTTGGAAACCACGTGATGCAATAAATGCAACAGGCGGTGCAACACTCGCGTGCACATTTTGTCAGAAATTCTGATTCTCGCCACGAGAAACAGAATAAGGTTTTTTATTCGTTAAAAAATCTCTTTCTGATAAAAAAAAATTTTTTGAAAATTTTCTTTATGAAAAAAGATGTTAAATATTAGTTAAAGAAGTGTCGAATGACGAGTTGAACATGTCAATTTGAGTCCACATGACCGTTGCGGCAATTTTTCTTGAGCAAGAAAAGAGGTTCATTTTAGAGCTCATCACGCTCCCCTGATTGATCCGTTTCGGGCGCTAAATAAGATGACACTGCGGTGTGAATATCAACCCGAAGATAGCCCAGAAAAACGCCGCTAGATCACACTTTCTAACTATTTTATACACAAGCAGCTCCAACCAACGCACGTTACCTTCCTATCAAGTAAAAATGGGAAGTTTTCTCTTGAATGAGGAAGTTCTGAAATTGAAAGCTGACGGGGTACATTCTATTCTACAAGCCATCGTGGCTCGAGTCGAAGCCTCAAAACAAAGCGGATTACGGGAAAATTATTTTGGATAATTAATTCAAAAAACGATTGTTACGATTAGACAAACGAAAAAAAAAATGCTTGGTAAGGAAGCAATTTTAGTTGCGCAATCTGTTAACTCGATTTTCGCGACTCTTTCAAGGAGAAACTTCCAGGAGAAAGTTCTCTGTGGGCTTGCTTGTTCTCTGAAGGGTTAGTTTGACCTACCTGTAGCTTTTTCTTTCCGCTTTTTTGGGCAATATTATGATTTAATCTTAATTACGGACCGTCACGTTTAGAAGCTCTTTCCTGTTTATTTAGCAGATACGAAAAAGTCTGGCCAAGGCAAAAACACTGCGTAACTGGTGAAATTCTTTTTATTTTAAATGATTAACCCCGCCTATAACATCAATTTGCACCGTTTATCCCAAAATTCACGTTTGTGGAAAGTCGTGTTGACACCAGAGATAAATTATTTCACGCTAAAATCAATCTTTCCTTCGAATTTTTCAAAAAAAAATTCTTGAGAATTTTCTAGTGAAAATTAAATTTTTCTCAATTTTTCCGGGCGGCCGGTCTTTTCGAACTGAATTCGTAAATTCACGCGGCTAACTGTAACTGATTCGCCAATCTTCTATCTCAAGAATTCCTGATTCACGTAGAATAACCCGTTAATTTGTTTCTTTCTCGCGAAAAAGAATTCACCCGCAAAGTTCATTTTTTCGAGTCGAGCGAACAAAAGCGTAATTAGCCGCGCTTTGCGGCTACTTATAATGCCGCTCGTGGTTTGTAAGAGTTACATAAGTTTTTCACGTTTGCATTTTTGATCGTCCAGAAGTTACTGCTCAGAGCAGACCTCTCCAGGAGTAACGGTATTCAGTCGTAGACGAGATAAGCGAGAGAATGAAAATATCAATTTATGGAACATTCGGAAATGATATAACTGCTCATTTTTCCTTCCCGGGCAAGAACGAACACTTCGCTTCAGGAGAAGTGAAAATACAGTCATTTTCTAGCCTCCTATTATAGATCTGGGCTCGGCAACCTGAGTAAAAACCTGAGTCAGGCTTTTAGAAATCTCAAATGAAAAGCCGTAGCGGCTTTTTGAAAAACGAAGCCGCAAGGCGGCTTTGCAAGTATACCTTTTTTACCAATATTGATTATCGTTTAAAAAAAGCTGCTACGCGGCTTTTCATTTCGGCTTTTTCAGAGCCTGACTAAGGTTTTTACTGAGGTTACCGAGCCCAGTTATAGATATTTTGTAAGTTTTATCGTATGCGCATATTATCGCTGGAAATTAAATTTCGAGACGTTGCGTTGTCAAGTTGTCAACAGAACGAAGTTTGTCTTCTTCCGGCTTCGGCCCTTGAGAGAATTTCCCTCAATTCCCAGACAGATTGAAAGATTCGAAAGGATTGAAGCAAAACGGAAACGATTTTTTTTCGTTCAAAAAGTGAAACGTGTGGGGAATCCCTTAACCGCTATTTATCGGAAATGGCCGGCCACGTTTGGAATGCCTAACCATTGACCAGGGCGGTCGGTTCATAGAGATCTTCAATTTTTGAATTGTCTTCTTTTCAAATAAGCCGCTGGTATTTTATCCGAAAAATTCTTTGTTTTGTTGGTATTTTAGAATTTATCCCAACAAGCTACTACTGTTGATTTCTCAAAAAAAGGGCTGACATCTATTTCATCCCTTCTTTGTGGATCGACCATCCGTTGTGGCGGTTTTGATAATGAGTTCTATTTTGAATTGATCGCGCGGGGGAAGTTTTTCTTGCGAAAAAGACGGCTCACGTGTTTCAAAGCGAAAATTTCCAGTACTTGTTTCAATGCCACGTTTTTTGGCCAAGTTTATTTTCCAGTGGAAGCACTAACTGTTTCTTCGATTCGAAAATCCGGGGAGAGGTGGCTTTCAAAGCCAAGAAGAAGGGTTATTTGGACAAAAACAAACTATTAGATTACTATTGCAAGAATCTTCAAAGAAAACTTTGTCGAAAAAAACCTTCAATAAGTTCAAAATTAATTTGCGTCCGTTAGAGGCTTTCGATCAGCTGGCGCGATATACGCCGCGGATCCAATTTACCTGTCCCCTAATAACCATTATCTACCCGTGAGGTGCCAAAAAGTAGCGTAACGCGTGGCCACAAAAGAGCCAAGTCGTTGTGGAAAAAATGCTCTGACAAAAATATTTTTGAAATCAATTTTTTTTTCTCGTGAAATGGAATCAGGAAATTCTCAGGCCAGGATAAACTTTAAATCCAATTTGGATTCTTTTGGAAACGAGCTGTTTTGGAAGTATACAAAAAATGAGAAGCGATATAAACTTACGATGACAAATAGTTGTTTGGCCAAAAAACACAAGTAAACTGAAGACGCCCTTAGAAAGCGCCTTTTAATTACGATCTAAACGGTTTGCACCTACAGTAGGGTCTGTCATTTTTCTTTCACGCCCATCTGAATACGGTATTCTGAATACCGCCCCTTCAACTTCACTTCCCACTTAATGTAGAAATTCTACTACAACTCACTCTCTGTACTTGATCTAAGCTAACCGAACCTGCGAAGAAAGAAACAAAAAGAGATAAAGTTGTTTTCAAAAATTGATTTTATTCAGGAAGTTTGATCTCCATGTCCGATTATCGGTTCTTTATCGGTTCTACATCGGCTTTCCGATGGCCATTGTTGTCACCTAGAAGGGACAATCCCTTTCGCTTGAAGTAGCCCGTTACTCCAATTATTGGCTCTTCTTCGTTGAGGTTGAAGCGTCGCTCGGAGTCACCTCGCCGGTATCTCAATTTTTCTGAATTCTCAGTCGCTTTTTTGCGTTGAAATTAAAATCTTACCTTGAAAAACCTCTTTGACGGACTCTTGAAGTCGGAGGACTGATGATTATACGATCTTGCCCCTGACAACAACAGATTTTCTAGAGAAAAAGCTCCTTTGCATGCAAAATTTTCAAAATTGCAAAATTTTTCTCAATTTTCTAGAGAAAAATTCTAGCTTCAGTTAGCTAAGCTACTGTTGTTGCATGAGAATTTTCAAACACGTGGGCAAGTGAAGGATTAAATTTGTAAATTTTATTGAGGTTTTTGATTGACCACCAAAAAGTCATGTCAAAAATTTGAAGGTGCGCGCTCTACATGGCACTTTTTCTCCCTTGATCGGGTATTTCTCCGGAGAGTCGGGGAGCTGAGAAACGCAAAAGGTGTTGGTTGCGAGTTTCTAAGGACCAAACGCGTATTTGAGAATTTCTTCACTGCATTTACCATTCCATCGACATATTCAAGCTAAGACAAGCTAGAATAGCGAGTCGACAATTATCCTATTCTAAGTTTAAACGAAGAACTAAAAAATATGGAACTTCGTTTTTGAAATTCTCGGATTTGAAAAATACTCCCGATGCTTTATCTTTATCTTTTTCGATTACGATAAGTTAAATTGTGAATATGACACGAGAAACAAGAGACAACAACTTTGGTACTTTTTGATTAGATAAGGAACTTCCGGAACCAAGCACAAAATTAGACCCTTTCTTTGATAAATCGATAGAAAAAAATCAGACTAAGGGACTACAAATTGTAGTCTACAATGAACTTGGTATCAGAAAACATACAGTATGATAGCATTTCATCAGTAATTAAAAAAAACGCTAGCTTCAGGAAAATATTCGGGTAAAGTTCGAAGTTACTGACTATTAGCTTATTATTGACATTGAATTTTGACCGTTAACTCCTGCCCGATTGACGATTCGCGGCGAAGGAGTAGCGGATTTCGCTGCTCCATGGCGCTGGGTTCGTAAGTTTGCGATAGGTGGCGACGGTGAGGCGGCGCGCGCTTGCGTTTTCACGATCGAGGAGTGGGCGCTGGAGTTTTTGGTCGATTGAAGTCCTATCTTCTGATACATGGTACTCTTGTAATAGACAGAGCCACTTGTAAATAACACAACAGTCGATTTTTTTTATTTGATTTTTTGAAATCAACGAAGAGAAAGAGATTAACGAAAAGAAGAAGCTTTTCAACAACAACAAAAAAGAGAAATAACACAACATAATGCGGATCTTTTCCGCGCTGGTGGCTACTTGCGTGGCCAGAAAAAGAGATCAGCACTGGAAGACGCAAGCAGGAGCTTGTGACGATTTCGGAAGCGAACTCGTTAAAGCTGGTTTACATGATCAAGGAACCGTTTTTCAAATATTTGAGGGGGAATGTTTAGAACACATATGCAAGGGAACGAGATAATTGATTGAGTCGTGGATAAACTTTATGTATTTTTTTCAATATCGAACAAGAATAAGGTCTTTTTCATATTTCTGATCAACCATTTCTCGAAGAAAAGATATGGTGTCATTCTTTGATTACTCTACTGCTAAAATTTGCAGATTGGGCAAGTCGGAGTTCGAGAGATCGAGAATTCTAAGTCTGAGATTAAATTTTAGAAAATTTGTGCCAGGCGTCTAGTTCGAATTATTTCATATTTATTTTGGTTTAAAACGATTGCGCGTTGAAGCTATAAATAGAGCTACTTCTCAATAGAATGCTTGGGATCGATGTTTTCTGTTTTTATCGTGTTCTATTCAAACAAACCATATACAGAATTCAACAACTATTTGTTGCTTCAATTTGTTCTAGCAACATTTGTTGTGAGATTAATCTGTAAAATCGACCTCAATTAGCCTTTCTTTGTAGTTTTATCATCGAAAAACATGCGAAACTAGGTTTATTAAATAAAAGTTTCGCATATTTTCGAGGTCTCAGAGTCTCAGACGCAAATCATCAATATCCCCATTGCCCGAGTACTCAAACGTGGATGAATCAATCACATTTTAAACTGACTGATTGGCAAAAGCGGAAGGACATCTGAAAGTTAACGTCAACCCGTTCGTAACTCTCGACATTTTTTGCTTCTCAAGCATTTAGCAACATCTTTAAAAACAGTAAAAAAGTACTTTTGATGTGCGACAATGTAGAAAACCCAGGAACCTGCCGACTACAATGTATAAATAAACACAAACCAAGGATAAAGACGTCCAGATGTGTCTGTAAGGAAAGTGGTGCCAAAAGAAAATAAGCCCTTTGATTAATATTCAAGCCTTTTTTAATGCTTTTTGAGGATATTTCTTTACGCCTTTGCAAGATTGCAAGATTGCACTTTTTGGACAAGTGGATTTGTAATAAGGAGTTGTCATGAAAAACAAGCGCCCTTCATCCTTTCCACGGCGTCTCCTCCTTTTCGTAAATTTCCCTCTAGAATTTTGTCAAAACTTCTAATCGAAATTCGTCTCTAAAGCATCCGAAATTTTTGGCTTAAGATAACTTCATCTTTTTGAAGATTTTATATTATAAAGGGAGCATTTTTGGACAAAATTATAATAAAATTCAGCCTCTTTATTTGAGTCTTGTTTCAGGTAAAAAGAAAAATTACGCTTTGAAATAAAATTGTTGAGTGTCATTGTTGCGCAGTCCGTGTCGATTGAAATCAGTTGCGTGTTTTTGCAACAAACTCACATTATGCTCTAGCGTGACTAGCTCGCTTTTTGTAAAAGCACAACTCCACCAGATCGAAATGAGATAATCCAAAATCGCAACCAGTCGAAGATAAAGCACATCCTTCTTTTGTTCTCTTCGCTCAACTAAAAGAAAACTTCAGACACTAGAATTTTCATCCATTTTGTAGCATAAAATCTGGTCAAATTCTTGTCAGAAAACGACAAAGACCCGTTTTTTCTCAGCAAAAATTTTTTTTCAAGAAATAATTTAGTGACACCCTTATTTTGATGCAATAAGGGCGTAAATGTAAAATTTTGAAGAGAAAAAATATGTTAGGTCTACCCCTTAATTTGGCCAAGCAAAAATAGGATGTTCAGCCAATGATATGGATTTTTTCGACAATATTTTTGAGGCATTTTTTCTAGCATTTTTTAATTAAAAAAAAGTGTCAATCAGCCCCTAACAAACAAAATGTCGCGAAAGGAACTTTTGGCACCGCTTGTCTCAGAATGGCCCGAATCGCAATGGAAAACAAATCAACAAAGGCTGCACGTGGACGCGCCTAACAAAGCTCACTTCTGATTTCTGCCAAGGAGAGGGTAACAACTTTCTTCATCCAGCCCCAGAGCTGCTAATTAGCTGGGTGCATAATTAGAACGGATAAATTGAACGGAAGACTTTTTTTCACCAACCGCTGAAACAACCGCGTAATGACCAAAGAGTTCGTGGACAAACAAAGGATTCCCCAAAATTATTTCCAAGGAAACACTGTGTCAGATATCGTTTTTATAAAATATCGGCTAAGATTGCGTAAAATCATGATCGCCAAAGAATTAAGAGGTTTTAACCTGTCTAAGCCCTTACAAAACGTGAACAGGTTTCGAGTTTATTCTTTGCGGAAGTGACTTTTGAATTACGAGAACGTGTTCAATTTTTGCCCCGCCGCTAGAAACTCTCTTTTTTAATTTTAAAAATCTGGCGTTTGTTTGTTTTCGCGAACGTACAACTTTCGTCCAGAATGTCGACTCCGCCCAGAAAAAAAAGAGGATGAAGCCTCTTTGCAAAAAGGAAGCGAATCGAAAACATTGACGCGCTCCAAGACTAAACTTACGGACTTAGCCACGTAATCAGAAAGTGCTGAGCTTTTCATGAATTTATTTTCCTGCATTTCAATGGCTTCGCCAAAACAGTCGATAGGGTCTTCTGAGAGTCAAATATTTATTAAGAGGGATAAAGGCGTTCTTGAGATGATAAGGAATATAAAATAATATAAATAAGCGATGTATTTGTTTATATATATACACTTTTTAAACTGAGGAGAAATCGTCTGCATCTACCCAAAATTAGGGATCTTTAGGCCTAGGGACCCTAGGCTAGGGTTAGGGTTAGCTTGAATCGGCAAAAATGTTACAATCAACTCAAATTTTGTGCCTTTTTTTTCTGTAATCTCATTGGCTCGCGGGCCGAATACGAATATTTGATTGGTTTAAAAGTTTTTCGCCTTTTTGTCGATTCGTGTCTTCTCCCAATCTTTCTTCTTCATTGATAGAATCTAAAATAAGTTAAAAATGCATCATTCTGAAAATTAAAGGTGAAACAAGATTATTCCTACACGACATTGCTGGTCGGTAGTTTATCGCCGTACGTAATAACTTCCGGGAGCTTCCACCACACCAATTGACTTTATTTTTCTTGTTTTAATAAATTCGATCATTCACCGTGGGAAATTCACTTCCGACAAGTTTCTTCTAAATTTCACGCCTCTCCACTGTTACGGTTTTTCGTCTTGTAAGACCTCGGCTTTCTCGAAAATCAGAGGAGGAATCCAAGCTAAGTTTATAAATTAAAAAGTCGGCAGTGGGCTCGGCAAAGCTGAGGAGGGGCTGATCTTTGGAAAAGCGTCAACAGAATTAGACGCAACGGGTTGGGAGCGCGCTGCCTAGAGAAACCATAATCGTATTTACTGTCACATCTTCTGGGTGACACCGAGCATCGATCCGATTTCCACGCGTTCCTTCGCATAGAACACTTACTTTCAAGTCCTTCTAAAAATGATCTTATAAGCCTCTTAGTAGTCGAAATATCTAAAATCTCTTTGATTCTTTGGCCTTATTTCTTTGATTTTCAACTAAAAATTGCTCTTGAAAATTGTCTGATGAGCGATTCCATCGGAATATAATCTATGTTAAATTCACTTGCATTATAATTTCTCGTAAACGGAAGCGATCGCGTGTAACTGTCCGCCATTAATCGCTTTCTAAATGAGGGAACTGTCGTGGAACTTGTGTAAACTTGTTGATACCCGATTTGCAGGAAGCGAATTGGAACGCGGTGGACGCGAAGACGATATGATTTTTGGCGAGTGGCAGGCGCAGAAGATGCGCGACAAGGGACAATCGACGATTGGACATAGAATTGACCCAACTCTCGACATCAACCCTCTTTACCGGCAGTATTTGGCGAGGAATGGAATGAACAGAAACGAAACAACGGACGCGATGGAACGAAGAAGAGAGCTCACCAGAGCTATTGGAGCTGTTGTCAAGTGGGATCAATACAGAGAACACAACAAGTAAGTTTCAAATACACGTGTTTCTTGTACAGTAGCTACTGCGCGATTTCTCCGTCCCGAGTAACAGGGCAGGTGGCAAATGAGCTCAGTGGCTTTGGTTTAGCCAGTCAGCCCATCCGTCACATTTTTTTGAAGACGGGGAATTCCATTTTGCCCAGATTGGATTCACCGCTCATCTTCCTTTTTCTCCCTGAATTAACCTTTTGTTTTTCAGGCACGTGATTCCGTTCTACTTCCAAGACAATTACCCAGCCGAGTTGCGAGAGGACATCAAGCGAGCTCTCTTTGATCTTGGATCGAATACCTGCATTGACTTCCGACTCGTCAACGCAAAGGACAGAAGTTACGACAGCAAGATCAAAATCACGAGTGGATCGGGCTGCTATTCCTACGTCGGCTTTCAGGGCGTGAGCGAACAGGAGATCTCCATTAGATCGCTGGGTTGCGTCTCGAGAGGAACCGTTCAGCACGAATTTATGCATGCGCTTGGATTTTATCACGAACAGGCTCGACCGGACGCCAAAAATACATCGAAGTCAAGGTAACAAGCTTAAAACGGAGATTTATTTCGATGAAAATGTGTGATAAGCGTCACTTTTCAATAAGAGTTTTTTCACATTATGAAACATCTACTGTATTTTTCGCAGAAAACTAGTTGATCTTAACTTAATTTTGTCAGATTCATCTTGATTTTCGATTGTTTAAAAATGCTGTTCTCTAGTACCAAAACATCGGAAACATGTGCGGCTCAACTGGACAAGAGAGTTGCAACGCGCAATTCGATCAGCTGCCCCTCCATGAGTGGGAATCATCTTCCGAAGGTGGCGACTACGATTTCCAGAGGGAGGCGATTTTCTGGCAGTTAGATTTTCTGGCAGTTAGACTTTCTGGCAAAGGCGATTTTCTGGCAATGCCAGAAAATCTAATATGCCAGAAAGTCTAACTGCCAGAAAATCGCCTCTTTGATTTCACATCTATAGTTAATGATCCTGGAAGATAAAAACGGAGAGAAGAAGAGCTCGGAATTCATCTTCTGATTCTTCTGAGAAATAGTCAGGCGCGCGTGGGCGGCGCGCTCCTCCCTTATTCGCCGCGCTGTGCTCGCCTGAATTTAGTTGATAAATCAACGGTTTTTTTCAAGCGGAAATGATGAAGATCAGAGAAGAATTAACTGCCAGAGGAATTAGAGAAGAATTAACTGCCTATAAAATTTTGCCCAATTCGCTTAAAACTTATGAACTGTGTTTCCGCTTTGTTTCGCCTCCAAACTTCAACCTTTCGTATTTAATGTATGATGCGTTTTCTTCTCTCTTTCGATGCACAAACCGTTGATAAGTTAAATGTTTCTATTTTTTTTCAATTTTTGACATTAAAGCTTTACGAGTTGCGAAACTAAAATACTGTCTATCATTTTTAAATTTTAATTCAGAATTTCAATTTCAGAAAGGACTCAGTGTTGAAAATTGACCATATAAAATAACAACGGGGAGAATATTGAACCCGTTATAATTGTGGGCCTCCAGAAGAATTTACCCGTTATAATTGTGCCCTTTCTTTAATTTAACATGATTTTGAACTCCTCGAAAGATATTGAAGAACTTCCTGCCAGTATTCTTCTCGCAGACAACAAAGAAAGCTTCCGAATTCTAGGAACTCGATGAATCAACAAAACGACGTGCTCGATTCCATCTTTAGGAGCTCCAACGAAGAAGAAAAATATATAGGAAAGGAGTTTCGAATTTTCTTTTGCAATCAATTTTTTCACTTATTGGTTTATTTTTCAGCGGCTTCAATTAACTGAGACGTTACAAATTTACCGGTGCAAATGCGTCAAATACAGTGCTGTGATTGGCTGAATTAGGGACACGTAGTCCTTTGAAAAATGAAAAATCGCCATAAATCCGAAATTTTTTGAGATCTCGAAAATCTGAGATGATACTGGCATAGAGCTTGAGATTCTCCGTCGATACGTATAAAGATGTCTTGGGCTACAATGTAACCCTTAGGCGCTAGAGCAACAGCAAGTTTGCCCCGGTAATTTTGTAACGGCTCTGACCTATGGAAATCGTCCGTAACGAATGTAACGAGTTTGATGAAAATGTAAGGAGCTTTTTTTATAGAACATCAGAAGTCTTCTTCGTCGGAAGTGGCGAGTACTTCTTTTAATTGGCGCATCAAATCGTCATCGTCTTTTTATTATTTATCAAGTTATTCTAATTAAATACAATTAAATAAGAAACCATTATATACGTGTAAACAATCCTGGGATATCTGCTTTTCTCATTTCTTCGCGTTTTCGCAATTTCGCATTTTCCGCCTTCATTTTTTCCAGCTCTTCCCGTAACTCTGCGATCAACTCTTCATTTTGTTCTTTTTTTCTTTGAATGGTTTGACGCCGTTTATTTGCTATATCAGCATAGTAGCCCTAAATATTCTGCTATTTTCTTAAAGAAACATACAAGCATTACCTTAGGATCATTTTCTCTTTTTTTTCGATTTCTTTCTTTAAGAATTTTCTTTTCTTTCGCAATTTGGGCTGCCAAACGCACTTCGGCTTCAGTTTTCTTCTTTTTCTTTTTTGGTGGGGAATCATGCTCGCAATAGGTTGATTTTTTCGCATTCCGCTTCACTTTTGCGCACAAACTACGCGTATTTTGCGAAGATTCGGGGCGCTCATCTAGAATAATTAACATTCTGCTTGATAAAACTAAACTTACGATCCGATTCAGAATCTGACAATGAAAGATCCCGCGTTTTGCGCTGTTTTGCGGATTTTGCGCTGCGAATATACTTCCGTGGCTGCTTGGGTTCAGATAGAACCAGCTTTTCGGGACTAGTTCTGTCATCAAAATTCCGGTAAGAATCAGATGTTGGACGAGAACGATTAGCTTGTCCGGCTTCGTCATTTTCTTAAATGAAAGTCATTTATTTTTTAAATATGGACAGTTACCTTGCTCCGATTCTGAAGACGAAGGACGATTTGGAAACTGTTTTCTGATCGTTTCATCTATCTCATCGGTTTTATCCAGAAGTCGTTCCCAATGTATTGGAGATGGCGATTTTTCAACTAGAAATATTAAATTTTTGATATTTACATTTTTGATATATTACAGTTTTCAGGCTCACGATCCTCATTGTCCGACGGTAAAGAGTCCACTGGAGGTGGGTCGAACTCATGGATAACAGCTGGCACATCGACTTCATCATTGCTCGTCTCCTCATCGACTCTTCTTTCCACTCTTTGAACTGGCTGAGCGATTGGCGCCGCAACTCTTCTCAAATCGAATTCTCCTCCTTGCTGAGCGAAAGGATCTGGGTCAACTTGCTCACCAGCTGTTTCTTGCTCATCGCGAACTGGGGACATCACAGGCATTGCTTCTTGAAACTGGTATGACTAAATAATTTTTATTTTTGTATAAAAAATAGTAACTATACGTCAGCTGTTGATTCTTTAATCAAATTTTGAAATACAGCAGTTTCTGGTTGCGTGGCGTTGTTGATAAAATGTCGGAGTTTCTGAGTAGATTTCAATGACTCGGCCTTTGATCTGGCCCTCATCAAGCCGAAGCCGACAGAAACAATTGCTTCTTCGATTGAGCCATTTTCTGCGCATTTTTTGTCAAATCTTGCTAGCTGCTCGTAGCGTACAACCGCAACTAAGGCGCACAATCTGTCATTTTTAGTACTTTGCTGGCTGTTGCTCTCAAGCTTAGCAATTTCCGTACTGAAGCTTTCACTTTTAAAGCCATTAGCAATGGAGATGACCGTAGATAGCTCTGTCGCATTGTTGATTCCTTGATCCACCAGGGATGAGTTCTAAACATTTAATTTTAGTTGGAATCGCATCTTCACGAATTCGATGTTTTTACAAGATTTCCCATCGAAAAAGGTAACTTACCATGATTTCAAGACTGTTATTAGTCAAGAATTTTGAACCATTCCTCGCTCCTATCGATAATGCAAGGGCCCATGAACTAGGAGGGAATTTAGCATCGTCATTCAAGTACGTCGTAGAAAGATATCTGTAGAACTCATTAATCTCGTCTTTGATTAGTGGTGTAGACAGTTCATCAAGTGTTCGACGCAAAAGCTGCATAAATGTGTCGTAGAATGTAGGTTCGGTCAAGTGAATGAATGGGATCGCATGGATGAGTGCTTGGAGTATCTTTCCATTTTTCTCCCAGAGTGCCAACAGTCCATGACTTTGTAAATATCTTCTAACACTCTGTAACCAATGAAAGTAGCACCCAACCATGCGTAGATTCTTCTCCGGCCATGTTTCGCGAATCGAATTTCTGAGCCCAGGTTCGAAATCGGACGAGACAGTTGTAAATTCAGAATCAGGACAAAGTTTCTTTTTGTAGATCAATTTACAGTTTTTCAGGAAAATCGGCTGCTCTGCTATTCAAAACTACCGAACGGCCGATTGTGGTCCTCATCAACGTTATTACACACGACAAATTCGCTGCCGAACCAAGTAAGTTCAAAATTTTCAATATTGATCATTTCCTTTAAAGCCTCAAAGACAATCTTGTAGCCTTCTTTAGACTGACCCTTGAGAATAATAAAGAATCTAGGATTAACACTATCATCTCGGTCTCTTGATCCAATAATGAGGAGTTGACGGTAGCCAAACTTCTTTTGCTGGCCTTTCGTAAAGAATTTACCGTCAACAAACCAGTGTTTTGAAGAGGTCAGCATGCGCAAATCGTGTTGAGTCGCAAAAGCTAGAGCTTCATCCCATATCGGGCTTCGTTGTTCCGGCGAAAGAAACTCATTCATTAGAATCCATTTTGTTTCACCATCGCCTTTTCGTGATTTATTAATGAATTATTACTTTTCAATGTTCGTTTCGTGAAACAAAAATGATGTCCTCGTTGTCTCCACCTTACCCCTCATCTTTCGAATCGTTTTTAATCAAGCTACATTTGGTTTAGGTTCCATCCGACTAAAGACAGTAAAGTACAATGCAAAACACGAGCACGAATATGTCAATAACTTCAAAGTCTTGCAAAACTCGTTCAAAAAATGGGCGTAGATAAGGTTTGTCTTCATCAAAATTATAACTCTACACAGAAACAAGAAATTAGACTACGTTGACGCGCCACAAAGTTATGAAGCAGATTCTGAAACCTTCGCAAGACACAATATTCTCTGCGAGAAGAAAGGACTCTGGACTCTGCCAGCTGATTATCCACAGGTAAAGCGTATCACTCAGAACTTTCTTTACAGTTATTCAGACAATTCTTGAGTGCTTCCAGCGAGGAAGAGAGACCGCCAGTGATAATGCTATCATTTGAGGCACTCCGACGCCAGATTTGACAGATTACACGACCCGTACTTATGGCGAGTTCGCTGCAACATCTCAATACCTGGCGAATTCACTGAAAAAGCACGGACTTATCAGTGGAGAAAGCAAAATTGCGATCTACTCGTCGAATTGCTACGAATACGACGCAGTAATCATTGGAGGATACTATCAAAATATATGCAATGTTTCGCTTTACGATACTTTTGGTGAACAAGCAGTCAAATACATTCTCGAGCACGTAAGTTTACAACTTCTTTACGAGATTATTTTTACTTTTTCTTCAGATTGAAGCTCCAATCTGCTTCGTTCAAAATCAAAAGAAACTTGACCTCATTCTCAAAATCAAGCCTGCTCATCTTCAAACAATCGTTGTGTTTCGAAAATTCAAGAAGGTCAAGTCCTCCAATTATAAAATCATAAGTTTCGACGATTTTATTGCAATCGGAAAAGACAGCTCGTTTGATAATGTTCCGCCGACTTCTTCAGGTAAAAATGATAAAAATAGGGGCGATCATTTAATTTCATTATTCAGACATTGCTACGATCAATTACACATCCGACACGACTGGCGATCCGAAAGGCGTCGTCTTGACTCACAAGAACATCTGCACCGTCTGCTGTGGCATTACAATCTTCTCGGTTAAAGAGCCTTGGAAAACAAGCGACGTCTGGTTCAGCTATTTGCCGATGGCTAATATTTTTTAAACTTGTTGACGTGCCCGACATGGATTATTATGCGCGCGAAGGAAAAGGAGAAATCTGCTTCCGTGGCGACAACGTCATGCAAAGTAATTTCCTTTCACCACTGTCAAGTGTCTCACACTTCGTTCAATGGTTTAAAAAGTTTTTCGACGCTAACTATCAGGTAAATCAAAAAGAACGCGAAATCCTTTTTCAATTCTGATTTCAAAGGGAGAACCTCTTGGTCCCGTTCATGCGAGAGCGAACGCTGGTGTGACTCCCGCTTCAAATTCGCTGCAGTTTCTACAACAGCAAAGAAAGCACCCGCTCGAGCTGGAGCTCCCGCTGCTCGGGTCCTCGAAGCCCCAAGAACTCCTGCATCGTAAGAGAAGCCGCTTGCGGCTTCGAATTTATGTTAGTTCAGGGAAAGACAAAGGAAAAAGAAGAACGCACGGCCTCTGCTTTTCTACCGTATCAAGGATGTCCCAAGCTCTAAAGGATAATTCAACTCAAGATTTAACTAAACTATATTCACTGTCATTTCTTTCGTGCATCTGTGCTCGGTCAAATAAATCACTTTCCTAGTACTGTCATCCAGTCTTCCAAGCGTCGAGGATCAGGAACTGTAGCGGCCTTTATTTTTCTTTCGTACTTTCTGGAATTCTGAGCAAGACGTCTCATCTCCTTTTTCGTGAAAAGATTGCCTCTTTCCATGCTCGAAAGTTGTGAATCTTTTTGAACTTCTCCACGAATTGTCTGTTGACTTTTTGGGCGAATTTGGTTCCTGTTGAGCATGGACACAGTCGTTGCGTACTGTAATCGCTTCTTTTCGAGTGCATCGTTCTTCAGACATTTATTCATGTGAATGTCTACTTTCGACTCTAGCTTTCCACATCGCCAATTGCTGAGCTCAAAAAAACGAGGAGATTCCATATCAACAACTTTTGCAAACATCCAAATCTTCGTTGAACAGCGGAATGAAGCGTCTTTCGAATATGATTGATTTTCACACTCGACTCGCATCTTGAAACGGAAGTCAGGATCGTCGTTTTTAGAATGCAGAATCGTTTTCTTCGCTTTTCTTGCTTTGAAAGCAAATGATCTGGAAGCAACTTTGACGAGGAAGGATGCATTGTTTTTTGAGTTTCGTTGAATCGTTACCAAGGCAGGGTTTTCGACAGTACCACCAATGTTTTCTTACACGTTTTATAAAAATTCATTGACAAAGGCCACTTTTGACCCATTTATTCAAGATTAATAGCTGTAGCAAACATAAATCAGCTTCTTCCGGGAATTTCTGTGTTAATCACCCGGTGTTTGCATCTGATTTCGAGTACTTGGTCACAGTGAGCACCCACTGAGATAATGGCGCACGCAAATGCTTTTTGAAACTGAACTTGTTATAAAACTATCCTGAAAATTCTTCCTCAGAAGGTGGTGGAATCGGTGTCAGTTTCAACATTTTTCTATCCGCATTCTCTTCATCATCCTCCATTTTCTCAGAAAAATCAAAATCTAACTTTTCAGCTGCCTGTTAACCCGTTTGTTACTCCGAAAATAGCAAGAACGAACTGTGGATGCTGCCCTCATTCTATTTTTAGCGCAGAAATTTCAATTCCAAATTCGTCGTCTTTTTTAGCGCCCTGAATAGTCGGCTTTTAGATCAAACGCTCCCGTCGAAAGGTGCAAACTCCTGCTGAAACTGCTCCGGAATGAAATTTGTGTGATAATCACCAGTTTTTCGAATTTATAAATGATTTTATTAAAAAGAGTTTTTTGCAGAGTTTCAAATAATATGCATACTAAAAAGGCGATTTTCTGGCAGTTAGACTTTCTGGCAGTTAGATTTTCTGGCAAAGGCGATTTTCTGGAAGTTAGATTTTCTGGCAGTGCCAGAAAATCGCCTTTGCCAGAAAGTCTAACTGCCAGAAAATCTAACTGCCAGAAAATCGCCTCTCTCCGATTTCCAATCTGTCATGCATTACGGTAAGCAGTGGAAGAATGAGACTTTTTTTGAGGACGTTGCTCGAAAAAAAAAAACAATTTCACTTAGAGAGGTTGGCCCTTTAACTTTCCGTGGCGAGTTTATGTACGCTTTTCTGACATGCTTTTGAATTTCAGGAAGGGCGAACGCACGCACGTTTTTTCATTATTTCGAAAGGACGGAAGCCGCGTATTTTATCCCAGATTATCTCTAAGCGATGAATTTTTGATACATAAACTTCCGTAACAAGGACATCCACGAAATCGGAAGACTAATATTAACGATTTTTTATAAGGTGGTTACGCTTTTTCGGTGAATGGAGAACCAACAGTTGTTCACCGAGAATCCGGAAAGCCCGTCGTCGTCCAGCGAAACCGATTTTCCCAAAACGATGCTCTCCAAATCTGCGAAATCTACAACTGCGGTGGAATGGGCTACGAGTGCATGGGCGGCAAGTGGCAATGCCGAAGCGGCGTTGGACACACTTACGTCAACAAGGTTAGTTCAAATCCAGCTTAGATCACTTCAAGTCCCATTCGAGAGAATATCATTATTATAATATTATTTCGTGATCGTTATCAAAGTCTGTTCCGCGAAGAATTTTTATGATAAAGTAAAAAGAAAGTGAATTTATTTTTTTCAAAAAGAAAAGTATTCAATATTCCAGCTTGTTGATCACAAGAGACGTCGAATGTCCTCCTTCTTAAATTTTTTGCCGCATGTTGGGCATTTTTCGCTTTTATCTAGATTTTGCTGAGATTTATTCTGCAAGCAGCTTTCACAAAATCGATGACCGCACTTAACTTCAAGCTAAAGTTTACGTATTCTTGTTAACTTCTCAAGGCACGTGGTCCAATCATTGGACCACGGCGACTTTTACCCCCTGTATTTCCCGTTCTAGTAATCTGTTTGACCTGAATTTTGTAATGTGAGCTGATAGGACGAAAACGAACCACTCTGTGAAGTTTCGAATGAAAACTCAAAAGTGGTGGCGTTTTGCGCCATATTTCTCTTTCGCTCTCTGGTGGAATATCGAAACGGATTTTTCGATTTACAATTGTAAATTATTATAGAAGAGGGTTCAAGCTCTCTAACAATATATTTATAATCTTTTTTACTCAATGGAAACGTCAATTAGAGCCAAAAGTTCTGAGCGCTATTTTTCACACTATGAATTTGGCGCGCCGCGCGGGGCTGCATAATGCATTGTGGTCCAATTATTGGACCCCGTGTTTTGAGGGTATAGTAGCGCGCCCGTGTTTTGAGAAGTTAATTGATATTTACTCGAATACAAGCTTCTTGAACACTCTCTGAGAAAGACTTCATGCAAAGAGCACATTTACGTCCACGAAATGCTCTTTCTGTGATTTTTCTTTTTGTTTCCTCATATCGTTCAAGCTTGATGTCATCTTCTTTGATTCGGTCTTGAAGTTTCTTGTATGTCTTATCACTTCACTCAGATATAGCAAAGCATTATTAAAACAAATGAATAGTGAAGAACCTTAGCATTTCGCAACTTCAATTTTTTCAAGATCAAGATTAAGATTAATCTCTGTAATTTTTCTCTGTAATTCATTCTTCTCGCCTTCCAGTCTTTCGCATTCTTTTTCAAATCTTTCTCTTGCATCTTATAACATTTTAGCTAAAAAAGTTCGAAATTCACAAACTTTTTGCCTCCTTCGCTTCGTGTTTTTTTCTTGACCTAGATTTTTTAATGTTTTCAATCTCAATTTGGCATTCGGTTAGATCCTTCAAATCTTTAACACACTGATTTTGATCTTTCACAATTTCCTCGGCAGCACTAGATATATAATTTTAATCATCAATCCGTTTTCTTACGTTCTTGTTCTAATTGAAGTAAAAGGATCCAAATTAGGATCAAGAAATTTCTCTTTCTCCGCCATGAGTTTTTATGAGTGGTAGTCAGAGAAACCAAAAGAGGGAAAGAGAAAGAAGCAAAAGCTGAATCGCAAATATTAAAATTTCGTTTACTGTTGACTGGCACTGTAAATAGATGTCGACAGTCCCCAAGCTCGCTCAGATAACTTAAAAAGCTACTGTTTTTGTACTGTGTAAATTTTCGCCATGAATACTTACTTTTTACCTAAGACGCGTGTTCATCTCAGGAAATTGCTGCTTGTTACAGTGCCGCAACCACGCGAGATGTTAATGACTGTCTTCAACCAGCCAAATTCTAAAATATTTGATTAGGTGTGCGACGGATTGGTCGACTGCGCTGATGGATCCGACGAAGCCGGCTGCGTCGAGAAAGTTTGCTGCGACCGCGTCGAAATTGAAGGATAAGGGTTAAATTTTCGCATTTAGGTCAAAAAAAAAAGAATTGTTTCGCGAACTCTACGTAGCAGCCACTTGGAAAAGCACTTTTCGGAGGTGTTCCAATTTATTATCAAAAGCACTCGTGTTTGAGTAATGGTTCTTTATCACGGGAGCTACTCGAAACAACCAATTTGTAAAAGTGCGCAATCGTAACTTGCTACAGATGGCCTAGTCTGCTGAATGAAAAGCTAAGCAGAAAAGTGGCTGAAAGTATCTATTTTCTAGTCGAATCTCGTCACATTATCTTTTCGTGATTGCATGGTAGTCTTTAATCAAACGTGAACGATGCATACATTTTCTAACCCTGTGCAAGGCAAAGTATTCGCTCGATTAGAAGGACGATCTCTAAATGATCGACCAATCTACGAACTTGAAGGGCCCGGACGCGAGTATTTCCTGTACTACTACTCGACAGCAACGGATAACTTCTGGCTTATAAGCGATCAAATCAACACGCTCCAGGTCAACGGCTACAGTTTCGAGCAGCAACTCTGCCCGCAAGATATGCACATAAGAAGTTCAATGTCTGGTGCTTGGAAGTGGGCCTGGGCAAGCTGTGCTAATGCACCGAGGTGAGAAAATAAGGAGAATTGTGGTTTCTGGGGTGAAAATTGCAATTTTGAGCGAGAAAAAGCGGAACTACCTGTTATTCTAAAACAACAATTTTGGCCACAACATTGACTCCCAGACAGACAATAGTTCCATAGATTCTCGGTCAATAGTTTTTAGCATAAGGGAATAAAGAGAAGAGATAATTGAGTTTATCCCCTAATTCGCTGCGTGCTGAAATAACACGTCGGCGGAGTCTGGGAGTTAATCTTTCGGTAATTTAATTTTTCAGATTTGGTGAATGGTCTGAATGGGATTCCTGTCAAGCTGACCGCCGCGGCAACTGTTCAAGAAAGCGACTCAGATTTTGCAAAGGAGGCCAGGCTGGTTACGCGGTAGGCTGCCCCGAAGGACAGAACGTCGAGTCCGAATCCTGCAACTGCCTCGGATTCGAGCCAGAGGCCGTTTCCGCCCCTGGCGCAAAGGAAGTATCTAGCATCGCCTGGGGCGGGTGGGGAGCCTGGAGCGGTTGTTCACGCTCTTGTGGCGCCGGAATGCGCAGGAGAAATAGACTCTGCGATGGAGGTTTTATCGGGCAAGGCTCGTGCTCCCGTTTTGATAATATTGAAACTGAACAGTGTAACACGCACACTTGCCCTGGCTGGGCGAATTGGGGCGCTTGGGAAGGATGTAGCAAAACTTGCGGCCACGGACAACAGGTAGGCCTACTTGGAATACTTGAACACTTTTGATTTTTACGCAGGAATCAAAGTTCTATGATAATAAACGCGCGCTCAACAGAATAGCTTAGATAATCAACTTTTCTTAGCGTCGAACACGGGAATGCGAGGGCGCACAGGTAGGAAGTTCTAGTTGCCCAAAGAAGGACGAGCAAGATTTCCAATTCTGCGGAGGTCTTCCTTGCCCTAGCTGGAGTGGCTGGGGAATCTGGTCCCCATGCTCGAGCACCTGCGGTCAAGGCCACCGAGCACGATCCAGAGGCTGCCTTTACGCAAGTATCGGAAGTTCGGAATGCCCAGCTGCAGATGCCGCTGAAATGGAAACGTGCACAGAGAAAGCTTGTGGTAAGTTAAAAAAAAGAATCTTGATTGTTCTTAACTTACTTTTTTATTTCAGCCAATAATGTGAAAAAACCAACGGCAGCGGCAAGCATGCTCGGTTCTTGGACTTCGTGGAGTTCTTGCAGCGTCAGTTGTGGAGGAGGAACCCAAGAACGGAGCCGATCCTGCTCTGGAAGAAAGCCTCAGTGTCGTAAGTTCATTACAGCCGAATCGAGAAGCTGCGGTGAAGAAGAATGCCCGGTCGCACTTGGCTGGGCGGACTGGACAGCTTGGACTCAGTGCAGGTAACAGCGCGTTTTTTTCGCTTTTACGGAGCTTTGAAATGGAAAGTAGGCACGCGCGAGTTTTTAGAATAGAGAAAAGTTCAAGCTAATATGCTAATTTTTGTCGATTTTCCGCGACCTGATTAAAGTACAGTGGTGAATCCTCGATTGGGAAGGTCACTTTGACTTGCCGCTTCCCAATCGAGGATTCGGTCCGCACCGCACTTCTCTAGAGATTGGCTTGCTATATGCGCTGCCGCTTCCCAATCGAGGATTCAGCGCGTCCTTCCCAATCGAGGATTCACCACTGTAGTCTTCGAAAGGAGACATAAATAAGTAAATTAAACATGCTCTGGTAACATCCTCAAATATCTGTTTATTTTACTTTTCCCGAGTACTTACGGCAAGAACTGAACAAGAGCTCCGATTCTTTGATTCTATTAATCCTCGAAAACGAAACTAACCAAGTTTCTAAAACGCTTTATTCAGCGCTAGCTGCGGAGAGGGACAACAAACGCGTACACGATCCTGCCCGGATGGCGAAACTTGTCAAGGAACTGCTCAACAAAGCCAGCAGTGTTCTAATCAAGGTAAGCTCGATCCTAATCTCGGGATTATTCATAGACAAGGGTCTTCTTAAGTTCAATCGTCTAAAATTATTTTATTTCAGATTGCCCCAAAGCAGCGGTGGAAGAAGCACAAGCTGCTGGTTGCAAAATTGAAGCACAGTATAAATACGGTCTATGCAAGGGCGCAAATAAGAAGAAGGCCGTCATCAAGAACGGATTTTATCCAGAAGGGACTCAGTGTGGAAGAATTTTCTGCGACAAGGAATGGTTCAGATTCAATTTTTTCAAGTACGAGCTTTTCTGGAAAGCATCTTTTTTGCGGTAATTTAAGAACCAAAACCAGGCATTCTACGGATTTTTATGGAAGCCAAATGCATCGAAGACAACTTGCGTTTGCAAAAATGGCAGTTGCGACTGGAGCAAATCGCCCCCGATTTGTCCTATTGGTATCAAATCCTTCCCCTTTCTATCTTCTTTCATTTTGATTTCTTATCATTTTAACAATAGGCTGCGAGATGCCAATCGGCTGGGACGATTCAAGCTGCATCAAGCCAGTTAGCAAGAAGGTGATCGACCGTGTCGAGTCTTCGAGGAGTATGAGCCTCGCTGGAAAGATTTTCTACGCTCCGAGGGTAAGATATTTACTCAAAAAGAGAGTTGAAAAAGCATCAATTCATTTAGGCTGGTAAATGCAAGAGTGTCACATGTGCAAGTGACTCGTCGAAATTGCAGAAGCAGCTGAAGTGCAACTGCAATCCAAAAACTGCCGTCTGTGCCTGGAACAAATCGCTCGAGTGCTAAAAATGCCTAATACTTGCAAAGAACTAATGTTGAACAAACGTTACTGTCCTCTTCCTGTAAATATCCTTCAACTTTAACGCCCCCTAGATAACTTTTTAGCTTTTTTGCTTATATTTTAGTCCGATTTTTAATGGGCATAAATCCGCTTTGCCTGTTTTTAAATCACTAGAATAAAAATCATAATTATTGCTTCAATAATTATGCTTGAATAGTATGATACGAAATAATGTAAATTTTATAAAGAAGCCCAAGAAGATCGCTCAGTATAAGGCCGTTCCTGAGAACTAGAGCATCTTTTGTTAAAAATGATAAACTACCAAAAGATAATTTTGAAAAAGAAGATCATCAATATTTATTTTCCAAGCTTTGGGTGGACATTTTCGCCCTCAAGCTGCATTAACTGCCCAGATGATTTGAGTTTTGCTAAAAAAGAAAAGAATCCTAAAATGAAGCTTTTGTAAATTGTACATAGCTAATTGTGTGGTATCTAACTGTAATATACTTTCGAAGAACAATTAAACTCCCTGTGTTTCTTTCTTGCAGGCTGATTTTCTCGCAAATTAAAAAGTTCAAAGCTTATTTTGATGTAATTCTTTGGAACGTGCAGAAATTCGAGTCGAATAATCCAGGAACTTCCGTTGGAACGTGCACTCATCACTTTCAAGTGCTTTTTCATTTCCTACAGGTCGATTTTTTATTTCAATTTTCTCCGGTTTATTGAACGAAAGTTCGAGCTCATGAACATAAATTTAATGATTTTTGACAGAAACATAAATAAAGAAAAGGATGCTTTTTCCCAGTTAATCGTGACAATCAACAGAAATGCATCCCATAAAAACGAGGCCGATTTTTCTTCTTCTCGATTTCCTCAAATTTTTCTTCGAAACTTCAATTATCTTCCCAGAAAGTCGTCTCTTGCAGTGTTGAATGTTCTTGCAAAATCTGGTGCTCTGGAATCGCTCGTGGTTGACTGAAACAAGCAAGCAGCTGCTGGATGGTACTGGTGTTTTTTGTGGATCTTCGGTCATTGTTTTTTAAATAAAGAGTTTTAAATAAAATGTCGAGTAGAGAGTAGTTTCACTCGAGTTATGATGGAAACGCTTCACAGCCTGAGCGTTTTAAAAGCTGTGGAAAATGACTCTAGCGACAATTTTCCTTACGTCAATCTCTGAAAAGATTAGGTGTCGGAGCACTGGAACCGATAGAGAAAATGCTAATCAGAGCTATTCTGCGTCAATCTAAAATTTTAATTCATAATTTTGGGTACTAATTTTGTTTTGCCGACTGTCTTGAATTGTTGTCGTTTCGGCGTTTTATATCATTATTTTATTAAAATGAAATTGCGTCATTCAATTTGCGATTTTCCGAATTTTTAAATTTTCGTTGCGATTTTTAGACGTGAGTGGTGGAAAGAGGCAAACGTAGCGGAATTTCCCCTTTTTGGAGGATTTCCATAATTTATGAAAGACCTCTGGAACGTCAGGGTCAGGCTTTGCACTCTCGCACTCCCTTTTTTCTGAAGATGTGGATACTTACACTTGCAAGATAACGTGCGAAAACAGAAGACGAATAATTAGCAATGTCTTCTCTAGCACAAGAGCAACCTAGTTCTGATCGATTCTCCAAAAAAAGTTATTTCCGGTGGAGAAATCAGTGCATCACAAATTGTGTCTAGACTGATAAATGATGTCTGCTAGAAAATACAGTCGCTAATGTCTGGGTTAGTGAAGGTCTAGCCTTTTATGACAATAATCGAAAAAGTTAAATTTGTCCGCTGTAAGGAGTTAACCTCAATATTCCGCTCAATTTAATCGCTCAATCCTCAAATCCTGTGCTAAATAAATCTGTCCTGCTCATTTTAGATCCGCTGTCACGTGTTTGGTTACCGGTCACCCAGCGGTTGACCCTGACGCGTCGATAAGTTCTTATCAATGTCCTTATCATCAGAATTAAATCGTCAACGTTGCACCACCAAACACTAATTTTGGCTGTTTATTTAAAAGCACCAGCAAGGTTTTGAACTTTGTTGCGGCATAAATTAATTGAATTGAACAAGGCTAGTGGATAAGATCAAAGTCGATGTTGCATCAACTTCTAAAGTAAATTAAAATCTATTCGCGAATCGCGATGGAAGTCAAAAAGTCGTGAAGTTTTTGTCTTCGCGGTTTTCAATCAGGTCTTCTGGATCTATTTTGGGGTCATTTTGCCACTTGAATTTAACAATTGAATGCTCTTAAAATACTATTGTTTGATCAAAAAATAAAGAAAGTTGACCCCTGCCTGCTGTTTTCCTGGACTCGACTGGAATTAGGACGACTAAAAAGGCAGAAACTGAGACGACGGATCCGACAATTTGCAGCGTGCTGAAGTCAAACTCGCGGAAGATCAGGTCCACCACAAAATTGAGAGGCGGGACAAGAGCCTGCCCAATCGCCATATAAAGTGGCTGTAACGAGTTTCTTTTGGATATTTTTTAGCAAACACTTCTGCTGGATAAAATAGTTGAAACTCTTAGATAAGTGTAGGCGACGCCGAAATTGAGTGTAAGATTGAAGCAGAGTCCTAGAAAGGCGGAGAGGGCGAGGAAGTCCCAGGGGATATCGGCAGCATCAATCACTTCTATTCCGGCTGCGCTTAGGCTATCTAACGACTCATTGATGAGGTGCAGTTTCAAACGTGCGGATAAGAAACTCGTAACGAGCACAGACACGTGATACCGACCGTTCACGTTATTAAGATAGCCGAACTTTAGAGAGACCAAGAACTAGCGGCCAAATGAACAAAGCATTCAAAACTCCAATAATTCCGAGGAACCAGCTGACTTGACCGATTCCGAGGTCGGAGGGAAAGCATTTGGCGAAGGCGACCTTATAAGTCGAAGATAAACTCACTGATCCGCAGATAAGAAGAATTCCAATAATGGTATCGTTGATTCCATCCTCTTTATTCAAAGTCTAAATATGCTTTTGCAAAAAAGTTTTCAAACTAGAAGAATCAAAAATTACGACTTTTTCCTGAAAAATTCGAGTCGTCACTTTTTTGCCCATCAACAGCAAAAAGAACAGTTCCAGTTACAGCCATTGCACTCGCAATAATCTGCAGAAGATTGCGCCTCCAGCCCATCTTGAAGTTCTCAAGGAAGCAAATTGAAAACATGAATACAATCGCTGGATCCATCGCCATTATCGAAGAAGTGCTTTTTTGGACTACTTAGAGAATTTCGAAAATGTGGAGAAAAAAAATAGCATTTTTGTTTGCAGTTCTGTTAGGAGCTTAAATGCGTCCGCGAGCTTAATTTTTTGAGCATGTTTAATGGTGTCGTTTAGAAAGACGGCGGTGGAGTTTTTCCCAAAATAATTTGCCGAGTTTTTAGCCCGTCCATGGTGTTTGGCAAAAAACGCAGCCCTTCAACGTATAGCACGTTACAGCCGACATAAATCAACATGAACAAGAAGCAGAAGCGTAATTTGAAGACAATCGAATGTCCAGGAGTAAAACCGATCGGTTCCAAGTTTGGGATGATGTTTTCGCTCCACGGAAAGCCTCTTTGTCAGTTTCAAAAATGAATACTTTCTCACTCACGTCAAGTTCATGTAGAAAATTTGGCCTATTCCATTTTGAGTGGATCGCTTGGGAAAAAAACTCAGTTTTACAAATTGAACCCTTCCTGCGTAAATTTTGAATCCACACACCCGCCGAGTACACGAGTGCGCAAATGACCATCCATGAGGTCGAAAAGTACTGTATAAAGACAGGAGCCGGAAAGTCATAGTCTGCCACAAGTGTTTTTGAGGTCTAAAAGTCACTGTAGGATGAGTCAAATTTTAATAATGGAGGTTATTCCTCAGGCTCAAGAATTAAAATAATTGGGCGTAATAAAACCGCCCCGATAAATTAGCGATATTGACGTCAAAATTTACGGAGATGGATAATTTCTGCTCCAGATAAGATGAGGCGAAATACGGGATGATTTCATAGCAAAAGTTCATCTGTAATCATTAGCTGGCTCATTTATTAATTGAGTACATTCATCCCCCTTTTACTGTAATTTTCCAGTTCTAATTTGAATTTTCACGAACTTTTTAGGGGTCAAAGGTGAAAGTTCCTAAACCAGCCAAAGCAAATTTACAAAGCAGACGAATGAAACTTTACGACCTCTTTTGAAATTGACGTAATACCCCGAAGAGCGAAAAGTTGAAATTCAAAATGCTTCTGTTTTAAATTAATCTTTTTTATAAAAATTGACCTGTTCCGCAGCAACGTTAAATAACGCCATTCCAAGTACCAAAGAAATTGCCAATAAATGACTCTTTTTCTCAGGCTCTTCCGCCTTTTCCGGCATTCCGATTACATTTTTCTCCTTCTCCATAAAATGGTCGTCCTTGTCTTCCGAGAAGCTCATTGTCTCTCTTTTCTACAGATAAAAAACTTTTAGTTCCAGAAATAGAATCGATGATTTTAAACTCTGCGCACATTTCGACCAATAATTTGGCATGTAAGAATTACTCATTTCGCCCTTTTATTCAATAAAAATTCGTAGCGCGGCTAAATGTCATCAAGATAGCCGCGCGCGGCTTTTTAAATTTCATCGTTTAAGCTGATCATTCAGTCATCAAATAATTGATTTAAAATTGAATCTGTTCCTTTTTCAAATAGGAAAATTGATTATCAAGCTCTTCTTTTATCTCTATCAATGGGAGTCAAATGCTTTTCTTGTGAATCTGACTCTTTCTTGAAGAGAAAATATTGACGTTTTCGGTACTTTCTAGCAGGGTCGGAGACGAACTTATTATCTTGCCCTGTTTATTCTTCTTTTTTGACTCTTTCTTTCATGCAAGAAAAGCATGGATTCTCAATTGACAATTGCGCACGCCTTTTCTGCTGTTAATCGCTGGGAAAGATTGAAAAAAAGACGATATGGGAAGTAGAAAAGTCAAGTTTATTGAGAATCTCGATTTGAGATACCAGTAGTGCATTTAGATGAAGAATTTGATTTAATA